CGGACTCGGAATCTGGCTACAGCTCCGATGGGGATTCCGAGTACGATGCGCTTTCTGACGAAGAATATGAGGATGAGGATGATGGCGATGCGTCTGACTTCTCGATCTGGGATGAGACCTCTCGAGATGTCCCTGAGACTCACGAGGATCATACCGAGTCCTTTGACGATGCATTCATCTCCTTTGAGGAGAATGCGGTGCGATTTGCCGCCAACGTGCAGTATATTGACTCGGCCGAAGTTTCCGACGACGAGGAGAATGCCGATACTCAGATGACCTGCCATGAGATGATGCTGCTGGCTTTGAAATCCAATACTCAAAGTACTCTGGACCAGCTCGACGCCATGGATATCAATGACTCCGATGACGACGAAGATCCACACGAGTTCCTGAACAAAGTTACCACTAAGCCGGAGGAGTTCTCGCGCGATGCCGTGGACCTGGACCGAAGTCTTTTCGTTGCTTATATGAACGGAATGCATGGGATTGCTGATACGAAATTCAAATCCTACCTTCGAAATCAGGTTGACCACATTCGTCTTGGCCAGGAGGCCGACACCATGGGTCCTGACGGATCATCTTCCTTGTATCTTGACTTGATCTCTAGCCATGTCATCGGCACCTTCTGCAATCTTCTCACTCAAGATGAATTAAATGATTTGATCATCTTCCGTGCCGAAGAGCAGCCCAGCAAGACAAACGATTCAACTCTCAACTTGGACCATCACAACGCCCTCCTGGACAGAATTGAGCAGTTCCTCCTGGACAGACTCACAAACGGTCACGTTGATGTTGGTCCTGATGAACTGAGCTTCTTTGCCGGCATGATTGCCCACGACCTGGGCACCAAATCTTTGCCAGCGCAGAATTAAGTCATTTCTGCGCCTTGACGGCCACCACTTCTACGATTTACGATTATGAGAAAATGCTTCTTTCGGAGTCGCCCAGGTTTGGGCGACGGACACAACGGGACGGCTCTCCAGCCAGGAAAAGTTCTCAAATTTCTCACGGGTTGGTACGGGTCGGCATTCGACAACCATGTTATCTTCCCGATCTAGCACTTGAATTTCAAAAACAGTTTCAAAGCTTTCAATGTTTCAAGATATAGGAAATGACGTAGCGTAGCGCGCCCAGCATCGCCACATTACTATGTAGGTATTGATGTACAGTACGTATATGCCTCAAAGTCAGCTCATCGCCTGACGTCCAAGTGAGCCCGATCAGCTCCTCTTACCCTCTAGGGCTGCTACGCGAGTCTCACCTAAACAAGGCAACCAACAACCCAAAGTCACAGCACGCCTTACATCCCAACCCAAAAATAGACACGTACTCGACCTCGAAGCCTCGATGTAGCCCATACTGCAATCCCACAATGCAGTATGTACTCACCAGAAGCCGTAGTCCCCAGCTCTCCCGCAAAAGATCTGCAATGTAGATCCTTCTAGCCGGACGTTACACCACACTACCCTCTACCCGAGTACAACGTGAATGTACACGGAATACAAGGCCCAAGGAAATCCAGAACTCTCGCCTCCCGTCCCCCGAACAACTGAAAATGAGCAGGCACGAGCCCAGTGTTTCAGGATCTCCCCCGTCTCTCTTGCCCCCAAACCTAACACAAACGAATTGTGAAACAGGATGCTGTTTAATCTATGTTGGATATTTGCATTGCATATAATTTCCGTGCATACGGTACTTGTGTTGTACGTTGTACCATCCATTTTATTCTATCCTATCCAATCTGTTACCCACTATGCTCCAACATATCTGATACTGGGCCTGCCGATGGTTTCTACTGGAGACGTCGATCTAGATCTAGAATGTATCTCGTTACCATTCAGAATTATTCTGTCTCATCTATAGTGGTACTAGGATGAGGGCTGGGACAACAATGCTCGCGCTCGCACTTTAGCTAGTTGGTGCATGTTACATGTATATCTATTGTCCACCACGGAGAAAGGTCCCGGATTCCGGCTCGTCTTTCCTTGTAGAGATGGACTGTGGCGCTGTCTGTGCTGAATTTCTCTGTGCATTGATGCAATGTTATATAAAAATTAAGTAAAATATACTGTGAATAGTGGACGTATCGTGTGTCTACTTGTACTGGTGATTGTTGTTATAGATATATAATTTCCAGAGATCGGAGAATTTCCGTATACTCCGCCCTTCTCTCCATTTTGTAGATAGTCTGTGGGACTGGGCTCTGCAGCGGGGAACCTATACAGTACGTATCCACTGCGGACTGCCAGAAGAGGCCCAGTAGTGTTTACTGTAGCGATGCAGGGTTAACGGGTGATCGGGTTATCTCCGGTGTTTATGCTGTAGTTACCTCACTCTCTATCCCTGAATGAACTTGCTGGAAGAGAGGAATAGCGGCAGTGGTGGCAAACTACAATACATGGATGGCCTCAATACTTCATACTGAGCTCAGAAATGATATATCATTGCGATATTACTTCGGACCTACCTACAGCACACCATCGACGCATGATAAATCCAACAAGAAAACACACAGGTACATATACATGTACATCCTACAGGAAACTATCACCACGAATAAGCAAACCAACACTGCAGGATATACAGTAGAAAAGCGCACAACCCCAAAATGACAGATCACAACGCCTCGTGCAGGACCAAGAATAGAGTCGTCGATATCCGCCGTTTTTAATTTACACGTCGATCACCAACGGCTTGTGCACAGACAGGTACGGACATACATGAACATGGACAGGTCCAAATGTTGACTGGAGAAAGTTAAACCGGGGAAGGTTTGGTGTGTTTAACTTTGATGCACATGCGTGACGATGCGGTGAGAGGTGAGAGTCATGTAACACTGAATTTTGGTTTTCGAGTCTTCGTTTCTGGAGTTAGAATCAGTTCTCTGTGCATGTATGTGGATCTGGCGATTGGTTCTTTCTATCTTTGGTAAGGGATTGCTACCGTAGGGACAGGAGTTACAGTAGAGTCGATGATAGGGAATTCTGCAGTGGCATATGCCATCCCCATTTTCGAAGGCGAAGAGAATACTCCATAAAAAGCAAAACAAGAACCAAGCCGGACACCAAGGAGATATTCGGCCAATCTAACTCCAGCAAAGGGGGCAATCAAGACGATCACGGCAGGAATCCTTGGTTCTTGGAGAGTCTCCGTACACTAGTGCGTGGAGCCGAGCAGGATTGCCATGAGGGTTTTGACAGCCAGGGGCGGAGTGGGCCGTCCTTCTTGCCGGATAGGGAGAAGATCGGAATCGTGAGTCGAGTCATAATGAGATATGGAGTTTGAGTAAGGGGGAAATCCGCCAGGGGGATTGATATTCGGGATTTTGTCGATCTTGGCCACGCGTGCGGTTCAGATGGAGTTGGTGGATGTGGGGTTACGGATGGGAGTATTGTTGCAAGGTGAGAATTCTGTACAGTACTTCATTTTGTAGGGAACTCCGTAGAGGGGATTTTAATGTTGGCTGTGAGTGAGCCTCCTGCGTTTGATGAGACGAGATGAGATGAGCGTAAGCTACTTGAACGAGGGTGCAGGCAACAATACAATAAGTTGATTCTAGGGCTGAGTGGTTGTACAAGGGACCATGCATGGTGATGGAATCTGAGATATGGTTGTTATTATATTCAGAGAGTTCTGACTGCAATACAGTAGATAAAAGTAGCAGTTACTTTTTCCGGATCTGAGTGTCAGTACGGGAGGCCGATCGCCAAGGTTGCGAACAATATCCATTGTATGTAGTTAGTGCCTGAGTGCAGTAGCCTGTGGGCATAACACTATGCGCCACATGGCCCCATAGGCTAATATGTAATAGATTGCGAGTTCAGCTGTGAACGCAAGGTGGCCGTATAAGCATCCTATTCGTTGACCGGGGGAAGCCTGGGATTTACGGGAACCTGGGAAGCCGATTCGGTTGGAGGAACCACGGGTAGACAAAGGTTGGTTCAGATCCAGGTCCGTACGGGGGCATCACATGGAGACTTGGGTTGTGTAAGGCGATAGATTTAACTTATCCATACATGTCTCAGATTACGATCGAAGTTGCGATTATTCCGTATAGTTTTCTGGAAAATCGACAATAGGGACCGGCCGCTCCGTAGGGAGTCTGCTCCGTACTATGCGTAGCATTTTTGCGCCACAAGAGTTGCCTCGTGGGAACCCCTGGACCCATGGAACGGCACAAGTGGAAAAGGACGCAATGCGCTAACCGCACTACAGCGCCCCATGCGGGTCATCTGAATAGTTGGAAGTTATTAGAAATACTTTATGCTCGTGCAGGGGTCGATTTCCCGAGACAACACATTCATTTCCATTCAAAGCGTGCAGAATTCCAACAAGCTGAGGCAAAAATCAATAATTATACGAAAGAGGAAAGGCTCCAAAGACTAACTGGGCCGGAGTCCACTTGGATAATATGATTGGCTGGTGATAGCCAATTGGGCCTGAAACGAGGGGTGTGGGGCAGTTTAGCGTGTCGATCGAATGTTCTGTTCGGGCTTGCCAGGGGAAAGTAAAAAGATATGTGTATATGAGAGAGAGAGGGGGACAGAGAGAAAGAGAGAGAGTGTGTGTGTGCGTAAGGTAGAAACAGAATATTGTATATGCATAACTATCTACTTTACGCTTCAAACTCCAGGGGACTACACTGTACGTACACTGATGTATATCCATAATTCGGTAGTGACCCCCGAATGATCCAAGTTCCCCACTATCGCGGATGAGATAATTACTCCTGACTCGCTCTGGCTTTTCTTTTTCTGCAAGTTCTCTCTCGATGCTACAGAGCAAATCTGATCCAAACGGGTAAGTTGGAAAATCAACCGATTCACTGTCACGGGGAAGGACGTTGCTCGTTGCACCGAATGGCCCCCATTCAGCTGGTCAGGCTGACTCTCGGGCGTACAGGATGATTTAGAAATTCCATTTCTACCCAGCTTCCCTTGATCGAGGGTCAAGGACACATACAAGGCAGCGCCTTTGACCTAAATACGGGAGCTTCCACAATGCAGTCCGCCAAAGCCCCCGACTTCCTGGACGCCGGGGCAGTGACCCGTTCCCGCAGCCCCAGTGTCGTCTCGACCGATTCGCAGTTTTCTCGAGTCAACCTCATGTCCCCGCCGTCCGTGACCCCAGCACCAGGATTCATCTCCTCGTCCGCGGCGACGGACATCATCTCCGCCGACCAGGAATTCAATGCGGCCGATTTTATCGCCGAGGACGAGTCCGGGTCTGGCGCCGCGCTGGTGACCCCGGCTGCTCTCTCCCTCCTCAACGCATTCCTCGATAACCTTCTATTCAACATTCTCGCGGCCTCGAAATCAACCCAGCTGGCATGCATTCGACCGGCCATGGCCGAAGTGCTGAAGCCCAGACTTGCCAAAGAAGTCGTGGCTGCGGCCGAGGAGGAACTGAGTGAATACATGGGTGGCGCGGACGACGAGCAGACTGAGTTCCGTGGAGGCCAAGAGCCTGGCGGTGACTTTGATCTTATTCGCTCGTGGAAATTGACTCGTCTACGATGCATGGTCTACACTCGACTGGGCGACATGGAGGAAGACGACGAGGATGAATTTATTGCGCAGGATGGTCTTGGCGAGACCGATGGGGCGCCACGCAGATTTACTAGTCATGTCGACAACATCACCCCGGCAGCGTCGATTTTCCTCACCTCCATCATCGAATTTATCGGCGAACGTGCGCTCGTCATTGCCGGCGAGACAGCGCGGTCTCGACTGGTCTCGAAGCTCAACGATGGCGATGAGGTCAACGAAGCCGGCGACGAACGGAAGAGGATCGATCGGCTCGTGGTGGAGGATCTCGACATGGAGAAGCTCGCCCTGAACCCGACCTTGGGCCGGCTGTGGCGGACGTGGAGGAAGCGCAGACGCGGAACCACGCTCTCTCGGACTCTGTCTCGCGAATCATTTCGCCGTCGTGGATACTCTGGCGTCAGTCGCAAGAGCAGCATTGCCACTATCGAGGAACCGATGACCGCCAGTGAACCTCTCCCTACGCAATCCCCGCCACTCGACCCCGCCATGGTCCCCCTGCCAATGAGCGACTACGATGTACAGGAGATCGAGGTTCCTGGCTATACGGGCGATTTGGAGGGCGAGGTACAAACGATGCAGGCCGTTGTTGCTCACAAGGTGCGACCGCGCAGTCTGATGGTGTTCTCCTCGCCATCACTTGCGCCAAGATCTCCTGGCGGTGATAACTCCCCCGTGAGCGCGTCAGCCATTGATCCTCCCAAGCTGGTCCGTCATGTTCGTTCACGGTCCCTACCAACTGCGGCGACCAACGCTCCAGCGGAAGCGGAAGCGGAAGCCACACCAGACCAACCTTCGCCCACCCCCTCCGAGAAAAAGCGACTCGAGACTATGTACGAGGATGATGAGTCCGCAGAATATGTGGATGCAGCCGAGACTGCCCCTGGCGTTGCGATCACCACAGAACACGAGACGTCACAATTGCCCGAGGATGCGGCAGAAGATTCTGATAAGGCGAGGATGTCTGTCCTGCATGAGGAAGAAGAGGAGGCGCCTTTGGCGGTTAACGAGATGGTCGCAACCTTGCGCGCTGGCACAAATGACGAAGATCTGACCGATCAATCCAATAGTGCTCGGGTCTCTGTAGCATCACTGGGCGATCGGTCGAATCAGAAAGATCCCGAAGTCATTGAGGGCACAGGGTTGTGCGAAAAGCCTAAATGGACCTCATCGATTAATCGACCCAAACGGAAATCATCTAGGGATGTCAGTCTACTGAATGCAAGGTCGATCTCTGCACAAACTAGTGGACCTGAAATGCAAGCGGTTGCGGAGAATCAACCCCCAACGCAAGGGATGGAGACCGCTCAACCCGAGACACCAAAGATACCTGTCGAGGCTATCGATTCTTCTACTGATCAAGATGCACCCGATGGCGATCGGAATAAAACAGCCATGACTTCCACACCCCCACCTCGGTCTTCTGACGGCGTCGAAGTCGAGAAGTTCCAAGCATTCCTTTCGTCTCCCGATACATCTCGTCCGACTTCTGCTGATAGCGAGCGCTCTCAAACTTCGAAAACTCGCCCTAGACCTGCTCCATTGTTGGTACAGAGCAGCAACCGAAGCCCTACCACTAGTGAACGAGCCGCTGTTCAGCGCATGAGCACCAGGCCATCGACATCGGTCTCTTCCTCCATACAGACCAAAACCCGCCGCTCTTCAAGCTTCGGGAGTTCACGCGAGACCAAGCGCCCAGTGACTGCTGGTTCTACTACATCTCAGGTGTCGACAAAGCTGAAGGGTCTCATGGGTCGACCACAAGGCGATTCTCCGTCGCTTCGCCTGCGCAGCTCGTCTGAAACGAGCCGGGCATCTGGCGGCAGCGGAGATTCTGATAACGAAATTGCCGATTTGGACAAGTTGATCAACAGCGACGAGACTATCCACTTCACACTCACTCCCCGAAGTGTGAGGGAGATGACCTTCCCTGATCCTCCCAACCGACCAATTCCCCGATCAGACACGGCAGACACGTCCGACCTGGCTGATTTCCTGAAGACCACAGCTCCGCCAGGCGAAGAGAAACACCGTTCTCGCGCCTCAGTCTCTTCTAAAGCCACCGGCGAGATTACTCCAGTCTCCCGAACCAAGTCTATCGAGTCGCCCAAGCACATTCCACTTTCCACGCGCTTGACCAACCGACCAGCAAAGCCCAGCAAGCCAGCCCAGTCGGCACAGGAGCGGGAAGCACGAGTTCCTGCGGACGCGACGCGTGAATTTGCGGATTTCATCAAGCCGCCCGGCGCTCCAAATGCGCCGTCCCAGCCCAAGACTTCTACATCTGTTGAGCGCGCACAACCTGTTCGACCTCCATCCAGTCGATCGACTGCCTCTCGCGGAAACCGGCCTAGACTCGAGGCTCGCTCTGCCGAGACCAGTGGCTCTCAAACTTCAGAGCTCATTGATTTCATTCGCGAGGGTCCTCCAATGTCAGGTGCTCACCGCATTCCTCGCACGGTGGCTCCCTTCCGGAACACCATTGACTCGGATGATCTCCAAATAGACAACACTTCTGGGCACACTACCTCAGGCTCCATCGCCAGCACTGGTAATGGCTCCACACCCAACAAGTCCCTGACATCCCTCGGCTCTCGCACGGGGTTACTGGACTCAAACCGAAACAAGGCCTCGGCATCGGGAAGCGCGCCTGCATCTGAGGATCCTGCTCCTCAGCGGAAGCAACGTCGCGTTCGAGACCCGTATGCCATCGACGACGATGATGACGAATATCTGGAAGAGCTCCTGAAATTGGAATCCAAACCCAAGCCCAAGCGCGAAGAAGAAAGCCTCATGGATTTCCTGCGTAGTGCTCCTCCTCCACCCGAGTCTGAAAAGCCCCCTGTGCCATTCTCGGTGAATACCGTCGCTTCCAATGCACGTACGAGGTCCGGTATGGTCCGCTCTTCTCAGAGTTCCTTGCGCTCCCAAGGCAGTGTCCCGGGCAAGGTCCAGAACAACTATGCTACGAAGGTTGGAATGGAGCGGAATAATGGCATCATGCCATCTGCTTCAAACCGCAAAACCGAAACCGGTGACCTGGCCGACTTCCTTCGCAACACTGGGCCTCCAGAGCCCACGGCGCGAGCTGTTTCTTCCCCAGTGAACTCTAAGATGGGCAATGGAGGCTTCTCCCGCTTCTTCACACGCCGAAAGAAGGTCGAATCATAGGGATTTGATGGATGTTTTCCAGCATTCACATTCCCTGACGACCTCGACCAATGTCTTGCTTTGCTAAGCGTTTTTATCTAACGATACACATATCATGTCCATCACTTTGACATTTCTTGTCTGTGCAGATGCATTGCCATCGTTTACACTTTTCCTATTTGTTAAAATATTTGTATAGAGTCATGTCTTCTCCTCTTCTCCTTACTTCATTGTTCTATGTGGCTACGACCAGGTGGCTTTTTCTTTTTTCTTTTCTACTTTTCTTGCGCTTACATGCGTCACTTTCTTTCCTGCCTTTTCATACGGCACTGAATGATTAATACGGTACTCAGCCTTTTTTCCTTTCTTCTTTATTGACTCGGACGTCTATTGGTTGCTTTCGTGGATTTCGAGATACCATGCTTCTGTACCTGTGCCATTGTTTAAAGACCTGACGCCCAGAAACCGTTTTATTCTTACCCTTTACAAATGAAATTAGAAGATATCCAATTATCACAAATAAGCTCATTAACAGAACGAATACGTTAATACAATATCCCGCATGTAAGTATACTGCCCACCTCCAACTCCCACTCCAACCCCGGAACAACAATATTCCACCCCCTTACCAGGTGTCATCAAACAACCAACAACACAAGACCCCAACCCAAACGTCAATCACACCCATCAAACCCCAGAGACGGCGCAATGGTCTCCTCACAATTTACAATGAGGACCATCCTCAGCCTCGTCTTCGTGTTCGTGCAGCTCGCCTCCGCGCTGAAATTCGACCTCGTCGCTACCTCCGGCCACGGCAAAAATGAGCGCTGTATTCGGAACTTCGTTGCTAAGGACCAGCTTGTTGTTGTTACTGCTATTGTTGGTGGTACTAAGGGGGATGGGCAGAAGGTTAATATTCATGTATGTTTGACCCTGGTTTCCTCATGGTGTTGGGTTAGGTTTGGTCGGATTAGGTTGTAATGGATTATTGGACTGGGTTGGCTAACGTGTTTCTTTCACTGTGACTACAGATCAAGGATTCCATGGGCAACGACCACGGCCGACCAAAAGACGTCGTCGGCGAAACGCGTCAAATATTCACTTCGCCCGCTGATACTGTTTTCGACGTGTGTTTCGAGAACCAGCTTACCGGCCACAGTAAGTCAAACCACCACAATCCCAGATCCAATTCAATTATCCACGATTGAACATCCTCTAATCCTCACGCAACAGACGGCATCTCAAATCCCTCCCGCCCAATCGAACTAGACGTCGACATTGGCGCCGACGCCCGCGACTGGAACAGCATCCAGTCCCAGGAAAAGCTCAAGCCCGTCGAGACAGACCTCCGCCGCATCGAGGAGATGGTCACCGATATCGTTACCGAGATGGAGTACCTGCGTGCACGTGAGCAGCGTCTGCGCGATACCAATGAGAGCACTAATGAGCGTGTGAAGTGGTTTGCTTTCGGGACTATGGGTATGCTTGTTGGGCTTGGGGCTTGGCAGGTTGTTTATTTGAGGGCTTATTTCAGGTATGTTGGCACCAAGTTCGGATCTGGATCTGGATTTGCATTGGAATTGCGCGCTGACTTTTGCGATTGCGTTGTAGATCCAAGCACCTTATCTAGATTGCTTTTCCTGGGTTTCGGATCAGTCCCGGACCTCGCGGTATGGAATGGTTGCATCGTGGATGGATTTGTCCTTCTCTTTTTTGGTTACGAAGCGGTTGCATTGCAATCCCCTTTTTTGCTCGTGTCGACTGGCATTCTGTTTTAACAGTCATGATCCCAATGAAATAAAATGTACACCATGCTTTCTGCGGCCTGGCGCTAATAATATTTTCTCGTTTTCGATGCTGGTTCTATATGCTATGCTCTTGTCAACGGGTAACTCTCGTGATAGGTATATACACTATCTGTTGTAGAAATTGGAGATCTGCTGCTCGTCTGAGTGGTTTATAGATCAGCAGCTTGCAGAAGGATCTTGCTGCCCAAAATAGGCTTGACTGGTTAGCATTGAGAGCTATCAAATAGGGCACTGCAGCTAAGTCTCTTTCTAATGTCTGTCTTCAATCCAGTCTGTTTCAAGTGTTATATATAACTTCGCTGTGAAGTATAGTAAACTGATATCGACATGATTGAGTAATGAAAAGCAACTCCACAACTGCACAGCTATGCATACCGTTGAAAGTCGACTGGTTGAAGGTATTGCACCTCGGTTTAAGGCTTTGAATTAGAAGCTGAGCCTAATAGAGTAACATTATAGCCGATCACTCTGGAATTGGCCACCCGGATTTGAGAAATCAACCGAGTCTTGACAACTTAACCATAGTGCAGGCTAGTTTCAGTGATAGAGACCCAATATGATTGAAGAACAGAGCAAAAGGCCAAGATCCGGAGTGTGTAATACAAGACCTCTCGGTGGAATATTTGGTGCAAACAGTGCAAACTCCACGGGCATTGCAGGAGCTTCGGTTCCCCGGGATGACCTCCGGATGATGTCAAGGCCGGTAACAGTCTCAACTTCTCATCTATCCCAGAGAACAGTCCCGATCAATCATTGGGACAAATACGACAAGATGGTCATGACACGCTGCATCAATCGCCTCGCGCGGCCAATGCCATCCTCGCTGAGCTCGATCTCAAGAGTAAACCGTCAATTCGGCACATCAGCTCTACGCCTCAAAGATCGCAGCAACACAACAGATGAACACCGCGCGAACCAGTCCCAAAAGCCGCCCAACCAGTTCGTGCCGAACACTACCTCCACTATGACAAAGGATTACCCCAATGTCGGCGAAAAGCCCGCTCCTCCGGAGATGCTGAACTCTGTCGAGCCTAACTATCGGCCTGCCGATCCCTATCCCGGAAGAATCGAGCATTTCACCGGTGGACGCCAGGATAATGGTGCGCAGAAGCCTGAGCTTGGTGTTGGTGAAATGGAGGGTATTACTTTCAAGGTTGAGCCTCTGAAGAGAACCGGGGAGGATGTCACGACAAAGAGGGCGCGCTTATTATGTTTGTCGCCCCCATACATCCAAATCAATATGATATATCGGATATATATCGCATAAAACGAACCATACTAACAGCTTCCAGACCAAAGCCGCAAGCGCGGAATCCTCGAGTCAGACTTGCTCCTGTCCACTTTTGCCGACGTCTACCTGGCCAAGATGGACCACGACCAGCTTGTCGAGTACGACCGTTTCTTGGACGAGAATGACTGGGACATCTACTACTGGGCGACTCAGGATGCCCCTATTGATACTTCTCCCAAGGAGGATCAAGTCACCGAGAACTGGAAAGAGACCGGTGCTAAGAGCGGTGAATGGGCGCAGACTATTGGCGCTTTCAGAGCTGCTTACCGACCTGTTCCTCAGCGCTGGCAGGAGTCTGAGGTGCTGAAATTGCTCCGAGAGCATGTTCGTGATAAGAGTGCCACTGGCTTCGAGAAGGCCAAGAATAAGAAGACTGGGGGTGGTCGAGGTCTGGGGAGAATGCCTAATGTCCAAGTATTTAACTCCTGAGACTTTTGGGCCCTGACAAACTGAAGACTAAAGACTGTTTAGTTTGATCTGTACTATAGTCATATTGTCCCGATGGGCATGTTTATTAGAATGTATTTGGCGGTACTGGTATTGTAGAGAGTGTGTGATATTGAAAACCACCAAGATCTCAGGAATATTCATTCAAATCATGGAGCCCAACATCCATTGCCAATATCATTGCCAATGTCTCTGTATAGATCTCACGTGACCATTCGCTTAGTGTTAGGGCTGCGCGGAACCACACAAGGGCAGCGACAAAGCGGCTTAGGGCTTGAGCGGGCACGTCTGCCTCCCATCTCGATTTTACCTCCCCCCAGAGTCAACGACAATCTCCGCCCATCCTCCTCTCTCCTTCCCATCACTCATTCCCATCATGGCTGAGCAGCTGGTTCTTCGCGGCACCCTTGAGGGCCACAATGGCTGGGTTACTTCCCTTGCCACCTCTCTGGAGAAGTAAGATACGACCTATCCCGATCGGGGATTGAATTTTCGAAAGGCCAATTTCTGACTTTGATGCGTGATGATAGCCCCAACATGCTGCTGTCGGCATCCCGCGACAAGACCCTGATCATCTGGAACCTTACCCGTGATGAGCAGGCCTACGGTTACCCCAAGCGCAGCCTCGAGGGTCACTCCCACATCGTCTCTGACTGTGTACGCTTTCCCCCTCCCGAATGAACTACACCAAGAACCCACTGGATGCGACAGATGGAATTGGATTGTGCAATTGGAAAAAGAAACGTTGGAATGGTTTTGGCTGACCGCTGGTCTTGTCTGCGTATAGGTGATCTCCTCCGACGGTGCCTACGCTCTGTCCGCCTCGTGGGACAAGTCTCTCCGTCTCTGGGAGCTGTCCACCGGTAACACCACCCGCACCTTTGTCGGCCACAACAACGACGTCCTGTCCGTCTCGTTCTCCGCCGACAACCGTCAGATCGTTTCCGGTTCCCGTGACCGCACCATCAAGCTGTGGAACACCCTCGGTGACTGCAAGTTCACCATCACCGACAAGGGCCACACCGAGTGGGTTTCCTGCGTTCGCTTCAGCCCCAACCCCCAGAACCCCGTGATTGTCTCCGCTGGTTGGGACAAGCTCGTCAAGGTACGCTAGATTCCGTTTTTTTCCCACAAGATTTCCCCCTGTCCCCGCATTGTTATTCCCGCGTGATGTTTGCATAAACGTATTTGCTACTTCAGAGCCCTTACCGGCCATGAGACAATTTTCACCCATTTTGCCTGATGGGCATAACAATACCCTTTTTTCTTGTTTTGTTGGAGACGAAAGGAGGATTGAAAATTTTTCATCCTTGACCACATGACTCTATGACCAGGGCAATGACGCTGACATATGATCCGCGTTACAGGTTTGGGAGCTCGCTTCCTGCCGTCTCCAGACCGACCACATCGGTCACACCGGCTACATCAACACCGTCACCATTTCCCCCGACGGATCCCTCTGCGCCTCCGGTGGCAAGGACGGTACCACCATGCTCTGGGACCTGAACGAGTCCAAGCACCTCTACTCCCTCCACGCCGGCGATGAGATCCACGCTCTCGTCTTCTCCCCCAACCGCTACTGGCTGTGCGCTGCCACCTCCAGCAGCATCACCATCTTCGACCTCGAGAAGAAGAGCAAGGTTGACGAGCTCAAGCCCGAGTTCGTCGAGAAGGGCAAGAAGAGCCGTGACCCCGAGTGCATCAGCTTGGCCTGGTCCGCTGACGGCCAGACCCTGTTCGCCGGTTACACCGACAACAAGATCCGTGCCTGGGGTGTTATGTCGCGCGCATAGATGAGTTGTGTGTAAACGGAGCAGGAGGAGCCTCTTTTTGACCTATTGACAAGGGAATTGAAAAAAAGTTTCAAAAATATGGCAAGAAGAGCATTGGTTTGGGATGTATGAGCCACGAGCAATGAAGCACTTCGAGCCGGGACCGAAAAGTCCCCGGCCTGGAGGTTTTCTGACATGTCTAGCTTACTTGATCCGCGTTGAATATGATGGATTCTTGTGAACGGCGTGTGATGTTCTAATACCAGTTAAGGCATCAAAATGTTTCCTATTTTTCATAAATCTTGTCTCTCGTAAATCCTCACGTAGCTGTCTGTACCTTCATACCGAAGTCTGTTATACTTATCATTTCCTTCTACTACACTGTCCGGCACCATAGTAGATCCTTGAATGATATAGAGTGGTTTGTAAGTTTTGATTGTAATGTACAGTACATCAGGCTGCATGCCTTAATCCTATAGTGGATCCATCCATTATTTTTTCCCGAGTCTCTTCAGAGCCTCGCTAGCCATCAAACTCCCCTCCTCATATCCAATCCCATCAGCCAACGACTTAGCTTCGATATACCGCTGCTTGGCAACCTGCGGCTTCTTCTGTAGCTCAGCCAATTCACCCAGGTTATACGTCGCAACGACACACGTAACATCACACTCTTCATCACGTACAGGCGGTTTAATGTACGCCGCAACATCAATAGCCTTCTGCGCCCATTGCCGCGCAGCCTCGATAGTCTGGTCAACCGCAACGGGCTGCTGCGGCTGAGACTTCACAGGTAGTTGGGCATGCCCAACCATAGCAGTTGCGACATCATTCAACAGCACGACCTGCTTGCAGGAAGGAGTGTCACCCTCCGCATTGCGGATTAGGTCCAATGCACGAAGATACAGCGGCATGGCAAGCTCAAACCGCTCCTTGGCGACATAGGTATTAGCCAGGTCAGCCAAAGCAGTAGCAATCTCAGTTAGATTCAGCCATGCCTCGCCATCTGCCTCGCTCCCACTGCCCGAGCTGCCAACGGGAAGACCCAGCCTCTGGCGACGGTGCATCTCCTTCAGGCAGAGTTCCACAGCAGCGACCTGCGCTTCCTCGGCCTTTTTATCTTCCTGGATATGGTCGCTGGCATACAGCTCGCCAAGCTTCATCTGTATACCGATAACCTTCTTGAGCGCCTTGTCTCGCTGGCGAATCTCATACTCAGCCCGCGCTTTCAAATCCTCTTCTGTCTCCTGCATCACATCGGTATTGATCTGGACATTCTCCGGGGCGATCTTAGCTGGTGCAGATGCAGGTACAGGCTTCGAAACCTCGTCCACAGTCCCAGCAACCTGCGCACCCTCCATCGCCCGCCCCTTCTCAATCCAAACAAGAGTCTCACTCTTAGTCCGTTCCAACACATCAATCGCCGGCTTAACCAACCCAGCCTTCTCAAGCATCATCGCAACCTGTATTTTGATACCAAGCACTTCATCCGAAAACGGATGAACACCCAACTCAGTCGCTATCCGCAGTGCCTCCTTATACGCCTGTAGCGCCTTAGGCGGGTTGAGGTCGATCTCTGTGAAGTACACAGCCGTGCGGAGCGCATCAGCCACCGGCGCCGGGAACTTGTGGTACTGCGGCGCGACGCGGGTCAATTCCACATAGGAGATGTAGGCGAAGGAGATGGCTCCGCCGACTATGGAGACGATCGCTAGTGGCAGGAGGATTGGGTTCTTGCGCCAGATTCCTTTTGATGCTTCGCGGTACTTGCGCCGGATTTTCTCTGCTGTGCTGAGGTGGCGTGTGCCGGTGATGTAGGGGGTTATGAGGGGTTTGGCATTTCTTGTGCGTGGTTGGGGGTTGGTCGTGTGTTGGTGTATATTGAGCGGGTTAGGCTTTGGCGTTGTGATTGTAGGAGTGTGGCGGCGTGGGCGCTTGTGCGCCGTGATGCTGCGCGGAACATTGGGTTGCGTGATTGGAGTTCGTTTTATTTTGGGTATTGAGCCGATTGATGGCTGGGATGCAATGGTTGGAGTGTAGAGAGTGAATAGTGTGAAGAGTCACTTTGGCTATGGGATGGAGACGGAGCCCGCCCTCGTTTTTCTGCTGGTCCAAGCTCCGCTCCGCTGTATGACGTCGCCTCTTCTACATCTGAGCTATTCACTCTCCATTGTTCTAGCATCATTTAGGCACATATCAAACTCAATAGGACTCATAGGAAAGGGCTCATCTGTTTCTATCAGCAATGTGCGGGCGATACGCCCTAGGCGTGGTATGTTATAATCCCTCCATCTAGACGTCTAACTAACGATTCCAAGCGCTTGGCGTATATCCAGCAACGCATACAAGAGCAAGGCATGCCGGTGGACGAAGCACCAGATGATGATGAAGTCAGAGAAACATATAATTTTGCACCTGGAAACTTCGGTGCTGTCTATCGTGCCGATGTCCCTGAACAAGGGCGTTCGCATGTCGCCGATAGTGAAGACCAGAACCAAAACCATGAGAAGTCCCAAGGTGATAAGGATCAGATGTCCAAGCCTGCAGACAAAGAAGCCATCCGATACAAGCTTCAAAGCATGAAATGGGGTCTCATTCCTTTCTGGACGAAGCAGCAGCCAAATTATGGATCCATGTTGCGCACGATCAACTGCCGTGATGACTCGCTGACCGAAGACCGTGGAATGTGGACCACCATGAAGCGGCGTAAAAGATGCATCGTAATTTGCCAAGGCTTCTATGAATGGCTGAAGAAAGGTCCCGGAGGCAAGGAAAAGGTCCCGCACTTTGTCCGACGTAAAGACGGGGAACTGATGTGTTTTGCTGGGCTGTGGGACTGTGTCTCATATGAAGGTAAATCATAGCTTGTTTGACTTTGGGCAAGACCCGGACCGGAACTAACGTTACAAAGGCTCGGATGAAAAGCTGTACACCTACACTGTTATCACGACCTCATCCAACCCCTACTTGAAGTTCTTGCATGACCGGATGCCGGTCATTCTCGACCCGGGGAGCGAAGAAATGAAGAAATGGCTTGATCCTAAGACAACAGCCTGGTCGAAAGATCTCCAGTCCATACTCAAGCCATACGAGGGTGCATTGGAGTGTTACCCTGTCCCCAAGGAGGTTGGCAAGGTTGGAAACAACTCTCCGGATTTTATTGTGCCTGTCAACAGCAAAGAAAACAAGAGCAACATCGCGAATTTCTTTGAAAATGCTAAGAAGAAGGAAGAAAAGCCCACAGCTACATCTGAGGTGCCTGAAACCTTTCCAAAGCAGGAGCCTGTGTCGCCAGAAGGGAAGGTTGCAAAAGAGGAGCGTTCTACATATGATCATGAGTGGAGCGAAGACAATGCCCCAAAACCAGTACCTGCTGTCAAGAGACAGCATAGCCCAGAGGACTCGAGCCTTGCAGAGGAAAACAAAAAGCAAAAGACAGACCCAAAGCCCACAGGGCTGTCGCCACAGAAGACAAAGTTGCGAAGCGCTACCCATAATAGTCCCATGAAGAGGTCCAGTGAGACCAAGGCAAAGGATGGTTCGCAGCCAATTACGAACTTTTTCAAAAAGTGATGAGACATGGAATAAAGCAAATGAATTATGTTTCTTGGTTTGCCAATTATATTCGTAACTTATCCCCAGAGGCCGAAGCTAACAGAGAGTGGAAGGTCCAACGGAGAGATATAAATGTACACCATGGGTAGCCAGCAGAGTTGAGCTCACTCTGAGGCCTACTCGCACAGTGCTGGGGTTCGATCGGAGCCACCACACCCGAACCATGAAGGATGAATTCCTTAAGGTCCGCAGTGACGGTCCACGGGGAGGGGAAGGTAAGGAAGGTAGGGGAGGGGGAGAGGGAGATGGGGATAAAAAGAGAAAAGAAGAGAGATATGAAGAAGGAAGAAAGAAAAGAGGAAGAGATGGGAAAGTTGGGGGTATTTATACCCAGAGACCAGCCGTCCCGATTGGGACCGATCATTGAGGAAAGTGCTGTCATCTCATTTGTTTGCCTGAATTGGCTGCAGGGCCAGGGACTCTTGTTGATTTTGAACTTGCCGTTGTATCCACCCCTCCATAGACCGTCCAACAATAGGCCCCTTCATGGATGAGTCCTCCGTATATTGAAGCCATTCCTGACGGACTGTCCACGTTGTACATGTTGATAGCGATGAGGGTCATTTTAGCTAGAATGTGAACTTTGAGCTGAGAGCTATTCAGATGTGTGAATTTGAATTAATGTACATGAAGATCTGAATTAGATCTTAACAAGATTTTTGGGTCTCCAGCTCTCGAAGCTTCTTAACCAACTTCTCTCTGAGGAAGGGACTCAACCCAAAGCTATGGCATAAGTTAGCATCACATTGCACCAACTGTTTTTCGAGAGTACGTACATTCCGTCTCGGGTCACCATCCGATAGGTACCTGTGATGCGTCAGCTTGGTGTGTCAAGGCTAATCCCATTCGAAGCCTTACCACTAGGTTGATAGTTGCCGTTGCCGCCAACAAATTGACCATTCCCATCCACCTCCAGACTACCAAACATATCCTCTGGCCTACAAAATGTCAGTTGCCGTCTCATGTGAAGCGGTAACACCGCTTGAACATCAAGGCACATACCATGCAATGCGTCCATAGTCAGGGGGCCGTCTGCTATCCGACACATGGATCCAACCACCACGACCACCAGATCCCGCACCACCCTGGCCACTAGCACCACTGTTGGAATCACCAGCTTCCCCGCGACGTTTCCTTCCTCGCTGGCGTTGGCCAGTTAAAAGCACGCCGCCTGAGTTCAGATTCGCCCCGGCCATGGAAACCATAACTTGTGCTTGGGACTTGGCGTCGGGGTCTTCATGCGCATGCTCGGAGCATACTTCTTGAACTATATCCAAGAACTTCGGGTTTTCCCTGAAGGAGTCTGTTGTCGGCGGCAGTTGACTGGAAACCCCGATGGCTAGGTCTGGGTTGACTGGCTCCGAGGGCAATAATGACAGTATGTGCGATCCAGCTGTTGGCCCAGCATTTGGAAACACGTACTATCAAGCTGTCAGTATTCGACCAGGCTAGGGTAAGGTGCAACAAAGATCACATACTATGTAAGGGTTCCCTTCTAGCGTGGAAACACAACGGAATTGAGTCCATTTGGGAAGACCCCGCGCCGTTCGGCCAATAGCTCGTGCTGCAAACATTGCAACAGTACTAGGATGAATCACTTGGTGATTTGCTTCTTATAAATTCAGGGTCGGAGCTCACAAGCAATTGGATCATAGCTAGAAGAAAAGGCAGGCGGTATTGAAGGCGGTGGGGCTGTGCTATGACGATGTGGACAAACAGTGCAAACTCACATGATCGATCCGATCTTTGACGGCTGTTTGGATAGTTTCTTAAAACATTCTCATCTTGGTGTTGTCAATTGCAGTGTTCGCTGGGAACGGGGGAGCTCCAGATGGACCAGGCCTTCAATTCGTGATTTCAAGTTACCGTGTTGCCCTTACGCATCTCTTCGACTGGCACGCGCATTCAGAGATACCCGACCCTGCGTTTTGTGCTTCGATCTACTTGATACCCTTTCTCAAATAAAGTTGACCATTCTTGATCGCTACAGTATTCTCGTGATTATTCCTTATTACACTCCTCTCGCCATGGCTACTCCCTCAGCCAAACCTGGCACAACGCCAACCCATCTCTCCTCACCTCACCCAACCTCAGCTCCCCTCTCTCGCTCAATCGCCCATAAATCGCCTTCGATGAGGACACCAACGGCCTCAGGAACTGCACATGCGCAACATCCTAGCGTTTCCTCCCATCAATATGCTACACCCCTTGCCGTAACAAGTGGGGTCGACGACCCTGTCAATTTCAGCTCGCCTTCAGCTCTTTTAGCGCTGGGTGGATACACTGGAATCAGTCCGTCTCCTGCAGTGCATGATGGCTTAGGGTCTGGAATGAACGATAGTGACATTCAAAACCTTGGCATGCAGGGTATCAAGCTTGGTGTAGCACGAGACAATGACGAAGAACAAAGGCATCGCATCGAGGGAGTCGTTCAACTTTTACGTGCGCGTGTTGCTGGAAGAGGTGTCTCTCGGGAGAGCGTTGAACGATTAAGTCGACTCGAAGGATTCGAATCAATCTGGGAAGACGATAGCCTCAACATCGCTGGTAACTTTGTCGATCTCGAAATCGATTTCCACGCTGGACATGATGTCGTCAAAGATGTCAGTCTACGATATGCTACGCCGGAATACACAGAAGGCGTGCGGCGAGAGGAAGCCACTGCGGTCCTGAAACGTACCCTCGCTCAGGTCCCGGAGGATGCTGTTAGTGGAAACTGGAGATCACTTCAACGGTTCCATGAAAATTTACAATGGCTTGCAAAACTTGATAAGCTTAGCCAAGAGGTCAATTGTTTTGAGGCACTGGAAAATCTCGAAGAGAACTTTAAGCGCATCTGGGTTGAAGAAGGGAAGAATGGGAAGCATGGCGGTGATTATCAACATCTTTGCGCAGGTGTGATTGGCCGTCCCAGCATGCATAAGGGAACTCGAATTGGCCTCGGCTTGGAATATTGGGTTGAACAGGCTAAGGTCTTGGATGCCAAGCAGCAACGGACCTCTCCAGATGCTATGGAGATTGATCGACAAGGTTCAGATAATGGTGATGAACTGGATGATCAACCAAGAGCATGGGCCGTCATGATTGAATGTGAAGAGGGATATCCATCATTACGCATTTCAAAGGAGTGGGTCGGCGCAGAAGCCTTGACTGCAGGCGAAAGCAGTGAGTCGTTACCTTCGAATGGTGCTGCAGGATCTGTGAATTGGCTTGATCCTCCACAGACTATGCGCTTGACGCATGGCAACCATGATCCCATGGCCCTGGATTCCAGCATGCTCGAGTCGTCACCACCCAATCGCCGATTCGTTGCTAAGCTGGAGCCTGGGCTCGATGTTCCAATTCTTGCGGCCTCCGAGATCTACCGCCATCTCGGCATGCAACTACCACAAGAATTTAAGATCGTTACTTATGACATGTTGCTGGTATCAGAAGGGTCGGCTTTGTCGTCCCCAGACTCGTCCCCCCAAATTGGCCGTAGGAAGCGTCGGACTTCAGTGTCCGCTGTTGACTCCAAGGGCGAGCTATGTACGAAGCACCATAACTACACATTCCAGGCTTTCGAGTCTGTTGCAGGTCGAACCATCCGTGATCTGCCGTTCTCTCATCCCCGGCAGCTTGCAGACATTCTTCCGGTATGTGCTTTCGTCTGATGCTCTTGGTTCTATACTAACGAAGTTTAGATTCTCCGGCAGTATGCTTTGCTAGCCAACTTGATTCGGAAGACATTCCACCTCCCTGCCAACGAAACCGACAACACAGCCCAGCCTCCCAAGGCAAACTCCAACCTCTCTCCACCTGACAACCTCGACGAGCTCTTTGCTGGCCAGGATGGACTCGTTGTTTTGAACAACGACGATCCAAATGAAAACCGCTTGAACCTTCTTCTGGGAATGAATAGCAACGGGCAAACTGATTCCGGCATTTTGACACCTTCCAACAAAGAAAGGAGTCCAGCACAACTCCCCATGAACGACGTCAAAGTGGACGTCACATTGCGCACTCAGCTCGGCCAAGCGCCTGCCCTCATGCTGCTCGTCACAGACCCTAGTCACCAACGAGAGGGCACTGAGTCCACAACACCTAAGCAGATTGCAATCTGTTTTGAGGTCGGGCTTAATGGTCACATTTCAGTCGTGGAGACCGCTGGTTTATCGAAGAATGAGAACGGCGCCGATACTGAAATGCAGGGGGCAGATAGCTCTGATTCTGGGGTGCTGGATGTGCATAAAAAGATTTCTAGGGTGCTGGAGGTCTCTCAGGACTTGGGCATTCTAGTTGAGTGGGTCTTGCGTTGGTTGCAACAGCGGACTGGCAGTGGGTGAGAGGGTGCTACTATGACATTGAGATATTTGAGATATTTTTACATACCCAGATTTAGGTCAAATTTTCTCAGTCTCATTTACATCGCTGTGCAATTCTATATTGATCATCAAGCAATCGCGGTATAGATTACCGCTGGGTGAAGTATATCGATACCTAGGGGAAACACTTCGCTTGTCTGGGAAAATCTGCATGCAACCCTCCTTGACTGTTGCATCTATCCAGAAGTCATTGGTATAGGTCAAGCTAGTACTTGCCTTTGACGGACTCCATTGTTGTTGAGATGACTTGAAATCTATATTTCATATATCCCAAATTACTACCGTTATGGAGTTGAGGTCAGTACATCAAACACCTAGTCCAAATTCGATCACTTTTCTTCCACAAGCACAGCCACGTATACTCCACCCACAATAAACACGTGGACATCGGCTTCCCGTGATGCCTATTTGTAAGTTGGTTGTCTCCTTCCAGATCTCCATTGAATATATATCCACCAATTGACTTCATACTTTCCCTACATAATATATATATCAACCCAATCCACCATAGAATACCCTACCCAAATAGTAAAGCTGCAGCTCCAAACGCAAGAGTACCCAGTAGACAATCCCACGTACGTCCAAACCGTTTCAAAGTCGATCAGATAAGTCCAGACCCTAAGACGAATGCGGGGTCGTGGACCGTGCCTATCCATGTGTGTCATATCCAAACAGACAGTTGCATACATCTACAGCCAAGCATGTCTACTATTGTATGACGACATAGGTCAGGTGAAAACCAGGCTAGAGTATGTAGGCGCGTTGATGAGTGGTCAGTCGTTACAACGATCCAACAGGCACATCTACCCATCGTCCATTATGACCGGGTTGGGCATCAAACAGGGGCGGAATGAGAGAAATAAGTGTCCATTGTTCGGAGTTTTTCTTATTTTTATTTGTTTTTTATTTATTCTATTTTATTCTGTGGCTACAGTACATGTGCAGCGCCGGGCCGGGTCCGAGTTTGTTGTGGTGTACTGTAGTTTGTATATTTGATGTGTATTATACGAGGCATTATAGATCGTTTACCCGGCCAACGGATCTGCCATGTGCAAGGGATATCATGCCAGTGCCATTCTGTTACTGTATGGGTCACATACAAGTAGCGAACAGTAGTAAATATCAGTATGAGGCGCTTTTCAGAGCCAGCCATTTGAATAGCCCTAAACTGTAGGTATTGGCGAGGTTTTTATCGCTCCTCGGTTGTATGGAGCTATGTCATAGTGCGACTAGTTAGAACAAGGAATGGAATCACGTTGACGCCCCTTTCCTTTTATTGACACTATTAAGAGAGATATTGTGTATTTTTTTCTGGTTGGAAATATAGTCTAGTTGCGGGATTTATCAAGTCTAATCATAGCTTCAAGTGCACATGTGCAGTAGGCTAGGGAGTTCGAGATGTCAAAATAAAGTCTTGGCGCACGACTAACTTATACTCGAAACAGGTGCCTGATCTGTATAATACATTCTGATTTCGAGCCTGAAGATCAAAAACTTGTTATTATGTGTCATAGATTGGTTACAATACAGTTCACATTCCAATGAGGGATTTTGCAGCATAGTTGACTCTGTATACAGGTTCAAATGTGCAGATCAGGGACTCGGCCATGGTCTTTGAAACAGACTGAACAAATAGAGAGAAACCAATTACGTGAATATCAGTTGGAAGTGCGAGTTTCTAGTCAGCGCGGTTAGTCACTGGGGTTCTGGGCCAATGAGCGGAAAGCGATAAGAATGGGCCGGGGTGACGATCTATGGCTTTGACATTGCTTTTTCTTTTTTGTTTTGGCCTTTGATACATGCATATACTTGCACTTGGAACTGGAACTGGAATTGACGTGAACAGGCCTGAACTGAACTGAAACTGAAACTATGGAGTACACTTACTTGTTATACTAGACACAGCCCCCGGACTTGGCCGGTGACTAAGCCCGAATCCGGATGTCTCATCTATTAATACACTCAGACCCTCTCTGAATTTTCTCGCTAATAGTTCGGAGCTATATCCCACGAAAACGAAAACCTGGAGAAGAGCTTAGACAGGGCTGAAGATCGGAACATCAGCCACTCACTGCGATTCCTGAAAATCCCGACCGTCTACGGAGAAAATACGGGGGATAGATCTTGTCGCCACTCTCCATCTGGAGAATCCCTGTTTCCTAAAAATCTATATCAAAATTGAATTTGTGGCCCTTACCTAACGCATCGAAAACCTAGACGCGTGACTCTTACAATACATAATCAAAACTCAACAGATGAATAACATAATCTCCAGGAGCCAAGCAGTCGAATCATTTCCTTATCCATGGCCGACACCGGGGCGGTGCCAGTTGGTATGATTGGTGAATCACCGGGTGTTTCCAGAACGTTTTGCCACGGATTTCCCCACCGGAGCGGTTATGAGTGATCGATCCCAGTCGCGACGTGGCTGGGTTCTCCATTCACAATGGGGTTTGCGGAGCGCTGTATTACATCTGTATACATGTACTCTGTACCGGCCAGGCATCACGGTACCTGTCTATCCTATCTCTACTCATGTACACATGTATACTCTGATCTATAGTCCTGCAGGAACAGAGACTATAATCAGCTAACGCATATGTACTAACTGGTCGGTCGGGTTCTAGACATGTCGATAACAAATTGCGCCATTGCCATTTGGCCATAGCTCCGGCGCGGAGTACTTAGCCGTGCATCCACTACACCGAGTTTTGATGGGTTCGCGACGCGCGCGTGATTAAATATAAAATTTAATCAAATCAAATAATTCACAAGTTATCTATTGTTATTACATGTAGATAAAACGAGTAAGATTTGATATTGCTTTTGGGGACTATACTACTTGCATACACCTAGACTGCAGCTGATATCTGTTCAAGGCCCCTGGCGGCACTGTAAGTGGCACTGCCGACGTGCCACCGGTTCCCAATGTCGGATCTTTTTACAGTGTATAGTCCGGTGGCACTGGTAATTTTATCTTTTATATCTATATCAGGGAGCTGAACCCGGATAAGGCGTACTGTATGGTCGGGGAGAAGGCCGGATAAGCCAGATGTGGGAAGGTCTCTCTATATTAGCTCTATACTATACTATAGAGTGCTGTGATCACAGTTGATCTCGTTATCGGTCCAACGGGAGTGAAGGGATTGATCATACTATCAGGGGCGATTACAAGGCCTGACTGCTGATTGGACTTGGGGTTATCAGGACACTGGTCAGGGCAGAGTTAGAGCATGGTCAAGCGCGTGGTTCGTATTTGATACCCCTTTGCGGAGATAAAAGTCTGGAGAAGTACATCGCTTCACATGTCTACAGTATAGACTAGACCATTTCAAAACTGGATAAATCAAAAAGTGATTAACGTAGATCAGTCGGCAGAGACCGGGCATTCCAAGTATGAGAGCCTGGATGATGCGACGATGATGACTCGGAAGTGAGTGGCGTTGAATATGAACAGGCGTCTCCCTCGGCTGTTTCGATTAACAAAAATGACTCTTAAAAGTGTCTATGCAAAAAAAGGGACAGAAGGGCTGAAAATGCTATAAAAAAGATGAGCTATTTACGTCCATACAGCGAGAGATTAAAATAGCGTGAGGCCTTTTCCCACCGGTTTCGGGAATGATACGGCTGTGTATGAGGTACTTTGCACTTCGTATCGGGAGGGGCATACAATACCAATACCACACTAGTCCACTTTTGGAGTGGCTGATCCGCGCCTTCCTCTTTTTCCCATTTTTTCACTAAATTTAAATCAGTATTTCCCTCTCTCTTAAAACCTCCATCTCTCCCCTCCTTCGATTTTCTCCATCCACTTTCTATTGCTTCGTTTCTTCTGTTTCTTCCTTCGGGAACCCTTTGAAAAAACACAAAAATCCATTTTTGCTCACTTGAGCTAAAAATTGTTTTCATCACACACACATACCCATATTCACTATGGTACGTGACTCTGCTCCTCTATGACTCAGAATCTGAATTGACCATTTCCCAGGCTGCTGAATCTTCAACTGTCGTCTCCAACACGGAGAATGTGCGTTTGATTCTTGATTGATTGGATTTCCGCAATGGCCTTAGAGCCAGCGAGGAAAGACATATAACTGACTTGACATGGGGATGAATAGCTCATGAAGTACATGAACCTTGACCAGCGTGGTCGTGTTCAGGCTGAATACGTTTGGGTTGACTCGTGCGGTGGCACTCGCTCCAAGACAAAGGTATGACTCAACTTATGCTCCCCCGCTGTTATCGTGTGCCCCTCGTCTTATCGAGAGGATTCACACATCACGTGAGTTCTCACTAACAACTGCTGCAGACTCTGTCCAAGCCCGTGACGAGTGTTGACGAGCTCCCCGAGTGGAACTTCGACGGTTCCTCCACCGCCCAGGCCCCCGGTGACAACTCCGATGTCTACCTCCGCCCCGTCGCTTTCTACCCCGACCCCTTCCGCCAGGGTGACAACATCCTTGTCCTCTGTGAGACCTGGGATTCCGATGGAAGCCCCAACAAGTACAACTACCGTCATGACGCCAGCCGTCTGATGGAGACCAACGCCCACGAGGGCTTCTGGTTCGGTCTGGAGCAGGAGTACACCCTCCTCGGTACCGATGGGTGGCCTTACGGCTGGCCTCGTGGCGGTTTCCCCGGTGCCCAGGGCCCATACTACTGTGGTGTCGGTACCGGCAAGGTCTACTGCCGTGACATTGTCGAGGCTCACTACCGTGCTTGCTTGTACGCTGGCATCAACATCTCCGGTATCAACGCCGAGGTCATGCCCTCCCAGTGGGAGTACCAGGTTGGCCCCTGCGCCGGCATTGAGAGTAAGTGCAATTGCAGACTCGAAGATATTGACCCGAACTAACTGAGATCAGTGGGTGACCACCTCTGGATGTCCCGTTTCCTCCTCCACCGTGTTGCCGAAGAGTTCGGAGTCCGCATTTCCTTCGAGCCCAAGCCCATCAAGGGTGAGTGGAACGGTGCCGGTCTCCACACCAACGTGTCCACCAACGCTACCCGTGCCGATGGTGGTATGAAGGTCATCGAGGCCGCCATGAAGAAGCTTGAGGCCCGTCACGTTGAGCACATCGCCGTCTACGGTGAGGGCAACGAGGAGCGTCTCACCGGTCGCCACGAGACCGGTAACATCGATAAGTTCTCTTACGGTGTTGCCGACCGTGGTGGCTCCATCCGTATTCCCCGCCAGTGCGCCAAGGACGGCAAGGGTTACTTCGAGGACCGTCGCCCCGCCTCCAACGCTGATCCTTACCAGATCACCGGTATCATCGTCGAGACTCTGTGTGGTGGCCTCTAGATGGATACGAATCATTTGGTCTTAGCGCTCCGATACCCTTCGGCGTCAACCTGGGAGTCGGACCAGAGCCTGACTCTGACGTGAGGGAGCTTCCCATAGATGTTCCGTGTTTCTCTCTCTTCCTCTTGTGTGCCTATCCTTTCCCGGTATGAGTGCCTCTTGCGTTCTCTGCCACTCCCTCGTTGCACTAGCCGCCCTCACTTTTTTTTGTTTCTCTCTTTGACTACCCGTTGGGTAATGTGACACGTACAATAGCATAGAATATTTATGGATGGGAAAATCAGACCATCGTTTATCGAGAGATATCATTCTGATATCGTTCCTCTGGAGAATCGACAACTAATTCCAAGACAAAAAGTGTGCACTGATCTTCCAGAGTAATTCCCGAATGCTGCATTGTAGTCTCGCCGGATCTAGATCTGGCTATTGATAGATCTGATAGATCTTGAACCTAATCTTGTCCGACATGAAGTGTCCAATGATGGCAAAGCATGCACCTTCACTGTCTATCAACTCTTGACAAGGTCCTTTAGAAACATCGCATATCAAACTCCGACCACACCCAATATCAACCCTTGTTCATACTACAGTCTAGATGTTAATTATCGCACATAGTAAAGTGTAGCCTCAGTCTTATCTCAGGCAGATGGATCTAAGATTATATTTGGCAGGAGACAGAAGAACAGAGCTAACATGGGAGCTTGACTTGACATTTGACAAGAGCTTAAATTAACATCACTTATGGGCAGCTAATCCCTTCATAGCAGGTAAGCCCATCTCATAATAAATGCGTGCATCTATCTATCACTCTATAAAACCAACATCATCAATCCTACCACCCCCTACTCAGAACCGCCGGTCCTCAACCCAAACCTCTTAAACCTCTTCCCCAACCCCTGCAACCCCCTCTGCCTAACCTCCCTCCTTCCAGCCCCATCAACAACCTCAGCATTCTCTTTATACCGCCCATCAACAAACCTCAACAAAACTTCCATAAGCACTGCGGAAAGAATACTCCCAATCAAGATCCCAACCATAACAAGATTACTCTTGCGATACTTCTGCCGGCCCGGCGCCTCATAATCACTCTTCCACCCAGAATAAAGCGCATACGTAGTCAGGATGGATCCCAGATTGCCCAATCCAGATACAACAGCCGACGCAGCCGCAACGCCCACCTCGCCGTGCCGTGGTTGGAAGATTTCTGTCGTCCAGGTCATTGTTATTGGCACAGTGGGGCCTAGCCCGAAGCCGACGATTAGGAGGCCGCCGTAGCGTGGCCACGGGTTTGCGTCGCTCCCTGCGTAGCTCGTTAGGAGGAGGCCGAGGATTTGGAGGAGGACTGGGAGGGAGAAGAAGATTGCACGGTGTCGGTGGAAGCGGTCTGAGAGGGGTGTTACGAGGAGGATGGCGATTAGGTCCATCTATAGAGGTGTTAGCAGTGTTCGTAACAACAAGATGTAAGATGTAAGATGTGAGAAGGGGATGTGAGAAGAGGTGAAACGGGGATGGAACATACAATCCAAATAGGTGCCGTCAAAAGACTCAACTCAACCCCACTCAACGTCGGATTAATAGCCTGAATAATCAAATTCGCATAGAGTTGCACCCCAATGCCTACACCCACAACCCCGAAATACATAACAAGCAACGGCCACAACCTCCAATCAGCAAAGACCCTACCAAGATCCCTCAAGGTCCAAGCAGGCGAATGATAAACACGCTTCATATCATGATAATGAACCCGCGCATCACGCCCACTAAGCGCAGGCGGACTGCGCGGGATCCAGCGCAAGACCCCGGGTCGCTGGGGTAGGGTTTCGCCTGGTGGGGTTGGCCGGTCTGGGAGCCACCAGAGGAGGGCGAAGCCTAGGGCTACGGTTATCACGCCGTAGACTAGGAACATCCATTGGAAGCCGACGAGGCCGTGCATGCCGTCCATCTTTTGGAAGCCGGCGGACACGAGGCCGACGACGGCTGCGGAAACTTGCGAAGCTGTGAAGTATTGGCCTATTCTTTTGCCGATTCGACTTGGCGGGTAGAACAGGGTTAGGTAGTAGGTCATTCCGGGCCACATTCCTGCTGTTACTATTCCCAGGAGGAGACGGAGGAGGCTGTTTATATTTGTTAGGATGGGAGTTTGATATGTAAAGGGTGGGTTGGTGGGTGAATAGACGTACTAGAAACTCCAGGCTGCTTTCATGGCTGCTAGACAAGATCCGATTAGACCTACGCTGATGACGATCCGGCTCATCCAGACGTGCGGACTGAGACGAGTCATTATCAGGTTTGAGGGGAGGTCGAAGATCACGTAGCAGACGTAGAAGAGGGCTAGGCCGGTTGAGATTTGGTGGCGTGTTAGATGGAGGACATCTGCTAGGTCGTGGCCAGCGTCTTCGTTCATGGTTTGTGCTAGGCCTACATTTGAGCGGATGGCTGAGCAGAGGAAGTAGAGGACCCAGAATGCGGAGATGATGCGCCGATCCAGTTTTCTGTGTTGCATGTTAGATTTGATATTGGGTTGTTTAACGGGGGTTTGTTGAATTCACCTGTAGATGCGTTCGATGTTGGTTACGCTTTGCTCGCCGGATTCAATGTCTTCCGGGGCTATTTGGTCTTGGGATGCGTCTGGTTGCTCGGAGACGTCTTGAGATGCTGGTTGCTTGTCGCCTTGCAAGACGACGTGGTGGTCTTCACTCATTTTGGCGTTGTATTATTATTGTATAGTTTTTTCTTGAGCTCCGTTGGAAGATTCACGCCAGTGCACTGGCTAGAGGCAGTGTCAATCAATTGACATCAATTGACCAGTATATAGATACTGAGAGTGAATAATTCGCCTGCAGATTCTGAGTCAGTGGAGTTCATTTTCCTATATCTTCCCCCCGGAAGCTAAACCGTGCAAGGCTTTACCGAGGTCATAGATCCCGTAGTCACACGGAAGGGAAAAAAGACATGAAAACCTACCTCCAATCTAGATTTCTCTAGATCTTAACCTCTGTATAACTTCTGACAGAATACAGAATAAATGAAGCGGAGAAAGACTCGCCCGTTTGCGGATCTGATAAAGCCGAGAGGGGAATCTTGGCGCAGAAAAAAACACAGACCTCCGATCGGCACTTCAAGTAGCCGACTCAGTACTATAACCAACCTGCACGTTTTATAGGAATCGCGTGAGTCATAACCCTGAACATCCGAGGAAAGAAACGGATGTTGAACCGTTGAGGGTCGGAAAATCCTGCCGCTTCCCAACGCGAGGTTCACCGAGGATAACCTTATTCTCTCCGTCTTATCCACTTTTTTTCAGCTTTGTCTCATACTTTTTAGTTCTAGACTAACGTTAACTGTATATCTTCATGTTCGGCTTTTCCTCGGAGTTCGTTGCCCCTTGCAGAGATCTTCGCTGTCAGAATGTTACACATGCGACATTTGTGTGGACGACAGTGCGGCAGCAATGTTCCATAGACATAGCATTGGCAGAGTATACACCGATGTCTTTTTTTGTATGCCAAGTTGTTTAGCTTCTTCAACGCTGTCATTTCGATTGCTTGATCGCCGATTTCGGTGATATCACGTGCTTGCATATCAAACCGGGTGTGAAGTAATACAACCAAGTAAAAATGGCAACAATCATATCGACGTAGTTGGTCAAAGTGACAGCCCGGTGTAGGAACAAGTAATTGGCGACTTGTAATTGAATTTTCAACTGCTTGAGCCTCAACAGCATGTCTCTGACTCATAGAATCTCCTCTCTCCGTCTTCTCTTTCTTTTTCTCACTCCTAGGTCCTTTTCGCTTTATAGAACCCAATACACTCCTTTCATGAAGCATTTCTCCCGCTTGTTTCCTCTCGTGTTTAGAAAGATTGACAGAACGATTAAAGCCTATTAAAACCCTCAATAAATTTTTGTATTCGGCGGGAGTCCCTCAGCCTGGTCATCTCTCTGTACTCGCCAGTAAGCACACTAAACGTTTCCAATATTGGTAGCAATGAAGCCCTTGCCAGTGCTGTCCCAAGTCCCTTTACAAGTGCAATTTCGTGGTCACAGTAGGCCAACTTTTCAGGTCCAAATTCGGTGAATGTTGTTGCCATATCAAAGTCAATCCAGACCAGCCTATCAGGATTCTACGAACAAGGTGCCTGTTCCTAGAGTAGATATCTCGATGAAGAACGCCTGCCTTATGTATCTCCTTCAAGCCCTCAATTGCCTAGGGAAAGAGTCTATCGGAGTAGTTCACGCAGTGCGATTTCTCTACACCTAGAAGGTATTCGAGCAATGTCGTGCTTAGTCGGAACATGTCTTGAGCGAAATATTAGAAAGCAGGATAGTAGGCAGCCGAATCTACTCGATCGATGTAGCCGTAAATTTTGGTACGAAGCTGCTCTCACAGGCACCAGAAGCGAGAAGCTTCTCGTATGCGTCGAATTCGCAGCGAAATCGGTTCAGATCACGGCCTTTCTCTGTATATCCTAGGTCGGTCCCGCGCGGTGAGAGGTTGTTTCCTCAAATCCAAAAATGATTTTCTGTCTTTTTCCTCGGGCCGTCGGAACTAGAGGGTCTGGACGGTTTCTCCTTGATTATCTGTAGTGGTTTTCCACGTCGGCAGAGTGTTCCTTCCCAGTTGTGGATCGGTGTGTATAGACGCATTCAAGATGTTCTCACTGATAAGTTGAGGCAGTCGGTTTTCAGGATCCCTCCTTTTCCGATGGAGAGCTTGAGCTTCACTGGATATGAACCTCACTTCCCCGTACTGGCAGGTGATTTGGTTCTGAACCAGTGTGGCGTACTCAATTTGTTTCTGGAAGAGGTATTGATACTCTTGCAGATGCGAGGGGGGTCCCATGCGATCCTCGTCCACGGCCTTTTGGTTGCATGCCGCGATCTCATCAATGAAGCGAAACATAGCGCCATCCATCCTTTCGAGGAAGTGTATTCTCTCGGCTTGGGGATGCGCCCCCATTTGTCGGTCAGTAAAGAATGGCACCTTGTATCTGTCATCCCTGATTTTCTACCGATGTGCGAAGTTCACATCAGCCGTCACTCCTGCCAAGTACAGTGACGGTAAGAGTGAGGCCAACCAACTCTGAGCAGAAGCTCAAAGCAACACTAAAGCTGCCTCAGATGGAGATGAAGCAGGATAATTGAGCGGCCGGATACATTGGGAAGGATACCGGCATTAGGAATGTACCCAGGCAGTGTGGGCCCTTCGCGGGAATAATGACGATTGGTGAAGGCAAGGAGCATAGGCAGAGGAGAGAGGGGATGTCAAACTTGTTTAGCCATCCTACATGTCTATTATGGCGGTGAGGGAAGCCGGCAAACAACTGCGCCCTGTCCGGAGCCGCTGCCGCTGGTCACGGGGACCTCGAGCCCTAAGCCAAGAGCCGCCCTGCTCCCAATATCGTACATTAGCTTAACCCGCACCAATTAAGAAAGCATATCCACAAGTAACTAGCCTAAATAGACCCTAGCTTCTCAGATACCGTATCCGAAGTCGCGGGTACCCCAAAAAAGCGGCTCGAGTCAACGCCAAGGTCTAAAACCTCGTATTGCCAGCAAGTTCGGACCGCCACACAAAATCTCCTCCCAAAAGACCCCCTAAAGGCTCCCCAAATACGAAGAGCCCAGGTGATTTCTCGCATTGACATTTCAATATGTGATTGAGCCGCAGGGGCACGGGAGGGGCGGCGGACATATAAATCCATCCCCACCCTCGATCGGACCGCAAGCAGAAAACAAAGCAGGGATCAATACAGAGAGCCTTGGCAATCAGTACACAACCCAAGACGAGACCGCATCTCAAATCCAAGATGAAGAGCCTCACTCTACCCACCCTGCTCCTGCTCTTCAGCAAATTGAGCACAGCAGCCGACCTCCAAGATGAGCCTCAACTCTTCTCAAATGTCTCTGTCCTCCACCTGGCTTCCGAAAGAATCCTCTCAACTCGAGACCTAGGACTCGGGTCTGACTTGAATATCCTCAACAACCGTGCTTACGAATGCCGCGCCGGCTACAGCGAATGCCCTAACGACACATCAAAATGCTGCAAAACCGGAAAATCATGCTGCAGCGGCACCAACTACTGCGCTGATCCAGGAGAAACCTGTTGCTCAGACTACGGGACCTGTCCTAGCGGATGGAAATGTTGCAGTGGCACTGGCTGCGCGCCGACGGACGGAGAATGCTGTACCGGGGGCTATTATTGTCGGGCTGGGAAGCAATGTCGGATTTGGAAAGGTGTTCATGTTTGTTGTCCCTCTACTGGTTGTGTTGGTGAGTTTGATACTGGCGATGATGTGGGCACTGTTGGGGGCTCTGAGGCTACGGAGACGGAGACTGAGACGGCGACTGTTACGAGTGCTTATACGACGGCTGCGCCTACGGTTACGTATCTTGATTATGATTATTATTATACGACTGTCTACTGGTATGTTTGGCTGGGGAGTTGGGGGTGATTGGGGAGCGGTTTTCTGACTTTTTTATAGGACGTATTGGTTCTATTTCTGGACTTCTATCTCGCCTTACACTGTCCGGACGGTTACTTCGACTACCACGACTACCTATACTATCTGGTCGGTGTATATGACAGATAGTGATGAGGCGACTGCCTCACTGTCGTCGAGGTCTGCAAGATATACCTTCTCTGCACCGTATTCGGCTACTTCTTTGAAGAGTTCGTCGGAGCCTGTCACTCTGTCAACGGCTGATGCTACCCCGAGTGCCACGTCCATTAGTTCAGGTGGCAATAGTGGATCTGGCTCGGGTGTGACATCTGCGTTCGGTGGTTCTGCGGCTAGTGTGAGTGTTAGTGCCACTGGAGTCATGGCTGCTGTCCTGGCTGCTGCTATTGGCGGGTTGGCTTTTGGACTGTGAATTACTTCGAGGGGAATGTATGTGTGTCAGTGGTCGATGAGGGCAGACGGGGTTTTTGTTTTGATACCGTTGATCTATGTATTTCCTAACTTTGAAATACAAACACAGTTGTAATTGTTCCCGTGTCTGTATATGCTCGAAAGAGTAAAGTAACCAGCCCCATTTATAGATCGATGATAACCGACGTCAACATATATACGCACTTATTTATCTGCCAAAAATAGAAAAGAACAAAATAAGCCCCTCGTTAAAAGTCTTCTTCCAATACCTCTATCTGTCCCTTACTTTCCTAAGCCCTAGGTACTCCACTAGTCCGTATGTTTCTACTAAATGTGAAAAGAAAATCAAAATTAGGGAAAATAGTACCATACCAAAGAGATCTTCTTACCCTTTTTGAAAAAGGTATGAGCATGGAATGAGGATAAGTTCAAGAATTCTAGACCCCTTACACTAATCCTGATAAGGTATCTGTGATAGTCTCGATCTCACTTAGGGCTGAATCGACCATGCCTGCTTTCTCGATTATGATTTGAACATACCGATCTCTATCCACAGATCAACGCGAAAGTAAGACAAGTTCACACATCAGCAACGATGTTGCAAATCCGCGTTTCGTAACAAATACCGAGAGCGATGGATAGGCATTTGATTTCGTGTCTTGCAGAACTGCTGTGCATGTAGGTGGCCACATTGGAAGCAGGATTTAGGTTCGGCCACAATGAAGCTCCTCAGAATTATTGTCCTCTCTGTCGCTTCCGCTCTGGCTGTGAAAGTCGGGCCCGGGCAGCTGCCACAACAACATCGACTGCAATAAAAATTGCATACGGACGCTAGTCCGTCAGCCAGCTCCAGGGTGACGTCGCGTGCGATACAAACACAAACGATACGCAATACTACAGAGCGTCTTGCTTCATCCCACGCTGGGCAGTCGGCGATGATGGCAGGCCAAAAAAGGTGCAGCCTTCGTTTGACGTCACTCCCGCCGAAGAAGCATGCAGAAAAATCGGTAGTACTTATTGTGAGAGTTCCTCCTGCCTTTTCAAGGGCGAAGTGACTGCGGAAGATGATGTGCGGAACAAGTGGAATGCTGTCTGTTTCCCGTATTGGGCGGAATTAATCCCCCAATTCCAGTCGTGACCCACCGCAGCCCAGGCAACAGGCCCCATGTGCGAGGAGGACATCGAATTTCGGGAGGTTAGCGCCTAACGGTCCACGATTGCAATTGACAAGGGGATATGGTCGGTCTTGGTCTCACTTTGTCTGTTTATATTGATCTTGTTGAATCATGGAAACTGGGTTATTGAAACAGTACTATGCCTCTTATCATATAGTATGAAATGGGCCTAGGAATGACCATCTCTTTCTAAAGAGACCTCTGGTGTACAGTAGCAACTTCTGGTATTATGCAGTAAATCTACAACTCGAGTACCTCTCTATTCGCCTCAGAAATGACGATTGTTCTTCTGTATATATGGGCATAGGAATGGGGTATAAAATAACAAATCATAAACGTAAAGGCCAACTATATCACCACAAGTGGTTAGCCATTTATCCTGGAGGATAGTAGTCCCAAACTACGTCCTCAGTGTGGCGCGTATTAGCAGGAGCAGGTTCCAGACCGACGAGACCAGCAACATGAAATGATGAATCACAAGACATGTATTCAAAAATGTATTCAAAAATGTATTCAAAAATGTTGGAAAGCTCAGTTACTATCAGATGAGCTATTTTTCAGGTGCTCAAGATGATTACCCTTTCCAGTCTCGAGATCAGCCCCAGCTGTGAGCTTGCTCTGTTGCTTCTCGGAAACATAGCTGGCACGGCGAAGATGCTCCTCGGTGTCCTGGTAGTTGATAAGAAGCTCGCCATTCTTTCCGTAGCGGTGGGGCTCGTTGCGCGCAACAGAGACGACGTCGAAGATACTGGATGTCTTGTGGAAGATTGTGTCCATTTCTTCCAGAGATCGGTAGGCTGTCTCTGGGTAGAAGAAGTATACAACGGGGAAGATGAAGGCATTGCTAATAATATTGATTAGTTACGGAGACTGATTGTCTGTTGCATGAAAGGCTTACATGGCTGCAAAAATGATGTAGGTCTTGTACTTGATCGAGTCGAATGCAACAGGTGTGATCATGACAACCAAGAAGTTGAAGATCCAGTTGCCCGAAGTTGCCAGCGCGTTGGCAGGGGCACGGATACGCAGAGGAACCTGTAATTGTTAGAAAATATATCACAATTACAAAAGGTAGAAGCCTTACAATCTCAGCAGGATATAGCCAAGTCATTCCCAACCAACCGAAGGCGAAGAAAGTGTTAAAAACGAACAAGAACACCGCAGCCGCAATACCAGGCTTGCTATCGCCCTCAAAGCTGGTGGTAATAGCCAAAACGATCATTGAAATCGACATACCAGCGGCACCGATCAACATCAACGGTCGACGACCGACCTTCTCAATAATGAAAATGGGAATCAGAGATGCCAGGAAGTACTCAGTTCCGTTACAGGCGGCTAGGATACGCGACGTCAAACCATCCATTCCAATGGATTCATAGATTGTAGCAGCGTAGTATGTGATCAGGTTGATACCAGAAATCTGCTGGAACATCTGGTTGACGTATGCCAGGACGACACGGTGCAGGTGACGGTTTTCATCCATTGTGAGCAAATCGCGCATGCTGACGCCCGAGGCTTCTAGCACGGCATCCTTGATGGCGGCAAATTCTGAGAGCACGTAGGGGTCGCTTTCTTCCTCATCGAGGATGACGGCGAGGACTTCCAAGGCTTCCTCTTCGCGGCCCTTGAGGATTAACCAACGGGGTGATTCGGGTAGAGGAAGCACGAAGAAAAGGATGATCAGCGCGAAGACATTTTGGAAGGCAATTGGGAAACGCCATGCAACTGAGCTGGGGTCGAGGAAAGAGAATCCAAGGTCGATCCAGTAACTGATTGTGATTCCACCGGCAATTAGGGCACCTTCTAGCATGACTAGCTGACCGCGGTGGTGGGACTTGGAGCATTCTATTGAGTATAAGCCTTGCCTTCTGTTATATAGTCAATAGTTTTGAATACTTACCAGATTGCCAGGTAGGAACCGTAGATGTGTTCATGCCATTGCCAATACCAGTTACGATACGACCAACGATGAGATGTGGTAGCGAGTAGGCACATGCTTGCAGGGTAGCGCCAATGACCATAATGATGGAGCCGGTGAAGATAGTCTTGCGACGACCGAGGTAATTCCCGATCCAGATACAGAAGATTGCACCGAAGAAACAACCCAAATTGTATGAAGCAACGGCGATTCCTAAAAAGTTAGTACATAATTGTAGATTTCTGATGATAAGTCAGGTACCTTGTGTAGTGGAGTTGCTACTCGTTGACGAACTGGATTTGGTAGTGTCGATTTCGGGAAAAGTCGTAATAAATGAGTTCAGGGTCAGTAGACCTCCCATGACACCCCTGTGAGATGTGAGTAAATGGACAAGGGTGTTTATACTATGAGTTATAACGTACTGGTCATATCCGAAAAGTCTGTAGATTGGAGTTAGTAGATATTGTATCTTATAGAGATGGGTTCAACATACAAGAAATCAAGACCGGCAATCACACTGATCATGATATTGAGGTTTGTCCCTCGAAGTCCAAAGTATGGCTTCATGATGGCGGTCTAGATATCGGTGAACCTTGTAGGATGGATGTATAGTTAAAGTCAAGATGTATGTATAGTCCAATCTGGCACCAGTCCAGATACAAGCGAGTCCGGGTATAGCAGACCAAGACCGAAGAGTGGCTTTCGTAGCTAAGAAAAGAAAGAAGATCAAACACACTCCAGCCTGGGAGATGACTTGAGTTTATGAATCCCAGAGCCAGCCTGGAGGGTCCACGGGCATGAGCAGGCTTTGGAACGCAAATCGGAGTCCAGAGCGAGCCAATTGCAAGGTCACATTGGCTCTATGTTGACCGGATCGGGAGAAAGAGGCACTGTACCCCTCATTGGGGCCGAGGCGAGACAGGGCAAAGTATCAAATTGGCGTCTACGGGTCCACCGAGTGAACAAATCGGCTTCAGTTGTGAAGATATTCGAGGCCGGTCCCCTTGTGGTATCGGTAAGGGGTGGTACAGTGATACGGTATTAAGCCTAATGATTCAATCACTGCCCATTCTAGCATGGGAAACTGTTTCCGTCGAACATCAAGAAGTGTATGACGACTACGTGGTTCGCGTGGTACTGCCATGCGAGGAATTGGCCGAAATCTGGAGAACCCCAGGCACCCCAGAGCCCCCATTTGTTTCTCCGAGGATGGAACTACAGCCCCGTACATGCCCACAGTACTCACTAACCACCAAGGAGACGAGACAGTTAGGTCCCTGACGTATATGCAAAACCTATAAATGACCAATACTAAATTATATCTTGACTTTGCTTGGACTTTTGCCAAGCTCGACAGGGATAAATCTGACGAACCACAGCGTCGGGTTCTAGGAATGACGATTTCCCTCGAAGGAGCGGGCGTAAAGCCTTTTCCCGGGTTCCTGGCGCTATAACCCGCGTATGATCTCGGGATGAGCGGAATTCCGAAAACCTGCTTGCGTTGAAGGGGACGGACTATGTGAACTGAGATAGGCCTCGCCGATTGCGAATGGGCCGACGGCCTCCTATGACGTCATGTACTATGTATGCACTGTAGTGCAGTATTAGCATAGAACGACGGACTCTCAAAGCACTAAGATGTTCAAATCAGAATATTCCAAGCTATTTTGATTTCGTCCTAAGCTAGAATAGCGGTTATGTTATAGACCTCTGTAGTGAACAAAGGGCAAGTTGTTACTTTTCACAGCTTGTTACTTTCACGGCTTGTTATTTCCACAGCTTGTTACTTTCGCAGTCTCTTTTCAAACATAGTAGGTAGAGCCATATATGATTGTCCCAGCAGGGAAAATTCAACTCGGCCTGTACCGAACGGTCACCCCGGGCTCCCCGGTTCTCACTCGGGATGCCCAATCCGGCAGTGCGGTTTTCAACTACGACTCTGTATTTTACGTGATGCTACCCACTTATGTACGAGCTATGTATTTTTGCCGGAATATTTCCATTTTGAACAGATGAAAATCACAAGACTACTATTATTTAATGGAAACATGTTGGTCGGCAGTATATGGAGTACACTACCGCGCGAATGCATACCCGATCGGGGCGCTGCGATTTGTGGAGACAGTTTAGTTATGCTGTGGCCTGGTCTATATTGAATTGTGTTTCTGCTACAAACAAATATATATATTAATCTTTGAGACTACAGTATCTTCATGTTCATGAAACATGTGCCTTGACTGTGGTTGCACATATTTAACCGATTCCGTGACAGGGGCCCTTTACTTATCATTGCATTTCCTCTTCCCCTTTCCGAATTAATTCGACTCCATAGCAACTACTCTAGACCACATCTATCCCCAAAAATATCAAAGAATCATCAGACTACCTAGGTACATATATCCAGGTAGGCCGGATTCGGACAATAGAGACATACCAGTAAAAACACGGTAAATACATCCTCAGGTACTACACTACTAAAATAATCCAACATGCTCACAATCAGATAAACTATTAAGTCATGATAGCCAATGAATACATCTGGACACATAAGGATATCGACTCCCACGTCTCAGATGAGCTTGTGTTGTATCCTGAGGACTGTTCGCGCCTGTTGCCCTGTCTGAAGCGCCCGGATCGGACAAAAGCCCTTCGACGACATAGGTACCGTCTTCAACCTCGTAGTCCAGTTTGTAGAAGTAGTTGGCCATTTGCTTGGCCAAAGAAAGCTCTTCCTCGTGTAGCGTGGCCGTGTTTATGGCAGAGTCTCAGCAAATGTGTCAGAAGGAGGTTTTATCATTTGCGCTCGCCCATGTTCCTTACCTACTAGGAAACTCACTGCTTGATCGGATCTTTTAAATCTAAAGGCTCCTAGCTCGACAGGCCATGGTCATATCTCTCGCTGGCAGAAAGCTGGCCCCAGTGAGATCAATTGCTTCCCAAGTGGCTCTCTCGATAGCTGCAGTACGAGACTGTGTCTGATGGAGCTTTCATCTAGAATATCGGTTTCTAGATGGCTTCTTCATAGTCAGTTCATTTGATGGCTGGGACTGCGGTCATCATCTGTGACAAGGCCAAGCGAATGTGATGAGAGTTGCGAGAGTCAGTGGGGTCTGAAGAGTCCCAGTTCTCATATGCATCAGGTGCATCTAATGGACTAGATGGGTCGGATGCACCGGAGGGATCAGAGGTAAAGAAGCTATTCACTACTCAACGGTACCCTGTAAACCGGCTTCGGCTGAACCTTGTCGGAATGCCGAATATTATTGGAATGGCTCTCCAGGGGTAGACAAGAGTAGATGTGGTGCCCTTAACACTTATTTTTCTCCGATGTGTATGTAACAGCCAATTCGGATCAATCAATATAGTGGCTTTCTGTTTCTAGTTTTCGCCTCTCGTGTATTTTCGGTGATCTTAATCTTTGGTCTAAACTAAGCAAGGTTTGACTTATCCATGAACGGAAAATGCCTTTTATCTGTCCCCTATATGCTAGCTCTTAACTAGATACCTCGTAATATAGCTTTTGCCATACCCAGATATATAAGGTCACGCCGGCACTCCGATCCCGCTCTGAATCTCTGGAAGGAACTTGAGAGTTATATTATAAACAATCCAGGAGGTGGGAAGCCAGCCACTTAGGATTTTTAAGCCAGATTTTGACAGACTGTTTGCCTCCTAAAAATGAGGCTATCTCACTGATACGGATACCTCGGCATCTTTTTGAACGTCATCCACAATATTGTCTGTTTACTGAAGAAAATCTAATTCGAGTGGAGGCCAAAATGTCTGCTCCGGGGGAGACACCGGACCAATAATCAGGGATCATAAGATGTTCAGTTCGGTTCACGATTTAAAAATGGATGCAAAAGCCGGACTTTGCAGGATCCTTTCTCGGCCCTGGAGGCGTCTAGGTCTTTGTTTTGCCGACACTAAGGGGTCCAAGTTACCAGATCAGGGTTAGCGGTATAACACTTGCCTTCACTAGTCGGTTTGAGTATAATTATTGACCAATAGAAGAAAGGGTTTACCCCAACCGCATTATCCGAAACCGCTTTAGACCGAGAAGATGCTTATGCAGCGTGACCAGGAATCATGAAAGGGTCCCTGGGGTAAATTATTATTTGGGGGCTCTAATTTCCGAGATTCCCCTCCTCTTTTTCTCTACCTTTGTCGCTCCTTTGACCGTGTTGAACCACTTTCGTTAATAAATAATACAACATGCGCGTTCAGTCTTTCGCTCTCCTAGTCGGCGCGACCGCCGCCGTCGCCGCTGAGACCGTCACTCTCTTCCTGCCTGGATTCGACGAGCAGAAAATCGACGGCAAGGTCATTGGCTCTGTATGTACAATTCTAACCCTCACAATAAGCAACACAAACTAATTCGTCCCCTCCAGAGCGGCTCAATGACCAGTTATGCTATCAACTGCGCCCCGGGCACAGAGTCTGACGACTGTGGTCTCCCACCCAACGGCATGACCGTCATCCAGGGCTCCTCGAGCGTCATTCTTTCCTATGACATGTCCTCCATGTGAGTATCCAGCCCTACAAGCAGATCACCGCCCCATAAAATGCTGATCCTTTCCTATCACAGGATCATATCTGAGAACTGCAAGTTCGATTCCTCAACGGCCAGTTGCTCCGCTAGCGTGAACGAGGGCGGACTTACCACTACATGGGCATCTGTTATCCCTATTACCTCAATCCCCGGCGGCGCTCTGATGGCTGTTACTGTCACCGCTACTGAGACCGGTGCTTCCGCTACTACCGGTGCTTCGGTCTCAGCTTCTACTGCCGTTTCTACTGGCTCATCTAGTTTGACTACCTCTGCTTCTACGTCTGGAAGCACCGCTACCGGTACTAACACTGCCGGTTCTTCCGATAGCAGCAGCGCTGCTGCTACCAGCCACTCTGGAACTGGTAATGCCGCTATGCCTATGGTTACTGGCAACGCGCGCTGGGCTGCTGGCGGTGTTGCTGCTGCCTTGGCCCTCGCTGCTATCTGATAAATTGGATATACTTCCGCATTTGGTGCCGCCACTGTTCATGCCGATGTGCCATGTTGATATCTAATTTAGCTTGTATAATATAATATAAAATACACCTGATGATCTTGGTCTGCGTGAATCTGTTCATAATCTATTTCTGGCGATGAGGTATGTAGTTCGGGTTTACATCGCATTAATCCGACCTTGAATGTATGTGCGATAAACACTATCTATCCCCTCTAGATATTTCTTTCGTATTATTGACAGACATTTAGGACTTGCGGTACATGACTCCAGCGCCAGTGTAAGGCCTACGTGGCTACGTAGCCGTCATCCGAAAAAAGGAGGAAGAAGATATCTCTTATTTGTCCGTGGGCTTTGGCGCACGTGACGCCAAGACCGACCACGGTGAGCGAGCGGCCGTTTCTGGCCTCCCATTCACCGTGTCATTCTTAATTGTAGTACAGTATTACGGAAAGACATTTTTCCTTATTTAATTCCTAGTCAAGATATACCTTTATGTCTAACCACCTATACATGTGTCGTTCTAGGTCCTAAGGGTCTAATATAGTTCGCGTACGATCAACGATATACCTTATCTTAGCGTAGAAACGCTTCTACAGACTAATGCTAACCTCGCTCTACATTCTCCCGTATACTTTATAATCAGTGCTACTTAGGGCTCACTTGCATCTAAAGCCTTCAACTAATCTCTTGGCGCAAAGAATTATGAATTAGTTTATTAGCACTAAACTGTGGATAGATACGAGGTATGATTAGCTTATGATCTATATGCTTTAGATACTAATAATGTGATAGAGCTAAGAGATCTTTTCGTCCCTCCAATCTTCTCGATAAGAAGGCAGTTTAGTTGCCTCCTATGGAGTGTGCTAGATCTACCGGACGAAATGCACACACCAGTCTACCCGAGATACTTCTCCACTATCTAGCAGACATTATGAACCGCTTTACTGTCTACGATGGAAAACAACATATTAGAAAGCGTTTGGTTGAATTTGGCACTTTCCACTGAAATAACAATGGAAATCACCAGAGACATTATCAAGATCAGCCCATTTCATGCACGGCCACATCGTCAGTCCAGAGACATGTGAAGACCCTTTGTCAGCCCAGAAGAGCATTAAGAGCCTGGGATCACTTCCTCTTTTCGAGTCCGTCAGTCATGCGTGCACAGCGATATCCCCCGATAAATGGCATTGGCACAAATTTCAAAAATCAGAAAATCAAAGAGAAGCAACAATTAAAGGTAGAAGTTGATAAAGAGCATGGCACCATGTATGACGCTCCACGTTTCACCATCTTGGATACCGTGAGGCAGTCCGAAAAGGTCAACAACCGGAAGTCTCACATGGCGCGGAAGAAAAGGGACGAAGCTAAAGAATATGTTGTGGTTGCTTTGATGACAGTCTCCAGGTCCCTGTTCTTGTTGAATTGTGTGGTTTTCTACCAGCCGTCATCCGCGGCTTGAGGAGACTCGGCATTGTGGCCAGAGAAATCGGCGCTCTCGTCAGCAAAGCTGCCACGAAGTGGAGTCCCGGAGGGCGAGTGGTGAGCATAATCATCCTCTCCAGAGTCCTTGGGTGGCTGGGTGCAGCGGCGGTTGGTGTGTCCCACTGAGGTATCATTAGCTGGATCCAATAATCATAATCATACGTATGATTGACTGACTCTCTCCACAGTTATTGCACTGAACCTTGGACCAGTCCTTAGGCTGGTCACAGTCACGAGAGAAGTGGCCCACTAAAAATGGGGATTGTCAGTTCTGCTAACATGGAATCACGACCGGGAGGCTGGAGAGTTTCCAGCTCGGTCTAACTCACCCTGTTCACAGTTGCGGCAAGTGATAGTCGACGGGTCGCGAGGTTCGCTACATTCACGCGCCATGTGGTCCTCCGAACTGTATACAAGTTACAATCAACTTCTTCCTGATCTGTGACGAGCCGAATACTTACCCGCAGTTGCGACAGGTGCGAGGGCCTCCACCAGTAGGGCAGTCCTTTGCAAAGTGGCCAACTTGACCAACTCCGTTAGCGTCTCCGACAATATATCAGAAGCAGGTTCCCATACCTTCGTTGCACTTGCGGCATTCAACGGTTGCAGCAGATTGAGGCTCGGGGCAGTCAGCTGCCTGGTGGTCTCCAGCACTTCAGCAAGTCAGCATTTTCACTTTCAAGCTTTTTGGAAACAGAAGTGACATACCCGCAATTGCGACATCCATGTTTGTGCTTGCGCTTCTGAGGGCAGTCACGGACACGATGTCCAACCTCCTCGCAGTTGTTGCACTTGATTTCGACACGTTCTGGGTTCTCATTGCGCTCCGCTTTGCAGTTTTTGGCAATGTGGCCCAATTCTAAAATGCACAGTTAGCAGATCTTCGACCCCTGAAGCAAGAGCCAGAACTTACCATCGCAGTTGTTGCACTTGGGAATCTTGCGTTCGTAGGGCAATCCAGCGTTCCCAAGACGTTCGATATTTTCTTCGGGGGTCTCAGGCCAGCGGTCACGAAGGCGACCACGCGAAGCCTTGGGGCTATAGTAAAAGCCCACCTGGAACTCACGGTCCAGAACACCCTGGAGGTCTATCAGGCTCATGACAACGTCGACTTCGGCTTGCTATGATTGAAAACATGTGAGTCATTGATAGTTAGGGCACGTGAAGCAATTCACATACCAAAGCAATGATGAAGATGTTGAAGTCATCCTCACGCATCTTGTTCTCAATATCGAGGAAAGTGGCATCGGGAACAGCCTTGGAATAAACCTTGAGAGCCTGAAGTGGGATGAGCCAAAGTCAGTCATTGCCGAGCGTGGCCTCACTCACGTCGCGGAAGTCCTCAAGATCCTTTTCATCGCTAGCAGTCTTCATGCGAGCCCAGGCCTCCTCAGGAAGCAAGTCGGCAACGAGGTTCAAGTCAAACTTGCGGTTGGATTTGCAATCAATTGTCTTGTGACCTTCGAGGCAGCAATTCTTGCAAACATCGGGTAGACGATCAGGGCACTCAGCCGCAGGGTGGCCCTCCTTCTCGCAAATACGGCAAGTACCAGTGAAGACACGAGGGTTGGGGCAGTCGGCCTTGGAGTGTCTGTGCAAATCAGCGTGATCAGCATACTGAAGATCAGAATACTCGAAAGCAACTCACCCTTCTTCGCCGCAGTTGAAGCAAGCTCCCATCGCCTTACGGGGTTCGGGGCACTCGGCCTTGCCATGGCTGAATATTGTGACGATCGCCATGTTAGCAGTGAGACATGGACATGGAAATTAACTGCAACATACCCTTCTTCGCCGCAGTTGAAGCAAGCTCCCATGCCCTTGCGGGGCTCGGGACAATCGGCCTTGTTGTGGCTAAAGGGTAAGGGTCATAATGTTAGCATAATGAGATATGTACATGGAAGTCAACAACGACATACCCTTCCTGACCACAGTTGAAGCAGGCGCGGTTCTCGCCTTGGTCGCCATAATTATTGAAATCACCACCGAAGGCGTTGCCCTGGCTGGAGTTGCGCTGATAGGTGCTGCAAGTAGAGATTTGCTCGTTAGACATCACAGTGGGATATCAAGACAGCAGGACAACTTACTTTGCACCTTTGGATCTCAGAGGGGTGCCGTCGCTGGGGCACTGGCGAGTCATATGGCCCGACTCGCCACAGCTTGTCGGAGTGAGTGACTGATATCCTCAGAATTCTTCCGAAGACAGAGAACTTACTTGCCACAGGCAAAGGTATCATCGCCGGCTTCAGGCGGGCAGCCATCATCCCAGCCAGACATGATGGATGGTTGCTATCTTCGAGTCAGTCAGGGTGTTGTGGTTGACCGGAGGGAGAGAAGAGTGTGAAGTGGCAGGCAGGGAAGAAAGAAAAAGACGGGCAGAGTGATCATAAAATGTCCATATTTCACCGAGATCACGGCAAGAGACGTGAGCAAGCGCTGCGTTCTGAATGGCACTTACCGAAGTTGATTCTGAAACGAAGATTGAAGGAACAGGCTAAGAAAATAACCCGGGAGGGGAAGAGAGAAGGAAGAAGAAGGAAGTGAAAAGCAGAGGAGAAATAGAAATGACAAGAAGCAGGAGGCAGGAGGAAGGAGTGGTCAACCTGCCTGAACAGGCAACTTCCGGGCAGCCTCATTTTCGAACACAACAACTCGTCAAGTTGCTAAACTTTCCTAGTTGGATACTGGCAATAGCTGCACGATAGTGAGATACTTCATATATTCCTAAAGTTCATCTATCCTTCGCCTACTTTCGAATATAACAACTCGTCAATTTACTAGACTCCCTAGTTAATACCGAGAATAGCTGTTCGATAGTGAGCTCTATATATTCCTGAAGTTCATCAATCAATCAATCAAAGTTCTATTAACCTGTTAGAACTAACTAGCATCGTAATGGCTATGCAGGCACTTCTTTCAAATGAAGCAAGAACTCGTAATCCGTACCTGATCATGCTCCAATGCAAAGCCAAGGCTGATCCTCAAAGAGTGGAAGAACCACACTAAGTCCAGAAACTCAAAAAAACCCGTAAACCCCATAAAGCCCGTAGTACAAATGAAATGCAAAGAATGCGTGGAATGCACCATCCACCTCTCCGTGTCTCACTTCCTCACCTCCGTAAATCTCCTCGGTTCTCATTGCAGTGAAGTTCATCTGTCCTTCATTTTCAAATGTAATAACTCGCCGATTTGCTAGGCTTCTCTACTTGCATACTGACAATAGCTGTTTGACAGTGAGATACTCCATACATTCCTAGAGCTCGGCTGTCCTTCACCTCTTTTCAGGTGTCCAGTGATACCTAGTACTTACGAAACCACAGCCGTCTTCTTTTGTTAGACGTGCGCACTGCAAAATCGTCAAAGCGCGTGACGTTCAGATGTCTTGGGAAAGAATTCATGTATTTCAAATAATGGCCAAGATACTCCATTATAGATACAGCACAAGAGTACATAAGAACCAAAGCATGGATACTCAGTCCAGTCACCCTATCCGCATTACCGGAATAGCCTGCCCAGCAGGCCACCAGCGATGTTGTTGACGATACCACCACCCAGAGCGGAGTTGGCGTAGTTCGAGGCCTGACCAAACTTGTCACAGCGAGAGAAAGCCATAGTGTTGGTGATTGTCAGGATCAAGGCAATAACTAAGCACAGTCAATATCCAGTGCTAATCCATTCGAATATAGTGGAACTCACCAATCAGACTCAGCCAGATCACGCTCACCAGTCTCACGATGGCGAGAATCGCAAGACCCACCCATAGAGCTGGTGTGACGTACAAGCTCAACCAGAAGAAACGCTTATCGGTGGCTGTCACGGTCCGGACATTCGGGTCGGAAGACTCAAAGACCCAGTGCGAGTCGCCAGATGTCGTGTCCACTTCGTTCCACCAGCGGAGACCGACCAGTCGGCGTCCGGCAATGTTCTTGAGGTAGTAGAAGTCCGCGGAGAGAAGGAGAAGCGTGAAGATGAAGACGAGGATACTATATGTCTGTTAGTCGGAGCTGAGGAACGGGTTGTCAGTTGCAGGGTCCTTACAAGTCATCGATGAAGAGGAGACCAAACAGGTACATCATTAGCGCGCCTGTTCCTTCTATTAGTCAAGTGTTTCTTGCAGCTCGAGGGGAGCACAAACCGATCCGAATGCCCAAGAAGACAAGTAGCGTGATCGGGTGGGCACTGAGGCGCCAGTTCAATTCGCCTTGGGGGTTTCCTTGATCCATGTTGTACAAAGTGAAGACTCCAATGCGATTTGGATATCTGCGACCACTACGCTTGCGCTGGCTTGATCCAGGTATGTTGTTGACTGACGATGATCCCTATGTGGACGAAACACGGGTTGGGGCGGTGTCCATGGGCAGAATAATTGGAGATGACGCTGCCCTGCACGTTCCGGTGGATTAGAGTCAATTGAGAGCTAACTTTAGCCTTGGCACATAAGACATGCTAGAGAAATTGCTTGGGATATGGATATCCTTACTATAAGTAATTAAAATAATACTGCGTCTAGTTGCCTATATCCAGAGTTCATATATATCATGGCTTCTCACAGCTATATTGATATCATCATCCGACGCAGCGAACAAGAGAAGCACATTAACGATTGGACACAAGGATTAAAAGTGAGAAACATTCAAATTTAGGAGAAAAAGAAATGCATATAGATCGGCGAAACCCAGCTCCGCGGCTCTACGGATAGCCGAGTCGGCTTCTTTACGGAGATAACCTCATAAATACCTCCACCCCCTCAACATTTCTCTAGACAGAGCATTCACGAGCCCATACTTGGATAATACATACCAGTAAAATTCCCAGGCTACTCAATAATGGCAGCCCGCAACACTCTGCGCCGTTCCCTCCTCTACGGTAAGCTCCCAAGCTATCTCTTCCCCGCATTTGGCAAGCTCCAAAAGAACAGAAGGACTAACTGCTACGCCAGTCCCGGGATCCTCCCAGCGCTTCCTCGACAAGTCGCGCTCCCTCACAGCCGACTGCGTCGCCTATGACCTCGAAGACAGCGTAACTCCACACATGAAAGCAGAAGCCCGCTCACTAGTGCGGAGAGCAATCGACCAAGCGGCACCCACAGGAATCCGCGAACGCGCCGTTCGAATCAATTCCGTGGATAGTGGACTTGCACTGCACGATCTGACAGAAGTCGTACGTCTACAACCCCTTCCCATCCAACCCCCACACACAAGTATGAGTATGAGTATATATATGCTAACAAACCCATCTCATAGCTCCAATCTCCAAACCTCTCAACAATCGTCATCCCAAAAGTAAACTCCGCCTCAGACCTAACTTTCGTCTCAGACGTGATAAACCACATACTATCCCAACAACCCCAAACCGAAACCCCAAGACCCCCAATTTCCCTCCTGGCCCTAGTTGAATCCGCCAAATCTCTAACAAACCTAACCCAAATCTGCGCCGCAACGCCCCTCCTGCAAGGTCTAATCTTCGCCGCAGAAGACTTCGCCCTAGACCTAAGTATAACGCGCACACCATCACTGCGTGAATTCCTCTTCGCGCGCTCAGCAATCGCAACAGCAGCGCGCGCGGCCGAACTCACCTCGACCATCGACCTCGTGTGCACGGCGTTCAAGTCTGAGAGCGGTGATGGGAAGCCGCCTGCTGTGCTTCGGGAGGAATGTCTTGATGGGCGGCGGCTTGGGTTTAATGGGAAGCAATGTATTCATCCTAGTCAGGTGAAGGTTGCGGATGAGGTTTTTGGGCCGGATGCTATTGAGATGGAGTGGGCTGTTAGAGTTGTTGTTGCCGACGAGAAGGCTGCGAAGGCTGGACGGGGCGCTTGGACGCTTGATGGGAAGATGATTGATGTTCCTGTTGCTATGAAGGCTAAGGCTATTGTTAGGAAGGCCGAGGAGTGTGGGGTTAATGTTGTGGAGTTGAGGGCGAAGTGGGAGCATCAAGAGCCTGAGTAGGGTTGAGTGAGTTTGTTCATATATTATGCATGATATACTGTTTTGATATGGCATCGCTGAGCTTAGGATGTGCAAGATTGAGTAGAGAGAACTATCTCGATAAATTGCATTTATTTTCCTTTTTCCCATTGTTGCTGATAGAGGCAAGCTAAAGCGATTTGAGCATGCAATGCTTGACAGAAGTGGCCAGCAAGATACCCGCCAATTCATACTTCCAACTTGTTCTGCCTGCTTGGTTCAGCCATCTAATCAAAGGTTCATTTGAATATCCAGAAAGTTCTTGATTTTGATTAGAGAAAGATTGGTACTGATGGGTATCATGCCGCTTTGACGCATCGAGTCGAATGGCATGCCAGGCCATCGATCTTAAGTTTCTATGTCTTCGCGCTTGAGTAATTGAATCTTGCCCATGGCCAGGGCGGGAGGATCTCCGCCAGCGTTTGCCTCCGATTCTTCCCTGGCAAGATCTTTGGCCAGCGACTTGTCATAGCTGGTGGGATCTATGCCGAGGATGCCTCCGACATAACCGCCTCGTTCACCGGGCACGCTGAATTCCCGGAAGAGGTACCGCCACTCGTTCAGCCATGCTTTGACGGCCTTGCCGATTTTATCTTTGCCGTTCTTTGAATGGTGCCCTGTGCCTGTGATGGCATACACTACTCGAAGACCCTCTCTTGCGTGTTTGAGGAGGATCTTCTCGAGGTATTCGATGGCTTCCTCTGGATGGAGACCATGCAGGTCAACATAAAGTTCCTCGGAAGATCCATCTAGGCCGTTGTGCGTGAGATGCGAGTTGCGCTCTTCGTAAAGCTGCCGTGCAGCCTCTCGATGGCATCTACGCATCGCATCATTCTCTGCCTGGCCTCGTAGCGACAAGGCTTTGGCAGCTCGTGCATCGTTTCTGTTCCATGCTTGGGCAGCGCTAGTAAACGTCAGTTAAGACCCGGGAAAAACAGAATTGGCGAAAGCTCACCTCTGAAGGAACTTGTTTCGCACAGTGCCATGGCGAATTGCCTCTGTTCGGTACTTGATATATTGCTGATTGGCCCGACTCCCTGTCTCAAGCCAGGGGATGTTCTGTGGAGGTAGAATCGACTGAGCTGCGGCGCTGCTCTCACGGCCCTTTGGGTCTTTGCTTCTGTTGCCGGATTTCTTCCCCGGAGCAGGAGAGGGAGTCATTCGAACAACGTCAGCTAAAGATGAAGGAGTGTTTTCTTTGCTCGAGTTAGCCTCGCGGTTGTGGCCTCCTCGCTTGCCATGGTGTTTCTTTCCAGTGTTCTTTGCACTGCCTGCGGCAAGCGTTGGGAAGGCATCTGGGTCGTCTACAGATGGAGCTGCGGGATTCAATTCCCGGTGCTGATGACGGCTATTTGGACGAGAGTTAGGGCGACCAAGGTGAGTTGCGCTTCCAGTTCGTCTACCCATTCCGGGATGTAAGCCTGGAGGAGCATATTTGCTCCCTTGGTAAGCAGAAAGATGGCCAGGGTATCTGCCGATATACTGGTTTGCCCACTGATCACCTGGATCTGAGGGTCCCAGAGGCGGAAATGCATCAGAGCCGCTGTCTACCTGGAATGGTGAGCCATTTAGTGGCGAATTTGGCCGACTGCCATCTGTGACGCTGAGATTGGTGATGAGCGCCGAAGGATCGTGCGAAAAGGGACAGCCGTCACCAGCTAGACAGTTTCCCATGACCCAATACCTAATAATGTTAGTTCAAGAAACAATCATTCTCTCTCCAAAACTTACTTGCACACATGAGTGGTCAAGTCATGACTGAACCGACAATCTGCCCGAAGGCATTGCCCAGTAGACAGCCAGTACTTACAGACCACAGGGCTGCGACTACTACCTACTGGAGTGACTGGACGCACTTGCTCCATCGTCATAGACTTGCCAACCAAGACACGACCGTCATCATGTTGCTTTGCGATTGCTTCAGTCTCCAGATCTTGTGAAAGAGACGCAATGGTGGCCCCGAGATCATAACTGTTGGCTTCCAAGGCCGCTTCGATTTCATCGTTTGATCGCTTGTCGCCCAGCACCGTGCGCAGGATATCATGTGGGCTCATATCGGGCACAAACTCGACCGCAGTGGCACTGAGAGCCCCAGGCGTGCTGATACCACCCGCGGACGACGTCGTGCTGTTGGCATCATCAGCAACTAGCCAGTCGATATTGCTATCGCTCCCGAGATCTCCATAGAAGTCGGAAATCTGACTCTGGTCCGAAAATTCGTAGGCATTTAGATTTGGCGAATGAGGTATGGGCTGCGCAAGAGCAAGCCTGGGTGAGGGTCGCGGGGAGGTAAACGGAGAAACGGTTGAGGAGAGCGGGGGCCGCGCAAATGCCCCGCGCGAGCTTTGCACCCACGAGGTACTCCCGGGGCTTGTTCCGAGGTTTGAATGGGGGGACAACGGTGTCGATGATCGAGCCATCTGCCATGGCGCAGGCGATGAGCGGCGAATCACTGTATGCCGAGGCGGAGGGGATGAGTCTGGCTGGTTGCGGTTCCGATGCCGCCAGAGGATGTCCAATACCGCGTTCTCCAAGGGCGGACCTGACAGTGTTGTGTTTGCGCGCAAGAAGTCCTCCACCTTTTCCACCTGCTCTTCTTCATCTAAATCCAGATCCTGGAGGATTGGGAGACATTTCTCCAGTAGCTCGTCGGAGACCATGGCGTATGTTGTGCTGATGCGAGCCAAGGAGATCGAGCAAGCCGGGACACCAAGCGGGGGAGATCCTGGAGGGGAGGCACAAAGCGCAGTGCGATTCGATGAGCTTATTGACGAAACCGGGATAGAATGTCAGAGGCACAGCCCCATACTCTGATAAGCTGACTTTGTTGTGAAGTTGATAAGGGGGTTATTGGGCTGACGAGTCGCGAAAGGGATATAAGCCGATGTCAGGAATTACATCGCATCGCGACCAACTGATCTCCGAAAGCGATGGAATGGAGTTGGGCGTGAATGTGCAGACGTGGCTGAAATACAAACAAAGGAGGGGGGAAAGTGAGGGCGGAGAAAGGGATCAACACTGGGGATACACCTGAGCTTAGCTCCGTACGTAGGGAGCTTCAACCTCTTCACTAAGCCACGCTATGAACATAAATTATCCCTAATATGATATGTTTATCAAATTAGCAGAAATTAACGTTAATATCTTCATTAGCTGTTAATAAATTCTGCATAGGTGTCATATTGCCACCGTTTCAAGTAGGGACCTAACATAGGTCGATGATAGGACTCAACTTACCCAAGATCATTGAACCTGACCGTATAAACATGTTAGTACTCTGTCGAAGCCCCTGAAAATAACTAAATTGATACAACAGAGCCTACTCTAAGTATTTACGAGCTTACAAATCTGAATCATTATGGATACTGCCAGCAGAAACTATGGACCCTTGAGTTGGAAATTGCTCAGGGAGATCGAACAAAGGAGGCAGTAAGAAAACTAGGAAAGCAACACGGCATAACTTGGTCATGTGGTAATGTTAGAGAGAGACATATGAAAGACAACACAAAATCCAAGGTAAAAACGACACATGTAATCCTGTGGCCTGGGACAGAGCGTAGGGTATTCCTAATTAGGAGGGCGGTAAATATATAGATTGGGCGGTGTGGGGCCTCGGGGATACTTCGAGATGTCGATCAGGGTAAACACCCGAGTCCGACGGATCCGCTTGTAATCTGGACTTGAACTTTCTGCCTTGGCTTTTCCTCCATCTTCTCTTCATGTTCGGTCTCAGTATCAGGGCCTTATAACGCCCTTTTCTTTGTTGGGTCTTCTGGATTGTGCCGATCACCTAGTTCCCCTCCTCGGATTCGATCATCCCGTACCCAGATAATCACCACGCTTCACAATGCCTGCAGACTACCAGTCCACCGTTAGGGCGCTATCTCTGTCACCTTCATCTCCGGATCCTATACCTTCTTCTCCCAGCAGCGATGTTCATCCCCCTTGGAGTCGCGCAGGCAGGCGCAATTCGGGCTGGTCCGATGGTCAGACTAGCACTTGGGGCCAAATTGTCCATCGCGGAACAGAGCTGTATCATCGTATGAACACGATATGGGAAGAAATGACTTTGCCGAAGAAGATTGCCACCGTTATCGCATCCTTGTTCATCGGCGCATCTGGTATCGCCTTCTTGGTGTTATCAGGGAAGCTGTTCGTCTGGCTTGGCTCGGTCGCGGAAGAGTGGGAGAAATCTTGGCTCGCGGCCTTCATTCTATGGCTATGTGTCTTTTTTGTCTCATTCCCGCCGCTCGTGGGTTGGTCTACTTTTGGAACAGCAGCTGGTTTAATCTTTGGTGTATGGAAAGGGTAAGAGACGCTCTTTTCAATGTAGTGAATACAGGCTGACTTGCGATTTCTATAGATGGCTGATCTACGCTTCCGCAACGATTCTCGGATCAACTGTCTCATTTTATGTTTCGCGAACGATTCTCTCTGGATTTGTCAATCGCCTTATGGAACGTGACAAGAGATTTGCCGCGCTGTCCCTGACACTGAAGTATGATGGACTTAAACTCCTTTGCATGATTCGTTTATGTCCACTGCCATATTCAATCTGCAATGGAGCTGTGTCCACATTTCCTACAGTGCAGCCATTGATGTACGGGCTTGCGACGGCAATCATCTCCCCCAAGTTGTTGGTTCCGACGTTCATCGGAAGTCGCATTCGTTTACTCTCTGAGAAGGGCGAGCAGATGAGCGCGGGATCGAAGGCCGTAAATATCTGCAGTATTATCGTAACAGTCAGTATTGGAATATTTACCGGCTGGTACATATACCAAAGGTTTGCACCCATTCATCTGTTATACCCGGGACCCATGCTGACTCTCTTCTCTTTTTAGAACTTTGGCTCGCGCAAAGGAGCTCGAAGCCAAGGAGCGTGAAGAGATTCGAGGATCTCTTGAGGCTGATCATGCAGCCCATCGCCCTCACCACGCTTTCTCTGAGGACCCAGCTGTGAACAAAGCGGCCACTATCCTTGCGCGCGATGAGGAAGAACGCATTGGATTCACCGATGATGACAATGTTGATTTGGTCCTGGGTGACGACAGTGACAGTGATCAACCGGGTTGGAAGAACGCGAACAGGCGGTCATACCACGACGAGTTCACTGATAATGACTCGGATGGATTTGCGGAAGGAGACGGCGAGACTTATGGTCTGCACACTCATGTCCGACCTAGCTGAACATTAGTAAAGAAATAAATGGTATAGAATGAAGCATGTCCGTTGTAAAGTGTGAAGTTGAAGTGCGGCGCCGGACTGAGAAATACGCCCCGCTCCCGAGTCAAGCCAGGGTTTTCTACTCTGTCATCACTGCGCTTCACCAGGTCTCGCGATTCAATTCATACAAGTTGACGTTTATAATACCGTTTGATGGGCTTCGGTCCTTCTCGTTCTCTGGGTAGGGTTTGTGGGAAGGGGTAAATGTATGTCCGTGCTTCGACCTTCATTGCAATACCTCCATACCTCCATACCTCCATACCTTCGTACCTCGCAGCCCACGTTGATTGTACAATCTAATGCAATTCTAGTATCCTCGTTCAGCCCTACCAGTGCACCTCCGGCTTGCGCGATCGTTTTCCTTTGCGAACCGCATCATGGGTGATAGCCTCAACGTATGATAACTACGCAGTCTACGGGATAGGACGGCCCACGAGTTAACAATTGCGCCTTCCGGGCGTGATCTTTTCTTTCTTTCTCTTTTCTTTCTATTTCAATCGTCACACTCCTTTCAAGGCATCGGCATTGCAGATATCCGTGTACGAACATGCATGGTGCGGAGATGCCCTTTCAGCCCGTGGCTGGAATGCCTCCGGGGCAAGATCCATACATGAACCAATATGTTCCAGGTCCTGTTAACAACATTCAAGGCCAAGAAGGTTTTCAATCTAATCATTCATGTTCACAATCATCCGTGAAGCGGCTGCGTCTCATACACAGAACTCTCGAAGCGGATGCTCCATCAATCGGCTGGGGAAACCTGGGACGAATTGATCCAAATATACAGACATTCACATCTGATGGCGCTAATATCGCGGGGTCGGCGGAGAGGCTGTATACTGGAGGCAGTAGCAGCACGCCAAATGATTCGACTACCTCGACCGATGCGACATCTTCATTTGAACCAAAGACATCCATGTCCCCTCCTCCTGTTCCTTTACAATCAATTCCTAGTACCTCAGTTATCTTTGGGCCGAACGTGCTGGAGAGCGGGAAAGTCGATTTATCCAAATGTCGACCTCGAGCTTCAATTCCTCCCAAGATCCCTTCTTCGGTGTATGGCAGGCAATGCATTCAAGCAGCTTATGCATCTCGGCTCAATCCTTATGCCCTTCATCGAAAGGAACAAGAATTTTTACAAGACCACCTTTGTCACGTTCACGTCACAATTTACCTCAACCTACGAAATGGAATACTGCTACTGTGGGGAAGAAATCCCATGGTGGCTGTTACAAGGGAAGAAGCTCTCGGATGTGCAAAAGACTATCGATGGATGAATCTGGCATCATTTGCTTACGACTGGCTTGTTCGGAATGGCTACATCAACTTCGGCTGCGTGGAGGCACCGTTGTCCCCAGTGAAGCCCAAGCGCGGAAGACGAAAGGAGGGACCGACAATTGTTGTAATCGGCGCTGGAGTGTCTGGCTTGGGATGTGCACGCCAGCTGCAAAGTCTATTCCGCCAATATCGGAATGAAAATGCATTACCTCGGGTCATTGTTCTCGAGGGACGTCGCAGAGTTGGCGGCCGCATATACTCACATCCCTTGCACAGTCTCGAATCCAAAACTTTGCCTGAGGGGTTGGTTCCCAAGGCAGAGATGGGCGCGCAAATCATCGTTGGTTTCGATCACGGCAACCCACTGGACGCGATTGTTCGTGGCCAGCTGGCTCTTCACTACCACAAGATACGAGATGTTTCAACAATCTATGATACCGACGGATCACCCGTGGATGAAGTCCAAGATGCAATGGCAGAGAAGCTTTACAATGATGTACTGGAACGGACCGGAGTCTACCGCCGCAAGGCAGTGATCGTGCCAACTGCCGAGGGCGATCGAGACATGATTGATACTGGTCGCGAGTCGGTAGTGGATGACGGACTCACTGTTCGACAATGGGAAGAGGCAAGGGCAGCCGGAACGACTGATCTCCTGGTACCTACCAAGCGAGTTCGTCGCGGGTTAAAACACAAGACTGCGGATATCAGACCAGCCACCGACGCAGCAGCTGATCTTGTGGAGCATTCTGACGAGAATCCAGCGGCTTTGACTTGTCAGCTTACCGGTTGGAATTTGAACCCTGGCTACACTGTGAACGATACAATAGAGCTGGACGAGATTGCCAAGCAGAAGCCTCAGCAGACACTGGGTGCAGTTATGGATGAGGGTATCAAGCAATACGAGCGCATGCTTCCAGTGACACCTAAGGATATGCGCTTGATGAACTGGCATTTCGCTAATCTCGAGTACGCCAATGCATCCAATGTCAATAAGCTCAGTCTTTCAGGTTGGGACCAAGATATCGGAAATGAGTTTGAGGGTGAACATTCACAGGTTGTTGGTGGTTACCAAGAACTACCCTATGGATTGTACATGCTTCCTGAAAAACTCGATGTCCGTACCAACAAGGTTGTCACCGACATCTCCTACAATGAACATGGGTCCGGCAGCAACAAGAACGCGGTCATTCAGTGTGAGGATGGCGAGAACTTCATGGCAGATCACGTTGTATTTTCGGGCTCCCTCGGAGTGCTGAAACGGCAAAACATCAGCTTCCAACCTCCACTTCCAGACTGGAAGCGCGGTGCAATCGACAGACTAGGATTCGGAGTCATGAACAAGGTGATCTTAGTGTTTGAGGAGCCGTTCTGGGACACGAAACGAGACATGTTCGGCCTTCTCCGTGAACCAACCAACCCCGCTAGCATGGTCCAAGAAGACTATGCGGCAAACCGAGGCCGCTTCTATATGTTCTGGAATGTCATGAAGACCACGGGTCTTCCAGTCTTGATCGCTCTCATGACCGGTGACGCAGCTCACCTGGCAGAGTCCACACCAGACGAAGAGATAGTCAGCGAGGTTACTAGCCAACTTCGAAACGTCTTTACGCACACCATTGTGCCCGATCCCCTCGAGACAATTGTCACCCGCTGGGGCCAAGATCCCTTCACATACGGCAGTTATTCCTACGTAGCTGCAGCCGCCTTCCCAGACGACTACGACTTAATGGCCAAATCAATCGGCAACCTCCACTTCGCCGGAGAAGCCACCTGCGGCACGCACCCAGCCACCGTCCACGGAGCCTTCCTATCAGGAATCCGCGCTGCCTCAGAAATCGTCGAGTCAGTAGCAGGACCAATCGAAATGGCGCACCCACTGGTCCCAGACAAGAATGACAAAACAAAGTTCACGCGCGGCAAATCCTCAACACCAAATGGTACAACGACCAGAAAAAGAAAAGGAAGCTCATCAATCTCCTCCTCAACCGAAACACCCTCCACCGCAACAACAACCCAACCCAAACCCTCAACTTCATCCTCCAGAAAACCAATCTCAACGGAAAAATCCCGCAAAGACGCTTACGACCAGGCCCTTTGGATAAACATCTACTCAGAACTAGGGCCCGCCCCTCCGCGCCCCACAAAATCAGGCCTGAACCCCTTCCTCTTCTACCAAAAGGACTACTGGACCCAATGCCGCGACGCGTGCGACCAAGCCCGGCGCACATCATCCAACAACCCAAACGCAAAGGCTCCCCGTGACGAGATCCGCGCTGCGCTGGGCCAGATGTGGCGTACTGCCAGTCCGGATATTAGACAGCCGTATCTGGATAAGGTGGAGGGGAATCGGCGTGACAATGCTGAGGCGTGGGAGAGTTGGAAGGTTACCGTTGCTGAATGGGAGCGTAAGACTTTTGAGGTTAAGGATCGGTGGTGTGCGCTGAATCCGTTTGATACTTGGGTTATGCCTGAGGATCTGAGTGAGGGGGTGGGGTGTCTGTTCCTGTTCTTGCACCTGCATTTCCAATTGATTCTGGTGCTAGTAGTAGTGCTGGTGGACGTTAGTTGGTTCTTGCTTTTTGTTTCTTTTTCTTATGCTATCTTCGGGGGTGCTCTATTTAGACTGGGGAGTTAGGTGTTTGAGTATGCTAGCTCCTAGGTGGAGACTCATTGTGACAGTATCGATTTAGCCTTGACGTCAATGAATTAGAAATGTTTAAGTAGTTACTATCACTTGATTTCGTACCGTACATCTGAGATGTGCTACTGTAGGAAATACGAAATGATAAGCGAAGGGAGATATTCTTCATCTATATCTATCTCTGGATGATAAACGACCGTTTTGTTTCCCGCTCCAACATGAGATATGCGCAAAGAACGGAGGTAAAAAAGGCAACAGTAAGATTAACAGAGTGTAAATCCCATCATCTATTCAAGATCAAAGTGTATTGTGCAAGGGGAATTTAATATGAAAGTATCGCATAACAGATGAGTCTAGAAGAAGAAAAAAACCTCGATAATGAAGCTGATGAATCATGGTTCATGTATCATGACAATGGAAGGGAGGGAGGAAAGCTGAAACGGAGGATGTAGGTGTATAGTTAGGGTGTTTAAAGCAGAGGGTTGGACTTGTACTCGGCGGGAGCATCGGCGGGGGCCTTGGTCTCCACGGCGGGGGCGTGAGTCTCGGACTCCGAGAGGAACTTCTCGGCTTCCAGAGCGGCGACACAGCCGGATCCTGTAGAACTAGTTAGCAAATTGCATTTCCAGAGAATGTTAAAGGATATAACTTACCGGCACTGGTGATGGCCTGGCGGTAACGCTTGTCCTGGACATCACCACAAGCGAAGACACCCTCCACGCTGGTGAAGCTGGTGCCGGGCTGGGTGACAACGTATCCATCCTCGTCGAGGTTGAGCTGGCCCTTGACGAGGGCGTTGGCGGGGTCGTGGCCAACAGCGTAGAACAAACCATTAGCATCAACGACCTCCTCCTTATTCGAGATGACGTCCTTAACACGGAGGTGGGTCATGAGGCCGTTAGGCTTGTTCTCACCGAGGACCTCAGTGGCAACGGTGTTAAAGCGAACAGTACACTTGGGGTGAGCGAGCAGACGCTCAGCCATAACCTTGGAAGCACGGAGCTTGTCCTTGCGGACGAGGACGGTCACGTTGCTACCGTACTTGGCCAGGAACATGGCCTCCTCAGCGGCGGAGTCACCACCACCAATAACGTACAGGGGCTTGTTACGGAAGATAGGAACAGCGCCATCGCAGACAGCACAGGCGCTGATTCCGTTCTGCCAGTAGGTCTCCTCGCCGGGCAGGTTCAGGCGGCGGGCGTTGGCGCCTGTGGCGATGATGACGGCGTCGGCCGTGCGGGCGGGTGCGTCGTTGGGGCCGTCGCTCCACTCAGTCCACATCTTGAAGGGCCGTTGCGAGAGGTCCAGCTTGGAGATGGTCTCCGTGATGATCTCGGTGCCGAAGCGCTCGGACTGGGCGCGCATGTTGTCCATCAGTTCGGCGCCGCCGATGCCCTTGGGGAATCCGGGAAAGTTCTCGACGTCAGTGGTCGTCGTGAGTTGGCCGCCGGCGGCGGTGCCGTTGGCGAGCATGCCCTCGTAGAGGACGGGCTGGAGCTCGGCGCGGGAAAGGTAGATGGCGGCGGTGTGCGCACCAGGCCCGGAGCCGATAACTGGAGAAAGGATGTTAGATATTTGGAGGATATTGACGGAATGCGGGGCATGGATCAATTGATCTCATCCCTTGACACAGCACTTACTGACTACTTTAGAGTGCACCATTCTGGCGGAGTTTGTGCAATTGACGCGCAACGGCGTCGGTAGAGACTTGGAGAAGACCGAGGCCGAAGGAGGAGATTGTTGATGTAAGGTAGTGGCCGCGGCGGCAGTCAATCCGATAGAACGGAGAGCGGAAGGAAAGCGACGAAAAGTTGAGGAAAACAGCTTGGTGGTTGATCTCGGAAGAGGGAGGGGAGGTTATAATATCTTTTTTTTTCGGAGGGGCAGTGGGGACCAGGATTAGGTGATGAATGATTGATAACCGGGCAATGAGATCAGACTCTGGACCAGTAGACGAATGGATTCTGTGGGCTTCCGAGGTATCCAGACCACGCGAACTGAGTAAAAAGATATGCAATTGGCGAACTCTTGAACTCGGCTTAATCAGGTCTTTGCGTCCAGACTCGGTTTCTAAGCAAGGGGCACGTGAGCGGTCGAGACCGCTGATGTCAGCATCAGCTCACCCCGAGGCCTCGTTTCCGATGCCGTCTATACTTCAGTCACAGAGTACTGATATCTTGATATCTTTAGGTTATTTTACTGTGTGGAGTATACACATTCTGATTAATGTATACTCTGCTGTGAATGCCCAACCTTCGAGTAGTAACTTATAGTATATGGCTGTTCTTATAAAGCATCTAAACTACATCAAATCCAACATAACTTGAAACACACACATGAATTCGGGGAATCATCTAACAAAAGTAACAAAACTCCCCCCCAAGTCATTCAAATCCATACAAAGTCATAAGATAACAAAGAAAAAATGCCACCACAAATGGCCAAGTCAGTATAGTACATTCCAAGGTTAGATCACCCCAAACCACTTCTTCTTCCTGGGACGATCCTGCTCCTGCTCCTGCTCCACCTCATACTCAGGCGAACGCGAATGCTGTGCAGCCATCATATGCGGCGGCAATCGCTGAGGAACCTCGCCCTCAGAATCCTCCTCACTCCCAGGATATCCCTCGTACTGTGGATGACTAGTGACAGCATTGGCGCGGGTATTATTGATAAGGTCGGGGTCCTCGTAATCATCTTGTTCATCGTCATCGCTGAGATTATCTTCAGCGTCGCCGTTAGCACGTTTCTCGGCGTCGCGCTTGTTTCGTCGTGGGAGGAATTTTCGCCAGCCCTTGACGATCTGTGTTGGTGGGGGGTCGTATTCGGTGCCGTTGTAGCGTAGTGCTGGTACGAGTAGTTTATACGGTGCTGTTATGCCGGCTGGGTCTGCTGGGCTGATTTCTAGGTTTAGGGTTATGGCTAGCCCGCCTTCGAGGTTGATGAAGGCGCCTGCGCCATCGTGGCCTGCTTTCGCGGCTTTCTTTGCGGCTTTCTGGCTCAGGTTTGTTGGTCTTCGGTGGAAGGTTCCTGGTCTTGGTGGTGGTGCTGCTGCTGGGGGAAAGTAGCTGTCTCCGCTTTCGACTGGTTGGGAGTGGTTATCCACGCTGGCACGGCGGTTGAAGGCGTCTTCGTCGCCGCGGTTGAAGCTCATTGTTCGTGTGGGTGGTGGTCCGCGGTTCGAGAGTCGTCTGAGAAGACCTGGCTTTCCGGGTCCGGTGGTTCCCTTGTCTCCTCGGCCCAGCGATAGAGTCCGCTGTAGCATGCCAGCACGGGGCTCTGGGGTTTCTGTCATCTCTGACTCGGGCGTATCGGGCGGAGTAGAGCCAGGTTGATACTCGCGGATTGAGCACCAGTTTCGACGAGGGAGGAGCCGCTTGTTGTTTCGAGGCTTGCCATTCACATCTTCGGTGAATATGGGAATGACGTCCTCGTCTGTGTTTGAGTCCATGTGGTGGACTGTGTTCCGCTTGTTCAGCATGTCCGAAATAAGATCAGTTTCGGGGATATCTGCAATGGCAGAGGAGATGACATTTGGCATGTAGCGGTAATCCTGGTCTTTGGCGACATCCAACTTAGGGTTCGAGTAGAACTGCCCAATAGCAGCGAGGTGGACGTCACCACTAAAGAATATCAAGTTAGCTCGTGCATTTCATAATTTGGAGACGGTCAGTCTTACCTTAGAATCGTAACCCGGATTGACTTCTCCGCAGCCAAATCCTGGAGATCCTCGACCAACCAGGTTCTTTCAGACTTCAGATGCTTGCCAGCCCAATGATCATCGAAGACCTCCACATTTCCACCAGATCGATTGACAAGGCCACCAAGAACACCAGACTTGCCAAGGGATTTGCGGCTGTTCATGTAACTCTTGAGCATCGCCACTCGAGGGTAGGCAACAGGAACACTCGAAAGCACGATCAAATGCTTTGTCTCACCCTTCATAATCTCCCTGTGGCACCGATCCCACAACAGATCGCACGTCTCTTCACTGAGGACCTCATTGCTCCGCCGCTCAGTACGGCAGTCAAGACCCAAGAACGCAACACCCCGACCAAGAGACATGAACAGATTCCTGCTCCTCTGCTCAATATATGGACCAGGATGCGCACCAAGAAGCCAACTAGGCTCATCCACCTCCGTCTCATCAGGGACACTGTGATGCTGGAAAAGCAAATAATACTTAAAAGCAATCTTCCCAAGCCCAGAAATAACAGAACTCTGCATGAAATCATCATGATAAGACCCAAACCCTTCAAAGATCTCATGATCATTCCAAATATTAACCATAGGGATCTGAGAGCTGGCCAAAGAAAAGAGACCTTGCGAAAACCACGCAGCGTAGCGCTCAAGATAGAACTGCTCAATTTCAGCACGGAACTCAGGTGTAAACGGCGCACCATATCTCTCAGCAGCATTTTTAATCTTAATCCATTCCTGGAAAAAAGCAGACTCAGTGATAACGGCGTCATTGAAGATCTGATCACCGCCACCAATCATAACATGGAACGGACGGGTCTGGTGCTCGTTCAGGATATCTCGCCACAAAGGATCAGGACCGCAGACGCGATCTGAGTCTGCGGATGGACTGAATCCATTACCACTGTGGAACATTATGTTCATGGATTCTCCTGCGGGAGGGACCCAGAATCCTAGGGCTGGGCCTTGGTTGATGCGGTAGGCGATTCGTTGTTGGGTTGCGCTTAGCTCGACTTCTACGTTGAATCGCCAGAATGTTACATTTCTTGCGGTATCGACGTATAGACGCACCCCCGGGATGTCCCGGTGCAAACCTGCTGTCTCGCCGTCGACAGGATGCATTCGGTTGGATGGGATTGCTTGTTTCATGCCTTCGGTAGTGTAGTCGATCAGACTGGGTGAGAGCTCGTAGATGCCGTCGTCGTTTTCGACGAATGAGAGGTCGACTTGCTCTTCGACATGTTCGACTGGCTTGACGTAAAGGGGCCGTCCGTCCCGGCCGACCTTCATGAGACCGGCGGTTGGGTCGACGTATTCGGGAGCTAGTTGGACTCCGTCCTCGCGACTGATTTCCACTGGTGGAGGGGGAAGAAGGTCCATTGGTTGAGAGAAGAGTCGTAGTGTTGGTGGGGTTTCATAGGAGGAGCGAGAATCTTTGGTCACTATCATTATAGAGCCTCGCCAGAGGTCCTTGTAGATAGGACCGCTGGCCCCATCTATTGGAACTCGATTGATACCAGTGTATCGAAGCAAAGGACCGCAACGCAAGAAGAGACGAGGTTCAAAGCTCTTGTGTCCAGTTACTCCTGCTATTTGTTAGTAAAGTCACTTTATCTCCGGGGTAAGGTACTCAATAAGAAAGTAAGGAATGTTCTTACCTGTCAACTTCTGAGCAGGAGTCTGGTAGTTCTTAGGAAGAGCCCTGCTCTTCCTGCGATCTTTGCTACCACCACCTTCCCACCAAGCCTTACCACGGTCCATATCAACATGTTGGAAGTCAAAGTCTGACGCTTCAAGCCGACCAGGCTGTGCATTCCTCCATTCGAAGATGGGCGGGGGTGTAGGTGGCGGGACGTCAAAGGATACAGATGCCTTCTTCGGCTTGGTCTGTGACTCGGCGCTCTCCTGAGGCGTTTCAGGTGCTGTGAGAAGCTCGTCCGTTCTTTCTGCTCTGAGAGTAGGTGGCATTGGTCGAGGATCTGCTTGGGACATGGAGCGGCTGGGACCCATGCTTTTGGCAGGAGCTGGCTTTGCTGCAGGCCCGCTCACTGTGACTGATCGCCTGGGCGCATTCCCCATCTTCGCTGATGCTGGGATAGCAGCTTCTGCGCGGGCATATTGGGGGTCTTCAAGGCGGCGGATTTCTGCGTACTGAGGAGTTGAAGAGACCGTTCGACTGTGACGCATGGCAGTGCTTCCAGTTTGCCGTGGTGCTGGTGGTGCTGCTGCAGCAGCAGCAGATTCATCGCGCATGGAGTCCTCAACCAGGATATCTCTGTGCTCTCCCCTCCTGCCTGGGCCAGGAACTGGTTTCGTTTCTGGCTGCGGACGTTGTGCTGATGCTTCGCGAGCCACTGCGGCCATTGATTCGGCTTTCTCCTTTTCGGCTTTCTGGCGCGCAATCCGTTCCCGGGCTTTCATCTCTGCTTCTTGTACCCGTGCACGCTTCTCTTCTTTGCTGATTCCGGTCAAGGTCACTTCCAGCTTCTGGAGAGGTGATCGGTCCGATGCCCAATCTTTTCGTACATTCTTGGTCGAACGTGTGGTGTTTGACCGACTCGGAGGGGGACCCAAGCCTTGAGCAGGCGGTGATACTGGCCGCTGGATCTGTGGCATGTCTGCGCTAGAACCTGAGGGATAGTCTTCAGTGGGAAGGTTGCGTGGTGTCGTGGAATTGTCTAGTTCCTCTAAAGCCGATGGAGGGACTGGCTTGCTGGTGGTATAGTTCAGATTTCCCTCGGGATAATCTTGGGATCTTGTTGAAAATGACCTGCCCAATCCCGATGCACCGAGGCCTTTTGTGCTCCTGTGTGATGTGTTTGGGTCCTCTTGCTCCTTGTATTCATAGTTCTCGTCCGAGGGGTTGGCGGCTCTGTTTTTGCGGCTTCCGGGGGCTCTTCGCGCCCCGTTGGCAATGTGAGGAGGATTGGAACCATTCGCCATATCGGGTGATCCGCGCATTGTCGTGGCCATGTTTCGATGCGTGTCTTTGCGCCCAAGACCAAGGCAGCAGTAGGACGATAAGATAGGTGCCAAGTATGAGGTGCAATTGTAAACCCAACTGAGCAAATCTGGTCAACTGTTGGTTGCACAGTTGCGCACGTTAGGAATCGCGGTCTAGGATCAAGATCGCATTTAGTCTGATGCCTGACGCAAGTTACCTCATTGCCCGAGCAGACAGCCAAGTTGGAGGATAGGGAGGTGTGTGAGGTATACACGAAACAACAGTGTATCAGAGAGAGAAGAAAGAGATTTTAAGAACTCGAGACTAACAAGCAAGGTCTATACAATAACCCGGTGGCTGGTGTCCCCAGCCTTCGCGGGGCCGAGCATTACGAGGTCTGATACCTTTACAGTACAGTAATGATTGACGTTAATATATTACTAGTTACTATCTGGTGTCTAACTATAGTTGGTTAGAGAGAAAGTGGTTTATATCGAGACATGTACTGCCTCATACTTCTAGTTGCGGGTGGAGAGTGAAGTTCTATACTTCACCTTCACTATAATCATAGTTAAGGCTTTAGTACAGTAGCTCTGTTTCATGACTCGGCCTGTCATTGTTTCGTTCTACTGACGCAAGGACTTTTAAGCTATTCGAGGTTTGCAGTTGTATTTGGGCCTCTGCTTACAGTACGCCAGCGCTGTGCGGGTGGTACCTACAGTACCTAAGTAAATAGTCAGTAACTTAGTCGACCGAGTTTCTCTTTACTATATAGCTGCCTCCAGGCCTAAGAATTGTCCCACCGGTTTTAGGGGTGAAACACCCGGGGCGACCTTAACTGCGGGAGACGTCGATCGCGTCCGAGACCTTGGACGGGTTTGACGTATGGTACATATACGTAAGCCACTGGCCTGAAGCCCAGTAGAAACCGTGGCCTTTATAGCTTAGCTTGCAGAACAAAGACGTTTCGTGACATATTGGCCCCAAAGAGCGAAGTGGAACACGGTGAATAGGCGTTCAATAAAGATCCCGTGGCCTCTGACGATCCTCCTATTCCTCGAACTCTCCTCAACTCTCACCTCCTTCAACTGTCAACTGCTTTTGCTTTTTGTTAGAGCTTTGTTTTCGTTTCCAATTCGTGTCGCTAAATCATCCCGGTCCGTCCATGGCAACCGCTTGCTAGGTACACCGATACCTCTACCTCGATACCGCCGACCTCCGCAACCCTCCCTTCATCCGATCCATCATGCGCATTGTCGGTGGCATTGCTGCCACCCTGGGACTGGCAGGCGCAGTCTCTGCAAATCTACACCCGCGCTCCCAAGAAACCCGCGACTTCTTCGCCCTTCACCTCGATGGTACCACCTCGCCCTCCCACATCGCCCGAGCTCTCGGGGCTCGCCACGAAGGCCAGATCGGAGAACTCGATGGTCACCACACATTTTCCTTACCACGAGAACAGACTGCAGAGTTCGACACCCTGTTGGACGATTTACGGACTAAGAGGAAGCTCCGGCGGCGTTCTGGCAATGACGTTGGCTCAGATGGGACGAGTGATGACCCCTTAGATGGGGTGTTGTGGTCGCATAAGCTGGCTCCAGCGAGACAACGGCTACAGAAGCGAATCCCGCCAGTTTCAGTGCCTTATCCTTCGCTAGAAAAGAAGTCGGCGGACGCGAAGATTGTTGAGTTCCAGAGCCATGCTATGTCAACTCTGGGGATCAAGGATCCGATCTTCAGGGAACAATGGCATCTTGTTAACACCGTGCAGCCTGGTCATGATCTCAATGTGACTGGGGTGTGGTTGGATGGTATTACTGGTGCTGGAATTGCCACTGCAGTGGTCGATGATGGGCTGGATATGGATAGCAGGGATCTCAAGCCCAACTACTTCGCAGAGGGCTCATTTGATTTCAACGAGGGAACCCCGGAGCCTCGTCCTAGACTATATGACGATAAGCACGGTACTCGATGCTGCGGTGAGATTGCGGCATCAAAGAATGACGTCTGTGGTGTTGGTGTTGCATATGACAGCAAAATCTCAGGTATCCGCATCTTGTCCAAGCCCATCGACGATGTCGACGAAGCGGCGGCTATCAACTACGCCTACCAGAAGAACGATATATATTCCTGTTCATGGGGACCTCCAGATGACGGTGCTACAATGGATGCACCTGGAATCCTGATCAAACGAGCCATGACCAACGGTGTTCAAAAGGGCCGAGATGGAAAGGGCTCAATTTTCGTCTTTGCTGCCGGTAATGGCGCCCAATTCGGGGATAACTGCAATTTTGATGGGTACACCAACAGCATTTACAGTATCACCGTTGGTGCCATTGACCGTGAAGGCAACCACCCGACGTACTCCGAATCATGCTCCGCTCAACTTGTTGTCGCATACAGTAGCGGCTCAGGCGATGCGATTCATACCACCGACGTTGGTTCCAATAAGTGCTACAACGGACACGGTGGTACCTCCGCAGCCGGTCCGCTTGCTGCAGGAAGTGTGGCGCTTGCGCTCAGCGCACGTCCTGAGCTGACGTGGCGTGATCTGCAGTACCTGATGGTTGAGACCGCGATCCCCGTGAGCGAGGACGACAACAGCTGGCAGAAGCTGCCATCTGGTCGCAAGTTCAGCCACGACTGGGGATTCGGAAAGGTCGACACTTATAACTTGGTGCAGCGTGCTCGTACCTGGGACCTTGTGAAGCCACAGGCGTGGTTCACCTCGCCGTGGCTGCGAGTCCACCATGAAATTCCCCAAGGCGACAAGGGTCTTCTCAGCCGTTACACTGTGACTGCGGAGCAGGCCAAGGCGGCCAACATGGCTCAGCTTGAGCATGTCACAGTTACCATGAATGTCAACCACACCCGCCGCGGCGATATCAGCGTTGATCTGCGCAGCCCAGCGGGTATTGTCAGCCACCTGAGTGTTTCCCGCGAAAGCGATAACCACCCGGGTGGTTATGAGGATTGGACTTTTATGTCTGTTGCTCACTGGTATGTGCCTCACCTTTCTACGTGCGATCTGTCTGCTAACTCATTTTTAGGGGTGAATCCGCTGTGGGTGAATGGTCAGTCATTGTGAAAGATGCCAATGTGAACGAATTCTCGGGGACATTCATTGATTGGCGACTCAACCTCTGGGGTGAGGCCGTCGACGGAGCGAAGCAACAGCTCCACCCTCTACCCGATGAACACGACGACGATCATCCTTACGAGGATGCTCATGTGGCTACGACCAGTATCGAGGCAGCACCGACAAAGACTGAAGCGCCTGCCAACCCTGATGATCACCACGACCGGCCCGTGAACACGAAACCGCAACAAACAGGCACAGAGTCGATCACAGAGCCTGTTGAGGACGAAAAGGAGCCCACCAGTACTGGGGAACCCGCCTCTCCAACCTCTACCTCCTCTTCTAATTATTTATCCTCCTATCTGCCTACCTTTGGTGCCTCAAAGCGCACTCAAGTCTGGATCTACGCCTCCTTGGCCATGATCATCGTCTTCTTCATTGGGCTAGGTGTTTACTTCCAGCTCCAGAGAATCAAGCGTCGTCGCACCACTGCCCACGATGATTACGAGTTTGAAATGATCGAAGATGAGGATGAGACGCAACCTATGACTGGATCATATGGTCGGACACAGCGTCGTGGTGGAGAACTGTATAATGCATTTGCCGGTGAAAGTGACGAGGAAATGTTCAGTGATGATGAAGAGTCATATCGAGATCGCTTGGCCAATATTTCAGAGAAGGACGGCGAAGATGAACCTCTCCATGGCCGTGAAAAGCCCTGATCCTGTGTTGATAGTTTGCATTCGTTCGGTGTCAATATGCTATATTGTTTTGGGCGGATTTAAGAGAGTCATTACGATAGACGGAATATCAGATGTCTTTGTATATCTACTATTAAGAATTTAAAGCGTCATGAGCATAATATAAAGATGCGCAGGTTCAAACAAAGCCCAGTAGAATCCCCGAGTTCCGCTAAAGCGATGACGTCCCGCTTCGGGAACTCCGCCTTGACGATCATCGACCTCTCCAACCTCCCCCTCCACTCCACCTCTGTTTACGTCCTTTCCAATCGCTCTCCACGCATTTCCTGCAAATATTTTCTTCTTAGCATAACTGGAGCTCCAATAACTGTCAGCGGGGCGACCACAGCCGACCGACACCACCTCAACGATGGATCAACATGACGACTTTGATAGTGTTTCTTGGAAGCACGATCCAGAAAGCGATGTCTCACGACCCACAACCGCAGGCACTGATGCCGAGGAATCCCAGGAACATGAACATGTCTCCAATGGCAAGCGGAGAATGAGCTCTACTCACGAAGAACCCCAGGCCGGCCCGCTGGCCGATGCCGTCGACCTGGCGGGTATCGGAGATGGAGTGCTGGAGTGCCAGGTCGACTCTCCACTAAAAGAGAATGACGGAACAAAAGATGCCTACATTTCATACCTCGTCACCACACATGTATGTACTCTTCCTCTTATCTACTGACTCGGAGTGGAGGGGGCTACTGCTGCCTAGCATCCGGGCTCTGAGCATCCCCGAACAAGCAATAACTAACACCTCAAAGACGGATTTCAAATCCTTCCAAAGACCCGACTTTACTGTTCGCCGGCGATTCACTGACTTCTACTTCCTATACAAAACTCTCTACCGCGAATACCCAGCATGCGCGGTCCCGCCCCTCCCGGACAAGCACAAGATGGAGTACGTGCGCGGAGACCGGTTCGGACCTGAATTCACTACGCGACGAGCTTGGTCGCTGCATCGCTTTTTGAAACGCCTCACCCTTCACCCCGTACTCCGGCGGGCGCCGCTTCTTACTATCTTCTTGGAATCGGCGGACTGGAACGCACACATGCGTTTGCATGCTACACGAGGCACGACGAATACTGGGTCGGATGGTGCCGCCACCGGGATCTTTGATAACTTTACCGATACTTTCGTCAACGCCTTCTCCAAAGTGCACAAGCCGGATCGGCGATTTATCGAGGTGCGCGAGAAGGCTGATAAGCTAGATGAAGATCTATCACACGTGGAGAAGACTGTTGCGCGCGTTGCACGCCGTGAATCAGACCTGGAGACGGACTATTCTGAGCTGGCGATGCAGTTCCGCAAGCTTGTTCCATTAGAGCCAGCCGTCGAGGCGCCGCTACAGATGTTTGCAGCTTCGGTGGAAGAGACTGCGCTCGGAATGCGCGGGCTGAAGGAGCACACCGATCAGAACTATCTTGGTTCGTTGCGTGATACAGAAGCATACATCTTGTCACTCAAGTCGCTGCTGAAGACTCGCGAGCAGAAGCAACTCGACTTCGAGGCTTTGGTCGACTATCGTAATAAAGCCGTCACCGAGCGTGACTCGCTAGCTGCGAACCCAGCTGCCTACTATGCCTCCAACCCGCTCACATCCTCACCTGCCTCCTTCATCCGCTCCAAAATGGAAGACATGCGTGGTGTCGACCACGAACAGTCGCGCCGTGAGCGTGTCCGGAAACTCGAGCTTCGCATTGACGAATTGACTCGCGAGGTTGAGTCTGCCAAGACCACTTCAGAAATGTTCGACGAAGAGGTCATCCGTGAAGTGGCCGACTTTGAGCGCATCAAGGCGGTCGAGTTCCGCGATAGCCTTGGCTCATTTGCCGATTCGCATATTGAGTTCTATCAGAATGTGCTCTCTACGTGGGAGAGATTTGTAGCCGAGATGGAGGATACAGAGACCAGTCGAGAGTCTGATTCGGCTGCTATTGGGGCTGTTTAAGCAGTTTTGACAACCTTTTAAATGATCCGAGCTATTCTTTGGACTGGGTTTGGTATAGCAGTTCCTGTCTGTTTGTTTGCTGGCTTATTTTCTTGTTTCATACCCGCAATACCATCATATCCCTTATTTGGTTCATGAATAAGCTGCCATTTACTTTAAATTGGTTGAATATGAATAGTATATGGAAGCATTCACGAAGTAAGAAATGTTGCTGTTGTTGCTGTTGTTTGTCTTGTTTGCATCGTGCATGTCTATCTTCGATCATCCAATTCAACCCCCAAGAACCAAACACAATGCGCCCAATCTCGAGAGCCATTCTCCGGCCGTACGTTTGCCCATCTTGCCGACACGTTAGTGCCGGCCGACGACGATTCAGCTCTAAACTAGATGCCCCCGAGCTCTACGATGTCGTCTGTGTTGGCGGCGGGCCCGCCGGCCTAGGGTTACTGGCAGCACTCCGTATGCACAGCTCGCAATGCATACAAATAAACCATTGACTGACATTTTACATTGCAGGAGCATCGCCTATCACATCAAAACTCAAAGTCGCCCTCGTCGAGACCCAGGACCTCCACAAAGCCCAGTCGTGGAACCTCGAACCAACTCAGTTCTCAAACCGAGTCAGCAGCTTGACTCCCTCGTCTGTGTCCTTCCTGCGCAGCATTGGCGCCTACGACCACCTCGATGTCACCCGCGTCCAGGACTACCAGGACATGCAGGTGTGGGACGGCCAAACCGGAGCCCGAATATCGTTTGACTGGTCCATGGAGACCTCCCCATTCGAAGATATGCGCACGGTAGCAACGATGACCGAGAACGCAAACCTAGTGCGCGCCCTCCTGCGCCGCATCACCGAGTCTGGAGACGAGAACCTTTCCCTCTTCTCCAACTCCACCGTGGCCTCCATCGAGAACGGCTCCGACCTCCAACCGGAAGGCCCCGACCTCTCAGCCTGGCCCGTCCTCTCCGTCAAACCAACAGACCCCGCCGCCTCAACCCCACCAAAACGCATCGCAGCCCGTCTCCTCGTCGGTGCAGACGGCATCAACAGCCCGGTCCGCTCCTTTGCAGACATCCCAACCCACGGCTGGGACTACGGCCGCCACGGCATCGTCGCAACCCTCGCCCTAGACAACCCAGCAACCCCACCGTTCCCAGCATCCATGCGCACAGCCTACCAACGCTTCCTCCCAGCCCTAGGCGGTCCAATAGCCCTGCTCCCCTTACCAAACAACCACGCAACCCTCGTCTGGTCCACAACCCCAGAGCACGCATCCTACCTCAAGTCCCTCCCAACCCCATCCTTCCTGGCAATGGTCAATGCCGCCTTCCGCCTGGACATGACCGACCTATCCTACATGATGGGCATGGAGACGCCCTCTTCCACCACCCCCTCGGACTCGTCTCACGAGGACGAACTCACCTGGCGCATCCAGCACACCCCCTCCCGGCACACATCCCACCCCCAGCAACAGCCGTCCAAGAAGGAACAGTAGCATCCTTCCCCCTCCGCTTCCGCCATGCAGCGCAGTATATCTCGCCGCGCGTCGCGCTAGTCGGCGATGCCGCGCATGTCATCCACCCGCTCGCGGGCCAGGGTTTGAACCTCGGTTTGGCGGATGTGGCGTCCCTCGCGCGAACGATTCAGTATGCGGTCTCGCATGGTATGGATGTGGGTGATCTGCTTACTTTGGAACGGTACTCGTCGGAGAGATATCTCCCCAATGCTAAGATTGGCGGTGCTTGTGATTTGTTGCATAAGATGTATACCGTTCCGGGTTCTGGGCCTGTTGCTTGGGCTAGGAGTTTGGGGTTGGAGACTATTCAGCGGTTGCCTTTTGTTAAGGGGTTCCTTATGAAGAATGCTGAGGGGTATTAGGGATGTGTGGTGAACGTGAAGTGGGAAGTGTATATGTATCTTTTCTTCTATCTTTTTCGTGTATTCCTAGTCTCGAATTGGCATTGAGCCTCTTTATATAAATTTATACCTCCACCTTAAGTATAGTGGGATTGGATCGTATACTGGTAGTGAAGATCAATGTAGCCGCCGAGGCCATTATCTATAGAATGCACAAAGTGAAAATGTAATAGATGGGTATTGTATAGGCGACTCCCAGCTGTCAGTTCAAAAGGCGAAGCCGAAATTCTTTTCTCAGAACAAAGCAGGAAATCCTTTTTGTAAGCCTTCGAGCAAAACAACTCGAATATGCAAGATCTATTTATTTTGGAAAACAGAGAAAACCCTCTGACAAACACGCTCACAGATAGAAAAAAATAGACAGAAATGAAACCACAGAGACACGGTATCTTTTTAAACGGAAGCTCCCTGCAGCTGCTGCGCTAGAGAGGTAACAGCTCCATCTGACTTCTTGGAAAGGCGGGTTTTCAACTCCGAAACCAGCGAGTCAAGTGTAACCTCGACACCCTCCTTCTCGGGGTGTCCCTCGGGCAGACCCATTTCTTTGATGCGGCATTTGCCGGCGGCGAGCTCTTCCTCGCCGAGAATGACAGCGAATGGAATGGCGCCTTGCTCGGCGGCCTTGAATTGCTGGGGAAGCTTAGGCTTCAGCTTGTAGTTGAATTCGGCCTGGAAAATGGCATGTTAGTAGATGTTCATAGTTAAATGATAGTAATGTAATCTTACCTTGACGCCAGCGCTCCACAGCTTCTGACAGATCTCCATACGCTCCTTGAGCATACCGCTGAAACCCTTGCCACCGAAAGCCATGACGTAGGCATCAACCTCGCTGCTGCGCAGGGCATCGATGCTCTGCTCGCGCTCGAGACGTGCCTTGGTGATAGAGAAGATACGGTCGACACCGAAGGAGATACCAACGCAAGGAATCTGCGCCTTGGGAAGGAACATGCCAACCAGGTTATCGTAGCGGCCACCGGCTGCGACACTGCCAACACCGAGAGTGGGGTCGTTGGAGCGGTCGTCGTCCTCAGAGTTCTTGGACTTGTCCTTCTTGCTGGACTTTTGTGCCTTCTGTGCCTCCGGGGCATCGGCCTGCACACCGGCAGAACCTTCGGTGACAACCTCGTAGATGACACCGGTGTAGTAGTCCAGGCCACGGGCCAGAGACATGTCGAAGGAGACCTTATCCAGCACGCCAAATGCCTCCAGGTAGTCCATCATCAGGGCCATATCCTCCAGACCGGCCTTGGCAGTGACATTGGCGGTGAGAGTCTCGTCCTTGAGCAGGGTGTCGAGCAACTCGCGCGAGCCCTTGTTCATAACGTATTTCTCGATGCGGTCCGCAACCTCGCCGTCAAGACCCTTATCATCAACCATCTCCTTGCGTACATCCGCCCACGGCATCTTGTCCAACTTGTCGACGGCACTGGAGATAGGCCGGATCTTGTCCTCCGGCACACCGCAAACGGCAAAGACGCCGTCCAGGATCTTGCGGTGGTTGAGCTTGATCGTGTAGCGGCCGCTCCATCCCAGCTCCTCAAAGACCTCGCTGACAATGCGCAGGATCTCGGCGTCGGGCACCATCGGGTCGAAGGTACCGGCGATATCGAAGTCACACTGGTAGAACTCGCGCATGCGGCCCTTGCTGACGGCGGGCTGGTCACGGCGGTAGACCTTAGCGATGTGGTACCGCTTGATGCTGCGGACGTCGCTGTTCATGGCGAGCCAGCGCGCAAATGGGACTGTCAGGTCGTAGCGCAGCGAGCAGATCTCGCCGCCCTGGTCCTGCAGGTCGTAGATGAGCTTGGAGTCCTCGCCATACTTGCCAGCCAGGATCTCGCGCAGCTCAAAGACCGGTGTGTCGAGGGCGGTACCGCCGTGGCGCTTGAAGACGTTCGAGATGGTGGTGAAGATGCGGTCTCGGAGGAGGGCGTCGGACCCAGACCAGTCCTTGGTGCCCTTGGGGGTCTTGAGGTTGAAAGAAGGTCCCTTGTCCTTGCCCATTGTGTCTATCGAATCGGAGTGTAGGGAGGAAAAGTGAGTGCGGCGGGGATAGATTTCGTGGTGGGGGATGGTGGGGGCACGGCAATTATTTTTATTCGAGGCGACTGGGAGAGAACTGAAGGGATGACTCAGACAACGGGGAGTGTGGCCAATGGATCTGGCAATTGCTCGTCGTGTAGAGCGTAAAGAAACAGAAACGAACGTCATAAACGAGAAGCCACTCGGCGCAAGAAAATATCGGAGGCGTTCACGGGATCTGCTTGTGTCGTTCTGTCCTGAGCCCGGACTTTCCCGGCGTTTTGGGTTTATCCGGTCACTGGAGGTTTATCCGAACTATCGATTTATTCCTCTTCTCTTTGCTTATATTGAGTAATTTTTAAAGAAATATGTTTTTGTAGCTATGTGGTATTGAGTAGCACTCGAGAAGATATCTATTACCTATATTTGGAGAGCGCGTGTAGGAATGTATAAACTGGCACTCCCGCCTTTTAGTCCTTACAATGCAGCAGTTCATGTCTTGACTTGATTACACATGTACAATTCAATCCCATCGTTTGTTACTATCCTCTCACATTATCGTTTCATCACCCTCATGGCATACAGTAAGGTGGCAGTCAATACTTTGGACCTGGAACACCTTAACGCCCTTCAGCGTTTACTTCAAAATATACCGTCGACGCAGCTGGCTGAGAATACATTCGCCCAGATCGCGGACGATCGCAAGTCCCCGACAAACCCACAGTGCATCCATATCCTGAAGAACTTCTAGAAAGCGATGACCTGGAGGTTCCGAGTAGTATAGCCTTGGAGAAGGTTAGAGAATGGAGACCTAAACTCCAAAGAGAGACTCTCACAACGGAACCAGATGTCAACACTCTTAGTCCATACACTATAAAACTTTGTTAAAATATATGCCTTGGGTCGTCCAGGAATACCAAAATACTGCGGTGGGAACGAGAGACTTTTACCTTCATCTGATTAAGATGACCGCTGTGGCAACACACACACGTTGGTGTCGAATCTATTCTCGCATACGAAAAAGCCTCCTTACAAGCGACCCCTGTCTCCGAAGTTTGTACCTTTCCCGGCTTGGGATTCTTGGCGGAACTGGAGCTGCCTGAGATTCCAACCTATCTATATCATGAGGACTATCAGACACACAAGCCATATTCCATGGGAGTTGCTGATATGGTAGGTTATCGGGCGGAAGTACAAATATTCGGAGGTGTTGTTTGGTTTCATCACGGGGAGTGAGAAAGAGGTAGGACTGTACGCTTATCCTAATTACTTGCACTGTCACCTGCTAAATAAGTAGTAGTTCCTAGATGTCTTTCTCCACCCTACAAATAATTCCCGGGTGTTCAGACCATCGGATATGCAGATCGACCTGTTCCTTCAATTTGGATTGAGTGAAACAAGTCCGTGTCCAATCCCGATGAAAACTGAACGTCATGCATTGCGCATTGACGCAGAATGTACCTTTGCACATAATATCTTTCGAAACAAATATGAGCGTATTCCTCCTGTTGATGACCCTCGGAGAACTCAACATCCAAGGAGGCGGGCGGCTCGAGGATGATCTGGATGCGATGGAGATCATGAAAATAGTCAGAGAATGCTACGGTGATACTTAACGTTAGGATTGGATTTGCTTTTGCTTTTATTTTTATATTTTCTGTGTTTACTCCTAGAGGAGTAGGCTATGAGGAAGCCCAATACATCTACTGTATAAAATGGTGGTTTAGGTGTATTGTCATATATTTCAGACCGTTTTCTAGCATGGGTCTAAGTTAACGTTAACTTCATGTTAACGTTCTTTATGTATGTCATAATAAAGTTAAGTTACCTAGGTAGCCGACCATAGGATGTCAATGCGTAAATGCTTACGAGGTAGCAATTCAAGCTAAACATGAGAGGGCTAGAGTGACAATGACTAAATTATAAATTATATAAATCCGTTATTATAGCCTCGGAGTAGGCTGTCCATGATTCAAGAAGAGGTGTCGCAGTACAGCACATTAATCGCTCACTCGGGAAAGCCCGATCTACTCCACGACTAGTCTCAAACAGGTAGGTCAAGTTTGAAATGCCGGCAAACCTAACGTGCGTCTTTTTCACCCCCATATCTTGCCACCCCCACTAGGATGTGTTGCTTGGACTATAGGTTTACTTACCTCTTATTGGGGCGGCTAGCTTATGAATCTCCAATGGCCATGGCGGCGGAATGCGCGTAGGCACTGGCTAAAGGGCGCATAGCCAATAGGCTGATAGATTCATATTAATATCTGTGCGGTAATATGTCCTGTATAAAGTTAAGTTACGAAGCACACCTACGTGTATGGTGGAATCCAGGCCCTTGCTTCTACCGTAATCTGTACCCCGGGGGTGCTAAATAACTCGAAGTAAGGAACATTCGAAGGGGCATTTTCCCCACGTCTCCGACGATCATTGGCCGTTAAGGCACGCCATGCGAGGGACACATGGCCCGTGAGGGCTGGAATAGGCCAATCGCAGTTCGCCAAGGGCGGCGTTTTATGGTCCAGCCCCAGCCTCCGGAGGGGAGAGCCTTGGGGGGAGTTGGCCACTCCGCTGGGGAAAGGGCCAATGATGGTCTCTAGGGGGGCCTTACCCAGTTGGGGACTCCGGTACGCCCGGCACACATTCACACAGATGTTGGAACTGTGAGGTAAGATAGGACTGTCCCGAGTAGTAGATCTACAGTAGTAGAGAGTAGAGTAGATGTAGAGTAGATGTAGGGTAGATGTAAGAAGGAACAAGTCTCGAAAATCGGCGATTGGATATGTACCTGCCTTAGGTCTCCACGTGGAACAGTAGTCCATTCCAGAAGATGACTGTTATCTGCCTGGTCCTGGTCCTTGTTACTCTTCTCTTCCCTTGATCCTCAATCCTTCAATCTTCTACTATTCTACTCTAGCATTCTAACCTCCTATTGCTCCCTCCCGTCTTCTCTCCCCTCGGTTCTCCGCGTTCTCTCTCCGCTCTTTCTTCTCTCCGCCCACGGACCCCAGAAACTCTACTAGTGGCTACCCCGGACCTCTTCTTTTCAACTCCTCTTTCACTGCCTCCAATGCAGAGTGTGACCGACGCGCCTCAGCCATCATGAAGGGGCTCTTCTCCAAGGGCTCCAGGAGCAGCGGAGTGAGTTAACACAGCAGCCTCGGGCTCTCGTGAGAACATTCCAATTAGGACCGCGACTGACTGAGACACGCGCAGACTGCCACCGCCCCCTCGACCTCCGCCGCGCCCGTTAAGAAAGATCTGGTCCCGCAGATCTCCCCGCTGGAGAAGCGGCTGCAGGATATGGGCTCGATCCGCGACGATGGCAGCGACAAGTTCTTTGGCATGGAAAACGTGAGTCTTCCCCCGGAATCGCATCGGAACCAGGCTGACGGACACTCCCCACGCTCTAGTACGGAAACACATGCTACTGCAATTCGATCTTACAATGTCTCTATTACTCTGTTCCCTTTCGCGAGGCCGTGATTAACTACCCGCAACGAACGCCACTGGACAGCCTTGAAGCCGCACTCGCCACCAACCTACGATACCAGAACCCGAATGCACACCTGGAAGCCGAGGCGCTCGCCGCCAAACAGAAGGCTTCCTCGCCACCGTCAGCGCGCCAGGCTGGTGTTCCTCCGAATCAGCCCCAAAAGCCCGAAGACAAGGACTCGCCGGAATACAAGAAGAAGGTCGCCCTCCAGACCCTGCCGATCTTGGAGACCAAGAACAATGCGACTAGTTATGGAATGTCCGAGTCGCTTTTCACCTCGCTCAAGGACATCTTTGAGTCGGTGGTGGGAAGTCAGTCACGGATCGGAGTGATTCGGCCGCAACAGTTCCTGGATGTACTACGGCGGGAGCACGAAATGTTCCGGACTGCCATGCATCAAGATGCGCACGAGTTTTTGAACTTACTACTCAACGAGGTCGTGGCCAATGTCGAAACAGAGGCAACCAAGCAAGCATTCACCGAGAAGGCTTTGCCACCCACGGAAAGCGCAGACTCGTTAGGAATGTTGACACCCAGCACCGGATCGAAATCACCAAATACAACGAGATGGGTGCACGAGCTGTTCGAGGGGACTTTGACATCTGAAACCAAGTGTCTTACATGTGAAAAGGTCTCACAACGAGACGAGGTTTTCCTGGATTTGTCCGTGGATCTAGAGCAACATTCATCCGTCACATCGTGTCTTCGGAAGTTCTCCGCAGAAGAGATGCTTTGCGAGCGGAACAAGTTCCACTGCGATAACTGTGGTGGACTTCAAGAAGCCGAGAAGCGTATGAAAATCAAACGTCTGCCACGTGTGTTGGCTTTGCATTTAAAGCGTTTCAAATACACAGAGGACTTGCAGCGCCTACAAAAGCTGTTCCACCGCGTTGTCTACCCATATCATCTTCGTCTGTTCAACACCACCGATGATGCCGAGGACCCTGACCGGCTCTATGAACTGTATGCAGTGGTTGTTCACATCGGCGGCGGACCCTACCATGGCCACTATGTCGCCATTATCAAGACAGAGGACCGCGGCTGGCTACTCTTTGACGATGAGCTGGTTGAGCCCGTTGACAAAAACTACGTGCGTAACTTCTTCGGCGACCGTCCGGGACTGGCGTGTGCCTATGTTCTGTTCTACCAAGAGACCACCATCGAGGCCGTTATGCGCGAGCAAGCACAAGAAGATCTGGCCTCCGCCACTGGCACCGCTGAGACTGGCGAAGCGAAACAGAACGGTTCACCGTTGTCACCACCGCTAGCACATGTTCAAAGTGCTTCCCAAGTGCCTTCGCACGATACAGCTCCTTTCTCACCTATCAACCGAATCCCGACGGCACCCCAGTTGTCCACCCACGCAGAAGCTCCAGAACACGAAACCTCCCCACCGCTACCCGTTCAATCACCAGTCCAGCCACCTCTTCCCCCGATTCCGGATGAGCCCGCTCCTTCGCTGAGCCCGAAGAAGAGTGACTACCAACTCCGGCGGGAGAGAGCACGAGAGGACAAGGAACGGGAGAAGGAACGCCGTGCTGCGGAGAAGGAGAAGGACAAGAATGAAAAGCTCCGCCAAAAGGAACAGGATCAGCACAACCGAGAAATGCAGAAACGCGAGGCCGAGGAGCTGGAAAGAGCTCTGAAGGCCAGCAAGCTCGATGCCAACGAGCTCAGTGCTGAGAATGGATCACCTAGGAAATCGGGCTTTGGTTTCCTGAGACGAGGCAGCCGCAGTATCAGCCAACGCCTGAACAAGGAGAAAGAACCTCGTGTCTCGACGTCGGATGTTTCATTTACGACGCCTGTCCCAGAACCCGTCCCCGAAGCCCTAGAGATACCCCGCAAGGAGGTTCCTCGCAAGGATGCACCACGCAGGTCAGAAACGTTCCAGTCCCCGATGTCTCCAATGTCTCCAATGTCCCAAACGTCGCCTAAAGACATCCCTCTATCCAACAAGCAACCCATTCGGGGCCCCGACCCCCTGGCCAAAGACCATTCCGCCAGCCACGAAAAGTCCGGCTCTACTCACCGGTGGAGATCTTTCAGCTTCAAGAAGAACGTCAACAGCGTTTCTTAAGCTTTAAGTTGTCCTTTTACCTTTCGTCCGTCACCTTCACGGAGATACCCCTTGCACATATGATCGCAACATTTTGCTTCTGCACATATCTACCTGGATGTACCATCACGCTCTAACGATCCGATCTGCGCCATTATCTTCCATTCTCCTGTGGGTGTTCTGTTCTCGACCAGGCATTTCACAGATATGTCTTTCTAGACTCTTGAATCTCAGATCCTGCCTCGTTTATTGCTTACTCCTTACACTTTCCTCGGATTCCGATATCTTTTGCTACCATCGCTTTTTTCTTTTCTTTTCATCGCTGCCACTCTTTTTGTATCATGTACAGTGGGCACAATACCCCTGCCATCCACACAATCCCGGCAGCTCAGCGAAAAGAGGCGTTAAGGGTTCCAATTGCTATTTCTAGTTATCTTTTTCTTTCTACATTCTGCTTTATGCTATTATTGGTGAGCGTGGGGATTGTCGGTTTTGGGCGTTCTATCTCTATTCTATCTCTATGCTTTTCCTGCGTGCTATCTCATCTCTTTGAAGTCATCAGCGAATGTGCTTTTCTATTATTCTCTTGTTTCTTTTCCTTTGCATGTGCATTTTATCTGCTCTCTTTCTCTCTTTCTGGCTGACTTTGCCGAGTATTTCCTCTGGCCTTGCTTTGCTGCTCACTTCGCTGTCGTCGTATACATCTTGATTCGGTGCATTATGTCTCGTCGTCTCTATAACGTTACGCGCGATAGACTTGTCCGCTGTTTTTGAATACAATGCATGGAGGCAGCTTGTGATATGTATTTTCTGGGTGTTCATATGGGTGTAGAGTGGTGTAGTCATGCTCGGATCTGCAATGTGTGTGGTTTCACCTATCCAAAGTACATGTATTGTGTTTCAAGTAACTTAACGTTAGTGCGGGTCTATACTATCGAAAGGATCAACATACAGCGTGATCTTGGAATCTCTGTTTATTACATTTAGAGATGGATACAGCCAGGCCAATACCTACTTCTCACTTTACTTCCTAGTTACGCACTTCCCACATATTCACATTCATATTCATATCAAGAGTCAGACAAGATCCCGGTTTATGGAGTCTCCAGTCCGCGTTACGTATCCCAGGCATCCAAACCCAGTATGCATACAACACACTCCTCTAAACAATACCACATTCCATCCTCCCAATGAACAATGGTAGGGTATACACCTCCCTCCAAAACAAGACCAAGAAGCAGGGCATCCAAATATTTTGTATTGATTGCAGGGTAATATAATCGTGACATCGCGTAACTCTCGAGGATGTATGAGGTAAGACAAGGCAAGACAAGGTGTACAAGACAGCGACACCAACAAATCCGCAAGAATATAACTTAATCATACCCTCACATCCTATCCGGTAGGCATTGAAATCGATTTGACCCGTTATAAAAGACAATGGACAGAATGGAATTATCCGAGGATCAGTTCGTACACGATGATGACTGTGTTTATGACGATTAGGGGTACTAGATTGTATTGTTTGTTAGCTATGCGGACCTCTATTTCATCGTTGGATGTGGGGGATATAGCTTAGATCGAAGCTGGGGAAGGTTTTGGTTGTATTTTGTGTTGGCATTGGGATGGAGGATTCGAGTCACGTACTTCGCATAACTGTCCGCACACTTGCGATCAGGTTGATGGTCTTTGCCTTGACGCTTGTGCTATCGTGTGCCGCGCCGAAGGCTGGCTCTGCTTGTGTGCGACCCCATCCGACTATTTTATCTTTGCGTTAGCTTCCTTTCTCTTTTATTCTTGGTAAGTGCTGGGGGGGTGTGTGGTGGGTTGGGCGGGCGTGGGCTGGAGGGACGAACTGCGAGCTAGGAATCGGTCCTCGGAGAGGATGGCGATGGCGTTGATGATCAGGACGACCACTAGAGGGAGGATCAGTATAGCTCAGAAAATAGACCGCAGTGGAAATAGGACTCACCGTAGACCAGCTTCCCTAGACCGAAGAGAAACATTGTGAGTCGAGGGGTTGAGGAAGTTTAAAGGTGAAGGAAGATGCGGGAAGCGCCAGATCTCCGGATCAACACTCTCGGCAGCCATGAGATATGGTGAGTTCACCACCCAGACACGAAGAACACGAGCTGACTTGTTACATAGCATTGGCGCTTCTCGTTCCAGTGGGCTTGATTATCCTGCACCTCCTCGCTGCGCCTTATACCAAGGTCGAGGAGTCGTTCCATGTCCAGGCCGTGCATGACATCCTAGCTCATGGCTTACCATACGGATTCAATGATCCCAACCTCAATCGCACAAACTATGACCACTTTGCATTCCCCGGCGCTGTGCCCAGGAGCGCCGTCGGCGCTGCGTTGCTCGCCCTGCTCTCGAAACCGGTGATCCTGTTCAACGACGGGATCAATCAACAGCTATTAGGTACGGCATAGAGCTATACATACCTCTCCAAATACACATCCACGACATGCTAATACCTCCCTCCAGCTCGAGCAATCCTAGGCCTCCTCAACGCCTCCGCTATAGCATACTATGCCAGCGGCCTCCGCCACACCTTCGGTCAGACAGTCGCAATCTGGTACATCCTCCTCCAAACCAGCCAATTCCACCTAATATACTACGCCTCACGACCACTATCAAACATGTTCGCCTTCCCCTTAACAACAACAGCAATGTGCCTCCTCCTCCCTACCGCCCACCGCACCAACAACAACAACCACACAGGCAAAGCCCTAGCCCTTCTCACCTTCGCAGGCGTAATCTTCCGCTCAGAACTCGCCCTGCTAGTAGCAACCCAAACTCTCTTCAATCTCTCAACCAAAAAAATATCCTTGAGAGCCACAATCACCGCAGGCCTAATTGGCGCAATCACAGCCCTCCTCCTAACAATAACCCTAGACGGCACATTCTGGCAACGCTTCCCACTCTGGCCAGAATTCGAAGCCTTCGTCTTTAATGTCATGGCAGGCCAATCCTCCGCTTGGGGAACGGAGCCTTGGTCCTGGTATTTCACTAATGCCCTCCCTCGTCTCCTCCTCAATCCGCTTGTCTATACCCTCGCTATCCCCGTTGCTTTGCGGCAGCCTGCTACGCGGTCTCCAGCGCTGGCACTCCTCATCCCGTCGCTTGCGTTCGTCGCGTTGTATAGTTTCATGCCGCATAAGGAGTGGCGGTTTATTGTTTATGTTATTCCATCGCTTACGGCTGCTGCGGCTCTCGGCGCGGCGTATCTCTGGACGCATCGTCGACGGTCATTCTTTATGTGCTGGGCTGTGCGAGCGCTGGCGCTCTCTGTGCTTTTCACTGGGCTTTTGTCGAATTTTGTGCTGCTTCCTGTGTCTGCGGTGAATTATCCTGGTGGGAGGGCTCTTGATGCGTTGCATTCTTATCATGGCAAGTCGGACTTGGAGATGAATAGTGGAGTTGGCCCTGGGAGGACTGTGAATGTCTATCTTGGTAATTTGGCGTGTCAGACTGGTGTTACGCGTTTCGTTCAGTTGCCTGATGAGTCTGGGTGGGTTTATGATAAAAGTGAGGATGAGGTTGTGAAGTCTACTAGTGGCTTTTGGGATCGGTTTGATTATGTTCTTGTGGAGGCTTCATCCGAGGTTGGGTATATGGATAGCGATGAGAAGAGGTTTAGGGAGGGTTTGCCTTCTTCTTCGTGGGAGATGGTTTATGTTGCGGATTCATTTGCCGGTATTTCTGTTCTGAGGCCTGGGGTCCCTGCTACCGGAACTGTTGAGAAGCGGGTTATAGGTGCTGTTGGTGGATCGAGGGCGGTTGAGGTGTTTGAGAGCGTGCGTGAGCGTGTGAGAGGGGGTTTGTTGCGTGGGTGGTGGGTCGAGGTTAAGATGAAGCCAAGAGTTCAGGTATTGAGGCGGGTTAGAGAGGATTGAAAGTTAAGATTATAGTAGACTTATATAGCCTGAAACTTGGGAAAGATGTACAGTATTAACAATCTTAGGACCATGTGGTATGGAACTGATATTGACATTGACACCAACAGAGATAACTACAAAATGCCCAACATTCGACAAGAAGGTACAACGTACATCACAGATGCAACTGGGTATTATTCATCAAAGCACTGCGCTGAGCAGTTCAAAACAAGAAAATGATTACAGTCCACCAGGCGGACCCTCAAGACGTCCCAGACGAGACTCCAAATCCCGCACCCAAGGCTCGACAGTCTCTACATTCGAGCGGAGAGCGTCCTCGCCCTGGCGCATCTTCTCCTCGACATTTTCGAGGCCTTCACGCCACTGCTCGATCTCAGAGGCCATCTCGGCATGACGCTTTTCGAGTTCGTTGAGGGAGTCTGCGGCGTGGGCTGCGCCTGCGTGACATGCGCGCAGGGAGCGCAGGCGCTCGAGAACACTGGGGAGGAGCGGGTGCAGGGACTGGATGGTTGGGAGGGTAGCGTAGAGAGCTTGGATTTTAGCGGCGTGCTCGTCGTCCGCGGCGGGAACAGGTTCCGATGCGGGTGCGTCGGTTTCAGAGCTTGTTGAAGTGATGCGCGCGTTGTGAGCGGCTTTTGCGGCGTCGATGGCGCGTCTGCGGGCGGTTGTTAGGGCTTCAGCGTCTGTGGTTAACTTTCGGACCCGTGTGGAGAGCGCTTCGAGATGTGGGGTTGTCAGGCCTGCCACTGCGCCTCGTGCGCCTGGGTTTCCGGACGCCGGGTTGCCCACGAGGAGACCCGTCAATGCTGAGAGGCGAGAGGTGAGCTGGTCTAAGGATGGGAGGACGGGCTGCAATGCTGATTGGCCGAAGCCGTCTGCGATGAAGGGGTTTGAGGAGCTGGAAATGCCCATGGATGCTTCAAGAAGGGCGAGACGGCTGTCGAATGCTGCTGCGTGGGAGAGAATGCCCGTAGAAGATGCAGCCGCTGGAGGTACCGCGGAGACTGCTGTTGACGGTGTGTTGGCAGGCTGTGTCTTTGCGTCTGCAGGCGCAGCAGAATGAGGATCAGATCCCAATTTCTGGGATAGCACGGCGGCAGCCGAGTGCGACGGAGTCGCCGCACCTCGTGAGGCATGCAGATTATCCAAGGCGCGACTCAACTCCGCAACACCATCACCCAGGTTCTCTCCTGGCTTATCTCCAGATGTGCCATGCGATGGCTCATTTCCACCCTCCTGTTCCTCGGGCCGATTGGCCATCTCCACCTTGAGGTCCTCGACCTCTCTCCGTAGCCGTGCAAGCCTCCGCTCCACCGACTCGTCCTCGCTATCACTTAGATCACCGACCTCCTCTGTGCCATCTTCACGTCTGCGACGATGACGACGATGCTTATCTTTGCTCCGGTATGCCTGGCGCTTCATGGAAATACTATCTGAGAAATTGACGTCGCGGGCATCCACGGCGGCGCCCATGAAGTGCATACGTGCCTGGTCCGCGTTGACACCTTCGCGGTCAATATCAGAGCTGGAGCCGGCGTCATCATGATCGGAGTCTGTGCGAATGGTAGTAGGCTGGAAAAAATCAGTGGCTAGTTCCAATGACGTTTCTTTTCCGTAGGATTGGCGGACTTACAGGGACGGTGGATGCTTCGTCGGTCAAGTCGGGGGTCTCATAGATATCTGGGGAAGGGTCCTAGCTCATGGTCAGTCGGATAATCGATAAACATCAGCAACAGGAGGACCCACCAGGTCAGGAAGACCGGCGTATTTCTTATTGAAAGCCATGGTGGATTGGGGTAGCTCCGATAGTAAACACAGGAGTTGATAGAGCGGGTCACGTCACGTGCAATGTGTCAGCAGAAGCACGTGTCAGCCTCGGACGAACACATGCAATTGACGCAATTTAAGCTCATCAAACCCGGGGTATATATTCACTGCCTGGACGTCTGTTCCCTTTCTTCCTTTCTTCCCCTATCTTCAATTGATCCAATTCCCTTCTTACGCTTGATCACTCTGCACTCCTAAGCTTCCACACTTTATACTTTCCCCACCACCCCGCATTCCTATCTACAGCTCCAACTCCAACTTCAACAGTCAAAATGGCCGCCCCAGCTGATGTCACTATCAAGAACCTCAGCGGTGAATGGGAGATGGTATGTCCATATATAAAAACCAAGAAAGGGACCAATACTTACAAAATGTGGAACAGGATGCAACGCTGTCCAACCCAACAGACCCCATCCTAGCCCTGGTATGAACCCCCAAACCCCAATCACACCCAACAGCCCAAAGTACCAAGTAGCTCTAGTCATACAAACCTGAAGCACAACCTCCCCTATCTCCTCAATACCCCAACACCACCCCATACCCATACCCATACGCAATACAATACAATGCAAAACACACCGACTATTCACCACCCCCACTAACAACCAAACCAGCAAGGAATGAGCTGGCTCCTCCGCAAAACCCTCTCCTACGCAACCGTAACTCTCTACGTCCACAGCTACCCAGACAGCGACACACCAACAACATACCACATCGATATCCAGCAAGTAATCACCGGCGGCATCCAAGGCACCAAAGAAAGCCGCACGCTCGACTGGACAGAACGCGACCACACCGACAACATCTTCGGCACGTTGCACGGCCGTTCGCGCCTGCTGGACGGTAAGAGCGAAGACGGCGCTTTGCGGCCTGCACTCGAGGTGCAGACTAGTGTTGGTGAGGCTGAGGCTGATGCTAAGGTTGGCAAGTTCTTGCGTGGGGAGATCCTTATTGATGGGTCTAAGAGTGAGGGTTTTTCTGGGGAGGATGGGGAGGGTGTTTTTATGCAGAGTTTTGTGAGGAATGATTCTGCTGGTTGGACTGCTGAGCAGGTTTGGGGATTTGAGATTGTTGGCGGGGAGAGGCGTCATGCTCGTCGTGTTGTTGTTACTAAGGATGGGAAGGTTGAGATGGCTAGACTTGTTTATTCTTTCAAGGCTAGACGGGTTGAGGAGTAGGTGTGTTCTTTTTACGTGGTCTACGTTTTGTGCTGGGTTGTTTTTCTAGCTTGCTATTATTACCCCTAGATCAATCTAGCGTTTAGCTCTTATTGGTTGTGCTTGTAGGTTATGTCTTTCTGGTTTGAGTCACTTGTAAAGACATTGTAAATAGCATATATACGAATTGGGCCAGCTCATACACTATCCAATTTGGTATTCAATGTTTGGGATGCAACATGACATAAAAGCAAGAATATGCTTTAAATAAATTCATGGGGACACACGGCGCATATTTTGGTTGAGCGGAAACAAAAGATAACATTTCATGATGGCTAAAAGTGAAGAAAGAAAGCGTTATAATCACCCAAGGCTTAATGGTGAGTAGGCATCACCACGGTAGCCTTGGTGCAGGTAGCATCCTCGCTCTTCCATAGACTGGTGACAGTCTTCTGCTGGGTATAGAACTGCAAGCCGGGCTTGCCGTAGAAGGTGTTGGCACCACCACCGGCAATACTCTTCTTGTTACCAGTGAAGGAGAACATGGGAAGAGGGACGGGAATGGGCACGTTGATGCCGAGCTGACCGGCTTCGATTTCCTTCTGGAACCTGGAGGCAGTTGAGCCGGAGCGGGTGAAGACGGCGGCACCGTTACCGTATTCGTTGGCGTTGATGGTGCTGATGGCGTCATCCAGGGTATCGACGTTGAGGCAGACAAGGACGGGACCGAAGATCTCCTCCTTGTAGCACTTCATGTCGGGGGTGACGTTGGTGATGATAGTAGGACCAACCTAAGACAGCGGGTTAGTTCATGATGAGCATGTAGCAATGTCTGTAGTATGACTTACGAAGTTGCCGTTGGGGTAGTTCGCGGGCTTATATCCACGGCCATCCAGAAGGATAGTAGCACCCTCCTCCTCGGCGCTAGCAATCAGATCCTCGATGCGCTTCTTGCTCTCAGGGCTGATGACAGGGCCGAGATCGGCACCCTCTTCAAAGCCACCGTTCACGCTCAAGGCCTTGGCCCGTTCAGCGATCTCGGGTAACCACTCCTTGGTCTCGCCAACCATAACACAAGTGCTCAAAGCCATGCAGCGCTGTCCGGCAGCACCAAAGGCGGCACCAACAATAGCATTGAGAGACTGGTTCTTGTTGCAGTCGGGCAGGACAGCGGCGTGGTTCTTGGCCCCCAGGTTGGCCTGCACACGCTTGCCGTTGGCAGAACCGCGGGTGTAGATGTACTCGCCGGCGCGGTTGCTGCCAACGAAGCTGATGGCCTTGATAGCAGGCTCATCAAGGATAAAGTCCACGGTGGGGGCGGAGCCGTGGATGATGTTAATGACACCGGGAGGGAAACCGGCCTCCTTGGCGAGCTCGGCCAGGATCATTGCGGCACCGGGATCACGCTCGGAGGGCTTCATGACCAGACAGTTACCGGTAGCGGTAGCAATGGGAATACACCAGAGGGGAATCATGGCGGGGAAGTCTTAGTGATGGTCAGCATCGGTAGCGGAAACAGAGAATTGGTTTAACTTACTGAAGGGGCAGATAGCAGCGACAACACCAAGAGGCTCACGGTAGCTTCTTGTCTCCATGTCCTTGGCCACCTCCAGAACCTCACCGGTCATCTGGGTAGTGATACCACAGGCGGTCTCAGCGACCTGGAGGCCACGGAGAACATCACCCCTGGCATCGGCGAAGGTCTTTCCCTGCTCCAGGGTAATGGATGCAGCTAATCGGTCCCAGTGGGTACGAATGAGGGCAGTGAACTTGAAGAGAATCTGCTGTCTAGCAATGATGCTAGTGTTCTTCCAGGCAGGGAAGGCCTTCTCGGCCGACTCAACGGCAGCCTTCAGCTCCTCATTTGTACTCTGGGGGACACGAGTGACCAGGTTGTTGGTGGCAGGGTCATGGAGATCAATCCACTTGGTTGCCTTAGACGAAACGAACTCATTATCAATGAAGTTTGCTGTGTCAATGGGGTTTGCAATCTTCTGGTGGTTGGTCGGGTATTCGGTTGCTGTTGAGTTGGCCGAGGTTGTTGCAGGGGTGAATTTGCCAGCGGTAGCGTGCAAGCCACGAGTGGCAGCAAGAGAAGGAGCAGCAGCTCTGCGGGAGGCCATGCTTGCGATGGGTGTAGACGTTGTGAGAATGGATCGGGACTGAGATGCAGCTCTGGCGGTCACGGTGCGGGGAGTGGCGCGGAGAGCGGGGAGGGATCGGGCAACAGACCGACAAGCGGCCATAGTGAATTGAAAAGATAAGAAAAGGCGGACGTCTGAAAGAATACGTGTCACCAATCAAGAAAGGAAATGCAGTCAAGTTGCAGTTAGAAATGGAGGGGAACGGGGGAGTACAAGTAGTTACCCCAGGTCCGAGGTCAACCGCCTTAGTCAACTTCCCCATACAAGCCCCGATAAGATAGGCTCGGCGATGTTAGCCAATCAAAGCTGTCAGATCCCCGTGAAAAGCCGAACATTGGCCTATCACTCATTGCTCGTTAGGAAGGGGTTTCCGAGGAGAGCGCTGTTCCTATGGATATTGCTCTAAAAGGGCAAGAGTTGTATAGAGAAATGAACACAGACGTCAACTGCTTAATAAGTATGGAAATATGGCAAAGAGCTCTTTTTCTCTGATAATATATTCGTATACAAAAGCCAGAACCCGTTCCGATACTCACGAACAATATCCGGATCCGAGAAAAACCCCCACGGAGAATTTATTTTGTCTCAATTTTATGCTTTACGACGGGACAGTGCTTCACTGAATATTAAGCTACGGAGCGTCTTAACGGAAGATGGTAGTATCTTGGATCTGCTTGAGGAAAGTGTATTTTGGTAAGATGTAGTAGATTTAGCAGCTTTTCGAATGCTACAAAGGAGCAGCTAAATCATCATCATCATAATACGATGTAGGCTGAGAAGGTGAACGAAGAAAGATATCCTCGAACAAGTTGCCGAACGGAAACGAAAAAGGAAACGTCGTGCTCATGCTGTCTTGCAGGACTTGATCAAACAAACCTCCAGGGGCATTAGTACCACCAAGATCGCTTTCATGATCAGGTTGACGAGGACCATTTTGCATCGAGGGTCCCATTACCGGACGCTCTGGTGCCTCTGTGCCATCTTGTATCTGCACGCTCACAGGGTGTTGCTTCAGCAGAGCATCATATATTGGAATGAAAGCTGAAACGACCGGTAACCGATCTTGCAGCTTGTCAAGTATCACCATGCAGAAGCGTGCGCGGTGCTCGGAAATCATTCGGACACCGGGGTCTCCTCTGTGGATGTTGACTATATGGACTGGGAGGACTGACAGGACGGGGGCAACTCTGAAATAGGCTTCAGTGCATAGCTCGAGATAATTGGGGAAACTTGTTATCCAGGGACATACATGCTGGCTGCTGCTGCACATACAAGATCGTTCGCCATGGTGATTTCCAGCATATGAGAGATCTCTGTGCATATTTCGAAAATTGGAGTGCCTGGCCCTGTGTTGTGAGAAAACCTAGGGTTGCACCGATGCAAAATAAGGCGGTATTCCCTATAGATTCAGAATATACTCCATAGAGTTTTATAACAGCTACAATGAGGTCAACTTACTGGTATAAGATCTGCGTCAATATAGCCCATGTGCTACTATTCGTTGACACGGTCTTGAATTCCGGGGGGAGCGAGGACGACCATAACGAAATTTGCTCCAAACAGATATCTTGTGAGTCACCACTATCTTCGTCAAATTTAAGTGTGAAGAAGCGATCCACTGTAGATATTAGTAAGGAACAGACCTGGAAACAAAATCATGGATGTTATACCTATTTGGGCTAGTTGCGCAGCTTTTATCGCAAAGACATTTGCCTTATTGAGAGTTTCACCGAAGGTCTCTGTCTCTTTGATCCCATTGGCTTGTTCAAAATCTGCTTCTGAGAGAGGGGGCACATTGCACAGTCTTCCTTGTACATGGGGCGGACGATCGAGGAGCATAGACAGATTGATGTCCATGGCCTAGCCTAGAAAGTTAGGCCAATTATGGACCTGAGGGGTTTGGGGGTATTAACTAACATATACCATCCACCACAGTTTTCGCCATATTTTTCGATCCCTCTCTTCGAGTCGGACGTATGATTTCCTAAAATATTTCTTAGACCCTCAGTTCTTTCGAGGAACGAGAAGACCCACACTTGATGCATTCCTAAAGCGAGTGCCATCCCTGCAGAGATACCAAGCCAGTACCAAGAGTCTTTGTGATCTAGAAGACCACTCCACCAATGGCACATAAGGAAGGTGGCTTGAATCGTAGCAATTACATCGGTTTCATATCCAGCGTCATAAAGAGATTTGGCTCTTTGGTAGAACGTGAGACTTGCAGCGTATCGGGACGGAAACCCGGCATCAGCAATGACTGAATCCGAACAATAGATAGTTGCAGCGAGGTAAATAGCATTTAAGAGCAAGTGTGAGAATGAGCCCTCCTCAAGAGTGACTAGAAATCGTGACCTATCAAGAATAGGAAGCGCAGCAAGTGAATAATGAAAGTAAGTGTTGAGCAGCGCCTGGCTGGTTTCTGGTGATGGTAGATCGAATGCCCCTTGTACCTTGAGGTGTTCAATGGTAGATTGCCGAAGCCTGTCGATCTCTTGCGTCGTCGATCTACCCACCCGAGCTAGCATTGCGCCTTGGAGGTGGTCCTGAAGTGAGCGAACATCCGTACCCTTAAAAGGATTCCCAAATTGTTGGATCAAGTAGTTGAGGTTAGAAGAATCCCCAACATATGGTGTTTTGCCACTAGGCCCAGGGGCTGGGAAGCATGGCTCTTGTCGCTTCTCTTTACCTTGGACATGAGTGACTAAGGGGTCTGAAGTCGTCACTTCTTCCGGCACATTGTGAGAGATTTCTGAAAGACTGCTGCTAAGGCCTGTGCTAGGTAAGAGAGGAAGCTTTCGTCTCCTAAATCCGTATCAGTACCAATATGATGGCTTCATCTGTTCAGTCCTACCGTCCACGGCGAGAAACAATTGGCTCACAATGGCGCTGGGCATTGCGGCAGTTGGAACACGCGACGCCTTCACTACGGTCGCATCTGACCCGCCGGTCATGACACAGATGGCATGCGACTTTGGCTGCTGGTTTGCGTGGCATTTAACGATGGTGAAGGTACAAGTACTTGATAGTTGCAAGTTCGGCGAAGTTGGTTATGGGACCCACCAAGTCGGCGAATTTGGGTGCATCTGATTGGATGAAACATAGATATCTCTCCCTCATTGAATAAATATCGAATAGGGAGGAGAAATAAGCTGATTCTATCTTTTACATCTGCTCTTGTATATATTCACCGACGATGCTTTTGAACACATCCTCGCGCATGCTTCGCCGCTCGAATCCAAAATGGCTAGAGCGTTTCTCCTCACCCACACTTTCGGTAACTCGAAACCTGCGCACATCTTCACAAGATGGCTCTACTACGCCCGTGCCATTCCAAAGCCAGAAAACCGGAAAAGCCGGGTACCTTGTGTATGTCATAGTTGCAGTCTGAATGATTCAGTCCTAACACTCTCGCGCGACTTAGGGCAAAAGCGGACGAGGTGATTAACTGGGCAAGACAAGGATCACTATGGCCTTTATCATTCGCCACAGCCTGCTGTGGAGTTGAGATGATGCATACTTCAATGCCACGTTACGACCAGGACCGACTGGGCATTATTTTCCGTGCCTCGCCACGGCAGTCCGATGTGATGATTGTGGCCGGTACGGTGGTTAACAAGATGGCTCCGGCGTTGAGGCTGCTATATGATCAGATGCCCGAACCTAAGTGGGTGATTAGCATGGGCAGTTGTGCCAACGGTGGAGGATATTACCACTACAGCTACAACGTTGTACGGGGTGTGGACCGCCTTGTGCCTGTTGACGTCTATGTGCCTGGATGTCCACCAACGGCAGAGGCCCTTCTGTATAGTATTTTCCTTCTTCAGAAGAAGATGCGGAGGACGAAGGTAACGAGGATGTGGTATCGGCGTTGATCAAGTGTTGTCTCTTTGTTTGTCTTCTTTCTTTCTTCCAAGGGGGTTCTTTTACATGGATCATAATACCTACCATAGACAATATGGATGTATTCTACTCCTACTCAATCCCCTTTGTGATAGATTTCTGTTCTTGCTTTGAACAACTCTGAAAATGCTTCAAACTTCTAGTACATTTTGTCTATGTCTGTAATATACAATTTGAAACTCCAATAACTTGCCACGTTACTCAAAAATAGAGGACTTCATAGAGTTTGGCTGGATATACTCGGAAGCATTGCGCAAGCTGGTGAAACCCCAACGGATGTGTGCAGCATAGAGATTTCCACGTCCGAATCCTTAGCAAAGTGCCATGCCAACCCAGTATCGCGCTGGAAGGCGCGATCAACGAGAATAACGTCAACATTATCCTGGGAAAGGATCTTAGCCGTTTCACCATTGTTGATCATGCTGACAGCAGCAACAGCCAACTTATCACCAACGGCTTCTTTCACCAACGTGGCCCAGAGATCTGAATAAGCAAATACGTGGTCCACTGAATTAGAGCCCATTTTTAGGAGATTTGCATTTATATGTAGGGGTTCGCTGGCATTGGTACATTCCCACTTAACCAAATGCCGAAATATGGCATTCGGGATCCAACTTGCCATCAATACATGGAATATGAAACGTTTGCGGCTTTCGCTGGATATTGTGAGGCTGTAACCAACCATATTCGATGATCAGCACAAGGGTACTATACGGCATGTTCAATTCGAAGATATTTAGCTCTCAGCGTCCTCCGAGTCCTGGAGGTGATGTCCACAGCCCACGATAGTGATGTTCGGCCTTCAGAGCTAGTTGAGTTCATGTCTACTTGTCCAGTATCACTTTCTCGCGACTCCATTCCGCGGCTAAGGATAATGGCGATCGGCCCCAGTAGTCCTTTAAGGTCACGTCTACCTGTCCAGTCCGAAGTAATAAGTGTTTGCAACGGTTGCATAGTTACTCGAGAACAACCAATCATAAACTAACTCGTGGGCTGCCGATCATATTTTAGCTGCTGCAAGTCTTATCAGCCAGCCTACCATGGATCAACGATCGATTTCACGGGTAGAAAGTCTAACTTCCCATCAAATCGACGTCATCATTCCAAGCGGCTTATAAGCTTTGAGTTTACCCCCTTGCTTGAACACCGCCTTCCCGTTCCCCGCCTTGTGCGACCTTGTGTGGCATGATTTACCTTACCCACTTTGGAGTTAGCTCTACGACTTGCGCTCACAACTATCGGCACCCCACTACGCTATGGGTAGCAGGAAGTTTTCAAAACCACCGGTCAAGGTAGCCTGCCTTAATTGGTATGTCTTTGTTATCGCTGTCTCCCAAATGGATACCTAGCTGAGATAAAATGCAGTCGCGTAGCCAGGATTCGATGCGACGGACAGAAGCCCTGTGGCCTTGTATGCTGATCCCCTTCCGTGCGACTAGCATCTATCTGTGCCGACAACTAACAACTAATTCTTTGAGCTCAGTGTGCATCCAAAGGCAAAGAATGCTCGTATGTGCCCAGTAGACGCGGAGGACCCCGCAGGAAAAAGCACCAAAGCCATTCTCCCGAACCTCGTATACAACAAGATGATGCGCAACATCCAAACTCGCTGTTGGACCCCAATGTCGACAAAAGTATATCCTTTCCTCCCCGGGTATCTCTAAAGACATCTCTAACCATCATAGGGCCATTTATGTTCGATCAATTCGATTTGTTATCTATACCTGCGGCGGGCTTGCAGGCTCTAGATCCGATGGATCTCTCCCCCTCTCTCAAGGTTCCGATACCGTCGAAAGCGATCAATTTCCTACGCGGACAGACTCAGAACCGTCACTCTTTCCCGAAGGCCCCAAATGCTTAGTAAGAGCGTATGGGGGTGAGCTAGAAATGTAAGATGTTCTTCACTCTCAGTTTCTGCCCTCTGACATGGAAGGCAGATTAAACGCCTATTACGACTTCATTCATGACTATTTCCCAATTCTACCGCCTAGGGTATCGCCACCCTTGCCCGATGAGCCAATCGACAACCATGCTCCGCATGCTGCTTTCCCGCCCAAAAGCCCAGCGATGCTCTATGTACCTCAATCCCCTCTTAGCCTTGCCGTATCAGCAATTCTGGCTTTGATCCCGCACCCCGAGGACCCGGAACCACTTTCTGAGAAGTCTGTGATGCAACGGAGGGCATATGCACATACATTTGCTGCCCTTGCAAGCTCGAAAGCCGAGGCAGATTGGGATTTCGAGTCATCATGTGATCTTAGCCAACCATTGCCAACCCAAGAGCCTTCAATTCCCCGAGGAAGATTCCATGATCACACACCGGTAGAACTGGAAAGCATTTTGGCTTTGTTGGTGCTTTCGGTCTACGAATATGCACAGAGGGGAAATCTGTTGAAGATGAAATCCCGCGCTGGTCAAGCCTTGTCGATTGCTATGGACAAATCCCTCAATCGTTGGATGGTTGAAGATGGAGATTCGGAAGCCCGGCGAAGGGCCTGGTGGATGACGGTTCGAACACCTGATATTATTCAAATTGACTACATGAGGTTTCTGATCTCTATAACAGTACTACTGCTTTATCCAATGCTCAATTGTCAGCTCCACGGTGAGTACAGAGCGACCTCTCGAGTTTATGTAACTAACAAAACAGCCGCTCACGATTACCATCAATGACCCTGAATTCAAAACTCCATACCCAAGGTTCTCGTCAGATAAAGAGGTCCGTCTGCTCCTCTTGGTCTATCTCGGCTTTCTTGGACATGGCTTGCTAACTAATTCTAGGGCTGGTCGATCCTAATTCAAACGCAGCAATTGCTGGTCTCAGCCACTCAATACATCACCGAGCTCGACAAAGCACTTTCGTCCCGCACAAACCTTAACCCCATCTTCCAGGAAATGCAAAGACTCGATGCTTGGGCAAGATTCATACTCGCGCAAGTGGACCAGCTTCCCACCCTCGCACGCGAGCCAGATAGAAGCGATTACAGCGAGATCATCACAGCCAAAAGCATCCGCGCGATGTCGCGAATCAAATTGAGCAGGTATGAAAACCCGGTATAAGCCGTCTTGAGCTCAAATCTGATCCGCTTAATAGCGCCCGCATAAAAATCCACCGATTCCGTGCCTTCTCCGATATTCCAATTTTCATAAAGAAGCATTGCGATCTGGCAGTCGCTTATACAGATGAATCGAACTCTCATACAGATGGAAATGCCGTGGTAGCTCAGGCCGAGACCGAAAATCCATCATGCCCATGCAGCAACCTAAAACCATTCCAAGATGCCTCGTCCGTCGAGTCATCCTTCCAGCCTAGCAACTCAAATGCAGATTCTTCAGCCACGCAGGGACCATTCTTGCTAAACTTCCCCTATAGTTGTCAACACTCCACGAAGGTCTGTTACCAGGCTGCGATTGTCATTTCGAAGATGTTTGAGAGTCTGCCTATTCCACATCCTCTACAAAACCAATATCAACAGCAGCTAAATCGCAGAATACTTCCCCGAACAATGCCATCGTTTGCCTGTTGCCTCATGCAAAGCAGCTACGCTATGCTTATGTTGTTCTATAAAGCTCGTGTGGGTGTGGGGTTTTGTTCAGGGCCAGATGAAGAAGACACCGAAACCTCCCTTGCAGAACACATAAGTGAGCTGCGGTATGGTCTACGACGTACGATCACTGCGGCTTCAAACTACTCACAAGCGTTTGAAGCATTGAAAGGAATGAGAGGTATCATAATGGAATCCTTGTTGCTTGAAGACCCTTTGCTGACAGTTTAGCAGACGAAATTCGTGGCGCATATGAAACCGCTTTCCCTGAAGACTTCATGGGCGGAGAGGCCACTGCTATCTCTGCAGATGGCAATAGAATTGGTGTTAATGGTTTCAATGAGACCGTGAATGGAACATGACATACAGAATTATTTATGAAAGGGTGTAAACCCATGTCCTTGTCATTAAATAAAGTCTTGGGGTCCGCACCTGTCAACCATGCCAGTCAACTGGACAACCTTAGAATCCATTGATTTTGGGGTACTCTATGTTTGTGTCATTCTGCGTCGGTATAAAGGATTAGCGATAGCCCATCGATTTTTTCCCATTCCTTTCCACGATGCAATGTTTCATGCAAATCAGCGTGCACCCCCGCAACGATGACACGAACTCTCTGAACCTCTTGGGGGAACAACTTGGGATATCTGCAACTCAGCGGGTGACTACCTGCATGCAATGGCTTCTTTCGGCTTTTCTGCCGTGAAACTCTTAAGGCTCTGTTTGGCAATTCCAGCCAACCAAGCTGGATGTCGAAAGAATTATTTCAATCCCATGAACCTCATCCGCGCGGGAAATTGCCCTGCCCGGCACTTTGGCCGTAGACTTAATAGGGCCTATGACTGGTCTAGAGAGATGCTTGTTTTGGACGAGAAGTGAACTAATCGCGTAGAACGCGAAAAGACACTATATATCATCCAGAACCAGAACTGCACGGTCCAATCAAAGGCATACGGTATCATCACGTGCCATCTAGAACGACCAGCCCTTTGCTCTTTTCTATTTCTTCCACTCCTTTCTTCTCCTGTCCCAATTTATATTCATTTATGATGGAAGGGCATCCTGTTCTTCTGAGACCTGAAGGCACCTTGTGTATCATCATGCTTGGAGGTTCTGGTCGAGCTACTGCTTGAAAGACATGATATCCGTGTCAATGCAGGAGGTCCGGGCGAGCGCTCTCCTCCTTTGCTCGACTACATAATGTCGAGAGAATTTTGGAAGATGCTGATGGTGAACTTATCAATGTATTTTTGTTGGAGGAGATTTCTCAGTAATAGATTCACGGGTCTATGGAGGCCGTGAAAAGGATTCACATTTCAAAGGAGTTTTGGGGTACAAGATGATAAAAACATAGCAGTTGATGATGATAATGATGTTTATATCCTCAATTGGTTCGATATATCTCACTTTATATACATGATTCGTCTAAGTATCACATTTCTGGTCATCATATATGCTTAGGTTGTCTCCGAGGAGCCATGTCCTTTAGGTCGCTTATAATAATGCTGTCGGTTCTGCGTCGTCACTCTTATAAGACATACATAAAGTCAGGACGAAGGTCACCCTGAATCCACTTCTGGTCATCCGTCAGAGCGTTCCACTTCTCATCCAGCTTACCAGCTCTTCGATCTTTGTTCATCTTGCGAAGTCCAAAGTGCATCCAGATCGAGCCGCCAAGCAAAAACACAGTCAGAAAGCCAAGAAGAACGCCGTGTCCAGTGTAGTAGCGGGGCTTCTGCTGGGCCAAATAAATGTTGGAAGACACGACACCATTCAGGTTTCCCCAGCCGACGACGACGCCCAAGACAAAGGCACGCTTCAAAGAACCTTCGGTGTTGTTGTTCAGCCACGAGAGGGTGTTCGGGATGGTGGGGTAAATGCCCGCTGCACCGAGGAAGACAGCGACGTATTGCACAGTTGGATCGGAACTGGCAATCAACATGGCGAAGCCAACAATAGCAAGCAAAACAGTGGCAATATTGCAAAGGCCTCGTTGGCGTGTGCGATCGGCGTAGAAACCAACACAGACGGTTAAAGCGGCGGCGACAGCATAGGGAGGAACAGATAGTAGCTGAGCTTTGGTTCCTTGGTGGCCCATACCGGCGATAATCGTGGGGAGGAAAAGAGAGAAGGCGTACAGAGGGGTGAGGCAGCCCATATAGATGACCATGTATCCATATGTCTTCCAGTCTTTCATAGCAGCGTACATATGCCTCTTGTCCGAGTCCTCAGCAGTACGGCCCTGGCGATCCATGATAAGACGGCGCTGAACGCGAATGCGATCATCTACGCTGAGGAAACGAGCTGTCTCGGGCCAATCAAAGACAAGCCACCAACAAAAGCAACCCGCGACGACAGTAGCGAGACCTTCGAGGATGAAAATCCAGGCCCAACCGTCCTTGCCGCCGAGTCCATCCATCTTTTCAATAGCGGCAGCGAGCAGGCCACCAAAGGAGCCGGCGAGTGCAGCAGCCGAAAAGAAGATGGAAGAGCGGATACCGATCTCTGAGCTCTTGTACCAACAGGAAAGATAGTAGTTTACACCAGGAAACAAGCCAGCCTCAGCCACACCGAGGAAGAAACGGGCAGCAAGGAGTCCGGAATTGTTGGTGACCAGACCCATAAGAGTCATGATAACGCCCCACGCAACTATGATCACGGTGAAGAACAGACGAGGGGTGATCATCTTGAGCAGGGCATTGGTGGCGGGTTCCATGACGGCGTAAGCGACAAAGAAAATTGTCAAGTTATTATTGTAATCTCCTTTGATCATGCCGAGGTCGTTCTCGAGGCCAGCCAGACGAGCATTGCCAATGTTAGTTCGATCGAGGAAGGACAGCAGGTACAAAAAGGATAGCCAAGGAATAAGGGCCATGTCAACCTTCCACATGAGCTTCTTGTCCTGTGTGCGACACTCACGTTAGTCCAATGTTCCATTGTACTGCGTCCAGTGAAAAAAAAAAAAAAAAAAAAAGTCCAACTCACGATTTGGCGACGCTCCTCGTCATTCTTACCCGCGTCCGGATCCGACAGGTTGGCCAGCAGCTCCGCACGCTCATACTCGATGTCCGACATCTTGACCTTCTCCATCTCGACGGGGGTTGAGGGTTTCTCGACGTCCATCATGACTTGACTAGCTGTTGATGGCACCTGTGGAGAGACTGTTAATCAATGGAAACAATTGAACATGTGGCGCCAAGCCAGAGGGAAAAGATTTACCAAGAAGTTGAAAGGAAATTGAGTGGGATGATCTTGAACGGGGGATGGTCTCGGTCCTTTATAGGGCCCATGTTCGAATAATGCCCAGGTGGACCACAACTGCTGACATATCCCCAGGTTTTGAATGCGGGGAATGATCCAGAATGGCGAAAGGTTGGTTCTATATAGAGTTCATGTTCGAATAAGGGCCCACAACTACTAACAATCCTCGGGATTTTTAGTTACGTGCACAGACCTGAAGCGGCTTGTTAATTCGTCCGGTTATCGTTCGGTTTGCCCCCACGATCTTGGCATGCCGAACGATACTGACATTGGCTTCGATGGGGGTGGGCCGCACTTGAGCGGACTTAGACGGCAGGTCACTACGACCTGGCGGCGCGGAAAGTTCAATCTCAAAATTCGCTCCGTCTTTATTCCATCCCGGCGTTTGCTTGTTTGCTTGTTTGCTTGTTTGTTTTTTCTTTTTCTTTTTCTTTTTTTATTTGCGAAAGGGAGAGTGTGTGGGATTTATCTAGAGAAGATATATGGGTTCTCCTGGAATAAGTGCGGGATTCTGAAGGCGAGTTATGTGGGGATCTACCACGTTATGCCCCTAAACCTTACTCGAAGGTTACAAGGTTTTGATTCGTTCTTCGGACAAGGGAATGTCGCTAATCTACGCCTAAAAGATACGGTCCAAGGTTTAACTTCATTGAACCCGACCATGATTAAACCGTAATCTAGAACAAATTACCCCGTAATTAGGTCCTCCGACGATATCCGAGGACCTTACAAAGGCCCTTTCCAGTAGAAATATCTGTTTATTTCTGATTCCCTGGGGAATGAACTCTTTTCCTACCAGAAAACAAAGTGGGGGTTTTCCTTGGCAGAGCGGGATTTATCTGGGGAAGCCATCTGTCAAGTGCGGGATCTTTACGGTTGTACCTTTAACCTCCTCACTATCATGTCTGATCAAATTGCGACAAGTGCCTATGATAGTCCACAAGCCATTTCTGGGCCCTTGTATAGTCCATTCCCAGAGGATTTCACCGAGCGTGCCAGTATTACTGGGTCCTGCTGGCCAGAACTTTAGAGCTATCTCGTCTCACGCCCAGGTTGTCAGCCCATCCGCTCAGGCCCAACTTGGCTCCCCAAAAAATACAATTATAGTATCAGCATCTCTATTCTTAAACTCGAGGTCAGCCAAGAATTTTCTCTCCGGCTGTATTCGAGATGTGTGCGGTGTGAAAATATTCGGATTACCGTGGTAATTATGCTCTATGATCTGATTACCGATTCCATCAAAAAACTGCGCCTAAATTCAAAGACATGATATCGACTTTTCTGCAATGAATCTACCTACTATATCAATCTAGGCGAAACTAGAGTGATCTATTCAGCCTTTCCAGGAAGCGTGCATCCATCTCTTAGGAGTTGATCAGATACATCTTTCTCCCAGTAGCTAGAAAGTGGGCTGAAGTCCCGTTGGGTACGTTACACTCGTCATGATATAGGAGACGTCCTCATTCGTCCCTGACAGGACTACTAACATAAGGCTTGTTATTCGCATAGCACTGGACTTCCTGTTCATCAGGAAGAGTGCCATTTAGAATGTAAGCTTTAGCAATTCCATCCGTGCAGTCTGACCTGTCACGCATAGAGCTATGCCCATAAGCATGATTAACAATCAACCGGGCATTTTGGTCCATTTCCGCAAGGAGCCTTCTTCCATTGCGCAAGGGAGTTGCAGGGTCATACGGCGAGGCAATAAGCAAGGCGGGAGTCTTGAGAGTGTGGTTGAGATCGCCTCGATACACTTCCGAAGGACGACCCCAATAGGTACTGTAATGTCGACAAGGCAGAACTGAAAAGAACCGAGAGTTGCCAGCAATCCAGCTCCGGTTGGACATGGTATCCCACAGCTGATCCCACCAGTCAAGTCCGTCGGGGAGGGGCGCATCATATGCATCGGAACAGATCACGAGAAGATCGAGCTCACTGGAAGATGGGAGCTGGGGATATGATGGCTTTTCAGAATGGTCGCTCCATGAGAGGGCTAGGGATTCGGCTGCTAGAGTTGCATTCCCTGCTTCGAGCTCGGAGAGCATTTGTGCCGTACGCGGCCAGTCCATCGGCCTATACATAGCCGGGTAGAGAATCCTCTCCACGAGTGCTGAGTAAGTGACCAGGGACGGTCCGCCTGACTCCGTATACGCAGATTGAGGGCGAGCTTTGAGGGACTCAAGTAGTTGGTTCATGCGCGCTTCCAGTTGTGTGAGTATGACGGGGCCATCCTGGTTTGGAGCAGGATAGGCTAATGCACACCACTTCGGACCGGCGTTGATACACTCCCCCAGGAACCCATCGCGCCAAGCATCTGTCGTATTGTCGAGAGCTGTCCAGCCGAAACCGCCTAGGAGGCGATGGTCCCTGACGTATTCTGTGCCGTCGAGGATCAAACGGCCCGCTCGGGTGGGAAACATGTTGACATATGTTTGACCAATCCCTGTACCATAGCTGACCAAGTATCCTGTGACTTCGTCTTCACCAAGTGCTTTTCGGATCTCCTCTAGGTCGCGCGCCACCGACGCCGTGCTGACGAAGCGACCAAAATCGCCCAGCCGTTGCTGGCAGGCAAAGAAAGTGGCGTTGTTCATGGCATCCACCGTCTCTAGTTGGGATTTTGGGGCTTCCTCACGATATCGGAGTGCTAGGAGTGACCATCGGTCCCGGAAGGCATCTTGAGGGAAACATGCTGCGGCGGGGAGGGAGAAATTCACACCACGGGGGTCCCATCCTAGCACGTCTAGTTGCCCGTCACTGAAGCGGTTGGTCATTTCCTCCGCCGTCTGCCAGAGAAAGGCTGTTCCGCTTCCTCCTGGGCCTCCTGGATTTATGATGATAGTGCGCTTACTCCTATGGCTGTTGGGTGAAATGTTGGGATCATTGATATGAGCCAAGCCAGCGACTTGGAACTTGGTAACTGCAATGCGGACGATACGAGGGTCTGAAGAGTTGTGATAGTCGAGTGGGAGATCCAAGTATCCGCACAGGTAGATGCCGCCTGTGCTACCCCAGCCCCAGTGGCTGGGATTGGGGTCGAAGAGAGCGGCCCATGATTGCCGCGGAGTAGGATCGTCAAGCGGTGGCGGACGACTGGTGTTAGTGCAGGGAAGAAACTGGAATGGGTCCTTCTCTTGTGGAAATGGTCCATAGGGCGAGACTTGGGCTTGAGGATTGTCCGGAAAGACCCAGCGCTTCGGAAAGAATCCACCGAAATGCAAGCCGCCCAGCACAATGGCTGCTGCCATCCAGAAGATGATTCTCCGGGGCCATGTTCGAGTCTGAGATGTCGAGGTCTGCTGCTTTTCATCCATATTTTCCAGAGATGGTTAGTCCTGCCCGAAGCAAACGGTGAGATAAGCTTCAAATTGACGTGACCACGCTAAGCCTAAATTTGCAGGGTTGGTGTTTACTAGTAAGGCAACACCTAAATCACATTACTCTGACTATTTCATGTATACGGGTTTCTATAATTTCTCAATTCCATTATTTTCTTGAAATTAAACCCCTCCAAAATCAAATGAAGCCGAGACGCCCGAAAGTGAATTTGTCACAACAGTGGCTTGCTGCACTATAATATATGAGACAAACAAATGACTCTGCTTCAGCGAGCACTTATTCTTCAGGATCTTCTTGTCCGACAGGAGCGTCTATATATAGTTTTCTTTGTCACTTTGAAAAGATAGCAGTCGAACATAGGGAGTAGAACAAATTAGACAGACTGGCATGCATGATCAGTGATTTAGCCTTGCTTTTGACTTATTGAGATCCAACCCAAGGGAGAAAATACGCCCAGATGAAGTTGCGACCCAGAGGATACGTTCATGTGCTTTCCAACGGCCGGCAGCCATAGCAGCTTCTGGCCGGCACTGATTACCCACCCACCGACCACTTCAAGACGATGATGCCGTTGACCTAGACTTGGAGAGACCTTCCCGTCCTTCTCCGGGATATTGAAAACACCATTCTATGTTATGAGATGGGTGCTGTCGTTAAGAGAAGCACAGCGACCGATTTGTTTTGTCTACCTTCAAGGTAAGTCGCAGTGCATTTGGACCTTCTTTGTCTAGATCCCAGATTTGGATGGTCTGATCAGCCAAGCTGCATGCTAGCTGCTGGCCATCCACGGTCGCATGAATATCACATCAGATCGTTTGATGATTCAACAGACTCAAATTTCCCTTACCATAACATAAATTCTTGAACCCCAATTTACGCCCACTTCTCAACACGCACATGCTTGATCTCTGCCCCTTTAATCAGCCCCTTGATCTTTCCAAATTCCTTAAACCCCTCAGACTCTGCAAATGCAAAGTGATCCTTGACTTCGTTCCACCCGCTGAAAAGCACATATTCCTCATCGTCTCCTTCCTTATCAACACGCCATCCACCGCAATAGATAAATGGTGCCGTATAGGTACCTAAGTGAGGGACCCCAGTCTTAAAGACAGTGTCAAATTCGGCTTTTTTCTCCGACTCGACGAAATATCTGCTTATAGCTAGGACTGGAGCCTCAAGTGGGATCCGAGATGTCGATGGCTTAGAATGTCAGCGTATACTTTTAGTATAGATATGTGTCAAGCATAGAGCCGCGCTGGGGTATCCCGCTGAGGCATAAAATGGGTTTACTCACATCAACATCCAAATGAAACATCCACTTCACTTCTAGGCTCCCCGCCAATTGCTGAAGCAATGTCTGGTTGGTCTCAGAAGGAATCCACTGGTTCATATGTTTTTCAAATGACTCCCACCCGCCTAGCAAGTAGACACAAGCTGGATCTTCAATTTGACGCAAGAAGTATACTTGGTGGTTTGAATACTCAGCCTGTGCCTGCTGCGCTCCTAAGAGACCTGTTTTGGTGGAAGTGGAGAGGTCTTCGGTGTTCAGGCGGAGAAGGGCGATCTCGGTGACCGGCATTGTAATCCGTCTGTACGATAAACAAATCGGTCCAAGTTTAATATCTAGGGGAAAGTATGTTGAATAGATGAGTAAGGTCGTTGATCATCTTATAATGGTCTCTTTTATAGTTCATCGGTTTTAAGCCGCTCGCAAGCGAGAGATGCCGAAGGCCGAGGGTTTAAAGTGGGGCCTTTCGGTGGTGCTTCAGTCGGTGCTTGGGCATCAATTGCCTAATTGGTCATGTTTTAGCTTGGTTCAGGCCATTGCATTCGTCATGAGCAGTTGCCTTGGGTCTACTAGTCTGTTGAGATGACCAAGCCTAAAGTTACCTATATAGACCTGGGAGGCAACACTGACGAAGTTTCGTCACAGTTTGGTGTTTAGACAACATCTTTAAGGAGTGCTTCTTGCAATAATCCCAATAAATGATATGTTTGTTTTGGCGCTGATTGTGACTAACAGTTTTTGAAGTCCTGCTCAGATATTAGACTTGCTTCGGACAACTCATCCACTAGGCAAGGGATAAGTATTTGCTCAAACTGCTGTCTCAAATACCCCGGACGATACTCAGTCCAAAATTTTTGCTACTCGCGAAAAGAGCCCGGCGCAACAGATTAAGAAGTATATATGTATATTGAGAGAGACTGGTTTAACACCAGGCTACCTGTGATCGGTTTGATCCCAAGCCGATCACAAAATCCATCAACATTGAACGGTTCCAGGTAGTTCTCGGGAAATTGCTTATAGAATGTATCTGAAGCTTCTGTTCTGAATATCCGTCTCATCCACTTGAAGTACCTCCTCATCCGGACTTAGGCTGATCTGACGAACTTCCTCGGGGTCAATCTTGACGCCCTGCTCCTTATCCCGGCGAGAGTTCTCCCACATAAGATAGAATCTGAAGCCGACTAGTAAACCGATGGTAATTGCATAGCAAACCAAGATTGTAGTATAAGCGGTCTGAGAGCAAGATGTCAGCCATCGATCCGAGCTTACTTTCACTAAAGAACGGGAATGCACGTACGTGATAGTTTGGTGCCTCCGCCGAAATGAAGAATTGCGGTCCGCTTAGATTTCCTGCACAATAGCCTAGGAATATAAAGGCCATGACGGTCGATTTCTTCGTGAAGCCTGCAATGTTACTGGCGGCCAGAGACAACATCAATGGGAATGCGGGAGCGACTGCGGTGACAAGCCAGAAACCAGCGAGTCGGGATATCTTCTGGTCTGGAGGTAGAAGCTTTACCATGAGTATCCCAGTCATTGCCACCAGAAAGATACAAATGAGCATGATAAGGCGGGACTTTCGAATTGCTGAAGTAAGAACGGCTGACAGAATGACCGTGACGAGCTGGAAACCTGAGGCTGGCAGTCCCATAAGGATTGTCTGGAATTTATCGTAGCCGAAGCCGTTGATGATTAGGGTACTGAACTAAGGATTCTGTTAACCATGTACTCTTCGTGTGCAGGGAATGGTCCTTACGCTCGTTGTGCCTCCGTTTGGCACACATATGACAAATGAGAAAAAGAAGAACCACCATGACTTGATATCCTTCAGGCTCTCTATAAACTGGCCGCGATCCCATGTCTTGGTCTGGATAGTCCTTTGGAACTTGTACGGACGTAGTGCAGCGAACTCACGTTCGGAGGGCGAGAGAAACCTAGCAGTTTGTGGAGAGTCAGGTAAATAAAAGAACGTTACGATAGACCACGCGACCGTAATAAGGCCGAAAAGAAGGAACAGAAGCTGGGGTAGTTAGATACAGAGCTTCATGAGGGTGTCTAGAATATCGAACCTTCCATTGGGATATACTCCCTTCATAATTCAGAAGGCCGTAGGCAATTAGAGAGCCAATAATACTGGCTATCGCATTTCCTGCAAACCAGATGGAGTGCCGCGAGACATGCTCTCTAGGGGTGTACCACATTCCCGTAATAAGAGAGAATCCGGGGCTAATAGCACTCTCGAAAATACCCAGAAGGGTCCGGAGTGCCATGAGACTTGCATAGTTATTGGTCACGGCGTGGAGCGTCAGAACAACACCCCAGAGGAAACTGTACTTGTAAGCTTAAAAGAAATCTCCAACAACGATAATGTAGGCTTACATTAACACACTGAGATATTTACCCAGTGGAAATTTGATGAAGCCGAGTGATATTGGGTAAGACGCAACGAGATAGCCAATGTAAAAAATGCTGGAAGTCCAACTATATTGTTGGCCAACAAGGCTCTGTTCGCAGTCAGTGAGCGCGTACTCATGAAGTTTTGTTACTGTGAGGCACATACAAGGTCTTCTCGGACTCCGAGGATTGCAGCGTATGCGAGACTGGTCTCTGTTTTTGATCAGCCGTAGTACCAATATATCCCAAGAGGAATTTGACAAACTATCAAGGTATTGAAGACCGTAAGCGGTGATCAAGATCGGCATAAGGCTGTAAGTCAAGTCAAATTGAGTTCCATATTGAGGAAAGAGGGGTAAGATTACTGTAGATCAATTTTCCTGATCAACTTCTTCTCTTCTGCGGGATCAAGGGCTTCCGCAGTGCCGGATTCTACAGCGGATACATTTTCCTTTGTTATATCGGCTTTAGTGTCCGTACTTTCACTGTGGAGCTCCTTTGCTGCCATGATAGAAAGTTGAAGTGGGACTCAAAGCCACTGCAAACGTAACAAATAGAGAACCGGGGTAAAATAATGTTATGTTTAGTGAGCAAGGGGTGGCATGTAAATCTTATAAGAACCCGGGGAACGAGGTCCACAGGAGCCAGATAACGGGGAAAGCAACCACAACCAACCGCTCTGAATGAACAGATCGGCTGTTAAATCTGTACTCCGCATTTGTTTTCTTGGGGTCTGTCCTTGATAGACAACTGGGAGTGATTGGTCAGATTAATCGAGTGCCAAGGAAACAGAAAATGAGAGTAGACCGTAAGTAGTAAGTATCGACTTCAGTAGTGGCAAAAGTGGTTCGAGTCTAGACACGATTAGCTCACATGATAGGTATTTGATAACTTAGCTCTCTTGGGTGCTAGATGGGTATATGGCTTCTCGGTTGAGAACAATGTGTTGTATATGACTGCGGCGAAGTGAATCTTGACCTGATTTCTCAGACTGCAAGTTTAAACACGAAGAGATATACACCGAGTGTCTAGGTGGCATTAATAAATATTTTATCGCTAAATAACAGGAATTTCGAGCTTGCTTCCAAGATCCTCATGAGACACTGCGTCGATGATGTATCTCAATTCCTCCATTGAGACGCTGTGAAATTTTTGGTTCTCTTTCACCAAAGAAAGTAAGTTACTCAGAACAGGATCCGAAATCGTCTCCAGAATCCATTTAAGATGGATTGGATCGTAAGTCTCAATTCCGGCTATTAGAAGAGACCATTGGAACCGCTCAAGGAGCTGTACTGGCCCTGTCGCAACAGTGTAGTATGCGGCAGCAATAAGTTCGCATAAGATGTACTGGAACTCATTTGTGACAGGAAGCTGGCCAAAATGTGCGTCACGACTGCGATAGAAGTATATTTGGATGGCATGGAAGAATGTGACGGTCACCAGGGCCATAAGAGGGGGCGAAGACCTTTCTCTTCTACAACTGGTAATAAGATACCGAAGAAATTTATGTTGCTGTGATTCATTAGAGGTGAGCAATGCGCGTAACAGATTGAGACTTACTTCTTGAATCTGGGCGAGACTTCGTTTGATCTTTCTCTTTGCCTCAAGTGCCTGGACCTCAGGGGCCTGACTGTAGCAGTTGATGTCATGATGTATAGCAATTAACTCGAAATAGACCTTTAGAATGTAGGACTTCGGGGGGCCTTGGATGCCAGGCATGCGCAGGGCTATGGTTTGCTCATCAGACCATGTGAATATGGACCTCGATAATTGCCAGATCCTGTGCCGCTTCTCGAGATTTTCACTGACATAGCTAGCAAAAGAACCTCCACAGCCAAAAAAGCCACAAAATCCGTCTCTGTCGTAGAGGTAGGTGAGGATTCGGGATAGCAGCAGAGCATCAGGTGCCAAGGAGCTTGAACCTGCGCACAACTCATCCAGATTATAGCTCTTGACATAGGTGAGAACCGAAGCGCTCAGCTCCCGTAGCTTTTGTAAATTGAACGGGTTGCGGCGCATCCAAAACATATACATGTATAAGAAAGACAGCATGGTGCCTACATGGTCTAATTGAGCCAAGGGATTGAGTGCTTGTAGAAAGATCCGCGAGCCGTGTTGTAGATGATTCCATGACTCTTGTGGTGGCTGCTTGTAAAATCCCAGGTGTATAGCCAGTTCGTTATGGGATACAGCAAGGAGGAAGTGAAGGGTCATGGCATTCTGTAGTGCGAGGCCAAGGAACAAACAATGCGCCGACGAAGCTGCTTTTCGGGTTGACTTGAGAGGCGCGAACACAGTGCGATGGAACAATACGGCTTGTGTATCGCTACTCCCAAGTGAGGGCGCATGATTGACTCCTATGCCACTGGCAAGTAGGACAGGCCCCGCATCGGCTAGAAAATGGTGTGGTGGGAATGACTGTAGAGGAAACAAAATAGGAAATTCTGCATATTGATCATGTACAGCCATTGATATCGGTTCATTAAAGCCCATTAATTGAGCTATACCACTCTCGGTGGGATCAGGTGAAGGCAAATCGTCCGGATTGATGTGCACGCTTTCGCGATAACGATCCTCGGCGGTGCCTAGAGAGGCCGGCGGTTCAACTGTGTCACCGCTTATCTCCCCGGCCTGAGGCAAATCATTCAAGCTATTTCGGCTGACAGATTTTGGAAGAATTATTGGAGGAGCCCAAGCATCTTCTCGGTTCTTGATAGGACCGAGTCCCCGTCTCCTTGAAGATAGGGAGGGCGGCTGGGTGGGCCATTCACACTCCAGTTGGAGGCGGCCGCAGCGGTGACATCGTGGACGGTGCTCATCACACTTCACCTTTTTGAGAAGGCATGTACCACAGCCTGGGCCAGACAGTCAGACACAATCCGCTCTGCAGTCGCGTGCGGGGGATGGGTACGTACCGTTTTTGGATCGTGGTCCACGTTCAGTTCGACGTCGACGAGCTCTAGCATTTTCATCCATGAGCAGGCAGTGTTAGCAGCAGACTAGTCTCCATCATGGAACTTATCGTTTATCGTTGTTGTCGAAAGAAGAAAGGAGGTGCGGAGTCACTCCAGGTTTATCTCGTCGATTAATCTGGCCAATCACACATGATATCCACTTTATCCTCCTCGGACTTAACCCTAACCCGTCACCTACGAGCGATATGGATTTCACATATGGAAGTGAGCCGTCTTCTCAGATCCCCTTTCCCTTCTTCCCTCTACCTGAAGCTGCTATCATGGGGAATTCCATCTCTTACACCACCACAGACTGCCAAGTCGTCCTACACGACCGAGGACGAATCAATGGTCTTCAGTTTGATGACAAGTCACGGAGATTTGCAGGCATCCCTTATGCGCAGCCACCTATCGGTGATCTAAGGTGGCGAAAGCCCCAGCCTTTTCCGGACACCCATAGCTACTCATCATCCGATGGTGTCAGTCCGTACGACGCCACAGTGTTTGGCCCTGTGTGCCCTCAACCAAATTACTCGAAAGTGGTCAGTCAACATGTCCCAGAGCATGTTTATGATGAGGACTGCCTTCGGCTCAATATATGGACTCCCATTCCCGATCCCTCCAATCCAAACCAAAAATGGCCCGTCATGATCTGGTTCCACGGTGGGTGGTTCCAGGTTGGAGATCCTAGCCAAGAGGTCAGCATGGATCCGACGGAGCTCATATCCACTGGCAAGCTTCAGGTTGTTTTTGTTGCGGTGGGGTACCGACTCAACATCTTTGGCTTCCTGGCTGGTCATGCTCTCCTCGAAGAGTCCAATGGGGAATCTACAGGCAATTATGGACTTTGGGATCAGCGCCTCGCAATCGACTGGGTCCACAAGCATATTGATGCCTTTGGAGGAGATACCAGCAGTATTCACTTGACAGGGCGTAGCGCAGGCGCCTATTCAGTCCTTGCCCAGGCTTTGTATGATTTCAGGTCTGCTGCAAGTGATCACTTTCGATCCCTGGTCATGTACTCAAATGCCATTCCCACTCAACCAAAAACACCCCAAGAATGCGAAGCTCAGTTTGAAGAGGTTTGCAGGTACTTCAGAGCGCCTTCCACGTTGAACGCGATTGAAAAGCTCCAATTCATGCGTGGAATAAGTGCCAAAGATCTCTGTGCTGGAATAATGGAGCTTGACAACCACACTTTCCGCCCAGTCACAGACAGTATTTTCATTCAACCTGGGATATTCGAGTACTACAGAGATGGCTCTTTTGCAAAAGAATTCAAAAGACGAAACCTGCGCCTCTTCATTGGCGAGGTTCTCAACGAAGATACACTGTACGCGGTCACAAATGGCCCAGAGCCAAATATGGCATCCCTACAACAACAAATTGCCAACTACTACCCTCATTCTTTAACTACACGGCTCTTGCAACATTATCAGCCTCCAAAGTCGGAGAACAAAGAAGACTGGGCGGCGCTATTTGGCAAGATTATTGCTGATGGTCAGGTCAGGGCCCCATCACGTTATCTAGTTAAAATGCTTGTGGACAATGGTGTTGATATGACGAATATCTGGCGCTACATGATCGCCTACCGACTTTCGTTTATCACGGAAAAGGTCGCCCCGGGTTCCTTTGGAGTAACTCACGCTATGGACCGCCCTATTTGGAAGTAAGTTCTCAATCGTTTATCCGACTGTGTTCTTTATGTCTCCTAACATATGTGCCTTAGCTACTCTATCACGCACGGCCCGACTCCCGCGGAACAAGATTTAATGTCAAAGTGGATAGGGGATCTCTGTGCCTTCATTCATGGCAAAGAGGGGTATTCATATGGAACCTTCTCCCCGAATGAATATAAGGTCATGACAGGGGAAGGAAGGATCGTCATTCAGAAGGATGCGTTATGGGATGAGTTGATAAGGGCAATGGAAGTGTTTTCGGGATATTAGATAGCTAGAATGCGTTCAAGTTCCGTTGGTAATCATATAGAAATGTCTGTCAAGCGAAAGCTCATCGTACATAAAACTGGCACCAGCAACGAGGGGCAATCTTACGGTCATTTTCGTGACCCGTTCACAACACTCAAACCGTCTATCTCTTTCGATGCCCAGCTGTGCCGAGCCACCCAAGCCCAATTTTCTAACTTCCTAACCAGTCTCCGAGCGATCAACAATCCAACAAGGGAACTTATCAAGCGCCTTGACTTTGCCTTGCGCTCGGTCAATCTGTAAGGGCACTTTGTCGGCCACAGAAGCACCTGTTCTCGTCGTAGTGAACGCACCGAGTTGGGGAGACAACCGCAGGGAGATAGACTGACAGGGGAGGAGAATGCAGGTGAGCAGGCCCAGGAGAATAAATATTGTGATTATACTAGCCAAAGATATTGTCGGAATTTGTGTGTTGGTCCCCATATCGCAAGCGATTGTCAGGCGCCTTTAATATCTCCATCCACGCTTGGTTGCCGAGAGACGCAGCCGCAGTGAAGCCTGCCGCCAGAAAGGCTGCATGTATCCGAAGATTTCTATACGGCGTAGAATTTTGAATCAATAATTTAGGAGAACATCGTAGATCGATCTAGGTCTTTACTCGGCGCCCTGCCTTATCAGAGGGATATACTATGTGGACATAATAATCATTATGCGGATGTTTAAAATGCTCTAATTAGGTGTCAGATGTAATTGTAGGATCTACTATTCGACAATAGATTATCTTTTGGTCTGGGCCGTATCCCAGCCAGATCAGTGGTCAGTGTTTACAGTGACGTCATATCTATTCTACTACACCTCAACGGATAACTTTAAATCGACAATCCTTGAAACTTAATAGACCTTGGTTGACTTTCATCCATGGTTGTGCTGATAACGCGTGACAGGACACGGACCGGACCCTCTTTTGACGACGATGCCCTTGCTATTAGCCCTGCTTATACGCCTCACGCCGCAATATACAATGCTGATATTGGCGCTTCTTTATTTGTTCATTGGTTCACAGATTTTATCATCGTAATTGACCAATGGTTATTTCCTTAACACGTTCACTGCGCACAAAATGATCACTAGAGTTGGATAATCAAGACAATCCGCTAAGTGACAGAGAGGAAAAGGTCAAAAGGCGACCAAATTGTGAGCTTGTATCGAGTGCATTTAGAAGTCTAACCTAACCTCGATAGTTGAGCCACCACCGGTAGCCATATTGCTCGAAATCTCAGAAACTTCAGCGATCATATCCTGACCATCCGGAATCCGCTGGACTACATCATCATCGATGATGATTTTCATTCCATTTTTGACTTGGAACAGGTGTACTATATGATCCTGACTGAAGCGTTGTTTGTGGGATATCTTCGCCATCAATTCATTCGCAGTGCGCTCTCTCAGATACACCGCTGTGTAGTAATCATCTTGCTGTGCGCCGCTTTTCTGGAAGCGAAGATAGAAACATGCAACTAATTATGTATAAGTCAGACTATATCTTTTAGCTGGTTGGGGACTTAACCTTACCTGGTGGTTTGGGTTTTGAATTGAATGTCAATTCAGCCTTTCTAGTAGACAAAGCCGGAATTGGTGAATTTGGGTCTTTGCGGGACATGGGTGACCGGTGATCTGCCGAGTTGGATGAGAAACTTCTTGACACACTGCCTAACGTTGATTGTGGCGTCAAGGTTTGCAAAGTCGGTTGGTCCAATCGGTCGATTCTTTGCGTCTCGCCAGCTTCCATGTTGATTGGGAACAGATCCGGATCATCCTTCATACTGCCCAGAAGACAGAAATTGGTCACAGGTCGATTGGAATAAAATCTGTTCTGCATCATGGCCAATTCCTCCTCCAAGCTTTTTTGCAGCTGGTCCTTCCTCTCGTCTTCGAGTTCTTTGTCGCTCTTATAAATGACAGAGCGGCTTCCTCGTTTTCGCTTTCCGAGATGTTCGCCGCCGCTTTCGGCTTTGACAAACTCTTGCCTCCGTCTTTCAATTGCCCGCTTCAGCTGAGAAACGTCATTGAACATTTTTCGTTCAGCCCCGTGTTCACGGAACAGTTTCACTTTGCAAAAGCTTATCTCGGCAGGGCCTGGAATGACAGTCTCGGTTTTGGCGCACAACTTGATAGGAACCCCTTTCACTCCTTTTGTGTGGCTGAAGTCCGTTGAAAGGAAGTGGAAGCGGACCCCCATTGAGCAGCCTCGTCTCCCCGTGGTTGGGTCTGAGTACCATGTGACACAAAATCCATCCAGCGAGATCCTTTCTAGCTGGATGTGATCACAGGTTTGGCCCTGATTTTCTTGGAACAAACCGACGAACTCAATCGCATATAAATTGCCATCTTTCTGATATGCCTCATGGCCCCGAGTCTCCTTCCACAGGGCCCAAGAAGCGGCAGGGTTTGAAGCCTGTTCATCATCTTCGAAGGTTACGCGGATCCAGGTTCGATATCTGACAATTTGGTTGATCGCTGGTTGCTCTGAATCGACAATTGATAGAGTGTATATTTGAGCTTTATTGAGATATGTCACAGGTGGACGTTTTGGATCATGTATCATGGCCGTCGGCGTGTTCAGTGTCACCCGATACCTGAACCTAGAAAACCGTTAGGCTCTACTCCCCCTCGCTAGAAAATAGGGATAAATCTCACTGGTGATCATCGTGGCTTGGGTGTCTCATTTCCGGTGAATGGCTGTCTTGGGGCGTACCAAGCTGGGAGGTTCCATTCCCTCGATTGTCGACGTCGCCTGGAAAGGTTGTTTCGCTCGTTCCATCAGCAGCCCCGTCAGCTAAATCGGAGTGAACAAATGCGCTAGGCGGGTAAGCAGCATTGTAAGTGCCAGGAGCTATAGTTTGGGGTTCTTGTGCGAAGCATTGCGCGATTGAAGTATCATGGAATGGGTCGATGTTATTTCTATGTAGAGGAGTGACTGCGAATTGTTCAAGAAGCGTTTTCGGTGTCATGAAGTTTGACTCCACGAGTGGTGTGTGCAAGTCTCCGGCCGGGCCATGGAAGACTGAATTCAAGCCGCCAGGATTATGATTCTGGTAAGGACGGTTTGGATTTGGCGTGAGAATTGAGTGGTCATCAAGAAATGGCGTAAATCGGAGACCGGACTGGTCGTTCAGTAAGGGCGTGAAGCGAAGACCAGGAGTGCCTCGGGTAGAAACATGGTTCGGGTGGTTCACGGGGCTGTATAAGAAGCAAGGCAGGTTAGCTAATGCCCACAGTTCGGGCCCCTGGGGATGATATATTGAGAATTAACGTCGCGAACAAGGCGTCAGACATACCCAGGAAGATCGCATTTGGTAGGTCGGACAATATCAGAAAACGTTGCCCGGAACTTATTGATAAGCCCCTCGTCGGGCTTCTGGGAAGTCCGTCTGCATCAAAGCCCAATTAGCATACGCGCTCAACGGTCTGCAAAGCCCAGCATATTATCGTACCTTTTGCCAAACATTTGTACTGGTGGAATAACAAAATTGGAAAGTTAATGATTCTAGACTGGGTAGAGAACATTATGAGAAGGGTAGGAGAAACAGCGGGGCTTTTTTTAGAGCTCAGTACCACAGCCGAGCTGCTGCATCTATTGTAACTCCATATTTGAGGCATCGGTAGACTCACCCACCAGTCAGAATACGGTGGGCCGGACTAACCCCTTGCCAGAGTCCAATTGCACCGATCCACTTTCGAAATTTCCCCTAGATGTGACATCGGTGGGGCTTGACGGGCCAGTGAACGTCTGTGCATGTTATCCGACTTATTGCCGATCGTGCAGCCGCCTGACGTCATCTTGTCTTGATCCGTCTAGGATCACTTAGGACACCTCTACCCAATTAGCTTTAGCACTTTCTGCTGGAACATATGATTATTTGGAAATAGATATTCATTGCGTGCGTCGTTACTGACGGCTTTGTGGTATATATGAACATATCATAAGCCATGTGCCCGACCCGCGGGGGTAGTAAATAGGAATTGCGACATCGCCCCAAATTAGACAATAACCCGTCAGATCTAGTGCTTAACCTGTTCTGCAAGATTGTAAGTAACTGCTTACGCAGGCATCAGGCGGATCAACTTACCCTTGTGAACGTCGGCCTTGGTATCGTGAGACTTCTCGTCTTTCTTGTCGACAAGAGCATCCTTGGCAGCGGTGGCACGAGTGCTCAGCTTGGCATCGTCGTCCTTTGCGACCTGCTTGTTGCTCTTCTTAGAAGCCTCGGCACCAGTGCCCTGCACGGTCTCAGAAACATAGTTGGCGGCGTTCTATATCCAAGTTAGTATGTGTCAGGGTAGGGGCTGAACATAGTCACGAACCTTGACGGTATCCATGGTGGGAGAAAAAAGCTGAGGGTGGTTTTTGATGGTTTGATTGTTCTGTTGAGCTTGGTTAGAAATCTATATAGCCGGAAACAAGGACTATTTATGTCGTGGTTGAGTGTTATCTGATATCACACGACGTCATTCTCGATCGTCATACTCCTTACTACCCCAACCGGTCATGGTGGTCTAAAGACAGGAATAGTTACATGATCAAGATTGTGATCTAATCATGATCGCATATTCTGGTTTTGATTTCGCCGATCTACGGAGTTTCATCAAGTTAATTTCCTAATAATTTGCTTCGTGTATTGTGAGACCTCGAATATTATCTATATACCTGTTACTCCGAGCGCCTCTTTTCCTCCTTCCCGCCCGACAAGCAGTAAATGGTTCTGTATTCTCAATATACGGAGTACAGTACATTCAAAATCAAATCATATTATATATTTTCCATCTGCAAGCCAGAATGTGATCTCTGCCAACTCTCTACCATGTCAAAATCTCGAGGTGATTGGTGAAATCCTTGATTATCAAGAAATTCAAACTATTTTCATACTATATGTGTTGGGATTTTAAAGGGAAAGAAGATGAAGGACAATCTGCGAGCAGACAAAATGAGCCGATTGTTAAGGAAATGCGTACAAAAGACGTGGGACCTTTAGACAGCATCTATGCAACATCAAGTTTCAAACATTGAGTTATACAGAAGCGAGCTGATAGCCTCAATCCAATCGCGCCACAGGGGCATCCCCGGGATTAGGATGCTTTGGAGTCGCCGACTCAGTTCTTTTGGCCAAGGCATCATAAATGCTTTTGCCTAAGGCACTCAGCACTCAACAATAACTAGTTATCGACTAATACATACAAAGACTGGCCGAACATCTAGCTCCCATAGCTCATTCCTCGCCTGGGTTTCCTCCTTCCAGAAATTTGAAAAACGTAAGAAGGTTTTCATCGTTGTCCCTGATTGTAAATTGTCGGAACCCCCATGGTTTGTCTTCGATATCCTCAGCGATTTGCACGCCAGTTTGACCTTTCAAATAGGAGTAGTATTCATCGAGCTCATAAGTCCCTAGACCGACCATCGCCTGAGACGGCTTGAAGTTTTCAGTGGTCACTTTGGAGAAATAGAAGTTCGCGTCCGCCTTCTTGCCAATGAACATTGAGCAGAAAAACAGATCGGATTCACCGTCTTCTGGTTTGACGCTAGCAAGTTCGAATCCGAGTTTCTTAGTGTAAAATTCAACCGTGAGAGGGATCGAACGAGACTCAAACATAGGAATCACTTTCCATGCTGAGTCGACAATCTGAGAAGCCATATCAAGAGATTCTGAGGTTTTGTTACAGTAGAAGGCTAAGTCAGCTTGACATTACGCACAGCCCACTTTGTTCTTAGAATTAGCGCCAAGAACAAACTAGTACTAATATCGTTAGGTCAGGCTTTAATATTAATCCGGTCAAGTTTCTACGCTGCATCATTTACTTTATGGGCTCAGGGGTATGGTTCATTAACCACGAGAATGTTCTGGAGATTAGTGCCTGGCAGATCTAGGCCACTCGAGTAGACAATGCAAGTTCTTTTGTTCTTTTACTGTACCCTCATCCTTAAGAGGCAAGCATTACAGGGAACGGTTCAACTTAGACGGCAGCTAATACCTTTTGTTATCTTAACTAGACAGTGTCATAGCCTATGACTCTCTTTCCTATCTTATTTGGCTTGTCAGATTTCGCCCCATTTTCATGATGATGTCCACGAGGCTGAACTGACGAGGGCATTGGTGCTCGGTTCCACCGAATCCCTTCCTATTATGAGGCGATGAGCTACAATACGGGCCATGTTGAAGGACTGTCGCAACCTGAATCTTTTATGGGAAACGAGCCCGCTGTATGCCCCCACCCCCGGTTCCTTTGATTGGACACCCTCGCTAGCCACTTGTAGTCCTCAACCTATCTAGGTATTGGATGGATCTAAATTTCCCACCGTTAGGAACCACAGCCATTACAACTAGATTTTATTTGACCTTCCCTGATTGGGACAAGGAAAAGGCATACGATGAACACCCGCCGACTTAGATTTATTACCTAATTGAGTGGAACGTCCCTCTTAACACCAAGGCTATCATAAGGGTGACGGAGCCGGTTTTAGTGAGAAGGCTAAGTGTATTTTGGGAATTGCAAAGTAAGAAGGGACCAGTGCTACCTTAGTACCCCTCTATGCCCATCGGACTGCCAAGCCCTGATGCTAGGGCAGCACTATCTCGAGAATTGCTAGAATTATCTGCACAATATGGCACCGAGACCCCGCCCTTATAGCTATACTTCATTCGTGATATGATACAAAACGGTCACTAACTGCGTCTTGAATGGCTGACGCAGCTGAATGCAATGGAAGGACTGTCAAAAGTATCCGCAGGATCTTGCGACTGGTCAGAAACGTTCATGCACCCCAAAGTCATATCAGTTGGAGACGAAGCATAATACCGCCGATGCTAAAAATGCTACGCAGACGTCTGCTCGAAAAACTTCGTGTGTGTCTCGACGAGACGGCTATTTTTCTGTGGGATGAATTCCAGATGTAAGCACCAACCTCCCGCATCTGGAGAGCCCTCGTGTCCAAAGGCTGGTCCAGAAAGATCACTAAACAACATGTTAAACAGCAGAACGCCGAAGTGCAAGAGCCTTGTTCTCACAATCTCTCCAACTTTGAGTCGTTTACTACAGTTGAATTTGAAAACAGTTTTATACCTTAAGCACACACTTTGTTTCTCGGTCCGTACCCGAAACAGTATGGATCTATTAGGATAGTTGGGTAAGTTAACAGCCACTCACAAACAGGTTTTATGTACGACGTAGCCGAGTTAGGCTTCAACATATTTTGATTACGGCCTGAGAAACAAATTGTGTGTGTCCAAGGGGTAAACTGTTTCCGAATTCTAGCATGTAGTGGTATCCAACTACGAGAGACAGAGCTTCTGTGTCCGGCCAAGTCATTCGTCAAGCCTCAACATGATATAAATGTGTCGAAGCCGGTATTGACCAGGGCAGAAGGACGAAGCATTACAATTCAATTTATTTTCCAGTTACAAAGCCTCCAATATCAAAACTCTCTGTCAAAGCATACTACTACTTCTTCTGGTCTTCGGCGGGACAATGGATAACCTAGAAACCCCAGATGAGCTGGGGAAATGCGGAAACAAGGTACTTGGACTTACCATCTCCACATTATTTCCAATTGGATCCAAAACAAATGCCCCATAGTAATGCTCATGATACTCTGGTCTCAACCCAGGCTTGCCATTGCTGGTGCCCCCAGCGTCGACCGCAGCCTTGTGGAAAGCATCGACAGCAGCATGGTCTATCGTATATCAGTCAGTGGATATATAACTTGGATTTCTCAGAAGAAAGCCATCTGTAGGAGAGATATCTATGAGAGGTCATCATACTCGGAGCAGAAAAGGCAAAATGAAACCCCGACGGAATCGGCGTCTCCTTCTGGGTGATCCAGAAGTCAGGAAACTCGCTGCCCAGTCCGACCATACCAGGGAACCGCATGATTTCCTTGTAGCCTAGTGGTGAAAGAGCCTTCTTATACCATTCGACAAGAGGCTCGAAGTGCTTTTCAGGGGCGAGGATGGACATATGGTCGATGTTACTGGACGACATGGCTGTTGACTATTCGAGAAATAAATTCGGTTATAATTGGAGAGTGTGGGATAAGAAGAATACTAGAACTTGAAGGGTTTCTTTGCCATCTTTTATGGGTCTGGGAAAGGGAACAAAGACTTCAGACCTCGTATTCATCAATATCTACACGAACCGCATTGCTGCTTTGAGGATATGATGACGTCATATTCTTAGGTCTAATAAAAACAGACGGAATTAAAATGTTCGCTTTCCTTTGGGGACACGGCCCAGAACATTCTATAGATATTTACGGTATCTTACAATAAGGTATTGAACGCCAAAATCCAATACGTTATAAGACGCTAGGCGGCTGTGTGGGGGTTGTTGTTAGGACCCCCGCGAGGTCCTAGAGTAGCGGGATGAGTTCGGGAGATAGAGTCTATCGGCGAATGTATGTGCAGGTGTATTAAGAGACTAATTGCTGGTCCTCCACGCAAGGACCAGCGAGCACAATAAATACATGGTGCGTTTAGCTAATGTACTTAGCGACATGCACGGCCGTCATGGCCCATGCGTACGATCAGCTGCCCTCGCAATGCGAGGGCCAAGGCTTCGTTGTATACCTTCAGGCATCCATAAGGCACCTGGCAAGTCGGGGTCCTGACAGTTGTTCTTAAAGTAACTTAATACGGATTAGTGTGGTTTCGGGTATGGGCCGAAAAACAATTCGTGGGTGTACATCGGGGAAGCTATTTGAATATTGCTGTGCCTGAGTATCAAGCCGTGCCCACAAGTAAAATCAGGCCCATATCTGAGATCTTGTCAGTTGCCTAGGTGTGAGGGAGGAAGGATCTATGACGATAACTCGCCAACCTGTATACTCTACCGTACAGCATAGAGTAACAAGTGACAGTCAACAATAGGGAGATGTCAATCGATATGGAGAAAGAATCCTCACCGCTTGCCGCTTTATTCTCACTGTGATCTAATTCGGGGTACAAATAAGCCTTGGCGGGATTCCCATTCGTCCTATGGGAATTCCTGGGAAGGACATACTCGCGATTTCCCATTTTCCATTGTCCATGAGAAACGGACACGAAAGGTATCCCATGGACGGGAAATTGTCGAGGTCTACCTCTAGCGGGCTACCTACCTACTAGAATGTAAGTAAAAATAATCAAAAAATACCAGCCAAATCTCAGATATTTTATGTAGAGACGAGGTACATTATGCCTTTCTCTCCGGTACCAGTACCACCGAAAAGGGCCACAAATGAAGCCTTTTCAGCCTCGAAAGCATTCAAATGGCACTTGCGAGATTACAACCACAACACCATGGTCTCATAACTTGATAGGCCAAGGGTTGATTTGCTGTTGTATTATTTAACGTCCGACGGAGTCCAGGTACCCCCGGGTGACATCCCTTGAGATATGCGGACGTGCTGGGCTATGGAATTATTTACATATCTCTAGAGAGCAACTCGAGCCCGGAAGGCAATAGCAATTGGCTAGTTGAGAGTAATTTCTCCCGACTTGTCGATATATCCTCTGTTTATTTGTGACTACGCCCGTAGGCGTAGCGAGTAACTAAAATGTCACATAGAGTAAGTAGCACGAAGACTAAACAGGAGTTCAGGCCCCTGAAGGAGCTACATAAATATCGACTTCGCTCGCCTCAAGCAAAGTGGGTCTTGAGTTCATAGATATTTCGAGCCGACAATAGAATTCGACCCTGAGTCCCCTCGAATTTCCTTTCCGATAGCCCCCACTATCCTCTGCCTCTACTAAAAAAAGAACCAAATGGTCCTCTACCATTACATCCGGCAAAAAGAAACTCTCCCTCGGGGAATCGAACCCCGGTCTCCCGCGCTTATCGGTGTTAATGACAAGCGGAAATCATCACCACTAGACCAAGGAAGATGGAATGACCGAGTTACTGCTCGACCACTTGGCTGGTTGATAAAAACTAAAATTCTCATACGGAGACTTCAATTCTGGTCTGTATGGCCAAGAACTGAGGGAGAGAAAAAGTATGGTTTATTCACTATAAATGACGTTAGTTAGATCTATGTAGGATGAGGCGAGGAGCTCTTGAGAAACTAGGGTCGCCAAGTCGAGAAGCCCTAGTAGGGGCTGCATGAGTATCGAACAGAGAGCAAACCGGAGAACAGGGATGAGGCCCAAGACACAGTGGGCATGCAGCAAGTTAGGATGATCTGCCACGCGCTTGAAGCCCTTCAGTCGGTACATGTGCTACACGCCCCTCATCTGAGTAAGCTCGCCCTTCGCTTATGCCTCGATTGCTTGGACGTTCTAAAGCTTTTATCCGATACGATTGAGCAACTAGCCTACTCGGAGGCCAGTTCCACTTCGCACAGACGGTGTTCCTCTAGTGTAGGCTCACGCTCTATCAGGGATTGTCCAGTTCATGTAGCAACGTGCCCGGCGTGGCCCGTACGGTTTGATCCACCACCCCATGCTTTCTCAGAGAGCTTTCTCGCCCAATATCCAGGAGCCGTGTCCAATCTGCCTATAAGGAGCACCGGGTGAGTTTTCACAATTGCAGAAAATACCGTCTTGGGCTCAGGGACCGATTCTATATCGGTTAGCTTGGATGCTCATTCCGTGTCAGCAAACAAGTCAGTCCCGCCTGAAGGCTCTCGTTATGTATGATTATTTCCATGCACTCATCAAAAAAAAAGGGGGAGTTGGTTCTCTGCAACTACGTGATCAATGAGTTGATCGAGGAACAGCATTATGAATCTACTGTGGATGATATTCTGAAGGCGAGAGGAGCAGAGCAAAGTCTATATCAACTATAGAGGTCCTTCAACTAGCGTCTCTAGTAGTATCAGGTTCTGCATCCACAGGGCGTCTAAACCGCACCTCATTATACCTGAACTGCATTTACCGTCTTGTGTCCATGGAATCCTCAGTAGTAGGTGCAATCCAGATACACCAGAAGCACACTCTAAGCGCAGTTCACGCAGGATGCTCGCTTCGTCTTACCACCAAGAGACAAGATATATCTAGCTTTTATCTAACGTCTGTTTGACCAAGTACATTATAAAGGAAGCAAGGCATAAACTGAGCAAAGGCCTCTGCATACCCCATTCCGATAAATCGTTCTAGGACAGAGTTGCTCGATACGATCTATATTGAGTAGATGAAGATTTGTCGGCTTAAAGATCAACTAGAAAGACATTCATAATAGCCTATCAATTTCAAAAGGCACAGAATAGCAATTGGTTCCAAAAGCTGACTAGGCGACTAGAAAAATAGAAAGATGGATAAAAGTATACAAATCGGGCCTCCCTTCCATTTTCTCCATAAGCTTTCGCACTACATCGGCCAAGAAACAGAGGGATCACTGCGGCTAAATGCAAATATCATTCGCTGACTGGTTTATGGAGGGACAAAGTCCTTTTCTCCGGGTACTTGGTTTCGTTTTCCATTCTCGCATTTACTCAGCAGAGGAGCGGGTGGCACGCTTGGTGGCACCGCCCTTGCCGGTGTCGGCAGAGGAGCTGGAGGCCTCTTCCTTCTTCTCCTTGGGAGCACCAGCGGCGGCCTTGCCCTTCTTCTCGGGGGCGGGGGCGGGGCTGCTAGCGCCAATGGCACCGACGATGATAAGAATCATGGTCAGGAGGAGGGCACCAAGGCCACCGGCTACCTCAGGCAGAGCCTTAACGGCGTTGACGGGGTCCTCCTTAGCCAGCTCAACGAAGTGATTGACCTTCTGGCGGACGAAGGTGACGGGGTCCTCCTTGAAGGTGACAGTAGTGCCATCCTCCTTAACCTCAGGCTTAGGCTTAGAAGCCTCCTCCTCGGCCTCCTCGACGGGGAACTTGACATCGAAGGTCTCCTTGCGGAGCTTCTCAGCATCCTCAACGGAGTGACCAATGTAAATGTTGTCGAACAGAATGTCGCTCTGCATGGTCCAAATCTCGAAACCAATAGCGCCCATAGGCTCAAAGTTGGACGGGGTCTTGTCCTCGAAGTAGGCAGGGTTGTTGATCTTGCGGGGGGCCCAGACGCCCTTGTAGGCAGGGTTGTCGATGAGGGGAGCCTCCCACTTGCCCTTGTAGGCGGGGTTCTTGGTCATGGGGCGAGTCCACTCGCCGCAGCCAGAAACATCAGCACACTTGGGGTTGGGAACAGTAGGGGCGAGCCAGTCTCCATCCTCCTCATCATCCCAGTCCTCGGGCTTCTCAGCCTCGGGGTCGGGAATGCTGGTGGGCTCATCCTCGAGCCAGTCGGCGGGCTGAGTGGCCTCCTCGTCAGGGATCTCGAAGGGAGCTTCCTCATCCCAGTCAGCGGGCTTGGTAGCCTCAGGGTCGGCAATCTGAACCTCGTCCACCCAGTCGGCTGGCTTCTTGTCCTTGGGGTCGTCAATCTCCTTCTCAGGGTTGACGGGAGGGTTGAAGTCCTCAAGGAGGCTACCGGCCTTGGCAGACTCGCCGTTGATGAGGATCTCGAAGGTCTGATCGGGCTTGACGATCAGGGTGTAGAGGGAGGTGACCTTGTTGGTGCGGGCCACGGGGGAGTCTTGAGGTGCTTCTCCTCGTATTCGCCGGTCTTGGGGTTCTTGTGGCGGAAGATGAAGTGAACCTAGAGCTAATCAGTATGCAATTCGAAGCTCAAGAGTGTAGACTGCCGAACCTTGTTGGTAGCACCGCACTTGTCGGGACCAAACATGATGACATAGGGAGTGCCGTTAGAGAACTCCTCCTGGTGGAGCTTCTTGTTCTCTTGGAGAAGCTTGAGGTACGCACCACCGCAAACCAGAGAGTCTAAAGAGGACGATTTGTTTAGCGCATGAGGACGCGAGCAATTCCAGATGCCAACGACTTACTCTGCGGCTTGACCTCGTACTGAACAACCAGGGTCTTGCCCTTGTTGTCAATCTTCTTGGGGAACTTGGCGGAGATGGCGTGGTGGGCAGCGGCGTTCTTCACCACCAGACCCTTGTCACCATCGATACCCTTGAAGACGGAGGGCTCCTCGACAGCCCATTCGCCAACGTAGGCCCAGTCATCCTCCGACTTGTCGTCCTTCTTCGCATGGGAAGGCTTCCACCGTGACTCCCAGTCGTCCGTGAACTGCTCCAGGAAAGGAGCCTTGAGGCTAGTAGGCTACAATTAATTAACACGGGTCAGCGGTGGAAAGATAGAAATGCATTGGCAACATACAGTGAAGGTAGGCTTCTCAACAGCGACGGTGGCATCAGCTTCCTCCTCCGCATGGGCATAGCCCATGAAGCTAGCGGAGGAGACCAGAGCCGAGGTGAGCGCGGTGTTAAAGCGCATAGTGGCAGACTATAACAAAACAAAGAATGAAGAGTGGAGAGAAAAAGAGGAGAAGGTTTTATAGAAGCGGACAGTCAACACCGGGGGAAGGTCCAGGTGGCCTCTTCACTAAGCTACCCAATCGGGACTAGGGCGTGTACACATGGGGTTCGACGTTGTTCTATACTTCATAATATACACGTTGTCTTGTTTTTATTCTGTTTCTTCGATACTCCATAGTCTACTTAGCTAGTTATATAATACACTCCTTTGTTTTCTTCTCTGCTTTGTTCCGAATCTATTTGTCCCCAATTACGCGCAGATCCCGACTCCCCGCCCAATTTGTTAGTGGAACCTCATCGCAAACCTCGTCCAGACCTTCAAGCGACTCGTCCATAACAAAATAGATCGCAAGTGTTAGGTGAGCTTTTCGGTCGCCAATGGCCGCGCATTGCATCGCATTGCCTAGTTTCTCTCCCTTGCATTCCTCGGCTTTGCTAATCCGTCGCAGCCCCCCAGCCACCAGCCCACTATGTGCCCTACCAACAAGGCCGTCGCGCCGGTCGACAACAACGACCATCTGGTCCAGTCCGAGGATCCCGAGCACCCTGCTAACCTCATTCCCAATCTCTGCCGCAACTTCTACAACTGGGGATGGGTTACCGGCACCGGAGGTGGTGTAAGCTTTGACCGATCCATCGCAACGGTGCCCCGCTGATCGAAAAGTAGGCCTCGATCCGTGAGGGCAATCACATCTACATTGCCCCGTCCGGAGTCCAGAAGGAATTGATCCAGCCTCACAACATTTTCGTCCTCGAATGGCCCACCCCCAAGTATCCTGCCTCGGACCGCAACTACATCCGCAAGCCCCTCAAGCTCAACCCCTCCGCCTGTACCCCACTGTTCCTCACAGCCTTCGAGCAGGGAGCTGGCTGCTGCATCCATACCCACTCGCAATGGGCGGTTCTGGTGACTCTGTTGGTGGAGCGGGAGAAGGGCCCCGACGCTTGCTTCGAGATCAACAACATTGAGCAGATCAAGGGTATTCCCCGCGGCAAAGGAAAGGGTATGCTTGGATTCTTCGATACCCTCAGCATTCCCATCATTGAAAACACCGCATTCGAGGAGGACTTGACCAGTGGCCTGGAGGCTGCGATGAACAAGTACCCGGACACATATGCTGTGCTCGTCCGGAGACATGGAATGTAAGTCATGAAAACCTATGTGTGCATGATGTCAAACTGGATATGCTAATGCGTTGTTCCTGCAGCTATGTTTGGGGAGACAATGTCGCCAAGGCCAAGACTCAGTGTGAGAGTCTGGACTACCTATTCAAGCTTGCTGTAGAAATGCACAAGCTGGGACTTCCATGGATCAAATAAATCTGCGGTTGTTAATGACACTTTATGCTGATGTGTGATATGAGGGGATATTGTGTATAGCCTAGCAGTAGGAAGCTCCAATAGATATGATGAGAAGTATTGCAGGGGCGTTCGAAACGTGGGACTGTAGGCAGAGCCGGGACCGGGTTATAGGTAAATGGAGCGCGACGCAAGTAAACCTGTAGTTCGGCAGTGTCAACATCAATGAAGGGGAGACGTCAACAGAGGACATCGGGACACCTTGTGGGTTGGGGATCCCGTGAGTGACTAAGGGATCGCCCTCTCCACCTCCAACTACCACAGCTACCTCTCCAACTACGAGCTTTGAACCTTGAACCAGCATCGACGCCAATCTCTTGAACTCTCCTTTGTCTGTTCACTTATTCTTCACACGCTATCCTCGTCTGACAGGTATCAATGGATCTCGAATCTGGAGACTCCCCGTGGGGCGGTAGGCAGTCATGATACCACAGCTCTTTGAATTGCGGGCTGATTTAGCATGCAGATGAGCCCTCGCAGTTCAAGACCACCCAAGACCCGACCAAGCCTGACACCCAGGAAGGTGGTATGTTTCCCTCTCCGCTTCTCAGTCTCTCCGCGACCCCTCACTAAGCGCACTCCATCCTACAGCAGCCGCACAACCCGCCGTGACAAGCAGCTCTCCCGCTGTCCGTACACCAGGACGACGTGGTCCCCGGGGAACCCGCAAGATTAGCGCACAAGCCACGAAACTCGAATCCGTTGATAATTCCGTCGATCCTCTCGGTCCGTTAGGAGAAGCGCCAGCCGAGGCTTCCCCAACACCCGCGGAGGAGGCGCCCGTACCGCCCCAAAAGGAGACATTCGCTGGACGCAGTGCGCGGCCACTCTCATCCCCTTCTCAGACCAGCGCATCAGTGTTAGAGCAATCGGTCAGTCTCGAAGATGACGTCGCGGGTTACCGGGGTCCCCCGCCCGTGCAGCCCCCGGTGGAATCGGATGGACTGAAAAGACAGACCCAGCCTAGCATGAGCGTGGAACAAGCTGCGAAGCCAACCTTCGAGATTCACGTGGGAGACCCGCATAAAGTGGGAGATCTCACGAGCAGTCACATTGTCTACGCCGTTCGGACAAAGGTAGTAGACATATTGAGATTCGTGCTCTGCGAGAAGCAAGAAATGCTAACAACAACTTGCATGATTAGACGTCATCCAAGGCTTACCGTCAACCCGAGTTTACAGTCAGCCGTCGATACCGTGATTTCCTTTGGCTTTATAATTCCATGCACAGTAACAACCCCGGAGTGGTTGTTGCCCCTCCGCCTGAGAAGCAAGCCGTTGGCCGATTTGACACCAACTTTGTAGAGTCGCGAAGGGCTGCTTTGGAACGCATGCTTAACAAGATTGCCGGCCATCCCATTCTTCAGCATGATGGAGACCTGAAAATCTTCCTTGAGAGTGAAGCTTTCAATGTCGATGTTAAGAATAAGGAAAACCGGGAACCCGATATTGGCCAAAGCAAGGGAATGCTGAGCTCGTTTGGTATCTCCGTTGGTGGTGGAAGCAAGTTTGTGGAGCACGACGACGTTAGTGAATTGTTTCTATTCTATTGACGACGCCTGCTAACGTGGGAACAGTGGTTCCATGACCGGAAGATCTACTTGGATGCCTTGGAGAACCAACTCAAGGCATTGATGAAATCAATGGACACCGTGGTTCTGCAACGAAAGGGTCTTGCCGAAGCCGCAGGCGACTTTTCTAGCTCACTGCATGCTCTATCTGCCGTCGAGCTATCTCCTGCTCTTTCCTCCCCATTGGATGGCCTTTCAGAACTCCAATTGCGCATCCGGGAACTCTATGACCGTCAAGCGCAACAAGATGTTCTAACCCTTGGAATTACAATCGACGAATACATTCGACTAATTGGAAGTGTCAAGATGGCCTTCACTCAACGGCAAAAGGCTTTTCATACCTGGCACGCGGCCGAGTCCGATTTACAGAAGCGCAAGAACACGCAGGACAAGCTACTCCGCCAGGGCAAGACCCAGCAAGACCGCTTGAACCAGGCCAACGCCGATGTCGCAGACGCAGAGCGCAAGGTCCACCAAACACGATTACTCTTCGAGGATATGGGCCGACTCATGCGAAACGAGCTGCAAAGGTTTGAGAAGGAGAAGGTGGAGGATTTCAAGTCTGGTGTGGAGACGTTCCTTGAGAGTGCAGTCGAGGCTCAGAAAGAGGTAAGATATTCTCCATTGTTACGTCTTATGTTCATCCAGCTCACCTGTGGCTCACAGTTGATCGAACTATGGGAAACTTTCTTACTCCGTCTTGACGCCGGCGAGGAAGGGCTTCCATATTACGTTCCTCAATCCGAGATCGAGACGAGCGACGCAGCTCCCCCGACCGAGAACGCGGGATCAGACCCACTTCTTGCTGAGGAAAACGCTTAATATCGCCTACCTGCTTCTGATCCTTGGATGCTCCTGTAAAAAATCGAACCTAGTACCCCTGTTACTTCGTCTCGTCTTGTATTCCTTGTGGAACAGCTCTTTCTCTTAATGTTTGTCGAGTTATGTCATGTTGCAATTGACGATGGTCCGCAGCGAGCTTGATGGGCTTTGTGTTTGTTTTTCTTTTTATATTCGCTTCATCCGAATACCAGTGTTCGCGTATTGTAGCAAATGTTTTCCATTCATTTTAGCTGTTTTGCTGTAAGTTGGCCGATCACTGCATATTGGGCTCATCCTACGGGGCGGAAATTTATATGGCAATCTGGATGCGACATCGGGGGCTATGAATCTTGCAACTTCGAATCCGATTCGGCCTCGAAAGTTTAAATTGTCCCAGCCTCAACTAGTTCCTCCCCGACACTTTTGAAAGGTGTGACGATGATGTAGCTTTTGCACATTCACTGTGTTTTAGAAACCACTTCAAACTACAGTCTACAACATGGTGAACCCGTCTGCCTCGCAATCGTGAAAAGTATGGGACGCCCAACACCAGCATGCGAACTGCTGTCAACACTATCGCGGAGGCTTCCCTTCTGGCAATGGTTCAGCGAGAAGAAGAAATAGAACAACAGCTCAGGCTACTGAGAAAGCTTCCAGAGCCTGAGAATGAGAACCTCAAGCCCCAACTACTGACTGAGGAACTTACCGATATCAAACAAAAGATATTTTGCCAAGACCGGAACCTCTATGAGCACGACAATCCAACTTGGTATCTCCGGCAGGAGCTTGTCGATTACTGTATACGCTTGGGCGGCTGATGTGGCCGGGACTGTGGTGCTGTGAGAAGCGTCACTCATCATCCAAGAGAAAAAGAGGCATCGGGCACTGTACAGACGAGTGTCTGTGCCGTGCATATGAAAGAGGATTGTATTTATTAGCGGGGAAGAAGATCTATGAGAAGCAGTTTCAAAGAAAGCTTTGGTCTGATGACGATGGTTGATGTCTATTTTGACAAGCCATCGGCTGAGAAGCTACCAGCTGAACAATCACCAGTCCCAAAATCCAAGTCCAAGATTGCAAAGTGGAATCGGATACTCGACAGGGTCCAGGTATAGATACCTATTCTACCACACATGTTGCTTCCCTAGCTTTGTGGTAGCTGGGCTCTTGCTATAACGATGATTTGCTTAGACAGTTGGCTATTTGTGTCATGTCTTGAATGACATGGTTTCTGTTTTTCGTTACATACTACATGTAATTGACACTTAAGTCAACTACGCCCTAGAAATAGGTATACAGGGCCGCGAGTATCACCATCTATATGAACGCCAGTTATCCGCCGTTATGATTGAGGGATATAAATCAGCTATACGGAAAGCGCCGCTTACGCCTAATTGGTACATGGCGTAGTGCCCCAACTCCAAACAATAATAGGCTCTATAAATAGGGCTATGGGCGTGCCGATGAGCCTTCAGAGCGTAATTGGGCGGTCTCTGATATTCCTTTCCCGTGTTGTATAGTTGCTAAGGTCAAGCGCTGTGGAGGTTTTAGAACGCAGTATACGCGTCCCTAGTACTATTGGACTAGAAGGAGTTACCAATTCGCATCACGTATGATTTATTCACACATATCACAAAGCTAAAATCCACAAAATGTTCAATGGATATATGTTTGCAGAGTACTATCTATACCAGTGCCAGTTTCTCGCGCGTGGCATCATCAGGTTGGAACTCGCCGGCAAACTCCTCTGCCCGCCCGTAGAATTAACGTTACCGATCTTATGCATGACTTCTGCGCAAGAAAGGCTCTTATATCGCAGGTGAATCGATTGCCAATCCAATGTGGAGGAACTCGATCCCGTGCTCTCCGTTGTATAACAAAGGCAGGGCCACACGCAGGTACTTCTCGTCTTCGAGATCCTTGGATGACCACATTTTTCCGGAGGGAAGGGCGAGAAGTGCCATTTTGTGCCGCGTAAGGTCATCGGCTGAAGCTCTTCAAGAAACTCCTCCGCCTAGGAGACCTCCTTTTCAATGAGCAATTGTATGCGGAGAGTCGACCGGTGTTGATAGGTGATGGTGAAGAAGGAAGAATATAAGGTAGGTCCTCTTTTATATTACTCTCACTTTTTATCACGTTGTTGATCAACTTTTTGGATATCGTTTTTGGTCTCTCTTTCTTGGTGTCTTTAAAACTATCTTTTAGCCCTTCTTAAAAGTAAAAGGAATATTTGACGTATAGTAATATTATTAGCTACTAATCTAGATAGCCATGTTTAGGCCGTCTAGAGATTGGAATACGGTCAGTTTCCCTCTAGCGAGTTTCTAACCAGGCACGACCTAAACGCTATACAAGGTCGTTTAAATCTATTTCATGGTACGAAGATATAGGTAACAATCACTTACTATAAAAAGAGGTTTCAGCCCAACCGACATGTGATATAAGCTGTTATATTAATGGTCGAGACTAGACAGCGTAGCTAATTTATATCCGCACGCAATCTAAAACATGACAAATTTGCTTGGCAGACTCATCGCTATTTCTATGGAAAACTACATGACCCTTGAATCGCATCAAGCCTGTGGTGTCGAAGACTGCAATCTCGACGATATAAGTTTTGAAGGGTCATGCTACTGCAAAGCCCTAACCCGAACTGGGCGAGGATATACACAGCGTCCCAAACAGATACTATGAACCGAGAGTCCTATTGGCCGATCCTAAGGTTGACACCAGCAGCATGCTTGCCAGTGACAGGGATGCTTATTGCCCCTTGAGGCTTGTCTGGGACGGATATATCGAGTCCTCACCAAAGCCGGCAATTACCACTAACACTCCCTCCCCTCCGAAGGTGGGCTTTGCTTACTTTCGGCCCCCAATTCCTAATTTTAAGACGCCCGTGCTTTCGGCAGTGCTGACTCGTATAGGGGAGGCGTCGCACCTTTGATAGGTCCAATAAGCCCAGTTCTGAATGGCATAAACCTGTTAGGAATTAACCGCTAATTCTGCCTCGTCCCCGCTGATGGAGAAAATTGCCGCGAGACACATATGTTGTCTCACCGAAATCACCTAGTTTTGCTTTTGTTTTGCTGCATATAGTCCTACCTTGCGAATTTGAGCAGCATGTCTTCAACCAACTATGCGGACTATTCTACCGGTACCGGGTTTATAGGCTGGTACATTGCAGCAACGCGTATGTCTCATATCATCATGATAACAAATTGGAAAGGTCAAAGACCTTCTTACTAACTTATATGTCGCAGCTCAGCCAATTGCCTGTACATCCAATGGTGCATGGACTACGAGCGGCACCATCGGTGACTGTAGCGAGTCGTCTGGAGACAGAATAGCCACAGCGTGCTATGCCGGGTCAAGTGTGGTGAGAGGGTCTACCACCGAGGCATGGTGTGTGTTTCGTCACAAATTATTTCTGTCACTGGCTAATTGGTGTCTAGCGGTACCGGCTCAACGTGCGACTACTACAGAATCTTTAATACTGTCGGCCAAGATGGTCTGGGTGCCTTGACGAGATACGCCTGTGTGAACAACTGGGCTGCCAATAGTCTTTATCGAACGCTGCCGGCGGAATACCTGGCTACTACTACATCGACTTCTGTTACATCTGCTACAACGACTGCGACAACGAAAACGACAAACTCTTCGTTCTGTATGTATCCATGCGATAAAACCGAAGAAGAATTGTGGATGCTAATATTCTACTCTTCGTAAAACAGCTACTTCCGCTTCGACCTCCACCACATCCTCCCCGACATCTACCGGCGGCACCGGCTCATCCGACTCCTCCAGCTCAGGTCTCGGCAGCGGCGCTATCGCGGGAATTGTCGTAGGCTGTGTGGCAGGTGGTGCCATTCTTGCCTTGTTGATCGTCTTCCGCAGGAGAATAGTGGGTTATTTTGGACATCACAAGACGACTGATTCCCACGAGCCCTGGTCTCCTGTCTACATGCCACCGCAGACGCAGTCGGTGTTTCAGTCGAACTCGCAATTTCAGCCGATTTCGGAGCTTTCTGGGCAGCCAAATATTCACGAGATCGGATCTTCGCAGGTGGGGGCTGATGCTGTTCCGGAGATGAGATCTTGATGCTTGTGAATTTGTTGATAGATATACCCTTTCCCTGTACGAATCTTCAGTTTTTGTTTTGTTTTTAGATATACTCTCGTTAATTAACGTGATAAGTAATCTCTGTCTGTGTTGTCTGTTTCTCTTTGGTAGCAAGTGTTTATAACCTTCAACAAACTCCATGTTTGTCAAGATGCTGTCGAAAGAGCAGCATAGATTAAAGATTGCAACTTGAGCCGCACACAATGTCTTACAGAATGGACTTCAGGTTAATGGACTAGAAATAAGGTGAATTTTTGGTATACAGCAGCGTCATAGCAGACAAATGTATATTGTACAAGACCAATGCAACAGGAATATAAAAAGACAAGAGAAGAAACCTAACTCCACTCAAGCAGTAAGAAAACCAGACAATTAAAGCCCAGTCCAAACCCAAGAGGATAATCAATGACAACTCACACCCGAGCCAAAAAAAAAACTTATTTCTTAAAAGGCTTCTTCTCAGGCGGAGGCGCCTCATTCTGACCAAAAGAGCTAATCAAATCGAGCAAATTATCCTCCTCCTCCTGCTCAGCATCAGCCTGAGCCTTAGCAGCAGCCTCCTTCTCCTTAACTGCAGCAGCATCCTTAGGATCAACAGGCTCAGCAGGTGTGTTGACATCGTACCCGCGGCCGAAACGGGCACGGAAAGCCGCCAGACGACCGGCCTCGTCGTCTTCGACGTTCATCAGCTTGCTGCTGGATGGGTTCCACAGGAGCGAGTTGCGCGTGTCGCGTGTGGAGCGGTAGATCGGGGCCGGCGAGGTCGTGCGGTGCGTGAATGTGCTGCCATCGCTGAGCGTGATCAGTTGTGTGAAGGTGTATGGGCGCTTAGGGCGGCGGAGGAGGGTGGCGTGTCGACATTGAGAGCAGATGAAGGTTGTTGCCGTAGGTTGAGTTGGGAGTCTTGGGAGGATGGTGGTTGTTGAGTTGGTTATTGTGGCCGCGGTGCGGCGGAGAGAGGTGTGCATTGACATTTTGGATGGGTGGTGACAATCCGGATGGAAAGACTGCACGGGAGGATTGAGCCGGGAGGGAATTGACTGGGGCGCAATGCGTTCGGGGAGGATGCGGAGGTTTGAAGTTGATGCTATCCACAGGAGAAATTATCGCGGGTTATGTAAGCGGACTGCTATTTTTCGGGATTTCAAGTTCTCGGTCAAATGACTTCATATTGTCTCTGTTTCGGGCGTCTTTGTTTGCTTTGCTGATCTGCTAGGCATGAATTTGAAGTGTCCAACTAACTTTGATCTTGTACACCGAGCCCTTGAGCGCCTCTTGAGCGCAATTTTCCGGCGGGATGAAGCTCGCATTTCCACAAGTAGCGCATGGAGCTACTCGGAGAGGCTTGGGAGGTAGGACTTACCCAACACAGCCTCAATGCTTCTATAGAAAATACTGATGGCCCCAATCAGAATCATTATGCAATAGGAACTATACAGCCCGATCCCTGGGGACGTCCCTCTCCCTACGAAGCTCTCAGCTTGTACCATGCCACCAACACCGATCACAATGCGCCAAACGACACAGCAGTAATGCCGCAGCACCTTCGACAAAGAAACCCAATACCCTATCCCAACATAGGAATGAAAACCGAACATCTACTTCCATTTCTATATCCGACCAAGTCCGCCTCCTCATGCGACGAGTACCATACCCAGTCGCAATCATAACAGCAACCGACCCCTCTGGCCCGGCAGATACATCTTCTTTCCGTGGAATGACCGTCTCGTCGTTCAGTACTGTCACGCTCACACCGCACCCTGTCATCTCATTTAATGTGCGCCGGCCATCAGAGACGCTAAACGCGCTGCTTGCTTCGGGTCGGTTCTTGGTTCACCTGCTAGCGCCTGGTCCTGCGACAGCGATCCTAGCGAGAGATTTCTCCAAGGGGAATACCACGCTTGCGGCTATGTTGAGTGGACATGGGGAGTTTGAGTTTGCCGCTTTGGATGCTGGTATTGAGGGGCATTCTCAGAGACCACTTCCCATTCTTAGGCGGAGGGGTGAGGGCGACGTTGGGTCTTCGTCACCCAATGCGGGTGTTGACTTCCCTTTCGTTTTTGAGTGTGAGCTACATCCGAATAAGATTGAGGTTCATGACCATTCGATTGTGTTGGGCACCATTGTTCGGACAATTGAGGGTTCGGAATCTGTTTCTTCGGACTTGGATGAACATTCGAGAGGCCGGCTTTGTTTGACATATGCGAACACAAAGTTTTGGAAGATGGGAAACGAGGTTTGAAATGAGACAAAGAACGCTTGTCTCGTCTTTGGAGTTGCATAGCATGTGCCTGAAAACCTGGCATTGTATATACATATTATAGGGTTGAGCGTCTATCCTGTACATATTCTAATTAGACCAACGGTATCATCGATTACAATATATCTTACGCAGTATGACAGAAAAACTAGAGGCAACAATGCTTCCATGATGTTGATGAATCTACGGTTTGTCAGAGAAAAGTTTACAGAGCACTTTTGTGTTTCGGTGTTAAGCACAGAACTGCCAATCCATCTTCAATCGGACCAATCCCGCCATCTCATCGCGAGATACTTGCACTCCACCACAATGATTCAAGTATATATGAGCCATCACAGCACAGGCCAATGAGAAAAACGTTGACTCAAAGCGAAGATCCAACCAGACGAAAATGAAAGCACGGACGCAAACCCCAAGACCATAGAAGACGAGCACCGAAGACGGGACTTGCATTCAACGCAAGGACTCGGCATAATGTAAGCCCCACGGTGGGGGTTTAATCGCGCAAAGAGTGCGGACTGCCGGTCCCACTTCCACTGCCGCCGCTACCACTACCAGTCCCACTGCCTCGACTTGCTGCTCGCTGGAAAGGACTCAGAACAGGACGGCCACCTTGGTGCAGGAAACCATTTCCTTCGGACCCGGGTCGCGGTTTGTCAGACAGCAGTTCAGACAGGTCAAGCTGGAGAGGCGGCATGCGGTTCGTGTCCAAGAAGTCAGAGCCATATTGGCTACTGCGAGTGGAGCGGTTGGAGAACGAACGATCTCGGCGATTGATGTCTGAGCCGAAGTACGATCCTCCATTGCCGATTGGGGAGCTTGGAAACTGTGGGAGGAATGGGATGTCCTGGGACGGGCTCGTTGGGTGCGACGAAGAATCGCGGACTGGAGAGGACGAGATCTGCAGTGGACTAGACTTTGCGGGAGGAAAGCTAAGACCCAATAGAGCTCGGGCACTGGGTGCAGTGGATGTCGATGCGTTCAATGGCATTCCGCTGGTCTCGGGGAGAGGATTGGTGCCGGGCAGATTGCCTTCGGGTGTGAGAGGACCGGATTCAACGAGCATTTGTTGCTGTTGCTGTTGGATGGATTGCTCAATCGCAGATGCCTGCTGCCAGAGTTGACTGGTGCGCAGCTGGAAATCCTGGACGGATTGACTGATGCTCCCGAATTGCTCATGGAAATTGGCCTCCATCTTCGATTGATCCTGCTCCCTGGCGAATTGTTCAGCGGCGCGGCGTTCTCTCTCATTCAATCCTTGAGCATTGGCCGAGATGATACGCTCATACTGCTCATTCACCCGTGTGCGGCGGCTCTGGAGACGCTCTCGCTTCTGGACAGCCTGAGTAAGTTCCGACTCCAGTGTGGCCACCTCTTGAGCTCCAGCGGCACGAGCAGCTGTCACCTCCTCCTTGATAGCGTTGAACAGTTCCACCTCGTGCTCGAAGGCCTTCTTGTGTGCTCTCCACTCTTCCATCTCCTCCTCTGGGACATTTTCCATGTTGTCTAGTTGTGTTTCCAGAGCCGCGGTAGCTTCCTCAGTTTGTCGAATATTTCGTTCCAGCTGGAACGAACGCTGCTTTTGCCGATTCTCATCCGTTCCGCTATGGAGACGTTGGTTGAAGTTGTCAAGTTCCTTCCGGATTTTCGAGATGATAACTTTGTGGTCGTTCTTTGTCTTCTTGAGGCGCGCACGTTTTTCATTTAACTTGGATTCCGCATTGACAATGGAGTTTTTGAGCGTGGTTGTGGGGGATGATGGCCGATATGGCGGTTGCGGGGGCGTCGATACCGCGGAAATAACTGTTCGATTAATGAGATACTTGAACAAGATCAACAGGAAAAACGCTAGATGGGAGAACTCACCTTGCTCTGTGTCAGCCGTTGCAGGCGTCTTGACACTCATAACACAGATTTCCTCGTCGGTATTGCTTCGCACAAATGCGCAGGTATATGCGCAATTCGGAGCAAGCCCAGAGATCTCACCACGCCATTGAACAACATTCGGTCCTTTGGCATCCGAAACCCTGTATATCGTGGCGGTAGCCCAGAGCGCACCATTGACACAAACATAGAATGGTTCCACGTCTCTTTCCAGACGGCCTGCTTCATAGGATCCCGACACAGTGGGGTCATCGGTGAATTCACCGGCAGCATATTTGATCGAAGAGCTGTCCACATCCGTGATCCATACTAGCCCATCGTCGAGAGAAGCACCCTGGAGGTCTTCCTCCGTCATAGTAAGATTGCGTGCCGTTTTAGATATAGCCCGTGAATGCTCATATTCTCGCATAACCGTAACCTTTGTACTCGCAAGCGCGGCCCAAAAGGGCTGCCGACTCCTAACTTGATTGGCTTGCCTTCTGCGTTTCTTGGCTGAAGTAAATCGATCCTTGCCGTCCTTGAGTTGACCATCAGGTCCAACAAAAGAAGATGAAACACTGGCAGCAGATTCAAGAGCGGAATCGGCTTGGCCCTGGGACCCCGCAGAAGCCTCTGTATCCCCGCGTTTGCCCGTCCGTAATGGTGCAGGTGATCGATTCTTGGCCATCGATCGTCGAGCCATGGCAGTGCCTGCCTGTGCCAGAATATGTACAGCAAGAAGGCTCCGGAGCCAGCTCGGGGACGTTTGTGTTTCGGATCGTCGGAACTCGGCGGGTAGCAGGTGCGAATACTGAGAGAGAGCATCGGGACTAACAAGTTTAGTAGAAACAAGATGACCCAGGACAAAGTCCTGTATGCCTTTGCTGCGAACAAGATGAAGAAGCAGAACGATTCCGACACAGAGACCATTGACCCCGCCATTCTTCCCGGAACCTCCGCCGCCCAAGGTGATAGCAACCTGGACATGCGCAAGGTCGATGGCAAAGTTCTGCGCCCAAGTCCACATAAAGAGGCCCCAGAGAAGTATACAGAACCCATCCATCGCAATCATCGTCCCCAGCGATGGCGTTCCAGCCGGACCCTGAAAAATATCAAAATTCGACGACAAAGAACCGGCTGCGGCGCCACTTGGAGGCATGAAAGTCAAGGAAGCGAACAAGAACTGAACCAGAGTCAAGACCATCGGTGGAAGTTGTAGCAGAAAAATCAAGATGGCGATGGTGTCGTACATCGGGCACGATTTCAGAATGGTAGAGGCGAATTGAAGCGGATTGATTGACGCATTGGATCCGGATCGTTTCGAGGTTCCATTGCGAGAGGCATGAGCTGCCACGCCACCGTTCTGGGGCACAGCACCGGTTGCCTGATCACACGCCATCTCCTCATCCTTGCTGTGTCCATTCATACCATGCACATTGCCATCCGCCTTTGCACTATCCCCTTTACCCGCAACTGTCGGAGAGGTAACGGCCGTGTCGCTTGTAGAACGTACGGAGGATAGATCGAAGTGAGCGGACGCGCCCGGACCGGTAGCAGAGCCGTTGCCCGAGTTGCCGTTGAGTTGACTGCTTGACTTTTGCTTGGTTACTTTCTTGCCGGGACCGACGAGGCCATTCTCCTGCCGATTGCTCTGGTTCTTCCTAGCCGCAGCAGATGAGCGTGGCATGGACGGAGCCCAAAACCCAGGTCCGAGTCAGCTTGGCGAGATGAAGCCAAGGACTGGGACCAGGAGAAAGGCGAAATCAAATCAGAGATTAAAAAAGGAAATTGACATAAAGAGTGAGGAATATAGAAAGGTGGGAAGGAGAGAGAGTGGAAACGTGAAGGGGAGGAAGAGGAAAAGAGAATAGAAAGAAACGAGTGGTATGGTATGGTAATATTCCGTCGATCATTGTTGCCTTTTGGGTAGGCGGTACCTTCTCCAATACCGTGTATTATATTATTTACTTCCTTTTTATACTGACTTCATTTCTGTATGTCTCCTTCTTCCGTCTTCTTCTTTCTTCTTTGTTCTGATAGATCACGTCGTACTCGTATGTCTTGTCGATAGGGCTTTCACCAGACTCTGCCAAGTTATGCAATGCGGATAGCTACGCGTCAACGTCAGCCTAGCTATGTTAGGAGGTTTCGGCTGACTCGGCCTAACGCAGTCACTCTTCGAACGGGATGCTAAGTTGCTTCATCTAGGCTGGCACAATTGTGATCACAGCCTAGGTCAACTTTCAATGCTCCGGTCACTTGATCCTATTTGCTACTGTATCAGACCGACTACTCCGTAACCAGATGGACGATCGACCGTTGTTTAGCCCGTCTACTGCGGGGTCATCCTTGTCTCCGATTGTGCGTTGCGACACCAATCCCCAGAATTCAGAAGGGGGGACTCTATTGGGGGAGGCATCTGCAGGCTTGAACACGCCACACCGGACAAAGAAAGTGTAGACAGAAGATCATCTAACTTGTTCTGTGTCAGAGTTGCTCACATTCCTCTTAGGATCATCACATGCTCGGCTATCTCGTGCATCCTGAAGGCTCCGCACAATATATCGGATGATCCACAGATTTTCTGCGAGTATGGGCCTGTGGATCCTCTACCAAGGGCCATTTACGCGCTGTTTCTGGACGCAAGACCCAACAGACATACTAAATACACAGATTAAAAGAGAGAATACATAATACTGTCATAGAAGCCATGATAGGTGCTCACAACCCCTCTTGTACCCGGTCTTGGCAGGGTTTCGTGGATCAGCCACAAAGTCAGTTAAGATCGGCGCAGGCTTAGTTATGGCTTAGTTATTTTTATGCATGCGGTGAGCCCTGCCCAGGGCGATCATGCCCAACTACTCCAACTGCAGCTTCAACACGGGGTACAGAGCATACTGCTAGTTTTCTCACTCCATCTCGCCCTTGAGTTTCGCTATCTAATTAACTGGTTAACTTTTTTTAGCTTGTCGTCGATCATTTCGCTTTTCCTACTTGTTCCGGCCCCTCTCAGCCTATTTTGGTAAGGTGTCCGAGGTCTACGTATGCCCTGTAATATAGGGAACGGCAACACTATCGGATAGCCGTGACTACGGAGATATACATTGAATCTTGCACGTTTTAGATGTTAGCCAGTATGGAGCCTAATTAGGCTTGAATCTGTTCCTGGGGCTAAGTCACGTGTATACAGTCAGAACCTCCTTCACTTTTCCCAGGGGCTGCTATTACCCTACTTATCTCAAACCTAGATCCCCAAGAGCTTTTTCTCTTCGGCATGAATACATGCAAAGAACGATATACCCTATCCCCCTAGGAGCTTCTGTCCCGGACAGAATACGTGGTCGCAATGCTGTTTGGTCGAAAAGCTCCTTCTCCCTCTCCATCGTACCTCATTTTGAGCACATCGAAGCCCATCAATGCCAGTTCGTTTCGTCGGTTTTCAACATTTTTAGCCGTTAAGATACTTCAGCGTTTCAAATCACGCGATGGAAGTGTCCTTATGTTGACAGAAAAAATATGTGTCAAGTACGGGAGCCGCATCAATTTATCAGAAGCATCAACCCTGCGGTTCATAGCAGAAAATACCGATATACCGGTGCCCAAGGTCTTTTGTTCATTCATTTTTTCAGGTCTAACGTACATCGTCATGGAAAGGATTAAAGGAGATATAATTGGCAATGGCTGGGTGAGAAGGAGTGAGGAATCGAAGGCGAACCTGCTGGGTCAATTGAAAGAGACCATTACCAAAATGCAAGAGCTTCAGCCACCAGAAAATATCGGTGTTGCCTCTGTCGATGGTGGAACTCTGTTTGACTGTCGTGATTTGGGCCCGACCTTGCGCTTCGGCCCATTTGATACAACCCAGGAATTCCATCGATATTTACGCAGGGGTATGGAATTTGATTCAAGCCTCGATGTTGATGTTCAGGACTTCATAAACCAACAAAACATCAACAAATGGCCTTTGAAATTCACTCATGGCGATTTAAGCAGCCTCAACATTATTGTTCGCGGTGACACTCTTGTTGGCATTATTGATTGGGAAACGGCTGGTTGGTATCCATCATATTGGGAATACACAACCGCCTGCCAAGTCAACCCACAAAACTCTTTTTGGGCCAATGAGATTGATAAGTTTCTGGAACCGATGCCTGAAGAATTGGCGATGGACCAGTTTCGCCAGACACGCTTTTGAGATGTTCACCTTATCCTGCCTCAGCCAACGCAATCTTCGGTAACAGAACCAGGGGCCTGGGACATACGTACGTTCCTTCGAGGGCTCAGATAGATTAGTTTCCTTGGGGATCATCTTTTTTCCTCGGGCTAGGTGGTCAGGTTTATAGAGACGTGAATAGCTCTATCTTTTTATGGCTGGCGAGACAGTTCGAGACAATTCCTTACAGACCCATGGGGCCCAGGATGAGAATCTACTTCAGTCCATGTAGAAAGATCCATTCCGCCCTAGGGATAGATATTCATTTGGCCCCCGAGGCACTTTATTTTCAGCTTTAAGTAGGATGATCTATCTAACATCTTCCCCCTAGGCCCGACAGATCTCAACCCTTTTCTCAAATTTACTATTCCTCGCCGCTGTCATATATCCTAACTCATTCTCCAGATAACAAGGCTAGACCACCACGAATCCACTTCCGTCGCACTATTTGGAGTGATAGACACAGTGGTCGTACCATTAAAAGTCGTTGCGGAAATCTCAGTAGCTGTTTGTGGTGTCCTCATCCGCTGTGATCTAACAGCAGCATAACTTGCTTCCTCCTTAACGATACCAAAACCAGGCGCGCATGACGAGATTGTCATCTTTGTTGATTATAGAGCGAATAGATCTTTTTGCTAGATGCCACGATAAAGCCAAGGAAAGACGCCGTCTCTAAAGACAAAAGAATAGCTATATCCCCGGGGCAAATAGGGAGGAAGACAGTATCCGAAATAAGAGAAAAGCCCCATAAGTCTAAGCAAATATAAAGTCTCCGATCGGATGCCTGTTGTGCCGTGCCGGGTGGAGCCTTCCTTTAGCAGCACCAATTAGCCGTTTGATGGTGTTAAATATATAGAAATATTAGTAAAGCTTAACTGAATCACGAATCTCTCCGAACGTTGGAAGACATGTTGCCCGACTAAGAGGTCATAATCATTTACAAGACTGACACTACGCTCGTGCTTTGTAAGCATCGCGGCAAATGCTGAGATTTATCATTTCTTTTCTTGCAAAAGCCCTTTTATACCCGGGGCTACCCGGAACACATTGCGTTCGTCTCACTATTTTAAATTGCTCCTCTTAATCTTCTTCAGCCAAGAAATGGCCCCAAGCAGCTTCCTGGATGACTACAGTGAAGGAGCCCATCCGAACATTTTGCAAGCGCTCCTTGATACAAATACCGCACAGCAGAGACCGTATGGCGACGACGAATACTCTGATGCGGCCAAGGAGTGTATAAGAGAGTATATCAATGCTCCTACCGCCGCCATCCATTTTGTTGCGAGTGGTACTCTTGCGAACATCATTTCGATTGGAAGCTGCCTCCGTCCTCATGAGGCGGTAATAGCGGCGAGTACTGGACACATATTTGTTCGGGAAACTGGAGCCATTGAAGCAATTGGACACAAGATTATCACCGTGCCCCCTTCTGATGGGAAGCTGACTCCTAAAAGTATACAAGATGCTTTGGATCAGAACGCACACTTCCCCCACATGGCAAAACCTCGTCTCGTCTATCTCTCTAACGCAACGGAGACGGGCACGGTCTATACCAAGGCCGAATTGTGTGCAATCTCTGATCTCTGCAAGGAACGCAACCTACTTCTTCTTCTCGATGGCGCACGACTAGGAGCGGCCTTGTCGGCGGTAAAGAACGACCTTACGTTGGCGGATCTGGTCCGTCTGACAGATATCTTTTGGATTGGTGGGACGAAAGTCGGCACGCTCCTCGGCGAAGCAATCATTATCAACAATCCATCCCTGGCGGAAGATTTTGCGTTCCATGTGAAACAGCGTGGGGGTCTTCTCGCGAAGGGTCGTACTCTAGGGGTCCAGTTTCTGGAGTTATTCCGCTCAAATCTCTTCTTTGAACTTGCGCGCCACGCCAACAAAATGGCGCAATTACTCTCCTCTGGTGTCGTTGAGGCCGGGTTCAGTTTGTCAGCCGAGACGGAAACCAATCAGGTCTTTGCAATCCTGCCGAATGCGCTGATCTCGAAATTGCAAAATAAGTTCCAGTTTTATATCTGGGAGAAAGTTAGCAGCGACCATGCTGTGGTCCGCCTTGTCACTTCGTGGGCAACAAGTGAAAGCCAGGTCATCGCGTTCACCGATGAATTGCGGCGTTGATTCCGAAAGCTTGTCAACTTTAATGAGGCCATCAGACATCATTGATACATTGGTTTGGCTGGAGCTGGTGAGGCTCGTATTTACATAATATGATGCTTTAAGAGTTACTGGCCAAGATTTGTTCAGTCGCTTGAATGAGTGTTTGCTGAAGAGACAGGTACTGTCGCAATGAACTATGTATTTCAAGCTCTCTGTCTTTTCATTTTGTCCTAAACTTGATGTTCTTTTGGATAGTGAACTGAATTTTTGTATTCCCCTCCACTCCCCTCTTTTCTCCCCCAGCAACAGGCTTCTTCCCTTGTACGTTACTCCCGAGCGTTCCCTACGTTAAGCTTGCTATATGGCCTCGAGACTTCTCCCCTCAAAGCTGTGTCTAATTGTGATATAACAGAGACCCAGTCACTAACACTAGCATTAGAAGAGTCCTTATCGCTAAAGGCTAGTCTAAAAATTGGCTCGGTAGTATGCCAAGGAGCCTAATGCCGATTTGCGAGAACTCTATCTCTATAATTTGTCGGATTTTTAGTCGTATCAGCTAGTTTATGTTGATGAATCTAGATATAATAAGCGGGCTGGGCTTAGGCGCATAGGCTAGTCATTATATAGTGTGGTCACCTTGTAGGTATCTCAGTTCTATCGCGACTAAAGATATTAGATACTGCCTGCGTATGCCTAGGATAGGATCATTCTCTCGCGTGTGTTCCGCGGTGTAACCGATGCCGCTGTGTTCGAAGACTTTTTAGCCCACCTCCTTTAACACTACGGACGATGGTCCGAACCTAAATCTGCTGTGGTCATAGATAATGCGTCATTTCATCATTCGGGACGGATTTCACAGATGTGCGCGGACACGAAAGTGAAATTGGTGTACCTGCCGCCTTACTCACCAGACTTGAATCCGATCGAGGAGATTTTTGCTGAGCTGAAAAGTTTTATCAAACGTAACTAGAGCTACTACAAAGTAGGTGAGTACTCCATCATTTCTTTTATCATTCAACCTTAATTCTGCTGAAGCAATACGCACGCTACTATAAGTCTATGCATTCCAGAGTGTCTATATAGTCTGTACTGTACCCTTTCCTATCAAGAATCTAGTCTCTTTTCTCTCTTCCCCATACATAAAAAGAGAGGGTCTGCTTACCCTCTCCTTATTCAGCCTAGGCAAAGTTAAAATACTGGTTGATTAAAAAGGGATAGGACGCGAGGTATGCCTAACTGTATGTGACTTAGGACCTGCCTAGTTGCTAGGGATTGACGAGAGAACCTATCCTTCTGACGTTAAAAGATGGCCTATTAACGTCGATAAAGTCTATAAGAGCAATCCTTCTTTTTTCTTATATGTTGCGTTCACTAGAACTAGAGTTTTAATGGGCCTCTCCTTTATTCTTATAGAACTTATTTCGGCAAGCTCTATTTAAGCCTTCACTGCTAGTGCGGCTTAGTGTAATTAGTATTAGTACCACTTTCACAATTATATTAACCATAAAGCTGATTGCCACCCGTCTTAGTATCGTCACTAGGGGTACTACAATCTTGAATGATGTTTCTGGCCTCGTTGCATACCAAACAATTTCAAATCTTAGTTGTAGCACTTCCTCTTTTAGCGCCGTGACTGTTATTCGCTATGTATTTAGATCTATCGGGTCTACCGTGGGTTTGTTCATTTTGTGCGCTTTCTTTCTAAAGCTAATCCTAAAAAAAGGCGTTTATCTTAAGCAATGATTTGTCGGAGTTCACGGGTACTATGCAATTTACATCCCTAGCTTATATATATATTCTGGTCGGAATCGTTGCTAGCGCTATATCCGCGGGAACATCGAGTCTTTTTATAGTGTATTATATAGGGATGGTCGTTTCTAGGTTTGATAGTCTAGCTAGGGATTTTAAACCGCCGATAACTAAGGCTTCTAATAATGTAGAGTCTGATTCTAGCGTACTAATAGGTAGGCATCTTAAGGAGAAACTAGACGTCGAAGTCGTCTACGTAACACTGACCTAAACGCACTACCTACGACTAAACAGAATTTAGCTCGTAGTAAAGTTCTAACTAACGAGATTGTTTACGAGAAGTACTATAAAGAGCCTATTAGCCGGATCCTAATCCCGCTATTCTTTGTGAAGTCTCTTCCTTACCCTTAGGATCGTGTACTAACAGCTAGGCCTCTATCAGATTCTCGATTCCTATTACTAAGTTTGAATTTCGGAATAGTACCTTAGCGCTCCTCGTCAAATCCGAACGCTACTCCTCCCCCCGAAGCCGGAATCCCTCTATTTCCTATTTATTCGTGCTGGCAATGGTTGCACGATATGAGGTTAGATATTTTATCGCCTCTGTCGGGGGGATTCAAGGGATGTTCTTAAGCGGATTAACTGGAGAAACCTCTAAGATGTATTTGGTGGTTATTTAGGCACTTTCTACTTGCACATTGATAGGACCTATCTTTGTTAGCACCTTTGTTAAGCAAGCGAAGAAGCTATAACAGTCTTAGGTAGACGTCAGCCGCGAATCGTTTTGAGTGCTTGGGGAATCTGATATCGGCTAGCTTATTGTCGACAATGTGGCTACGACACTTTCTATCGACTAGCTGTCATCGAACTAGTTGTCCTTGAACCTCTGGATGGCAGGTTACTGTATTACTGCGGAGCCTTTTGGAAGGCCGGAATTTCTCAGTGGGAGCTCCTGAACGTGGTATCCATCTGGAGATAGAAATATGTACCGACAGTTAGAACATCCTCACGGCAAAGTTTCGACATTCCAGTAAAAAAAAATGCCGGGAGGTCTCACGTGGGAAATAGACGACAAAAGACCTACAAAAGTTACATTTCAAGCCTAGAGTTAAGTTAAAATTTAAAACCAAAGCTGCCCTTGCAAGTGCGGGGATCCGGGAAAGATTTAGCCGACCCCACTTCTTTAAGTGATTGACAATGCTTACTTTACGAGTTAAGAAGTGGCCAATGAAGTCGTTGCATCAATCGAGGCTCATGCGTAAGATGGATATTATTTACCCGAATTTGGATCCCTAACGGTGAATTGCAAAGCAAGCGCCAGTGCCCGGATAAACCCCCGGCATTTAAGGAAGGCGATTATTTGAGGGTTCATTCACATTTTGACGTTGCAATCTTGGAAATATTCCTCCATTTTTCTGTTCCCTTATCTCACGATGTCTCAACTTCAGAGAAAGGACATCATCTTCTCAAATTATGTCAACGGCAAACAGACCTTTATCATCCCCTTGACTTTCACAGATATAAACGACGCTAAGGGTATCATCACAAGGATCGGATATGGCGGTGACGTTTGGGAATTGAGGGTGGACTTGCTCAGTCCACCTGGCAAAGAGGTTGGCGATGTGAATCTGCCTTCCCTAGGTTACGTCAAGGAGCAAGTGGAGGCTCTGCAAGCAATGTCTTCCCTGCCAATTCTTTTCACTATCCGCACCAAGTCGCAAGGTGGCAAGTTTCCTGATGATGCGAGTAAGGAGGCTTTGGACCTCATTTTGCTTGCTGTTGCGTCCGGAATAGCCTATGTTGATGTGGAAATTGAGTGGCCCCCGGCTATGCTCAAAGAGATTACGGAGAAGAAAAGTTCTACAAAGGTCGTGGCCTCCTACCATAGCTGGACTGGCAAGGTGGCATGGACGAGTGAAGAACTCATGCAGAGATTTGCTGCGGCCGATGCGTTTGGTGGTAAGTTTTCCATACCGCACTAAGCCAAGCATCGTTCACGAAAAGGCTAATCTCGAGACGCAGATATCATCAAACTAAGTATACTCTCAGCCGCAATCGAAGATTGCTACGAACTTAGCTTGTTTGTCCGCAACTACAAGCTAAAATATTCGAAGCCACTCCTGGCTGTGGGAATGGGGCCAAATGGGCAGCTCTCGAGGATTACATCCCCGATATCACTTGTCACCCATCCCTTGATTCCATTCCCTTCGGCGCCTGGTCAACTCAGTCTCGCGCAAGTCCATCAGGCGCGTCACCTCATCGGGCAGCTACCCAAACAGGAAATTTCAGTGGTAGGCGAGGAAAACGTGACCGAAAAAGTCTCGCGCGCTCTCCAAGCTGCCTTCTTGGAGTTAGGCTATCCACATTTGTGCAGTGTTTGCAAGGGGAAAAATGGGAATGTGACTTCGGAACTTGACGTAACTGGTCTGGACTCTACTTCATCCATGGTTACGGTAGTTGCTGAGGAGTTTACGCAATGCACAGGGAGACCTGCACCTTGGTCGGTAATTGACAATTGTCTTCAGTAGATAGTCCTAGCTATTTTGATATCATCCAAGCAAACTCTTAATCGCTTTTGATTTTCCAGCGTGTTTACTGTATAAGGTATATACCCGGGGTAAGTTTGCCCTAAAGTGAACACAGGCATTTACGCTCGTTCCGCATCAATTGTGCTATGACCACCCACACCGCTTCAGTCGACCCAAAGAGAGAACTCGGCTCTTTTCTAAGCCTCAAATTTCCCTGTACGGTAGACCCCAGCTCCTTGGCGAAGAAACTTTAATCGAATCGGCTAAGCTCAGATCCCCCAATTTACACCTATGCGGGGCAGCGGGTATGGGGACTGCTTACCCCAGATTTCTCCACCCCAGCATGCATTTATACTGCACATCAATCCGCTATTCTCCAGTCCATTCCAGGTGTGCTGATCCCCCTTGGTGGCTGTTTTTACATTCACTTTTCTATACACTATTTCAGTTCCAACGGACAGGACAGAATGCCTTCTCTATTGAAGGTCAAGGACAGCTCTGCCTTTCCGGCCCCGGAGTCGGTTTATAACTGGCGGGTGTATGCCTTGGCCATCTCTGCAAGCATGGGTTCCGCCATGTTTGGATACGACTCAGCCTTTATTGGTGGTACCATAACCTTACCATCATTTAAGAGCAAGTTTGGGCTTGACAGTGATTCTAAGGTGGCTCTTGCCTCGCTCAGTGCCAACATTGTCAGCACATTCCAGGCTGGCTGCTTCTTTGGGGCTATCCTGGTGTCATATTTCACTGAGAAATTTGGTCGCAGAATACCCTTGGCAGTTTGCGGTGCTCTGTTCGATGTGGGTGTTGTTTTACAGCTTGCTTCTTCTGGTAACGTTGGGCTCATCTATGGCGGTCGTGCACTTACTGGTATTTCGCGGTATTTTATTCCTGTTATCTGATAGATGCTGACGAATAAACAAGGACTTTCTGTCGGTGCCTCCTCCCTCATCGTTCCTCAGTACATCGCAGAATGGTCGCCACCTGCGATCCGAGGTCGACTAGTTGGAGTGTTCGAAATGGTCCTCCAGATGTCTCAGATTATCGGCTTTTGGGTCAACTATGGGGTGAATGAGCATATTTCTGCTTCTTCTGATGCACAGTGGAGAATCCCCTTTGCTCTACAGCTTATCCCTGGGACTCTGCTAGTCGTACTGATCCTGCTACAACCCGAGTCGCCTCGATGGCTGATCAAAAATGGTCAGCGCGCAAAAGCAATTAACAATCTCTCCTCCATCCGGAAACTTGCCGCAGAGGACGCCTATATCCAGTGGGAGGCTGACACAATCGAAGAACAGTTGAGGCATGAAGCTGAGGTTGGTGATAGTCAGCCATTCCTCGTGAAGATAAAGGAGGTGTTTCTTCGTGGGAATCGAAATCGACTCTTTATTGGCATGTCCTTGATGATGTTGCAGAACCTTTCGGGTATCAACGCGCTCAACTACTACTCACCCACCATATTCAGGTCCATTGGTTTCTCCGGTACTAGTGTAGGACTGCTAGCAACCGGTGTCTTCGGCATCGTGAAGTGTACAGCGACTATCCTTTTCATGGTATTCGGAATTGACCGTCTCGGCCGTCGGAAATCCATGATCATTGGCTCTTCAGGTGCCATCGTCGCCATGTACTACCTTGCTGGCTACACCAAGCTCTCTGGATCTTTCGAAACTACTGCAACTAGAGATGCTGGGGCTTACGTGGCCATTGTTATGGTCTATATCTTTGCTGTCTTTTACGCCATCTCCTGGAATGGTATCCCATGGGTTTTCTGGTATGACTTCCCTAGCGGCATGTTAACTTATCTTTTAATTTGACATTCTTTTCAGTGCTGAGGTCTTCCCGACCGGTATTCGATCGATTTCTCTCGTTTTTACGACATGCGTCCAGTGGCTGGGGCAGTTCATAATTACTTACTCAACTCCCTATATGATGGCAAACATCACGTATGGCACTTTCTTTTTCTTCGGGAGCTCCGTGGTGTGCGGTCTGATTATTGTGTATTTGTTCATGCCTGAGACTAAGGGCTTTTCATTGGAGGAGATGGATATTCTCTTCAATATCCGCGGCTTTGCTCTCACCAAGCGCCGAGGCGCAGAACGTACTATTGCTGATCAGCGAGAGGCCGAACAAGCGGTCTTTGAGGGGAACAAGGTGGGTACGCAGCATATGGAGAACACTTCTTCCGTCTAAGAGGAATGTGTTCAGAGGAAAATAATGTACCTAACTGGCAGCTTCCGCTCCCAATTGATTCAATAAACCCCGAGCTGTGTCCGCATACCCATAATTTACCCACAATAAATACATGCTCCAAAGGCCCCGGGTGGGGCGGGGGACTGGGAGGTGACTACATAGTTTTTTAATACCAACCCCCACATTGAGCGCAAAATTGGGCATCGAGCCCAATACTATCCCGGAAATAATCTAACCGATATTGAAGCGAATGCTAGACCAGATCCAATTAGCACGATGCTCGAACAACATGGTAATACTTTAGGCGGCGATCCGTGCTCTAGGCTAAATCCTCCACCGACAGTAACTTGATTCGGGCTGCTTCCCCACATCCCAAGCAGAATATTCTCTACAAATGAAGATAGAAAAGGCATGCAGGGAGCAGCCAACGGGGGCAGCTTATTAAAAAAACAATTTCAACTTTATTGACTTTTACGAACTCAAGTACAACAAATTTGGCCGCCGCTCAAAAGCACTTTCTCGCTATGAGTTCGGTCAACAGTCTCGAGAGTACTTTGAAAGAGTCATACAAGTATGGCTCTTCCTGTATCACTTCAACCAGCTGTGAAAAACCGCAACAGGCATTCTTGTTCGGTTATCCGATTGCCCACTCCATGGCACCACTTCTACACGCAACTCTTTTCAAGGGGGTCTGCCTACCGTGGGTGTACTCCCTCCTCGAAACCCAAGATGCGTCTGAATTCCTGCCAGCCCTGAAACAACAAGGCATCATTGGATGTGCAGTTACAATGCCCTACAAAGTGACCATGACGTCCGCCGTCGACGAGGTAACGGACGAAGGCCGAATCATCGGCGCCATCAACACGGTCTTCCTTCGCAAAGCAGCCGATGGAAGTACCAGATATATCGGCACCAACACGGATTGTATCGGTGTGAGAGAAGCTTTCTTGCAAAACATCCCTGGCATCATCTCAAAATCCACAGGCAAGCCAGGTCTCGTCATCGGAGGCGGCGGGGCGTGTCGAGCAGCTATTTACGCGTTGTGGAAGTGGATGGGTGTGAAAAAGATATATATGGTGAATAGGCTAGAGACTGAGATCAGGGCTATCATAGACTCGTTCAAAGCTACTGACTTTAGTGGAGAGTTGGTTTGGGTCTCTTCTGTCAACCAGGCTGAGGCCTTGGAAGCTCCAGTTCTGGTTGTCGGCACTGTACCAGACTTTCCACCTAAAGAAGAGGGGGAAATCTTGGCTAGGAAGATAGTGCAGGCTTTTTTGGACAAGGAGGAGAAAGGTTATATTCTTGAGATGTGTTATCATCCCAGGCCACGTACAGCGTTCTTCGATCTTGGCGAGCGCGCTGGATGGAAAGTGCTCTATGGCACGGAATCCATGATCTGGCAAGGTGTTGCACAACAGGTGCTCTGGACAGAGCTGCCATTTGGGAAGTTTAATGTAGATGAGGCTGCGAAGGTTATTACGGAATCATTAGATAAACATTAAAGGCTTGGGGTGGTGGATTGGGTCCACTGTCAGTTCTTGAGATCACCCATGCAGCCCTGAAGATACTACTCTTGTACTCATGAATTTATTGCGCATATTCAAAAAATCCTTTGGGAATCGTGATAGATTTTACAAAAATACGGCTTAGATGACGATGAATTACGCGATATGGATGAAGCTGGCCACTTTGTGCAAACGCAGCGGGACATTTGTTATCGAACGGGGGCCATATACTGCTGCAATAATTCTGGTACCAATTGGTTTATAATTATAGAACTCCCAGCGGTACATATCCTTGCACCAGTATACATTATTGTCTCCCTCCAGCTTTCATATTTTGAGAGGCTAGTCAAAAGGAGAGGCTCTGCGGAGTTGAAGCAACGCACAATGTGATTGACATTCCAATGCAATGCTGTAAATATTATCGCAATGAAAAACGGTGGCTGTATATTGTTTTCGGATCCTTCGACCTAAACCATGCGGACTTTTATGCGACCATCAGCTTCTAGAGAGCTGCAAGCTGTCCAAAGCGTAAGAATGCTCGGATGAAATCCTTCATGAATTCTAAGACTAGCCCTCAATTCGGACTTGCCACCCAGCTGATCTCTATTTATACGATAGCAACTACCTTAACGGCAGTGGGTTTTGTCGTGAATAAGAAGTAAAAGTACAAATAGAAGGGAGGACGACTTCTTTAGAGTAGTCTCCTTAATATAGTAGACTGTTCATTAAAATCTTATAGCCGGGCTGACCAAAGTTCTTCTTATTTGCTCTTCAAGTATATAAAAGTCGGAGCTTTTATAAGTGTGGCGCATGAGACGCATTACTTGGTGGATCTCGATATTCTGCCCTGCACTATTCTGAGCTGAAAATATGACTTGACCAGATTCTTTACCGGATAGAATTCCCGAAAAACGTAAGAGCAAGTGCTATGCTATATTATTATGTACTTGCTAGAAAAGTGTTGTACAATCCGTCAAAAGGTACGATCGTTGTTTCGTAGTTAACACCCGGGGATAAGACCTACAGACCAAGCATATTCTCTGCATATGTAACGATTCATGTCGATGTCATGAATAGAATCTAGAAGGGTCCGAGGTGCGACCCCACCAAGCCCGAGTCAATGTGGAGGAGCCGCATGTCTCCGCTCGAAGCGAACATTAGTGGGGCATTCACTAGTAATGTGTTAGCCATATAGCATGGGGAGCACTCTAGAGCTCAAAATTGCAAGATATTTTTCGCAAAGCCATGAACTGATCCTCCTACTCGAACAATCATGGTGGCGACAGTAAGTCTGGAATGTGATGCCTGGACATTTCATCCGCCTATCACTCGTGGCCAAACATAAGGCCAGCAAGCAACTAGGTTCAACTGAACACGAGGATCTCCCTTAAACCCCATTTTCTAGGACGTTAAGGTTTGTTTTGGTTGCTGCACTGGGTCTGTAGTGGATCCAGGAATTGATGCCATAGCCGCTTGCAGCTTTTGAACCCAAGCCAAGAAATAGTTTCGACTCGGCAACCTCGCTTTTGCGGGCCTAGATACCTTCGAGGAGCCGGAGGTGGAATTAATAAATCATCACCTGTTAGTAGATCTTACCTCTGTTACATAAAACCTTGTTGTGTTGCTTGTCGCCTATCAATCGGCTATATGATTTTCAGTTGTTTAATCGAATTAGAAGGCGCTCAGAGGAATACTCCAACCCATTGTAAATATGCAGCTTGATTAGTACTAGCCATCTACCTAAATGAGCCATGATAGTCTGACAGTCGGCAGGAGCCAGGAGTACGTCCGATCTATAGCACCTAATGGGATTCTTAGCATGCAGGTGGTCTGTGGAGAAATCTAGACTTGGGACACTTATTTCTGTCATAAGTTAGCGTGCTTCGGTTCATCCCGGTCATAAAAAGAGATCAAAAACAATGATGATGGTGATGCGGTCGATTTCGGGATTGATGACCAGATCTAGTATGTCGACCGCACTGGGATATCCTAATCCACGTTTCGTTTCTAGATCCCCTCCAGTAGATTTGCAAAACCGACCGTTGAACATCAATTGAGCTTCGTATTCTTGCTCATGACTCCTATCAACTGCCAAATGCGGCAGGTACTGAGAATCCAAAGCTAAGGTTTCCCTTGGTAATGCTGCTGCTTTATTTATCACCGGAAAAGATCAATCCGCAAGATCAATCTGCAAATGGAGTACTTCTCGCAGACTTGAATTCTGAATGACGAGCTCTATTGACCACGAGGTCGTTGACAAAAGTATTTAACGCCCCTCGACTCGACGCTTCCGCCTATCCGAACAGTTTCAATATTTATACTATCCTCCACGCGATCTCTCAGGCGTCAACCTCTAGCAGGATCCGAGATAAACACTCATACAAAATGAAGATTCCAGGACTTGCTGTATTCGTTCTCTCCTACCTCTCTACTACGGTCCTCGCCGATGCCAACAAAGTCACCATCCAACTTGCGAACGACCAGTCCGGCGCAAATGCCAATGTTGCTGTCCCCACCGATGGCCAAAAGCGTTCCATCAAGTCCCTCTGGGGCCATACAGCCGTCGCAAAAGATGGCGATGTGTATGCGTCCAGCGCACAGCTCGTCGCGTTCCAACAGGACACCGTGTGTGAGATCTTCGGCGATCATCTTCACGCTGAATTGAATGCCCGACAAACTTGGGTGTCTCTGGCGGGCGGTAAAGTGATCAACCTGGACCATGCATACGTGGTTTGTGATGATGTCTAAGCTTAGTTTACCGGGACATGATGAATTGGCTAGGCTTTCTTGATTGTTCTACGCTCTCCGGGGCCGTGGCCAGTGGCAACGATATATTCAGAATTCTCACGATGTTTTGGTTCTCAATATAATGTCTTAGTAAAAACAAGAAATATAATAATTCGCTTTATACGTTGGCCCTTGACCTATACAAGTAGATGTCATTGCGTAATGCTCTTGTAATCAGCCACGCCGACTCCAGCTTTCAAAACATCGAGATTGCAATGCGCCACGAAGGTCAAACCCGTTTTGGTGGAACGGGCGTTCCGGGCGCGGCATGATTATTATTGACGACATTTTTCGATCTAGAAGATGTTGTGATCCGTTCATCTCGGGGTTTACCAAGGCTGCCTATCAGCTGGACTTTTCTCGGGACAGTCTCAAGTCGGTGGTCGTGGCTGAGACTAACGAATAGGACACTCTTCGGGGTGTTAAGCATGTGTACAAGCGCCAAGGCCTCCCTTTCATCTAGCACACAGCATACTTGGTATCCATCTTCGCGTGAATATCGGACTCTCTTAGGCACTAGGGTTGGTAGAGTCGTTGCAGCTTTTGTTCTGTGTGCGTGGGGTCAAGGCACAAAGATAGGATCGTTACTTTCTTTATGGATTCTAAAATTCAAAAATTGTACGTCCCGTTTGATGTGGATGATATGTGAAAGGAACTCCGTGCGTGGCGTTGTGGATCGTTTTGGAGCTTGTGTTGATTAGAGGTATTGGGATTTCCTGGGAGGAAATAACACAAATCGAAAAAAATGTGACTTATTTATTCTTGTGATTGATTTTTTTTAGCAAGGAGCATCATCGTAGTTGTGTGGTAGACAAAAGATATATATGTGATGTGAGATTGTGACTTTGGGCTTAGCAAAACACTCCCCCAACGCCATAAAAAGCTAGGTTGAATGTAGACTTAAAGGATCCCAAGATTCATCGTGTTAGTGTGATCATCCAATTGCGATCGGTCTTACAGTAGCTTTTATCGATTCCTCATAAACCCTTCCATAGACGATGACTATAAGCTAGCCTTCAGAGACTTGCAGGAGATCTCTGATACATTTCAGAATAACATTACTGAAAACAGCACTTGGCTATACGAGGTTATGACCGGTTAGGTGCTGCTGAATAATCGTACCGCGCCGAAGAAGGTCATGAATTGCTACAACCATCGCGAAATTAGAGACGATGAAATCATCGTAAGAAGAGTAAACGTACCTTCTGGAGGAGGCGCAGCGGGATCCCCCACGGGGACTTTCGCGTATTTTATAGACTCTGGCGGAATAGGAATCTTTCTCAAGACTGAGTGTAAATTCATGACATCAGTGGGGAGAAACGCTTTACATTGTGAGAATTAAGGTCTGCATGAACCAAATCCGCCGTCTTCTCGATATGCTGCAACTGGCTCTGCAAGTCTGCTGTTTGTGATGGAATTGAGAAAAGTGGTAGGCGATATTTCGAGAAGAATTGCTTCCAGCTGTACCACTTTATCGACGTTGATAGGACGGTGTAGTTGTTTTTCGATAGCCATGATATAAACTCCATATGTGTGTAGGCTAGAAATAAGCCACGGTTATAGCATTGAGGATTTTGTCTCGAGGCGTTCATAAGTCGGCCATCTGACTCGGCTCGATAGGAGTAATTGACAAGGATTTTCCGGATGGTAGTTCGATCAAGTCTATTAACTTGTAGATTGGTTGCGATGGTTTGGACAGTCTTTCCTATGTCTGTTAAAAATTCAACTGCCGTGATATCCTCATGAGACATGATGAATGGTTTTGAAAACTCGCACAGGAAGGGTTTCTGGGTGATTGGGATATCTGAATGGAAAAGAATTTACTTCTAAAGATTTGATCAGAGGACGCGGATGAGTCTTTATAGACAAACCGATAAAGTTATTGACAGGGCACATGACCGATTAGAACAAGTTATTGGAACCAGGGAGATCAGGCGATCAAAGAATATAGACAGTAGTCTCAACCACGGTACGGTTTGGCCACCGAAAAGCCCGGAGTGCTGGAATCTGACGAGAAGGGTCTATAGGAGGATCATGTTGTTGTATCATCTGTGAAGTAATCTGACTCTTTAATAAAAAGCAATTTGATCATTTGGAAACTTCATCAGTACCGTGCTTTGACAATTTTCGCGCGGTGTTGTTGTTATCTCTCAACTACATAAATTTCTAATACTGGCTTCCGGCAATATTTCAACTTTTTATTGTATGGAAATACCGTTTCTGCTCAATAGTGATCTTTTTAGGTACACAATATCACTTCATAGAAGCGCTGAGGGAATCTATAGGAGTTCTGGCTCGCAATAAGCCATCATCCTATATTTGCCAGCGCTCGAGACATCTCTTTCAACTCAAGCACAAATTGTACATAAGATTCAACTGGACTATAAGGCCTCGTATGATTAATATGTGCGAAATCATTTCCCGAGAAAAGGAGTCTTCCTTGGATAAACTTAAACGACTTCTTCGGCTAGGCCTCCCTTTCGATCAGCCCCCGCGCGAGCGATCCATGGACGAAAAAAGCCATGACTATCTTGCTTTTAGCTGAAGACGCATTGTCAACCTTTTTTAGATTAGGAGAAATAGATGAATTTCCAAGTGTAGGAGACTAATGAAGTCGCATTGTCGGCCCTTGTTTTTGCCAGACATGTTTGCTAGCCCTAGTAAGCTATGAGCTATAAAGCTCAGCCCCCTAGTAGAATCCATTATCATCCTTTCGTTTTTATTCCCTTCCGGTCCCCTAAATCTGCTAGGCCAGCCGCTTATGGGTATTCCAAGCAGGATGTTGCGCGATCATCGTGGCATGTTACTCAGCAGCAGGCTTCACCTAGGGAGCTACTTTGGGTGCAAGCGAACCTGACTCCATCATCGCTTGCAATTCAGCTTTCGGGACATGTCAAGCGGCCTGTGCGACCCTTGTATTAGCACCGATACCCTGAGGCTTGAGGTGATCACGCAACTCCGTCTATGCTAAGACGGTTTGAATTTGTACTACGCCTAAAAATTGGTCAAGTACAGGTGGCCGCTTACAAACTCACTCGCTATTTTGCGGTGTTGAGATAATTAATAAGTCATTTAAAGCAGGGCCTAGTGCCCTGGTGACAGTTTGTCCCGGTACTCTGTTGGCCTAGAAAGACAGATTTGGGTAATATGGCCACTCGTGAAAGAAAGAAAAAGGGAAACATTTGATGTCTGTTTAGTTGGAGAACCAGCCCAATACGTGACACGGCCTTGTCTGCTTAGTAGTCTCAAAGAACTGGATTAGTAGTTCAAATAGTCGAGGAACCTCAAGCAAGGTTGGGTCCTGGAGAAACAGGAAAGATATGTGTTCGGGGTCTTCCAGTGTTCCCTGGCTATCTAACCAAAGCAGGACTTGATAGGGAAGGTTTCAATAACGCCGGATGGTTTGACACAGGAGATATGGGTTACCTTGATCATAATGGTTGTTTATTCATCACCGGAAGAAGCAAAGAGGTGATCAACCGAGGAGGAGAGATTATTTCTCCTTCTGAAGTGGAAGAAGCCATCCTCACTGCTGCCAAAGACCGTGACACTTCGATTTACGGGAAAGTAACCAGTGTGTTGGCATTCTCCGTTCCCCACAAGAGTCTTCAAGAGGTTGTTGGTGCTGTCATAATTTCCACGCCAGGAGAACCTCGGGTTGACTTAAGGCAGCTTCACCATGCCCTTCGCCAACGCCTTGACCAACCCAAATGGCCAGTTTTTCTCGTTTATAAGGATCACCTACCAATGAGTCACACAAAGGCTTTGAGGTCAAACCTGAGCCATCGACTGCACTTGAAATCTCTTTCCGATAACACTCCAATCGCCGATCGTCACTACGAGGCAACAGCACCGGCAGTAGGTGTTGCCATAACTACCGCAATTGAAAATCGTCAATGCAACATCGATCCTGAAATCCTCCGAACATATATCACGCAGTATAGTGGCTCGTCCCAAGTCTTCATCAGGAAGAGGTTTACGGATGGGCTACTTCAAGCCTTCATTTTTGACGTCAGCACCAACATGCCCACTGTGGAAGGCATTTTATCTCATCTCTGTGCAAATTTGCCTGGGTATCTTGTTCCAACTAGCATCAAATTGCTCAATGGTCCCATTCCAATTGACGCAACGGGATCGGTCAACGAGGAGGCTATCAATGAAGCAATAATGAAGCCAGGTGCTGATGAAGCTAAAGATTCTATTTACATTCGAGTATGTGATATTTTTGCACGCACCCTTAGCCTCTCCTTGGACGAAATGGACAAGTCAACAGATTTCTTCCTGGCTGGAGGTGATAGTTTGCAGTCTGGGCGAATGGCTTTCGAGCTACGGAAAGAATTCGGTATTCGCTTGCCAAGTGACGTTCTTTTCATTAACAGTACCGTCGAAGCCATGGTAGCTATCGTGGAGAAAGCTATCATCACCCAGAATACCACCAAGTCACAGCCTTCTCAACCTCCTTTGCCGAGCTGCAACGAGACATACAGCTCAACCAACCCAATCGTCCTCCTTGCTCAATTACTCCCCATTACCGTGTTCTATCCAGTCAAGGTTGCCTTTCATTGGACTTTGTTTGTGCATCTGCTCGGGGAGGCCTCCGGGCACGTTCATACTCGCCCAAATGTGGTGACTAGAACTGCCATGATGACTTTGGCTTGGGCATTTGCTCATTTGGCAACAAACTTTGTCTTCCCACTGCTGGGCATTTTCTTCAAATTGACAGTCATTGGCCGGTACCGTGAAGGAACATACCCTATGTGGGGACCCTATCATACCCGATGGTGGTTAGTGCAAAAGGCATTGTCAATCTGGGGGATGGGAGTTTTTGATAAGGCTTCCTGGTCCAAACGTCTATATCTTCAGTGTATGGGAATGAAAATAGGGCAGAACGTTTCTATCCACCCGGGAGCCCAGCTGGGAGAGTATGATCTGTTGGAGATTGGCGACAATGTCGTCCTCGACAACTGCGTTTGTCGGGCTTTTGCTGTTGCACATAACACATCGATTTATCTCGGCCGCATCCAAATTGAAAGAGACTGCTCGGTGGGCCTCCGATCCATTGTTGCCCCTGGCGCTCATCTTCCTCCGCGGACTTATATAGGTCCCCGTTCATCTAGCTGGGCAAAGGCGGATGCAACTGAGGAGAATGATAGGCTGATGTCGACTAGAAGTCCTCATCCCCACTGGATCTGGAACTTCTTGATTGTGAAGCCACTTGGAACGCTGTGCACCCTTTCGATGCATCTCCCGTGGATTGCAGGCCTTGTGCCTCTTGCCAACAGGCTAACTATGCTCAAATCCGGGAACAAGGTGCTGAACGCTACTTCATGGCTCATTGAACCATCTCACATGACTCTGTTTTTACGTGCTCAGGTATATGCCACGATTGTGGGACCTATTGTCAAATTCATGTTTATTCTCGGCATCAAAAAGACGTTGGACCTGCTATGTGGGCGTTCCGTACCAGGACCAGTCGAAATTCAGTCGCGAGGTCAAATTCTCCGCACCGCAGTACTCTCCCAGATCTTGCCTGATGGTCACCTGCTTTGGTTTACGGAGTTGCTAGGCGTGCATTACGAGTTAGTCTCTATTGCGTTGCGTGCTCTGGGCGCCCGCATCGGCAAGCGGGTGTACTGGCCTGCTCTGGGTCCTTTTACCCAAGACTACGATCTCGTTGAGATTGGAGACGACGTCCTCTGGGGTGCACAGTCACATCTGAATACCTCGGATGGGTATGGAAAGGATAAAGTGGTTATCCAGGATGGAGCGATGGTAGCAGATCGTGCGATCATTTCGCCTGGCGTGAGCGTCGGAGAGCGGGTTCAGGTTGGATCCGGGGCATTGCTCAAACGCGACAAACACTATTCAGCAGATAGTGTGCTGATTGGGAGTCGCCAGGGAGAGGCGGTTCAGTTCCCTAGTCCTGTTGTCAAAAAGAAAGATGCGGACGGTGTTTCGGAAATTTTATCCACGCCTTTTGGTCGGGCCTTCTATCTGGGCCTAGCAAACTACCGCGTGTGGACAGAGTCGGAGATTGTTTGCTATACCATTGCAATCATGGCAGTCGTGAGTGTGTACTGGTCTACAGGACCGGTTATCAGCCTGTCCATCCTCCTTCGCATCATCCCGGCCATTCGGGAGCACTTCTTTGACGCTAGTACCACTGCTGGCTGGCAGTTTGTGATATTTTCCAGCACTCTGGCGGGCTTGATGAGCCTGGTTGGTGGTTTGCAGTCATTTGTCGCCTTGGTCGTCGTCATCTCTTCCAAATGGATGCTACTTGGCCAACGCCAGCCAGGCCCTCATCCCTGGGACAAAGATTCCTTCTTCCAACTCCAACAACTCCAGTTGGCCATCTAAAAGATAATGGGCAAGGCCTATGACGGGGCTGGAATTCTGGGCTTCTTCACCGGCACTGAATACCTGAATACATTCTTCCGTGCCTTGGGAGCTCGTATCGGGCGTAATTGTGCTCTTTTTGCCAATGGACGCCCAACGATCATGTTAACTGAGCCAGACTTGGTCACCATCGGAGACCGTGTAGCAGTCGATGATACTTCTGTTGTCGCCCATATCAATACTCGTGGCGAATTTGAACTGCGAGAGCTGAACATCGGCTCCGGGTGTGTCCTGCGGACGGCGTCAAGACTGATGTCTGGAGCCTCGATGGGAGATGATGCTTGTCTACTTGAGCACACTTGTATTCTGCCTGGAGATCACGTTGATAACGGTGCCATATATCAAGGGTGGCCAGCTGTTCCGTTTGAAGCAGTACATGATACACCCAGCTCATAGTTTAGTTTCAAGCCAGTGTTCCATTGGTATGGAAGCCTCTCTATGTCATATGCAGGCTGATTATAGCAAAAGGTCTCGTCTCCTTGATTGGATGTGAGTAGCCTTAGCATAGTTAATTGGGCTCGTGGAAGGATTAAGGTGAATAAAATGGTGAAATTAAAAAATTCGAAACGCCCTGTACCATCCTGGAAGTGCGCAAGCAGAGTTTAGTAGTACTAACTCCTATTGCCTTCCATGTAGAAAACATAGATGCTCTTTCCAACCCTAAACACATGCCGATATCCAGCCGATACATGAAAATGAAACGGACACAAAGCTAACTTAGGCAGGTATAATGGAAACGGTATTCCTTCGCGAGGCTTTCCAGAGTGCAATAAAACCCAAGACCGGGTCCAAATCAATAATTTGTGATTACACCCCGTGCTGCCCCAGTAGAATAAGGAGCTTCATGCAATCTGGTATTGCTTGTAGTTTCTTCATTCCCTCTCTTTTGGCTTGTCAAAGAGTACAGGCTGCTGATCCAACGGATAACTCAACAAGACACTTATTGGCACCCAGGAATACTTTTGTGGTGCACCCTTGAAGAATCCAAACATAATAGCCTGTTCCAAGCTTACGGGCTGCTTCAACTTCCATAACTTGAGAATTTCATATCCGTAGTTGGATTTCTTCATGCCCGCGTTGAAATCCGCATTTCCGATACCGCCGTCCTCTGCGACTTGCCCGGGCACTTTAGCCCGGGATATATAGGCGACATGCTCAATTTGTTTGATAGGTGTTGTAGTGTAAAACCAGATTCGGCTCACGTCTGATGGCAGGGGGTAACTGCGATATTCATGGTTCTTTGCACCAGAGGCGATGTTGCTCATGTGTTCGGGCTTGATGCTCATAAAGACGTCTCTACACGATTTTTCCATTTCTATCAATTGCGTAGGATATTTGATGAGATTTTCAAGAAGGAGAAATAAAGAGAGAAGCTAAATTCCCAAGGTAAAATTTCACCGATGGATGAGCGGTGAAAGCAATGATCTAATCTTACGGTGATTTCCCCCACCTGTCTCCAATATCTGCTTCTCCCACTTACAATCGAGCGAGCCGGTTGGACCATACAGTTTGCAGCAGTGAGTATAAAGATATAATCTACCAACGGTCGTCAGCCCTAAATTGTATTAACTCTCCATATTTCCGTGGTAAATTAATCATCCACTGACCTGCAATTCCAGGTTTTGGACATTGAGATAACCTAGATCTGATATCAACTCAGAAATTTCACGCAAAGTCCACTCGAGTGCCAAAGTACCTTAACGGATGTTTCCAAAGATGCCACAGCTCGAGCCCAAGTTTCTCTCACGGGAGCCTTTGGTAAGCAAAGCTATACCAACATCAGCGTCAACTGCGCTTATCTCCCCGAACCCCAGGATTCCAAAGAAGCCCGATGGAAACGCTTAGTGAAAACAAATTACATCGACCCTAATGGAGTACGGCGAGACTGGGAGTCAGCTGAACGCCAGGTAAAAACATATCATTGAAACCCCCCAACAAACCGTTTTCTGACTATTTGCACAGACAAGACCTAAAGATTCCCTCGTGGATGGAGTCAACATAGTAGCCTTCTTGAACAAATCAACAGGCTCGGAACTTCTCCTTGAGAAACAATACCGACCGCCAATTGACCAAGTCGTCGTTGAGCTTCCTGCGGGTCTGATCGACCCAGGTGAAACAATTGAACAGACTGCAATTCGAGAACTCAGAGAGGAGACTGGGTATATCGGTGTTACTAATAAGACCAGCGGCATTATGTATAATGGTCCGTACATACCTAACAGAGACATTTCTGGATACTGCATCTTTACTAACTTTGATATCTAGATCCCGGGTTCTGCAACTCTAATTTCAACATGGTTTATGTCCAAATTGACATGTCCCTTCCGGAAAACCAGGATCCTAAGCCTAGTCTTGAGGATAATGAGTTTATTGAGTGTTTCACGGTTCCGGTTTCGCGGCTTGGTGCTGAGCTTGAGAACCTAGAGAAGGAAGGTTATGCCATTGATGCTCGTGTGGGATGTATAGCTGAAGGGATTGAGATTGCGAAGAAGCTAAAGTTTTGACTTCTTGCTTAGGGTGGTAGCAATGGGTTTTCTTTTCCTAGTGGTTTCCCTGAGTGATGATTTCTACAGAGTATGTGGTCTATAGATTATAGAATGACGCCTGATGATACTATCCCTCTTCAAAACCTGCAACATACACGATCATCGCTTTTCCGTCTTCCTCTAATTTACTAACTGCTTCATTTTAAGGGCAGATTGCCAAGTTAAGGTCGAAGAGACAAACTGGACTATCTTAATTCTAGGGTACTACTCTCAGCAGTATGACAAAAGTCACTGGCTACTCCCTCAATCAACCATACACGAGACAATATGTACAAAGGCGACTCAATGACAAGGAAACACGCCACTTATCAACTCCACCTCACACTCCTTCCCTAAACACTGAAGCTTCAGTTAAGAAGACCCATTATCCTCAATGGCATCTACACGATCCCAGCTCTCAAGTTCAAGAGTCCGCACTCGATTCTCAATCTCGGCAATTTGCTGCTGCCATTCCTTCTGGGCTTGTTCCTGCAATTCATAGATGACCTTAAACTGTTCCATGACAAAAGGAGGAAGATTGTGCGTCTTCTGGTTCCTCTTGTAGTCATATGTGACAATATCCTCGTGGCAACGAGCAGCAGGACGTTGCTTGGCTTCCGAGAGGATCATGACCTGCAGCTGGAATGCAGATTGTCTGGAGAGGAATGAGTTTGGGTCGGGGACTAGCCTTTGGTAAACAGTTATCTTGTCGGGCGATGTCATGGGCTACTTCATAGTTAGTAATTGAGGCATTGAAGCACTTTAGGTCTGCTTCGGGGATGCTGTACAAATTTGTAGTCCACCTTGATGCTTCGCAGGATGAGTCCAACCCCCGTAGAGCCAACTAGGTTTATCCATTCTTTCTTATTTGCAGGATCGATGTAGGTTCCGATGTTTCGTGTCCAGTTCACTCGGGCTGTCTCGGCATATCGAACATAGGTGACGTTGTTGACATGGCCTATGGATCGGTTAGCTTAGTACGAGAACCTTGAATGGGAAAGTATTTTCCGATAGTGGATGCATAACATACCCTAGTCATAGTGTTAGCTTTGTTCCAAATTCAAGAGGGCAAGTGCAGCGTGCCACATGGCGAGAGCTGTTCTTACCATGACATCCTATTATACCACCAAAGATCAGAAGTCAGCAACAATTCATCTATACCATATATATACCATATATAGGCCCAGTCCCGTACCTGTTCACCCCAGACAACATTATGCTTAAACAAACTGCGACGCTTCTTATCGGTCAAGAAACCCTCACTTCCAGCAAGCAATTCACGCCAATCATTGGCCAATTGCTGTAGAATCTGTCCTCCTTCATTGATCTGATCTGGCCGTAGTCCAAACATCATGCATTTCCCGATTCGTCGCTTTATCATTGTAAGCCATCGCGGGTCGATGGTGTGCGGCTTTGCCGGCGCGTTGTCCAAATTGGCTTTGCGGGGATCTTGTACGGGGGAGGTCGCAGAAAGTAGACGACGTGCGGGTAATTGGCATGAGCGGATTGGCGCCGCGAGCTGCGTTCGGAGTGCTGGTTGTAGCATGGCGTGTGTGTGGAGAGGAGAGAGCTACGCATAGGCGGAGATCGGTCAACCATCCCCGGAACTTGGGCCAGTTCGGCTTGAACCCCGCGCGGTTATATACGGTGTCGGTTATGTTAATATTGACATCTTATAATCTGGACAGAAGTAGTGGCTATTAATGCAATTATAAATAGAAAAAAGAATAGATCAAATAGTCCAAAGCTGAGATCGGAGCTCCCTATACAGCCTCAATACACATAGTATCTCCGGGCGACGTCACCGATAACATCCGAAGCTTTTCAGCTTTCAGCTCCGCCTCCTCACTTCCTCAGTAACCATCAGACCTCTCAACTACCTCCCTAACCCCTGTGAATGGAGCAGCTATGGTGAACTTTGAGCTGCGCCGGCAAGTCATCAACGTCTACAAGGGTATGCCAGTACAATCAGGAGTGGTCTCGAGCGGTCTCGTCGGTCTTGGACTAACACCCGAACAAAGAACTCTTGTTCCTAGGGCGCGAATACCCTCTAGGGTATCAGTATTTCAGAGATCGGCTGCACCGCGCATTTGCGAGTCAAGCTCAGATTACAGATGATGAGCAGATCCGCAAGGGGATCGCGAGGGCTGAGTTCGTGAAGAAAGGTAAGTTTTTTGGTATCCCCATCTGTTCCAAGTGTCATGGCCTGTTGCTAACTGCTCTGTGCAGAAGTTGAAGCCTTGTAAGATCAATTCCCATACCCACTCCTATCTTTCCTTCTCCGCATCTGGCCTTCGGCCCTCTTTCTCGATGTTCCCAATCTACGCATTTGTGACTACACTCAACGAACCCGATTTATTCGTACAAGTCATTCTATACATTTTGCGCATATTGCGGCAGTGTTTGGCTAGATACACCCTGCATCCGCTCCTCATTATACATCACGGCATCATGCAAGCACAATTTTGAACCCAGAGACCCTTTGCAACGATGACCAACTGACACGATAAAAAAACAGATACTATTTGAAGCGGTATCGGACGCTGAAAAAGCGGTATGAAAGTAGCTGAGGCCTTCTTTTGGCTCTCAACTCCAGAGTGTTCAGATATAGAAACCAGAAAGACAAAAATAAAATTGGGGTATCACCAATACGAAGTGCAGAATGGTCACTGCTTGACTTTCGTTCGCCAGAACTCCAAATTGACTCGAGAGGGCTTCATTTTTTGCGTCCCCACCAGGCACTCACTTCAAGACACTCGCCGCTGGCAAGTCCGCCTTTTTGCAGAAAGTCGGCAGTCATCGCTGCCCACCATCGGTCCCATTCATCGCGGCTCTTTCCGCTGGATTCCATGAGCAGGGGCTCGAGCCCTCCGATCATCTGGATCGTCGTGAGAAGCGCCGTTCGTCGGATGGATATTTGTTCCGGGGTCAAGGCTTTTCGTGGACGGCCCTTGGAGTCCTTGCCTTGGCCCTCGCGCTCCCACCGCAATTCACCTAGCGGGACTGCAACGCGGCGACTGTCGACATTTTCCAGCACGTCTACCTCGGAGTTGAACGATAAGCCGATAGTGGCGCACGGAAGCGCTGTGAGTTTGCGTTGGTCGAACGACTTCTCCACCCACGAGTTATAATCCACCAAGTATTTGTTCTGCGCTCGTGTGAATGGAGTCGCAGAGGAGAATGTGTATGTGGCCGTCGTATCGGCAATCTCTTGTTCCTTCGACGATGTTTTGCGGGCTGGAGCCGGGTTCGGGAGCAGCGAGCGGAAACTCCAATCTGAATCCCACACTTCCAGGATCCCCCCGGATTTCAACACTCGCAGAGGCTCACTCAACCCGGACGCTGATTGCGCTGGGCTGGCTGGACACATGCCGGCATCTTTGATAAACACGAAGTCGAAATAATCGTCCGGGAAGGGTAGGCGGGGTCGGCGTAGGTCATGACGTTTGAACTGCCAGTTCATGCCCTGCTTGCGCAGATCAGGCGCAATGGAAACGACGTCGATTCCCGCAAAGGCGATGTTGGAGTGGCCCCGACGGGAGAAGTATTCGTGGCACAGACCGGACCACAAGCCGGACCCGCATGCGATCTCCAGGATGCGTTTGGGCGGGCGATTGGCCAAGTGGGGATTGCAAAACGGGCCGCCTAAGACGCGCAGTAGCATCAACGTGCGCAGGCTCTGGCGGTGGATCTCGGGCAGGTCGCAGGGCAGAGGGTAGGTATCCTCCGGGTCGCGGAAGTAGGTGCGGTCGCCCTGGCGGATCAGAGGGTACGTTGAGTAGTCCGTGAGGGAGCTAAGGGAGGAGGAGGAAGCCGCCAATGTCGAACTCAGGTTGGAGTGCAGGTCGGTCCCGGAGGCCGTTGCTGTGGTGAATCCAAGTGCCATTGTGTCCATCACTCAAGTTGTCGGCATATGCTGGATCGGTCGCATTCTCGGCGCGAGGTAGGAGCTTCATGAGCAGCGAGACATGGCAGGAAGGGAAGTCCGAAATTCAAGGAATTAAAATTTAGGTCGACAAGATGACCGATCAAAGCGGGTTCGGAAAATATCCTGCCGTCAGACGTGAAGAAATTTCGTTCAACGTCGATTTACTCAGTCGTTTTAAGAAAGAGCATGAAGAAGTGGAAAAGAATTGGGGAGAGGGGGGAAGGAAAGAAACCAGTTCTAGTGACCCCTGGATCAAAAGTGGCATATTGTATCCACTCGAGTCTAGTTTCTCTTCACGTATAGTCATTGGGGTAACAATACTAAATCCTTGGCTTCTTACGGTATCTCCGTATACTCCAAGACCATGTACTCTGTAGGTAACTAGTTACATTACCCCGAGGTTATGCATATAGTTGACATCATGAGTCAATCCAGAGCCATGGCTGCATTGGCCGGAAAGGGAAATGCTGAAAATACGGCAACCCAATAGATTCAATAGATCGCGAACTATAAACTTTATTCTCTATACTATTTACCTCCTTATACACCTTTATACACGATGTTCAGTTGTTTCACCCCTCATACATTCCTTTTGGCAGGGTTCTCTGTCCGGTGCGTGCGTAGCCATATGAAACCGGGGTGAACTGATCTATATGCTCAGACCTTACAACAATATTTTCGCCTCTGAGATACATCTCACACAAAAGTACAATGTGCCTCGTTTATTGATCCAATAGTATCTGATGGACTATTCAGGGCTACTCCAACGGCCGTAAAATTGAATACAGAAACGCCGGAGATCCTTGCCCGCCATGTCCATAGCGTCCATAGTCCACCCGCCAGGTACCGGGTCTGGCCACGGTAAAAAAAAACCTGAGACCTTAGTCTCTCTCTATCCGACACCTGCCCCGTGCCCTAACCCGAGTCCCAGACACCTGGTTCAGCGGCTTGGATACGAGAAATTCCGCACTTCTTCTGGGACCTGGTTGTGATCTGTGCCCCCTATGTTTCCACTCGCTCGGTAGATAAATATGGGACCCGAGTTGCCCCCTGCAGAATATGTGTAGTGGATCGACACCGTTCAGTTTCTGCCACGTACTTTGGTCGTGGAGGTGTCGGATTGTGTGATTTTGAGACATTTGGCTCAAAGGCAATTGCTGGCGATGGGAATGTCGGAATGTGGCAAGGGGGGTAAGTGTCGCCATGTGTTGGAAGGCCGCTTTAGAGGTTTCTGTGTAACTACGCATGTATGGTGGGCCTGTTCTAACGTTACCAGTTGCACATGTACATGTTCGCTGCCAGGTGTCCAGTGTGTCTATGATAGACTGTTTACAGTAGGGTATATAGGCTGATAGATAAGCAAAGAACTATAAACTCACGAACCAGGGGCAATAAGTTAGGTATACATGTACATGTATGTGGCTCTGAAATCTTAGTTCGGATCATTTCCGGCCAGGCCATGTCTCATCTCATTCTGCTATCCTACTGACAATTCAGCTAGAAAATCAAAAAACCAGATAGCCTATTGGGAGACTAGAGATTTGTTGGTGTCCTTTCAATCTTGGCCATTTCCTTTCTGTCTTTATTACTTCCTCTCCCTATCCTCTTTACGGCTTCATCTTTCATTCATATAAGCTTTGAGACATAGATAAGCCTAACTTTCATTCTTGAAAAGGGTCAAATGATTGATACAAGGGCGGTTTGGGGAGTTTCCATACTTTCCAGAGAGCTATGTGACCCCACACCGCGGTAGAAGATCCCCCAGGATATCTTTATATAGGTCCAAATCATCACCGATCCCCACACAGACACCTTCCAGAGAGACTTCACGTACGGCGTACTCGGTAAGAACATAAGACTGCGATCTCTTGGCATCCCATGCACGCTAGAGACTTGGCATCACGTGATACGCCATCGGCACGTGACTCCCGCCTTCGATGCAGACCACCAGTGTCATCTCAGTACCCGTCCTCATCGACCTGGAGACAATCGTGTGATTTGCCCATCTTTGCTACGTCAATCTTTGCCCTCGGGCTACCCTCGACTTTTTGAACCTCGACCACTCCGAAAACTTCGATCTCGCCTCCTTTTGACGTCTCCGACCACTCTCCGCCCTTAGGTACTCCGTTCAACGACTGCTGCCAAGGTGTAGCGACCCCCAATCGTGCTCTAATCTAAGGGCTTTCACGAAAGGTCTCTATGTGGAAGAAGAGAAGAGACCGTCTTCGATCCTCTACTCCTCTCCTCGCCTCCTCGAACGAACTCGATTCAGCGCCGTCCGCCCACCAACCGGTTTTCCACCAGGGAAACAACACACGGTCTCGTCTGCCACGTTAAATGGCAGATGGTACCTACAGGTTCCAGCAGCCTGGGGCCGGGCAGTTCTACTTCCAAACTCAAGCGCAACAGAACCCTCACCAGCGACACATCGTTCGAAACGGGACCAACTCTCCGACGGGGCGACTGAAATTCAACCCCGACACCCCCTCCCCTCCCGTTCCCCTGCCCTGAATCCAGCTGCTGCTCTTGGTTCTTTCAACATGTATGGCCAAACTCACCAGGGTCAGCATGTCATGATGAATGGCGGTCAAACCCACCAGCGGTTTGGCATGCAGATCCCTAAGTTCCAATCGCAAACCCACCACTCCCATCACGCACAGCAGCCGCACCATCATGCCCACCACACACAAGCCACTCATAACCTCACCCACCAACACAATTTCGCTAGCGGCGCGCTGGCCTCTACTACGACTTCCCATTTCACTTCTACTCATTTGCAGAATGGTGTACCGGCCGCCGTCGACGACGACATGGACGAATCGATGAACGAGCATTGGCAACAACAACTCCAGCTGGCAGCTGAGTCGAGACAGGCCACTTCCCCGCATTACTACGCCCGCGTCATCGCGCAACAGACGAAAGGAATCCAGATCATGAGTCAGACCGAGCCCCAGGAGAATGGGGCAGAGGGGCGCAATAGTGCATCCGGATCAAAGCCAGCTAGTCGACAAGGCTGGAATGCGCTTGATTTCGGTGGCCAAGGACTACGCGCTTTGACCACATCCTTGTTCAGCTATGCCTTCATCGAGAAGCTATACCTCAATTCCAACAAGCTCAAGGCACTGCCTTCGGCGATTGGACAACTTCGGAAGTTGACCCATCTGGACCTTTCAGGCAATGACTTGACGGAGCTGCCAGAAGAGATTGGCATGCTCTCAAATCTGAAGAAGCTCTACCTTTTCGATAACAACATTCGCAACCTCCCTTACGAGATGGGCTACCTATACCGTCTGGATACGCTGGGCGTTGAGGGCAACCCCCTTAACGATGTTCTCAAGTCCCAGATCATGAAGGACGGTACAAAGGCGCTTATCAAGTACCTAAAGGAAGAGATGCCAGGTGTGTCAACGGTCTCCTTTCGACGCGATTTGTGAAAGCTTGTTCGCTAACCTTATCGTTCTAGTTCACCTCCCTCCCCCCGACCGTGATTGGGTCATCCTTGACGAGACCTCCAGCTCAAGCAACAGTCCCACGGAAAAGATCACCGTTCTGTCGTACAACACCCTGTGCGACTCTTCTGCCACCCAATCGCACTACGGCTACGTCCCCTCCCGCGTGCTGGCCTGGGAGTACCGTCGCGAGCTTATCATCAACGAACTACGATCTCACAGCTCAGATATTATCTGCCTTCAGGAGGTTGACCAGGGAAGCTACAACAATTACTTCCGGGAACAGCTTGCCTACAATGATTACAAGGGCGTTTATTGGCCTAGAGGACGTGCAATGGGCATGCAGGAGGAAGATGCCCGGTCAGTTGATGGCTGTGCTACTTTCTTCAAGGGAAGCAAGTACATCCTGTTGGACAAGCAATTGATCAACTTCGGCCAGACAGCCGTCCGACGTCCTGACGCCAAGGGCCAAGACGATATCTACAACCGACTGTGGCAGAAGGACCACATCGCCGTTGTGATCTTCCTGGAAAACCGCCAGACCGGTGCACGCTTTATCAGTGTCAACGCCCATCTGTACTGGGATCCAGCCTTTAAGGATGTCAAGCTCATCCAGACTGCTATCCTGATGGAGGAAATCACCAAGCTCTCGGACAAGTACGCTAAATGGCCCGCGTGTACTGATAAGACCGCATTCCGCTTTTCAGAGGCCGAAAGTGGCTCCGAGAACGCCCCCGTGGTGGAACCGGCTCCGTCGATGGAGTACACCAGCGGTGATCAGATCCCCGTTCTCATGTGTGGTGATTTCAACTCTTCGCCAGGGTCCGCGGCGTACAACCTGATTTCTACTGGCCGCCTGCCAGAAGAACACCCTGATCTCGAGAAGCGACTGTACGGAAACCTCAGTAAGGTTGGTATGACACACCCCTTCAAGCTGAAGTCTGCCTATGGTTCGATGGGTGAGCTCAGCTTCACCAACTATACCTCCGACTTCACGGCCATCCTCGATTACATCTGGTACTCTTCCAACACACTCCATGTGTCGGCGTTGCTCGGCGAAGTCGACAAGGAGTACCTACGTCGTGTCCCCGGTTTCCCGAACTTCCATTTCCCGAGCGACCACGTAGCATTGCTTGCGGAGTTTACGGTTAAAGGGAAGAAGGGCAAGGTGGTGGAGGCAGACTTCGGGCCGCAACGGCACTAACGAATTGGAGCATTTGAAGATGGGTGTTTGTGCAATCGGTGTCATTTCTTGCTCTTTGCTATCTCGGAATCTTTTTGGGTGGTGACTTTATAGTCTGCCGTCTTATGGTGTTTTTTACGTATTTCTTTTCTTCCGTTCTGTTTTCTCTCCTGTTTATGAACGTCCTTCATCCTCTCTCGTGTTCTTTCTCTTTATCCCTCTCCCTTGATTTGCGAGCGGAGCATTCGTTCCCCCGCGAACAATGCCCTGGCCTTGTGCCTCGTGTCCCTTGGATGTAGTCTTTGGCACGGCAATATTGCATATCTTCCTCGACTCCTGTATCTTCCGCGTTCCCTCTTTCCTCCCGCCTCTCCCTCTTTGTCTCTCTCTATCTCCTGTGTCTCTGTGTTTCCTGATTTATTTCGGTTTCATCTCACCTAATCTCTAACGTCATCTGAGACGGCTTCACGACGCTTAGGATGGGAGGTTGGTTGGTGTTCGGGTGGAACAGGTGGCTGAAGGGTATGGTTTTTTGCCCTGTGACGAGGTTGCTTTTTGTCTTTTGTTTGGGCGAAGGGAGTTGTCTGTTCTGTGTACGTGTTTATTTTGTCATCTGTCCTACGCGAGGCCAAGTCGAGAATAGAGCATGGCTTTGTTCCTTTCTTCTTCTATTGGTATTGGTACTTGCTCACTTGTAGAATGTATAGATAAGGGTTCTCTGTGGCGTAGGGCTGGATCCTGGGCTTCCTTGCTCACCGTAACAGTTGTATATGTATGTCTGCCACTTGGCTTCTTGCATTACTTGCACTACACGTACAACCACAAAGGCCCAAACAAGCGTAGGACCGTGCATCAGAATGACACTTTCGTGTAACAATCGGAAACTCGTTTCCCTAGATGATATGGATTTCACTTACATGTCGTAAGGTTGGAGAGTAAGACCACAGTAACTCTTCCGAAAAGCTTCTCATTTCAGAAAATACCATAGGCAGGTCCTCAATGCCTGCCGCAATCTCTTTCAAGAATTTCTCGAACATCTTTCATGCGCGATGGGTTTGAGAACGATTGTAGTCAGCTTCGTTGTTTGGCAACTCGCGGATGACTGCTTCAAATCTGAGCAACGCTTTAGCGAGCTCGAAGCGTGTGGTCACTTTCTGACCCTCGGTGGAGACTTTCTTCCATTACTGCAATCAACCGCCGTCGGGAGGTATCTGACGGTCAACATAGTCATAAATGAACTGGTGCAGGAGGTCTTATCGAGAGTTCCCTTCCATCGGAAATTGCATAATATCTTCCTTTCAGCATTCATTTCCTCTTCTCCAACTTATCGAGCCGCTTGTCGTTGTTGTCAAGTTCGGTCTGAATGTCCCAAGCATGCTGATCATTTTTAGGGATAAATCTGTAGGAGGTTCAGGCAAGGTTCTAACTGCTGAAGCTCCACAGGGAGAAATTCTGGGAGACGAACTCGCCGGCTTTGAAGATGCGCTAGAAAGTGCCTCGTGAAACTACAGTGTCGCTAAATAACTTATCCGATAGACCACCTGCAGTGTTGCGGTCTCCACGTGGTGGAGGGGATTTAGAGAGGATGAAGATGGAAGAATCAAAAAGAGTAGCTATTTATACTTGCTCTTTAAGAGTATTCTACAGAGTATTCTAAAGAATATTCGGAAGAGTATTCAAAAGGGTATTATAAAAATATTTAAAGATTGTTGGATATCCCATTACTTCGCCCACTACATCTAAAGGTAGAATAGAATATGGATATATGGTTTTAAGTATATAGGGATTTAGAAACGTAGTCAACAATAGTCGACTACCGCGGAATACTTAGTCTAAAATAGGTCGGCCATTCAGTTATAGACAGCAGCTACGGCATAGTAACATACAAACTACAACCCAGTCTTAAAATATGAAACGAATAACACTCTTGAACTGACCTCGGAGATAAAGAGTATCTAAGGGCTCGGGCTCCGCGGAGCCCGACTACACTACCTCTTATCGCTTCATTCATGGGCAACACTTCAGAAGAGAAAAGACCCCTTTACGACGAATGCATACCTTAAGCTATCATACAAGATGTCTCTAAGCAACAACACAGAAATAACCCAAGTAAGCCAGCCAACCCCCAGCCAAACAAAAGCCTCCTGACCAAAGCAAGGCCGCAACAATCGCCGCCCTAACAAGCGAATTAATAATCCACCCAATGGACACAATAATAACACGAATGCAATCTCCAATCTACAAAACAATCTACAAACACGGCAACGGAACCCTCAATCGCACCATTTTCCATGGCCTCTATCAAGGCTTCGGACCAACTCTTCTAGCAGGCACACTCTCCTCAGCAGCATTCTTCACAACATACGAAGCCTCAAAGAAAACATTCGAGAATGCTCAATCCGCTGGATACATGCTCGGTGTACCTCGATCTATCTTCCACGTTGCTAGTAGTGCACTAGCTGAACTTATTGCCTGTGCGATTCTTAATCCGGCCGAGGTATTGAAACAGAATGCCCAGGTTATCCAGAGACCTCCATCACCACCTGTTTCTGAGACTGGAGCTAGAGGGTTACCTACATCTCCAACAGTTGAGATACTGAAACAGTTCCAGAAGCAGCCATCGAAACTATGGGCTGGATATACGGCTCTGGTGGCAAGTCAGCTACCCAGTATATGTCTGACATTCTGTCTCTATGAGATGATAAAAGAGACATTACTTGAGCGATGGAGACATAAAAAGGAGAAGGATAATACAGCCCAGCAATTACAAGCAACTATTTTGAGTGCGGGTATTGCGGGCGGTTGTGCATCTTGGTTCTTTGTTCCACTCGACGTGGTTAAGACGAGAATGAGGCTTGCTGTTGGAAACCATGGTGGACAGACAGGGGTACCTTGGCTTGGTCTTGATGGGACGAAGGTCAGCTTACAGCCTCGAACTGGGGCTTTTGCTGTTGCTGGGGATGTGGTGCGTAAGGAGGGGATTTCTGGGCTGTTTCGGGGGTCTGGGCTGACTTTTGTGGCTGCTGTGGTTGGGAGTGCTCTTTATATTGGGTGTTATGAGGGGTGTAAGTTGTATTTGTATACTTCTTGATCGATGGTTGGTATAGAATTGTGTAAGATAGATGTATATTATGAATCACTCTACTCTATTAGGCTTTTTTGTGGAACCTCATACTGGTGGTGTTAGATAGGGATGGGACATTTCAAAAATATCCAGTATCAAGGAGCTGCTAGAAGAGTCTGTGGAGTGGGTTCCCATAGTTTCATCGTAGCAAATAGACCCATGGAACGCAATATATATATCCACCAGTTGGGTAAATGTAGCAACTTGTAGCAAGTCTACATATGATTCAAACACAAGTAATTTGAAAGGGTACAATTAAAATGCATGCGCATGTAAGATATCAGCCATAAGTACGGATGAGTCGATACCCTCGGGATATGCAGTGTCCGTGCATTGCAGATCACATGCTAACACTGGGTGAGATCGACTTGACTACACCTCAAGACTTCAATTTCCCAACAATTCACGAGATGACAGAGGGAACACACACACTACCAGACGGCCTTGAGCTGTATACCAAAACATGGGAGGTGAGTTGAACTTCGATCGAGCTTGCCTTGACCTATACGACCTCGCTCTCCCGCCATGTTTCTTGCAAATGCTGACAGAAAATTAGACCAGCGGATCTCCACGTGCCATCTTGGCCTTTATTCATGGCTTCAGTGATCACTGTAAGTCTCGACGCCGATGAGCCAGCATAGCAACGCTGGTTTACGTGTCAATAACACTTGCTAGGCAATGCCTACTACGACATGTTCCCAAACCTGGCGGAAGCAGGAATTGAGGTCAGGTCTTTTGATCAGAGGTATGTGCACTGGAGATAACTCCCCGGAGCTATGAACACCAATCCTTCCCTCAAGACCACACCAAAGCCATCTCAATATCAAAGCTTCCCCCAAAAAAGAGACTAACACCACCACAGAGGCTGGGGCCGCGAGGTCAAGAAATCCAGCGACAAGGGCAACACAGGCCCAACACACAAAGTCCTCTCAGACATGCACTCCTTCTTACTCTCCCTCCCATCAGAGTCTACTACCCCCATCTTCCTAATGGGCCACAGCATGGGCGGCGGACAAACCCTCAACTACATCCTCCACCCAGAGTCTCCCTATAACGAAGACTCCAACCGGCCCAAGCTAAGTGGAGTCATGCTCTACTCCCCACTAATCGCCATTGACCCGTCCTCCCGCCCGTCAAAGTTCACTGTCGCTGCCGGGCGTCTTGTTGCCAAGATTTTCCCGCATAAGCAGCGGTATTCCCCGCTTGACCCGAAACTGCTGACTCGGGTTGAGTCTGTTATTGAGGATATCATTGCTGATCAGTTGTGTCATGATACCGGCACGTTTGAGGGACTGGCTGGTATGTTGGATCGGGGATTGTGGCTGGAGGCGATGTTTGAGACGGAGGCATCGTCTGGGAAATGGGTTGAGAGTTCGTTGCCTTTCTGGTTTGGTCATGGCAATGAGGATCGTGTTACTAGTTACCCTGCTAGCAAGGCATTTGCTGGGGAGATGAAGAAGCGCGGGAAGGATGTTACTTTTGTTACTTATGACGGAGCTTATCATCGGTTGCATTCTGAATTGCCTGAGACTACGACGAAGTTTGTTGCTGATGTTAGGGATTGGATTTTGGCCAAGGCGGATGGCGTCTCTGCTCAGGATGAGGGGTCCGGTGTTCAGAGTGAGGATGCTGTTGTGGCCGATAAGGCGAAGCTGTGAATTGTGATGTTTGATATCCTTTCGGGCTCTCAATGTTATTATGTTAGTGTTCTATCAGATATGCAATAGTGTACAGAAGCTATATGTTACAGGGATGGTTATGTGCTCAATATACACGGAGTGGCAGGTCAGCGAGTGGAATCCTCGATACGCCGCCAGACTCCCACGAAGCCGCCGCCCTGGATGCGAACACCGACCTTGGGCCGGCAAACCAGAACAGATTCTCCTCCTTTCGGAGATTCTTCTGTAGTTTCCTCAGAAGTAGCGTCGCTGACACTGGCTTCTTCAGTCTCAGCAGCAGGGGCAGTACCCTCCACATCGGAAGAAGCAGCCCAAGACGATGGGTCGGCGCCGGACTTCTTAGTCGCGAAGCGCACATCCCATAGGCGACCACCGCTGATTCCATTACCAAGCTCAATCACCCGCTCTTGGACGAGAGGCAATCGCTGATCCTTGATCAGTTGCAAACACTCGCCGATCTGCGTGATGCTGGGCATGAAGACCACCAGGTACCCATTGCGTTTCAAGGCCGGTGTAACGTGCGGGATCCTGAGGTTCGAAGAAGGCATGTCCAAAATAACGTGGGACAAGAAGGGCTCAACAGTGTCCCTCCCAGCCAATGCAGCTAGGCCGGTCTTCTTCCGCTGCTGCATCTGCTGAGCAATCCACTTCTCGACAGGACCCACGTAGAAATCGGTATTCCCTGCGTAAATTCCACGGCGGAAGCCTCGCACATTCTTCTCAGCCAACGCAGAGAATTTTGGCGAGACGTCCACCGTGTGAATCACAGCATTGCGCTGTGCCCGCCACGCATCCCATTCTTCCTGCACTGGATCCGCGGCTGTCTCGGCTGCTTTATCTTTGATTTGTTCCGCTTCCGTTTCTCCTGGCCTGTTGATTCGACCTTCTAGGTACTTAATCTGCGATCGGGGTGGGTGAGGCGGGGCTGTGCTGTTGGCTGCGTGAATGGCACGCGCCAGGTGCAATGTCAAAGACCCATGGCCTGTTCCGGACTCGAGAATTTCCAATGAAGGTTGATCCTCACCGGCGACAGGGGTATTGGGGTGGATGTCGAGAAGTGAAGTGATCAAATTGGCATCTTGGGGGTAGATCTACTGGGATAGCGTGAGTCCAAGGTATCTTTCCGTGCGTTGCTGTGAGAGTGATGCGCATACCGGCGTGACCAGGCGAGGAGTCAGGGTGACGTATTCTTCCAGTGTGGGGAGGCTGACTCGAATTGATGCACCTGTGTATATCATTCCAAGTCAGTGGTGGCCTGCAGCAGAGAACATGCGAGTTACTGACCTTTGCTGGACTGTACTGTATCCCATACGCGTTTGTTGAGGATGCTGTTATGGTCCACAGATCCCCGATGACTCTGTAGCTTGTCGCCCTTCTTCAATGGCTTTGATAATGAGGGCTGCTTGCCGTGTAGCACAACTCGGTCTCCCTCTGGGCGCATTGTTAGTCTGATGTCGGGACGCGAGAGGGACGCAATTACCTCTGAAAACGGAGAAATCGGTGTCAATAGCCCGAGGACGTAGAGCACCCGTTGACGAGGTTACCCCTAGGACTCTCTGCAGAGCCTGGCGCAGACGAAACATGATGCGACAAAACAACAAAATGCAGTCGGGAGCTAAAAATCACCAAAGAGGGAAAATCTTGCTCCATCGAGACTAACCCACTCACCGACCCACCCCCAGTTCTGAGGCATCGAGGGGTCAATTCTTTCTTTTCTCTTTCTCTCTCTTTATACCTTCATTCTTCACTTGCACTCTATATTCATTGCCGTCACAATGGGGTCCCACTCGCTCCCCTACATGGAGACTAACCCCAAGCTCATATTCTTCACCGACTTTGATGGCACAATTACCGTCGACGACAGTAGGTGCTTCCCCGCAAAGCGCTACTTCAAGGCTGACCAGAACAGGCAATGACTTCATGGTATATCGCATGTGCCGTCCTCATCTAGCTCGTCACTGACACCATCCAGATCGACAACCTTGGCTTCGGCCGGGAACAGCGCCTTGTCTTGAACGAACAGGTTCTGAACGAGACCCTGAGCTTCCGGTGGGTATATACTCGACCATTTCAACCAATATCACAATCTAATCAGTCTTCTATACTTGCAGTGATGCCTTCCGCGAAATGTTGGGATCTATCAAGACCCCTTACGACCAGTGTATCCAGATCCTGCTCAAGAACATGAAGCTGGACCCTGGCTTCAAGGCGTTCTACGAATGGGCCCAGGAAAATAATGTCCCCATTGTCATTCTGTCCTCTGGAATGCGCCCCATTATCAGTGCGCTGCTGGAGAAGTTCCTCGGCCACAAGCCGGCGGAGCACCTGACCATTATCTCCAACGAGCCCGTGAGCCGCGATGGCAAGGACATCAACAGCGAGGGTGGCTGGGGTATCGAGTACCACGATGACAGGTAAACTGCTACCGAAGAACTTGCATCGATCCAGTCTTGCTAACAACCCTTTCCCAGCCACTTTGGCCATGACAAGTCTCTGGAGATCAGGCCTTACGCCGCATTGCCTGATTGCGAGCGCCCCGTTCTTCTCTATGCTGGAGACGGTGTTTCAGATCTGTCTGCTGCCGCGGAGACTGATCTTCTCTTCGCCAAACAGGGCAAAGGTATTCATTTACTCCGCCTTCCTTGAATTTCGCCCCAGTGCTAACCTTAGAACGTTCTTGCAGACTTGGTCACCTACTGCCAGCGCAGAAACATGAAATACACAACCTTTGAGGATTGGTCCACTATTCTCAAGACCACTCAAGCCATTTTGAGTGGTGAGGTGACGGCACGCGATGTTGCTGAGGGCCGTTACCAGCCTACCGACTCCAAATAGATATAGATATAGAGGATAGAGGATATGAATGATGATATTTCTGGTATTTTAGATAGTAATGAGAATAAACCTGGAAATTATGAAAAATAAGCATAAACTACCTGGGTAGACTAGCCTTGGAGAGGCTGGACCCCGACAGGAGTCGAAAAGTCAGTGACCGCCTTCCAGGGTCCAAGCGTGGCCACCTTCGTCTTTCAAACATTCCCTCCCTATATATATTTCTCTGGAGTTGACTCGGTTCTTCTCTGCATACTCCCTCTTTCGGTCCATGGGCATCATGCGACACTGCGCCACGCCCTTGTCCAAGTCCTTGCCAGGGTGATCTCCATTTCATCATGGCTCGCCGACTAGTATGACACGACACATTGACTTGCGTGAAACATTTGGCTGACATCTTGACAGGTCCGAGCGAGCGTACAGCTCGGTCTAGTCGCCACATTCATACTACTCGTGATAGTCGTTCTCGATAATCGATTTCGTGTCCTTCCTTCCTCTATTCACGGCCATCTCCCGTCGCATTATTCCGGCTACGTGATCACCGACGTTACTGTCACCACATGTTCCTCTATCAATCCTTTTTCTAGTTGCAAATTGGATCCAGATCATTGGTATCGCGTCGACAAGGACCTCTACCTGCGCACTGGCTGGACCTCGAGCGCCTACATCCAATTCAAGCGGAAGAAGGAGGAGGAACTGGGACCTGATGACAAGGTGGTCGTCGACTTGAAGATCAGTCGTCTTACGCCGCCATCCGAATCTGTTGCGAAACAAGCAGAGATCGGGGCTTGGGAGCCCCGACCGGGCGGCCTCTGGCTTAGGCGTTCGTCCTCCCGTCATGCCAGTGACTCTGAAAATGCTGTGACATATGTCGATGTTCTCTACGGTGCGGATGCTGTCGACCCTCGACCAAACTGGGAAGTCAAAGATACTCCCATTCTTCTGGATAGTTGGACGGAGCAGCTGGAGACTCGTCTTAGCATTCGGAGAGGCCACCCAACTAAACCCAAGAAACCAATTCCCAGAATCAATGAAAATGGTAAGTTTAAGGTGATGCAGCTGGCAGATCTCCATATGAGCACGGGTCTTGGCCTATGCCGTGACCCTGTTCCAGCGGAACTGGTGCCTGGCCAGAAGTGCGAAGCCGATCCTCGAACCTTGGAATTTGTCGAACGACTTCTCGATGAAGAGAAGCCTGACATGGTCGTCTTCTCCGGTGACCAGGTTAACGGCGAAACCGCCCCCGATGCACAAAGCGCCCTTTTCAAATCTGTGAAGCTTTTGGTCGACCGCAAAATCCCCTACGCAGCCATCTTTGGAAACCATGATGACGAGGGTGACCTGAACCGGGCACAACTCATGACCATATATGAAGACCTTCCCTATTCCCTTTCAGCCGCTGGCCCCGAAGACATTGACGGGGTCGGAAATTACATCGTCGAAATCCTCGACCGGGGCAAGAGCACCCATTCTGCCCTGACCTTCTATTTCCTCGACACACATTCCTACTCCCCCGATGAACGTCAATTCCGTGGCTATGACTGGATCAAGCCAAGTCAAACGCGGTGGTTTAAAAACACTGCACAGAGCCTCAGAAGAAAACATCTCGAATACTCGCATATCCACATGAACGTGGCATTTATTCACATCCCGCTTCCTGAGTATCGCACCTCAGGAAAATACTTCAATGGCGCTTGGATGGAAGCCCCTACCGCACCAGGGTTCAACTCTGGCTTCAAGGATGCTCTCGAAGAAGAGGGCGTCTTGTTTGTCAGTTGTGGACAGTAAGATACCTTTCCCATCCTCCATTCCACACAAAGCTAACCTACCTCTAGTGACCACGTCAACGACTATTGCATGCTCGAGCAAGATGCCAACGAAAAGCCCTCACTTTGGATGTGCTACGGCGGCGGCGTCGGTATGGGCGGCTACGGAGGCTACGATGACTTCGTCCGCCGAGTAAGATTCTTCGACTTCGACATGGGCCCAGGCCGAGTCTCCACATACAAGCGTCTTGAATGGGGCCAGACAGAAGCCAAGATCGACGAGATGATGATCGTGGATGGCGGCACGGTCAACGGCCCCAATGAAGCATCCTAACGAAGTCTAACTTCTACTCGCCATTTTTCTTTCTTTTCTCCATACTCCATTGAGATGCAAGTGTCACTGTACTTTGCTACTCTCACATACTATCGTTTCCGTTGGTTGCAGCGGCTTTTCTTTATCTCACTGTATATATATCGTTCTGCGCCTTGCCTGCAACAGGTCGGCGTCTTGGGGGTGTCTTCATTTACTGAATATTCAAGCATTTCTCCTACTCTCATCATATCTTGATTCGATTCTCGTAGATTAGCTTTTGCATGCGAGGTGGTCGAATTGTCTCCAGCGAGCGATTTATTTTATCTTGGCCCCGGTCTTACCACCACTTCTCAAAGAAAATCCGCTGCTCCCCACCCTCCCCAAGCACCCTGCCCAATACCTCAACCACTGAATCAGTCATACCAGGTGGCCCACAGACATAGCAGACTGTATCCTTCAAATCCATCCTCTCACTCGCATTCACAACCACATCACGCAAATAAGACTCACTGATTCGTCCCGCATGAATCGTTGAAAGACCAGCCCTATCAATGCCTAACTGGTTCGAACCTGGAGGTAGATTAGTGAGGAAGAGGTCTAAGAATATTTCGGTTCGCCGGGACTGTTTCTGGGACTGCATGATCTGGCGTAAACGAGGTAGGAAGAGAATCTGCTCGAGCTTTTCTTCCAGCGAGAGATTTTCGTTGCCTTTTGGTAGCCGTGTTGAGTATAGGATGTGGATTTTTGGGGGACAGGTTGTGTTCGGGTCGTTATTGTTCAGGTGGGAGATGATTGAGATTAGTGGGCTGGGGTTTTGTTAGTTTTTCATTGGAATGGAATGGGATATAGATTTGGTAGACTGTAAGAAAGACAGTCACTTACTTGATACCAACACCACCAGCGATAAAGATCGCATTCTTCACGTCTTTACTGTCCACCCCAGTAGGTGGCCAGGTAAAGCTCCCGCCTACTCGGATGCTCAACTCTTTGCCTAGGATATCTTCTTTTGGTCTCCATAGCCATGCAGCGGCCGGGTTCCCCGGCGACTCTTGCACGGCTAATTCCACATAGGGGGGTCTGCCTTGGAGGTCGATAGATGAGGCTAGGGGTTCCTCAGTTGGCGAGGCTGTGGATGCCTCGGGTGGTGGTAGTACTTGTGCATCTGCTGGGGTGGAAGTGATAGTGAATCCACCCGCTTGGGCGACGGATGGGATGTGAACATCTAGCCATTGGCCTGGGAGGAAGCTGAATGATTGTTGGGTGTTATTCTGTATTCTTGTTAGTAATATGCCTTTAAAAGAGAGTGCGTACTGTAGGTATTTGAAGGTTGATGGGGAAGGGGAATGGTTGCCGCGGAGCATATGCTCTAACGGCGTGGGGGACATCCAACCGGATTGCAGCCGGGGTCGGTGTATGGTTAGTGATGTGGCGGTTGATAGATCTATAGAGTACTCTAAAGAATCAAGAATAAAAGAATGAGTATCATACATTATTCTCCTGGGTAGGCAGAGCCAATTGCAGTAGGCGCACGGAGGGGTTGACCTGCTCGACATGCGATAGCCGCACTGGATGGAGTCTGTTCTGCCGGGGTTCTGCAGCTGTGCGGAGCTCGTGGGGTATTGAATCCTCTTTTTGAGAACTCATTTGGCTGCTGGTGCTTGAAATCGACCGTAGTTGGTTAGTCCGAGAGACGAGCGGAGATGTGACGCGTAGCCGGGGGATAATCGAACTGGGGCGGAAGGATTTCATCAGATAAGACGCTACAAGGTTGGATTTGAGTGAGTTGTGGGTTAATTCGAGTTGAAGGAAGACAGTATGGAACATTTGAAGCAGTGATGCATTACTCCCTCCCGACCACATGACTTCTCTACAACTTCCTCTTTACATCAAGTTACAGATATTATCGCACATCCCGACAAGTCAACGCTAGAGTTTAGTCCTGTACAGTAGTTCGAGATCTCTCTCTTTGTGATGGGAATCAACAAGGGTATATGCTGGGCTGCCGCTTTATGAGGGCGCTCAGGCTTATCTGAGAGTAGATGTCAGCACGGGCTTATGACTCGGTGATCACGTTCAATTCAGTCACGTGTATGATGCGGCCCCACAACTGATTGGTGTTGGGATGTCCATAACACCTACTGCCTCGATGATCCTCTAAGTTATATTCTGATCATAATTACCTTGCAGAGTAAGCGATATCAGTCCGTCCATTAAGCATTGCTCATGATCACCTTCGCTCGTGGAAAGTATTCAAGTCGGGGCCAAAGTAAAATCCATGCATACTTGCAGTACTACGCTATGGCGTCTCTATGAAAACTTTGTCTAAACATAGTTAAGATTACTCGGGTAAAGCACATTCATGCATTGTAAGGGCTGGAAAAACGAGGCGCACGCAGAACACCTGCGAATGATGTTGTCATGTGCTATGAATAAGCCTATATTCTCGCCCTGATAACTGCAGATACAAAATCGAGCTCTTTGAGAATTGGCATCAAGCAGGAGATCATGCAGCAACTGCAGAGGAGCTTTCCAAGCTTGTACCGTGCGAGACCGCTCTTCTAGGTAAAAGGCCCTAATATAAATCTGGTGTATTTGACTAAAAGCCAATTCGAAAAAGAACGTCTCTTGCGACATCTAGCCTCAAACTATATGCTCAAAGAGCCACCCATTGGCGTTTTCGAGCCTACCCCGTTCACCAAGTCCCTCCTCCAGCCGGTGTTTGGTGAGTTAATTAACCACTTGTGAGTGACAGCAAGCAACCAAGTCAGCGTGACTCTTAAGTATTCCACCAGGTATGACGCTACACTGCCATGCTTCTTCAAGATGCCGGAATATTTGGCCAAAACCGGGTATAGACTTCCCCTTGACTCGGCGGGTGGCGTGTTTTAGTACACCAAGAACTGGAAAGGCGACATGTTTCAACTACTACGAAGCCCACCCTCGCGAGGGCGAATCCTTCAACCACGTCATGGGGGGGGTCATGGCCAACCAGGCCGGCTAATTGAATATCTTCCCGCACGAGCGGATTTTGGAGACCTCGCACGAGGATACGCCTCTTGTCGTCGACATCGGCGGCAACATTGGACATGACATGGAACGCTTCCGTCAGGCGCACACTGAAAACGCCAGCCGACTCTATCTGCAGGACCGACCCGAGGTCATCAAGCTGTCCAAATGTCCGGACCCGGTGAACAAAATGAGCTACGACTTCTTCAATCCGCAGCCGATCAAGGGATCTCGGGTTTACTACATGCACGGTGTGCTCCATGACTGGTCTGACGAACCGGCTCGCAAGATCCTCGCTATGCAGAGAGACACCATGACAACGGGATATGGTACGCTGTTAGTCCACGATCATATTGCACCCCGGGAGTTCGCGCATCCACATACCACTGCGTACGATTTGACCATGATGGTTATGGTGGCTGGCACGGATTGGACTGAGATGCAGTGGGAGGAATTGCTGCGACCGGAAGGGTCCAAAATGGTCAAGATCTGGAAGTCAGCATTGGCAGTGCAGGGCATTATCGAAGCAGAATTAGTGTGATATAGGTAGAAATTATTGTTAATTTGGGCGAACTGGTCAAGGCTATCTTCAGGTGTCTGGCATGTGGAGTTAGCCGACCGGCCCGCTCCCGGACGGAGGGGACAGGTGGATCTCTTCCACTACGACGACCTTTAACCAGTTCCTTGACGTCCGATCTCTCGAGGTGATTTTTTAGCACTGGGAGGCATTTACTGGAATAGAAATGATGTAAGAGCAATGGCTGTTGAAATTATTCTCCCTGGGCCCTGGAAGGCACGGACGGGAAAGAGAACTAAGAGTACTTGCGTGAGGGAAGAATTCCCCGGGTGGTCACTTGACTACCGGTAATCTTTACCCTCTGACCATTGTAACGCCTGTCACTACCTAGGTATTCACCCCGAATTCAAAACTGTTTTCAAATGACCATTGTAAGACTGGAAGGAGCTGCTTCATTTGTCGACATCCACGTTGTTGGTCACAGAGCCGAACACTTCCAAAGCATTGCCGAGATAGTCCTGGACTCCTTTGAGACGAGGGCTCATGTCACTTCCCAGAGGGAGAAGCTTCTCGGTTTGACGGCCTTCACCAACTCCCTCGCCAGCAACAACCTGGTACACAGCCTGCATCGCTTTGTCCTTGTCGCCGTTGGGCTTGATCTTTCCACTGACCAGAAGACCCTGGACCTGCTCCGTGAAGGTTCCCTTATAGTCCTCTGGTAGGGGAGTCCTGCCCAGAACCACCGAGTTGGGCATGTTGGTGTTGAAGGTTCCGAGAATAACAGTCAGGGTACGGATGTTAAATGGGGCAACTTCCTTGGTGAGGATCTTGGTAAGGGCTATCGGATTCACAGTTAGCTATTTCCATTGGCTAGAAGCTCGTGAGTTTTGATACATACCATCCATTCCAGCCTTTGCGCCTGCGTAAACACCCATGGTGGGAATGCCGTCAAGCGAAGCACCGCTGCTCATGTTGACGATCACGCCGGACTTCCGCTTGCGCATGTGGGGAAGAACGGCCCGGATGAGGCGCAAGGGACCAAAATACATAGTCTCCATCTGGGCTCGCACCTCCTCCTCTTCGAAGGTCTCGATGGGAGCGTAGATAGAATAGCCGGCGTTGTTGACCAGGACGTCGATGTGGTCGCCACTGGCCTCGAGCTCAGTGATCACGTTGCCGCAGTCACGACTGTCCACATCGAGTTGGACCCATTTGCCTCCCTTGGATTCTATCTCGGCGACGAGATCGGGAGTGCGCGATGGGTTGCGCGAGGTCGCAATGACCTTGTGTCCGCCAGCCTGGGTGGTGCGGGTCAAGGAAAGGCCGAAGCCAGAAGAGCAGCCCGTAATGAGCCAGGTGAGTTTGGTAGTGGCCATGATGAAGTTGATGGTAAGGAGAGAGAGAGGGAGCATCGACGAGTGAGCTTTAAGCATCACGCGCCGGAATTAACGTTGCCCTAACGCCGCGGACTTTTGGTAACCCCGGATGGCGTCTTTGTTCTACTCGAGGTTTGCACATTTACTCTGGCCTGCTACGGGCATTGGTTGAAACCAAATGCCACTGGCTAGTGTTGGCTATCAGTGTGATGATTGCCTCACCATGCCTCCCAACCTTCGCATCGTCCTTTTTGGATCCTAACTGACCCAATTGCAATGGACCACCGAGCGTCTGTGTCGGCTACAGTCCGATCTCCAGAATATTCCCCGATTGGCATTCTTGCGCCGTTGCCTGGCCCAGTTGCCAGCGTTTATCGCCAGTCTCCCTTTGTGCCAGAATGACGTCTTCTCACGGCAGGAAACCCTAGCCGGGTTAGCTGGCAATGAAGCCAACCCAACGACTTTGACAAGTAACGTCCAGTTAGCGCCATTGACGGTGGTATCGCACATGGTAGAATTGCTGTCTACCACATCTTCGGCCATAGTAGCCCAGGGCTTCTGCGTTGGGTTTTTGTCCGCCGCAGTTGAGGCAACAACTACAAAGCAGGACTTTGAGCACTACGCTGCGAATGCCATTCGCATAGCCGCATGTGTCGGGCTTGTCATAGATACAGAAGATGCCTCTTATGCCTCGGTGGACCGCGCAACTGCTGTCTCTGTGCACTGCCGGTCCCATTCAGACCGAGCGGTCCTTGAGAGCACCCTGGATCTGCTTCCTGTGTGTGACAAGTGTGAGTGTAAGAAAGTGAGTGTAAGAAAGTGAGTGTAAGAAAGTGAGTGTAAGAAAGTGAGTGTAAAAAGGTGACCTAAATCGCCCTAGTTAGGTTATACGTAGCGGAAGTCTATACACATGTAAAAAACAGCATTTTATTTGGATGACTTAGTATGGTTATATATGCTAAGACCTCTCTTTTATACAAAATTGGGTTTTTATAGGGTCCCAATAGGTACCCAGCATTAGGTCTTAGGTTAGGTTGGGTTATAGAAGTCGGACCCAAATTGGGTTTTGGAGAAGTCTACGTACTAGCTTATTATTATATCCGTGTAGTCCTATACGGAGGTTATTGCCTCGTAGTTTATTACCTATAACGGGAGTTAGAAGCCGTTAGTATATCTACGTGTGTTGTATTTAGTAAACCTATTAGGATCGAATAATAATCGGTAGAATAACGGACTTAATTAGGGATAATATCACGTAGACCGCTAAAGACCTCTTTCGCGAGTCCTAAAATATAGATATCTTTTAGTATTTCTCGGGACCTATACCTTTTTTATACCGTATATATCTTACGAACGGAGCGTATAACCTCGCGTTTAAAGCGCTTAACTATTTCTATATAGATCAAAGGAAGAATTAGAATAAGAAGTAAAGGTTAGTGCGTAAGCGACCCGACTCCCTAGTCTGCCAGACTCTCTGTACATACTCGCTGGTCTGTCCATTTATTAACATTTTTTTCCTACCCCACAATCCGACCGGATTTCTTTTTTCCGCCTCGCCGTAAGAGCTAGAATTACCAGGCATCCAAAACATCCGATCAATGGATCAGATCACTAGTAGCTTCAGGTAGGGCTGCACTCAGCCCCGGCTAGCTCCACGAGGCAGATAAAGATAGAAACTGAAGCGTCGGTGTACTTTGCGTAGTTCGCTTCGCCTGACCGGGCGTAAGCTGAGTCTTGGCCCGGGCGTGATGAATCTCCTTTCGCAAAAAGCGATGATATTCGACGCATGGCAATAATGTGTGCCGCTTTCCTCGCCAAGGTTTTCAACCCCTCATCACGGCACCCTAATCGTCCACTCGAGTGCTTCTATCTACACTGCCTTGCAAGACGGCATCTGCCTTACTCGATTAGGACTAATTTGCGAGGTATTTACAACCGGAATGTATGCGCCACTGGAGAAAGTGGATCAGTCAGTCCTGCAGTGGAGCTTGTTCCTGCGATTAGTGTACAGTGGGCCCTCTGGTCTTCGAACATCTGAGTCCATGCACGACCAGAGGAAAAATGGGGGCCAGTGTAACGAAGTATAGCGGATTCAGTTCTAGGAAAGTTGGTGGATTAACAAATCCTTTTTGATCGTCGTTTGGGGGCCGTTATTCTGGCTCCCTGGTTGGGCGGTAATTCCTTGGGGCGGCTGCAACTTACTCTCTTGACCTCATATAACTCGCACTTTTTACCGTTCGAAGCACCGATGGATCGTCGCCAGCCTTCAAGCTCGTAATGGGTCTCATAATAAGGACTATGAGGAAAAGGCTTTTATGTAGAATATAGGCTGGCTGTCTCTCTTAATTAGGCATGACTCGATTCATTCCAAAGAACTGAAGAGTGGTAGAACAATATCTGAGCTGGTAGTTTCTAGATCTGATAATATATACTCTACACAAGGGCTTTTGCGAAGGAACTGGTTCAAATGGCCCCTCAATTCGTTGTCATAAGCTTGCTTTGGGTGAACTCGCGCGCAGCATCTTACCTTTTGGAGTAATTGAGTTGTCAAATAGCCCAGTGGAGAGTAAATACTGCCTGTTGTAAGGATATTGATCATCACAATGCATATTAAACCTGTACCGCTTTCTCGCCCCTCACTATCCTTCGGGGGCCGTACAACCTCAAAGCTTTTCTTGGGGCACAAAATAACCCAAAGAAGTAAATTCATTTTGATATCATAGAAACTTTGCATTCAAAGTGTCGTTGGGGGCCGTTCCTGGCGGGCCAAAAGCTGGATCCTTAGAATCCTTAGACTCGCGCCTCACTGTTGGAGGGTCTTAGCGGCATCCGACACTAGATAACAAGTCTCATCGAAATTAACGATGACCTCACGAGGAAGATACGGTGATGTAGGTATCCCAATCTATTTTACTAACTTATATATTTGCCTGTATCCTGCTGATTTGAAGGAAATTACTCACTTTCAAAGACTAGGTTGATTTTCAAATATACTCCAATCTTCCGACTCAACTCAGCAATTGAAGTTCTCCACGATGACTCTCATTATCAAGGTATTCCGCCCTGAAGTACAATTATATATTGTTGCGCACCTACTAAGCTAGTACACAGACTACTATCCTTGGCCTCTTGACCGCGAGTGCCTTTGCTAGGCCGGTGGACGTGGGCAATGATATCCTTGTCGAACGTCAAGGCCCTCCAGCTGCGGTCGGCTGCCCCGGCGACAACATGAATGAATGTCATGACGCCCTTGCCTCAGTGTGCGGAATCCCTTGTTCCTCGCAAGGGCCGGGCGCTCTAGGCTGTCAAAATACATGCTTGAACAACGCGTGGACTCAATGCGCCAAGTGCTTCCCGGCCTAGGAGGAGGACTAGATCGGATCTTCGCGGTCGTATAAGCTCGACTTTAGCCCTTCACAAGTCTAGGGAGCTATGTGGCAGCCTAGTATGTCTCGTGAATGGATTAGATATTTTATATGATTGCGAGGTCTTAGATGCTTGATGCTCTACAATGGTTCTGTTCTATAATATGTTTGATCGGTATGCAATAAGAGCGGGTGATCATTCGACTACCTGTTGTAACAGATTGTCTCTTATACAGGTGGTGCTTGGTATGGACCATTCTGCTGTCTAAGGTATGTAGCCAGAGTGCTTGACTGCTCCTCATAGTGGAGGTCAAATTCATCAAAGTACGTCGTAATTCTCTTCGAGAATGAATCGATAAGTATGGGACATTGGATTCAGAACTATATGGTCAATTCCTTCGATTACCTTGAGGACGAAAGGCAAGTAGCTCAGAGCGATGAAGATACTTCACAATTTTTTCTGTAAAAGTATCTTTATAATGATCTTCTCCAGCACACATTCATCGTCAATTACTATCTAGAAACTCAAGTATAGACCACAGGTTGAGTATACCCAAATTAATCTCGGGAAGACCTTCCTCCGGGGTGAACCCATTTATCCATCCTAGGTTATGATGGAATAGTGTATTAAGGTACTGACGATCATGTTCAGAGTAGTCTGGATGGTCACTCGCCCTGAAACAAGCGTTCTCTCTGAAGGTGAGCCTGTTGCGAGCGAAGAAATCATTCATAGTCTTCGCTGTCTGCGTGGGTCGCTCTACCCACCAATGGGGGTGCATTGAGACTAGTTGCTTTATCAGATCATTGATCTCTCTCCTCCAAAAGGCAGGGTCTTGGATTAGCCTCGGGATTATCTCTTCGCCTCTGATCGTGCCCAGATAAATTCCACCCAGCTCACTCTGATCAATCACAACGGGTGGATTGGGTTGGAAAGGAATTGTCACCCTCGATAGGTCTAAATATGATCATAGTTCATGACCTAGCTGATCCCGTAGTTGACTGTCTTTCACCACTTGATTCGCGGATACGATCAGGCCGTAGTGGACCATAGGTTGATTTGGATCCCGCGAAGGTCGGGGAACAGTTTTGGTCGTATCGCAGCCATTACAGGTCTTAGAACTGGTATCGACATAAGTGTAACCGGCAAGATATAAAACATCCTCCTGACTGGGGCGGGCCAAATTAGAAGATTGTTGGGGTACTTTGCGTTCGATCTCGGCAAGAAATTTCATGAATGGTCTCTGGCCCGTAATATGATTTGCTTGCAGTTTGGCAAGCGCAGTCAAGAGGATCTGAGGTGGATGGCTGAGCATGCCTGTTCGCTGGAACTCGCCGCCACTCAGCGCTTTACCATAATCGAACTGCACCACTCCCCCATGTGTATTCGTTGGCTTGCTGAACACAACATCACCCAGGCGGATATCCACATCTTCGTTTGGTACACCTCCCCCAATCCCGACCATCAGACCCAATCGAATAGAGCGGAAGCTGGATAATAACTGCATGGCAACTGTGGTGGCAGATGCAATGCCATATTGGCCGTAAGGCAAGCATGCAATCACAACATTGTGTTTCCCAATGCTTCCAAGAATATAGGCATTATGGTCATTCGGCTGCACGGGCAAGTCTTGATGAATTTCATCAAGGAGCACTTGCGCGGCTGCCATCTCCAGCGGTAGGGCACAGATCCACCCGACTGTAATCGTTATGGGATGGGGGTTTTTTGGCAGCGATAATGGAGCGTAGATTGATTAGGCTCTTGACCTGGATAAGCTAGGTCGTTGATTAAGGATGTAACGTGGAAAACTTAAAAGATGTTCTAAAGACCAATTCCAGGGAATAGATACGGAGTTAAGTCAGGAGGGGAGGCGCGGAGAAGTTAGGCTGACCTCAGGGGCATCATCCGTGCCTTCCATGCTCTCACCACCTTTGGGCGGGTTGTGGTCCCCGCTTGCCGTCCTGTAGTATACTATTTTTTATATACGTATAGACTTCCGCTATATATAACCTAACTTAGGTTATTACGCTTACTTTCTTACACTCCCTTCCTTATTGAATTAAATCGAGCAGTATCCTTTGATAGCAATATCTCTAGGTCCGGGAATATCCCACAAGCCTCCTGTACATTCATTTCACCGTCCACCAAGCATTGCTCTCGCCTCAAAACCATGCACAACAGCCCAAGCAAAAGCACTCACTGTGCACCAAATGACGTCCCAGCTCACGCTACTGCAAGCAGGATGAACATATACCGTATCCAGTAGCCGCTGAGCCACCTCGCCGTACGATACATCTGGACCTATATCCAGCAACATCAAAACAGTGAAATAGGCTTGCAGAACAACGGAAGCCGCCGCAATCCAATAGATAAATAAAGCATATCGCTTTGTCGTTTGTTCTCCCTGTGCCTTGGTGGCAGCGCCCTTCGAGGCGGAACTTCTCGGGCGCAGCACGCAAGGAATAAAAACTAGAGCGTGGGGTGCGAGGAGAACGAGCATGAATTTCTTCTCGTACGCGAAGATCGGCACAGCTACCGTGTCGAGGAGTGAGAGTACGACTGGGACGAGCTCATATACTAGCGACGGAGACCATGCGAAGATATCATGTTTCTCGTTGGGTCGTTGCGAGACAGTGATGGCGGCAAAGAAAAGATTCGCGGCAACAGATACACCGACAGCTTGGGCAACGAGCATGTACACCCAAACATGGGGAATGCGATATCTCCGACCTGTGAGCAAGAGTTAGTAAGGCACGAACATGAATTGATATCCCCCGGACCATCACTTCTAATGCTGTTAGAGGGATGCTAACGAAACCAAACCTACCGGTGATGCCAAGGAAAATACTCCACCCAATCGTCCATCCAAAGATCTGTCCACTCCACCAAAACCGCATCGGATTCTCAGAAACTGTCTCCCAAGCTTCCTGGAAAACATAGGTGTTTTTAAGCCAAAGACCCATCCGGGTGACAGTATGCATATCTATGCTCGAATACAATAGTCCATCGGGACTAGAGGCCCAATTTTTGTATGACCAAACAAACAGACTGATCATATAGAACCACGTAAAGCCGAGGCTCAGAGCTGCCAAAATAGCAAAGAGATAAAATTGCTTGCGCCGCTGGGGTCCATTCCAGTCATTTTGCTTCTGGCGGGCATGATATCGGACGTTGATGACGCGGATTATGCTGAGGATAAGACCGGTTGCGATTGAGAGGTAGCCAAAAAACAATGCGAGAGATCGATAATGAATCGGGGGATTCCCGAGGGCGTTGAGATCCGCCATTGGCAGTTACAAACGCTTCTTTGCGCGCGGAGTTTTGGAGTTGACTGATCGAAGAAATGAGGCTGGGGGCGGGTTGTACCGAGGTCTCCAGAGCTTACCAAAATACTTAGTCAGCATGTTCATGGGCCCAGATAGAGAGTATATGTACACTGCAAACCAAGTCACAGCGGCCATCACCGCAGCGTTTCGCCAGGCGCTAAGAGCTGCAAGTTCCCAGCCAAAGCGCCAAGAGCAGGGCGAGAGAGCGAGTTCTGTGATGACTATGGTGCAGATCTGCCATCCCATCACACCTAGTGTGTGACCGGCAGCCAACCCTCGATCCCCGCCATTTCATTGGTGTGATGGCCCTGGGTTACGACCTGCGGCGCTTTGCCGCCGTCAAGCATTGGTCAGATGCGACTCTCAAACACACATTAGCTGCTCTACATGTCCCATGCTGATTCGTGCCCCTCTCTGCATTGCCATGGAGCCTGCCACTCGGCCTCGAGCTCATATCTAACGCTCGTCGTCCGGATTGCCCAGACTTGTGCTTTTCAGACCTTTTGAAACTCCCAAGTTCAAGCATCTGCTCTCTTGCGCCTATGCCAGCCGGTCTGGTAGAGTTGCATTGTAGACTTCTTTAACCCCCCGGCGCTTCAGCTGAACGGTTGTCAGTGTCAGCTTCATCAGCGCACCGCATCCGCCGCCACCATGCAGTTCTTCTTCCCCAAAAAGCACAAACACCATAAGATCACTCTTTACTTGATGCTGGCCGAGTTCCCGATCACTATCGTCATGCTGACTTTGACCGGTATTGCTTCACACAATCTATACCGGACATTATTATGGCAAGACGGTGCAGACAATGGGTTCAACAGCGCTCCAAATGAGGCGCTCTACGCAGCATCAAACTATAGGCCGTATAAGGCCCCAATGGTCTGGTCTGGATTGTATGTTCTTCATCATACTCGTATCCAAAAGCTAGCTAACAGAAAGCAGCATCACCAACTACAACCTTGTTCTCGGGGTGCTGAGCACATTCTTCCTGATCACTAAACTGCCTGTTCACTGGATGAATCTACTCTACCCTCCTGTCGCTGCTGGGATCCATACGTCCCTGATCGTTCTCTATATCGTATCGGCCCGGTTCCAAGGAGGCTCTGACATGTCGGATCCAAGTCACCCCCAACCAGGAGCACCGTGGTACATTGCGAAGAGTTGCAGTGTCGCCGCTCGTAAATCCAATATCCCATACTGCATGCAAGCCAAAGCGCTATTTGCTGTTACGGTCATCATCATGTTCGTCGATCCTCCTTTTCCGCTTTATCTTCCATAAGACATAGCCAGCTAACACACCCACAGTGTCTACTATTGCGTGATCCTCGGCTTCAACATCCATTCCTGCTTCATCACCCCCGAGGAACGCGAGGAGATCCTGGAACGCAGGGAAGAGCGCCGGATCGAGAAGGAGTTCGAAGAGGAGATCATGAAGTCCCCAAGTATGATCCCCATGACACCGGGCTCGATGCCCCGAGGCCCAGGCATGGTCCCTCGCACCCCTGGCATCCCGCCAATGGCCGTCGGCGGAAGTGTCTCGCCATTTGCTCCGCGCCATTTGGCTTTCAACCGCCTTGGTAATGGCAGCACTTCCTCAGATCTCCCTCTGCGGAACAACTCCCATTCACACGACCAATACCCGTCGCAGCCGCAGTCGCAGGCAGTGAGCCCGGAGATTCAGACGGGTTCGCCAATGTATTTCCCGCCTCCGCCAAAGAAGGCTGCTAAGACTTGATTGGGTGTGCGGGTTGAATTGTTGTCGTTTTTGTGATACCACGTTTTCGCTGCTCATATATCACGTTCATTATGTTTGGGGCAGAATGGTGTTCAAATGGACTTGGTGTTCCTTTCCAATCCTTTTTTCTTTCTTTTTTTTTGATGGGCCCATTCCATACTTTATGGATTCGGGCCGATACGCTTGTTATTACACAAAATCCCCCTGCTACAGTACTAAGTACGAAGTACATACTACGCTCATCTTTGGCGTTGGACTTTTAATTCATACCGACCATATGCACTGTCGAAAACCATTTAATTTTCCATGTTTCCATAACTCAAGTCGTTTCAGTTATCAAAGAGAGAAATACTTTCGCGTGTTCATGTAGACTGTTAATAGAAACGGTGTCTGCAAAGTAGATCTTAGCCCAAAAAAAGACCAACTATATACATTGAACCAAAGAGAGGTCAGAATCATAGGACATAACATCATCACCCATGCATTATTCACGGGGCTTGAACATCAAAAACCACAAGCTGGAAACCCCAAACCCCATATGTGAGCGCTAGTAAATAATACGGAGCAAAAGAATCAAGCCGACTCCTGACGTTTCTTTTCCTTCTTAGACCAACGCACTAAAAGATAACAAGATTAGCCTGTGTGGCAAGAGTGGATAGGTAAAGCGAGTCAACAAGCGGTGGAACTTACAGCCACAGGCATTGCATAAGGTCTTAGGCCCATTCGGCCCTTTCCTCCATTCCGGCGAGTCTGCCGTTCCACAGTCACTACAGACATGCTGGCTCTTGAGTCGCTTGCGGCGGTCGCCTTCCTGCGCGTTGCGCTCCTGGTCCGCTGCAGTGGTGATGTCGATATCGCAGTGGACCAGACGGCCACGACTGGCTCCTGTGCTCAGACCCTCGGATCTCTCGCCTTCGCCGTAGTAAAGACCTGTCATTACTTCGATGCCGTCGATGTGCGAGTATCCCTCGCTCTTGCTGTTTCCGTAGTAATCGACTGATGGGTTTGCGTCGGAGTCGTCTGATGTCTGTGCGACAGTGTCTGTGGATTCTTGGTCGCTGGATCCGCCTTCAGGTGCCGCTATTTGACTGTGGGATTCGGATATCGAAGCTAGACCGAGCTTTGGTTGGGAGGGTCGAGTCACGTTCGCATCATCGTCTTCTTCTTTCTTCAATTGGGCAATTTGTTGCAGCAGACGTGCATTCTCGATCTTGTGCTCCAGAAATGAGTCGAGGAGCTGGGAAACTTTGTTGGGATAGGGTCGGCACATTAAGAAAAAGCCGGTGCAGCGCTCCGTAGTGGGTGATATTCTTCCGCTCTGGCGCTCATTCTGTTTCGCAATGTGCGGGTGGCCATATGCTTCCATGAGACAGTATGTGTTGTTGGTCTTTTGGAATCGTAAATGGGTGCGGAATGACTGGTTCGTAGCGACGCCATCATCCATGTCTTTCTGGAAGATTGCTCGGTCGTCCTCGTGGATGAACTGTGTCAGTGGGATTCCCTCAAGTTGTGTCAAGGCACGACCGGTGATGCTCTTGCAGGACGGACTGGCATAGGAGATTCGACCCTGTCGGTCAAGGAGAAGAAGCATGTCCTTCATTTCGTCGAGCACTCGCTCTGTCCAACCCGGTTCATCTCGTGCTTGATTGCCTCCATACTGGACACCTTGCACTCCATATTGTCCAATATAGGAGCCGGGAATACGCTGCTGATCCATGGCGTAAACCGGGGCTCCCTCGCTGGGGTCGGAGTAGACCTGTGCAGAAGCAGGCACGCTCTCATATGCTTGCGGGCGACTTAGAGCCATATCGACGGTGGTACAAGGAACATAAACGGGGCAAATACAACGTTGTTGGTCGTACTTCGTGATATGCGTATTTAGTAATAATCATAAAGAGAAACGAGTTGCATTCCGTAAGGGAGGTTTCCGATGGAGGTTATAGAGCGGCCGGCGAGGGGGTGGGAATGACCATGATCCAATATAAACTGGAGTTCAAGGGGTGTCAGGGGGTACTAGGTATCAATGCACACACATCCATCGTCTGTAGGCCTGGATCCTGTTCAAAAGGCCAAAAGGACAAAAGTCAGGAAACCGGGCCTCCGTTGACGCCGCCGATCCCAGTGGGACTCTCCATTCGTACTAAACACGTGACTTCGTGTTGCCTCAACGCGGGACTATGTGACTCGTCACAACTGACGAGGCGATCCGAGCACTTTCATTCTACAGTTCTCCGATTTCTGTGGATGTTAACTTCCGTCTTGGGACTGCGTTAACGGGCGTCACCGCACCTACCACAGCTCTCCACTCAAAATGTACGGATCATTCCCCAAGCCCATTTCGCGATGCTAATTCGTTTTTAGGTGTAAGTGCAACAACTTTGTATCTCGGCGCGAAAAAAAGCGCCAACGGTCATCTAACATGTCGCAGCAAAGATCGATAAGCTGTCTATCTTGGGGTACGTCTCAAACACTGATGATCTGCGTGCAACTTCCGCGGAGGGTCGTTACAATGCTAACCCAAGAACCATTTTCTAGTGTTCGCTCTTTCGATAACACGCGCAGCGAGACAATTCAATTCCATACCCCCCTCACGTTGATTGTCGGATACAATGGTTCCGGAAAGACGGTACGAGTTCACGAAGGCGCCGACTTGAAGCTATAAACAACCAGCTTGGAACGGACAACGGAGAACTAACGGAGATATAGACCATCATCGAGTGTCTCAAATATGCCACGACAGGTGACCTCCCCCGAACAGCAAAGGCGGTGCTTTTATCCACGACCCGAAGCTATGTGGCGAGAAAGAGGTCCTGGCCCAAGTGAAGCTGTCCTTCAAAGGCACCTCCGGAGCGAAAATGGTTGCCACGCGCAGTCTGCAGCTTACCGTTAAGAAGACAACCCGGCAGCAGAAGACGCTGGAAGGACAGTTGCTCATGGTGAAAAATGGCGAGCGTACCGCTATCTCATCACGTGTAGCCGAACTCGACCAAATTATGCCACAGTATCTGGGTGTGTCGAAAGCTGTGCTAGACTCAGTCATTTTCTGCCACCAAGATGAAAGTTTATGGCCAATGAGTGAACCTTCGGTGCTGAAAAAGCGCTTTGACGAGATATTCGAGGCCATGAAGTACACAAAGGCCATTGACAACATCAAAGCTCTGCGAAAGAAACAAAACGAGGAGCTTGGCAAGTACAAGATCATGGAGCAGCATTCAAAGGAGGACAAAGACAAGGCAGATCGTGCCGAGAAACGATCTGTGAAGCTTCAAGATGAAATCGAGGCTCTGCGCGAGGAGACTCAGCAGATGTCCAAGGAGATGAGGCGGGTTGCTGAGCTTGCCGATAAGGCCTGGACACAATCAGAAAGCTATGCGCAGGTTCTCGGTGCTCTAGAAGGCAAGCGAATCGAAGCAAAGAGTGTACAAACCACCATCGACAACCTCAAGAGGCATCTGGTTGAGCTTGAAGAGTCTGATGAATGGCTGGAATCCACTTTGGAGCAATTCGAGACGAAGCAGATCCAATACCAACAACAAGAAGAGTCCCAGAAGGAAAATTACATGGAAATCAAGGAGCGGATCGAACAGACTCGGCACCGGCTGGGCTTGAAGCAGGCAGAGAACGGAAAATTCGAGAATGACAAGGCCAATTTCGAGCGTCAGGTCCAAAGACGTCAGAAAATGATTACTGAGATTGCTCGCGGGAACAATATCCGCGGTATCGATGACACAATGGATCAAGCCGATATTGATGCCTTCATGCAGAAGATCAAACGCCTTCTACGAGAGCAAAATCAGTCCCTCGATCGTGTCAAGCGTGAAGCGCAGAAAGAGCTGCGCGAGATCCAGGAAACCTTAAATGAGATCGGGCAACGCAAGTCTGCGCTCCAGGAGAGCAAAAACTCATCCAAACGTCAGATTGCGGCCAATGACAAGGAAGCGGCGACTTATCAAGGAAAGCTCAACGCCATTGAAGTTGATGAGGGCTTCCAGGCTACTCTCGAGTCCAATGTTGAAGGCATTACCTCGAACTTAGAGAACGCGAAAGAGCGAGCCAAGAATGCTACCTGGGATCAAGAAATCCAGGATATCAACACGGAAATCCGTCGCCTCGAAGATGAAAGTTCAAGATTGAACACTGAATTGATCGAATCGACTAAGATGGCTGGTGAATTGGCTCGCTTGGATCACCTCAAGAAAGAGTCCAAGGACCGAGAGCGCAGCCTGCAGACCATGAAAGGCGCTCATGGCAATCGCCTTGAGAAAGTCATCGGTGCAGACTGGCAGCCAGAGACATTGGAGCGTGGGTTCCAACAAGCTCTTGACAGCGAATCAAAACAAGTGTCCGATGCAGAGCGAGAACGTGATGGCGTCAGCAGAGAACTCGAGCATGTCGAGTTCAAACTCAAGACTGCCAAGAAGAATCTTAAACAACGCCAGAAGGAACTTGAAGATTGCGTCAAAGAACTACACGAAGCGGTTGATGTCGAGCCGTCCGAGTATCCTGAAATTGTCCAAGAACGGCAAGCCCAGTATGACCTTGCTCGCAAAGATGCAGATCAATATGCTGGAATGGGAGAGTATCTCACCAAGTGTCTTGACGCTGCCAAGCGAACCAAGTTGTGTCGGACATGCCAGAGATCGTTCAAGAACGAAAATGAACTCCAGACCTTCACCAAGAAGCTAGAGGCTTTGGTGAAGAAAGCTGGTTTAGATGCCGAGGATGAGACTTTGAAGAGCCTCGAAGAAGACCTTGAGACTGCTCGCGGTGCTAGTGCATCCTACGATACCTGGATTCGTCTGTCAGAGACGGATATCCCAGAACTGGAACAAGAAGAGCAAGCATGTGAAGCGCAACGTGATCAGCTTCTGGAGAAGTTGGAAAGTCACGACAGAACGGTCAGCGCCAAGACAGAGAGCAAGCGTGACGTCGAAGGGCTCGCCAAGACTGTTAACACCATTGCGCGTTACGACGCTGAGATCAAGACCATCAAATCCCAAATCCAAGAGGTTTCCTCTAAGCAGCAAGATACAACAAGTGCCCGCACCCTGCAGGACATCCAGGATGAGATTGCTGCCATCAGCGAAAAGTCCCGAGAGCTGAAGAAGGCTCTAGCCAAGGCGACAAATGAGAAGGAACAGACGCGGTCTGAAATCAACCGGCTGGAGCTTGAGTACAGAGATGCGAAGAGCAGCCTGGACAACGCCAAATTCCAACTTGAAAAGAAGGCTGATCTGGTTGTTCGGATGGAGGAGTTCAAGAGGCTCAACACTCAACAGAGAGAAGCAATCGAAAAGGCGGATAGAGACATTGAAGCCCTCACGCCAGAATTGCTTCAAGCCCAAGCGCGTTATGATGATATCAGCCAACGGGCTGACGAGCGCGAACGGGACCTGCAGCATGAAATTACTCGTCTGTCCGAGAACATTCATCAACTTGACCTCGCCAATGACGACATCAACTCGTACAATGAGCGAGGGGGTCCAGATCAACTTGAACAAAGCAAACAAGAGCTTGAATTGATCGAAGCAGAGATCGGTAAACTCGAGGCTGAACAAAGCGAGATTACAAAAGAAATCAACAAGATCTCGACCCAACTCAAGGACAGTGAGAACACAAAGCGGCAATACTCCGATAATTTGACATATCGCCAAGCCACTCGATCTTTAGACACAGTCATGGAAGAGGTTGAGCAATTGGAGGCGCAGAATGCCGAGGTCGACCGTGGCCGTTTCAAGCAAGAGTCGGAGCGCTGGACTCGCGAGCACAATGCGCTAGCTGCCAAGCAGGCGAGCAAAATGGGTGAAATGAAGTCCAAGGACGACCAGCTGATGCAACTGCTGGCCGATTGGAATACAGACTACAAAGATGCGGCTTCCAAGTACAAGGAGTCGCACATCAAGGTCGAAACCACCAAAGCCGCGGTCGAAGATCTTGCTCGCTATGGTGGAGCCCTCGATAAAGCAATCATGCGCTACCACGGTTTGAAGATGGAAGAAATCAACGCCATCGTTGGCGAGCTCTGGCAGAAGACCTACCGCGGAACGGATGTCGACACAATCCTCATCCGGTCCGACAACGAGAACGCCAAGGGGAACCGATCCTACAACTACCGCGTGTGCATGGTCAAGTCAGGCGCAGAGATGGACATGCGAGGACGTTGCAGCGCAGGCCAAAAGGTCCTAGCTAGTATCATCATTCGCCTTGCTCTTGCTGAATGTTTCGGGGTCAATTGCGGTCTCATTGCTCTCGATGAACCCACCACAAACCTGGACCGAGATAATATTCGCTCCCTGGCTGAGTCGCTGCATGACATTATCCGTACTCGTCAGCAGCAGGCGAATTTCCAGTTGATTGTCATCACTCACGACGAGGAATTCCTGCGTCACATGCAATGTGGTGACTTTAGTGACTACTATTACCGGGTTTCGCGCAATGAGAGACAGAAGTCGATTATTGAGCGGCAATCCATTGCTGAGGTATGTTTCTATTAAACCCACAGATTCATCTTCTTTCTAATAACTATTCTTTAGGTCATGTAATTTTTTCCAAAATTTGCCATTTGTCTTTTCCCTCCAATATTGTACTCATAGCTTTGCCCGGAGTGATGTCTTTCTCCAACAGATCTATTTCCTGAACGTTTCAACCCAAGCATATCTAGCGTTGCTATTACCAAGAGCGTTTGTATTCTACTTCTACTGATACCTATTAATCAAGCTCAATCTAGGCGCTCCTGTAAGCCGAATAAGGAGAAGATGCGATGAGCGCATTATAAATATTCTCAAGAAATACATAGTTGTAGGGAAAAGAAGATGCTATGCTACAGACAGCCGGTTCCTCAAAAGACAAAGAAACCAGAGGATCGATCACTCGACTCCAAAGACAAACCCAGACCAAACCTGCTCTATCTTACACCTTAGACTTATCCACCTCACCACGAGCCACGGCAAGCATGCGCTCCTGGTCCTTCTTCGCCTGCCGGAGAGCGTTCACACGCTGCCGATCCTTGACAGACTTGTCCTGGATATCCTTCCACCGCTTCAACTGTTCGGTATCCTCCGCAGTGCCAGAGACTTTTTGCGCATTTGTTATAGCCTGCACGCGATCCCAGATTTGTTGGTATGTGAAGTCCTTCACGTTCAGGACAATTGCTTGCTCGTTGGGCTCGGCAGCGGGTGCATGCGAGTCTTCGACTTTCTTTTCGTTTGCGACGGCTACAGCAGCGTCGCTGGCCCGTTCGGCAAAGTAGATTGACAATGCGGCGGGCCCTTGTTGCTCGGTTGTCTGTCGTACTGTCATCGGCACACCTGGGTTGTGGTACTTCAGTCGTGGGAGGCACTTGCGCCAGAAATGCCGTGCGCCATGGTGGCCGCCTTCGATTCTTTGCGCATATGTGAGGTGGAGCCGGGTGACGGCTGGGAATTCTTTTGACGCGGAGGCGAGGGTAGGGAGGATGGCGGCACCGGTACCGAGTCTAGTATCAAGAAGCTAGAGGAAGGTAAAGCGTTAGTGGGTCAATTACATCTCGATGAGGTTATTGAGACGGCCAGCGTTCGGCTTCGGAGGTCGAAGGGTCGGATATCTCAACAAGGAAGAAAGATTCGGCTTACTCTCTGTGAGAGAGAAGGTTTAAGTCAGTCAATCGATTTCAAGGTGTTTAGAAATTGTAGGTTTGGGTGCTAAACGTACAGTTTGCAGCTTCCGGAGCCGCTTGAGCAAGTTGACCATGGTGCAAGGCTGTTTCGCACAGGGACTGACCCTTGTGTAATTGTATGTTGGCGATCGGAAGTGAGGCGAGAGTGCGAGGTCAATTGGCAGCTTTTATGCCGACAGACAGGTGGAAAGAGGCCCGAAATGTAACTTTGTTGATTGGGTAAATTTATCGCGGACGCTCTTGTCGGCGAAGAAGTTGCTCCGTGATGTCACGTGAGGCAGATATCTATAGACGTAATTTATGCAACGAACATCGTATGCTGATTATTCAGTGAGCTCCTACATGAAAGATCTCATTATATGGGATAATACTTAATTAGTACTCTCCTCTATAATACTCCCGTACTTGTATTCCCCAATTTTCTTCTCACGTACTACCAACTGCCCATGTGCGTAAATTACCAGTGGAGCTCTGCATTACCATACCGTACTTGACTCACAAACTGAACAAACGTCGATTTTATATCTCGCCCCGCCATCTTTTGTTCCCCTCCGATATTCAAGGGCAATTCCGGTCAATTCTGTACATTCAGAAATCATGGCCGCCGCCGCTGCTTCCGCAGCTGCGCTCGATCCGAGCAACAGCACAAAGAACACCCTCAAACTTGAAAACGTTGATCTGCCCCTCCCCCTCCATCGCGGAATTCCTCTTGCTAACTGATTGTCCACCCGCCAGACCGAGAAGCGTGACACCTTGATCGCCATCGAGAAGAAGTACCAGGCACAATGGAAGGAGAACAAGGTCTTCGAAGTCGATGCGCCCTCGTTCGAGGAAGCGCCCCAGGGCTCCATGACCCCCGCCGAGCTCCGTGAGAAGTACCCCAAGTTCTTCGGTACTATGGCCTACCCCTACATGAACGGTACCTTGCATGCCGGCCACAGTTTCACTGCCAGCAAGGTGGAATTCATGGCTGGTTTCGCCCGCATGGAGGGCAAGCGTGCCCTGTTCCCTCTGGGTTTCCACTGCACTGGTATGCCCATCAAGGCCTGTGCCGATAAGCTCGCCAACGAGGTGAAGAAGTTCGGTCAGAACTTTGAAGGATACGACGAGGAGGCAGAGAGTGCTGAGGCCGAGGGCAGCGCCCCGGCCCCCACACAAGAGGTCAATGTCAAGGCTGAGGCCGAGAAGTTCTCCGGCAAGAAGAGCAAGGCCGCCGCGAAAAGCGTCAAGATGAAGTACCAGTTCCAGATCATGCTGGCTATTGGCGTTCCTATTACTGAGATCCACAAGTTCGCCGATGCTGCGCACTGGCTGGACCACTTCCCCCTCTGGCCATCCGTGACCTTGACAGCATGGGTGCCCGCGTCGACTGGCGCAGACAGTTCGTCACCACTGACGCTAACCCCTACTACGATGCTTTCGTCCGCTGGCAGATGAACCGCCTGCACGAGCTTGGCAAGATTATGTACGGCAACCGTTACACCATTTACTCCCCTAAGGACGGCCAGCCTTGCATGGACCACGACCGCACAGAAGGTGAGGGCATTGGCCCCCAGGAGTACACCGCCATGAAGCTTCAGGTCAAGGAATGGTCTCCTCAGATGGCAGAGCTTGTGAAGGGTAAGATCGAGGACGACGCCAAGGTTTATTTCGTTCCCGCTACTCTGCGTCCCGAGACCATGTACGGTCAGAACAGCTGTTTCCTCGGCCCCAAGATCAACTATGGTCTGTTCAAGCTGAAGGAGAAGGAGTATGTTGTCGTGACTAAGCGTGCTGCCTGGAACATGGCCTTCCAGGGCCACTTCTTCGGCGACAAGTTCCCTAAGAGCCAGGATGAGCTCCCCCAGGTTCTTGAAGCACCTGGTTCTGCTTACATTGGAACTCTTGTCAACGCTCCCTTGTCATTCCACACTGAAGGTATTCGCATCCTGCCTATGGACAGTGTCTCTGCTTCCAAGGGTACTGGTGTCGTCACCTCTGTGCCCTCCGACAGCCCCGATGACTACGCCACCCTGATGGACCTAGCTAAGAAGGCCGACTACTATGGTATTAAGAAGGAGTGGGCCGAGTTGGAGATTTACCCTCTTATTGATACTCCCACCTATGGCAACTTGACTGCCCCTGCTTTGGTCAAGGAACTGAAGATCAACTCCCCCAAGGATGCTGTTCCCCTTGCCAAGGCTAAGGAATTGGCCTACTCGGAAGCCTTCTACAAGGGTACCATGCTGGTTGGTGAGTTCAAGGGCGAGCCCGTTAGCGCTGCCAAGGAGAAGGTCCGCAAGGCTCTTTACGAGAGCGGCGATGCTTTCCCCTTCGCTGATCCCATGGGCAAGGTCGTTAGCCGCAGTGGTGACGACTGTGTTGTTGCCTACCTTGGCCAGTGGTTCCTGAACTACGGTGAGAATGACGCCGAGTGGCAGCAGGAGACCCTGAACCACGTTGTCAACAACCTCAACACCTACTCTAACGAGTGCAAGCACGGATTCGAGAAGAACCTGTCTTGGCTCAACCGCTGGGCCTGTGCCCGTACCTACGGTCTCGGATCCCAACTGCCTTGGGACAAGCAGTTCCTGGTTGAGAGTCTGAGTGACAGTACTGTCTACATGGCTTACTACACCATTGCTCACCTGCTCCACGGTGACCGCTACGGAAAGACCACTGGCTCCTTGAACGTCACGGCCGACCAGATGACTGATGAGGTCTGGGACTACATCTTCACGAGACGGGAGATCAGTGACGAGCTTGTTTCCAAGAGTGGGATTAACAAGGATGCTCTGCTGAAGATGCGCCGAGAATTCGAATACTGGTACCCTCTGGATGTCCGTGTATCCGGCAAGGACCTAATCCAGAACCATCTGACCTTCTTCCTCTACATCCACATTGCGCTCTTCCCCAAGGAGTACTGGCCTCGCGGTGTCCGTGCAAATGGTCACCTGCTTCTCAACGGCGAGAAAATGAGCAAGAGTACTGGAAACTTCCTTACTCTGAAGGATGCTGTTGACAAGTTCGGTGCTGATGCTACCCGTATTGCATTTGCTGATGCTGGTGACAGCATCGAGGATGCCAACTTTGAGGAGACTGTTGCCAACAGCAACATTCTTCGTCTACACACCCTGAAGGACTGGGTTGAGGAGATCGCTAAGGACGAGACTCTCCGCACCGGCCCTGCCGATGCCTTCGCTGACAAGCTCTTCATCAACGAGATTAACAGCCTCGTCCGCGAGACCCAGAAGCACTACCAGGAGTAAGTCAACATCACCTTTTATTATTACCGGTATCTAACCTTTATTTAGTACCGACTTCAAACTTGCCCTGAAGTCCGGCCTGTACGACTTCACCAGCGCTCGCGACAGCTACCGTGAAGCTTCCAACGCCGCTGGCGTGGCTATGCACAAGGACACCATCCTGCGCTACATTGAGCTGCAGACTCTCATGCTGGCCCCTATCACTCCTCACTGGTCTGAGCACGTCTGGCTTGAGGTTCTTAAGAAGGTTAGTCATTCTGTCCTGGGGTATTTTTCCACCATCTAACCCCGTCCAGCCCGAGTCCATCCACTTCGCCCAGTTCCCTACCGTGCCCGAGCCCTCCCCCGAGCTGTCCGCCGCTCAGAACTACGTCCGCAGCACCGCGTCCAACATTCTGTCCTCGGAGGCCAACTTCGCCAAGAAGCTCTCCAAGGGCAAGTCTGCTGGCTTTGACCCTCGCAAGCCCAAGAAGCTCACTATCTACGCTGCCAAGAAGTACCCTGCCTGGCAGGAGAAGTACATCGACCTTGTGCGCGATGCCTTTGACGCTCTGAACATCTCCATCAACGACAAGGAGCTCAACGCCCAGGTTGGCAAGCTCGGTGAGATGAAGAAGGCCATGCCCTTCGTTCAGACGCTGAAGCGCCGCCTGATTCAGACCCGCGAGGCTCCCGATACTGTCTTCGACCGCAAGCTTCCCTTCGATGAGTTGTCCGTTCTGTCTGAAATGACTGGTGGTCTCATCCGCACTGCTGGCTTCAAGGAGATTGAGGTCATTGCTGTCAATGAGGGTGGTAAGACTGGTGAGGTTGTTGGTTCTGGTGAGACCCGGGAGGGTCTGTCCGCTGAGAACGCCGTTCCTGGACAGCCTACATTCCAGTTCACCAATGTCGAGTAGATGATTTGTCGTTGTTTATTGAAAAACCTTTTCATTTGCTGGTTTAAGAATCATGTTTGATGAGTTTATGTTGGAATATAAAAGATAAAGCATGAAGCATTTTATTGGTCTAAAGCTTTTCTCATTGATTACCCTTAGGGCTATATCTCTAAGTAGTCTTTCTCTTTGTCCGATAAATCTACTGTCCTCCCCTGTAAACATACCCAAAGAACTTCACCATGCGCTGGACTTCAAGGCACCAAGCAACCTTTATATCAAACAGGTCAGCAGATGCGACGCCAAACTTTCTGTAAGACAAGCAGAAAAACTCACCTTCTGAATCCCTCCTTCAAGATATCCTCTTCCTGAGAGAAGACCAACCGAAACCACCCAACATCCTTTGAATGCTCTTCACCAGGATGTAAAAATACACCGGCATCAACAAGTTTCTGTGCAAGAGCAAACTCTCGTTCTCGGGGTGATAGTCCCTCCTCGAACGGGAGGTATGGCGACAGATCGATATAGACGAAGAAGCCAGCATTTCTACACGCCGTCAGTCGATGCTTAAGTTGATCTGTTGCCCTGCGACTTACCCTCCCCTGGTATAATTGATCCCTTGTTCGTTCAGCGTTGATGTGGTGAGCCGGTACGCGGATGCGAGACACTTTCTCGAGTTGGCTGTGAAGCTCGATACGAAAGCTCGATCTTCTAGGATTGTAGTTCCAATTGTGACAGCAGCTTGAGATGCGCCGTGTAATCTCCTATGGGGAATTAGCCTTGTAAATAGGGTGTGATGTACCCGTCTATCAAGCTCTAGGAGGAAATCGAATCTTACAAGATTGCTTGGCAGGCTTGACGAAGTTGTTTGTTTTGAGTCACTAGGAACCCAAGATGAAGACCCCCGGAAGCAAAGTCCTGGAATGAAACCATGTTAGCTTTGTGGATGTTGGTTGTTTTGTCTGATACCTACCTTGCTGAAGCCATATAGCACATGGACCAGGTTAGGATCTATCAATCCCACAAGATGGAGTGAAAGTATCGAGGTAAACGGAACAGCGTCGGAATCATCCGTTTCAAAAACACAGGAAGCATAGACTTCATCACTGATGAGATGGAGACTATGCTTCTGACAGAATCGAGCGATTGCTTTCAGTGTCTCAACAGGGTAACAACGCCCTACCCATAACCCATTAGTCCACCATTTGATATGCCAAGTATTAAACAGAACTCACCAACAGGATTATGCGGATTAACAAGCAAAACCGCCCGAATCCGCATCCCACGCCCTCTCGCAGCTTCCAAAGCCTGTTCATACTTATCAACCGACGTTGGAGAAAACGCCTCCTCCGTCGCAGTATCAGCATAAACCATCTCAACACCTGCTTCAACGCCATAGTCAAGCTCGAAGCGGCCATAGACAGGCCTATTGACAAGGATTCCCTCTCCACGTTCTGCTAGACTATATCCAAGCATATTACCCAAGGAAGTAGCAGAATCCGCGACCACAATATGGTCGGGTTGGATTGGGATGTCTGGGCTTAGGATATTGTTTAGGTGGGTTGCTGCTGCGGCTGGTAATCTTGCTGCTGTTGGTGCGCTGGAGCGGTAGCTTATTGAGTCTTGGGTGAATATGACCTGTGTGGAATTGTTAGGTCTGGTTTCAGTGTATGGAGTAGAAAATAGTGTCGTTGTTGTGTATAGACCTTTTCGTTGATGTATTTGGATATTTCGGCTCTCATTGGTTTCTGGTTGTATGTTAGTGGTCAATTGTGTAATGAGAGATGAATAGTATATACATTCTCTGCTAGGCCGAATGAGATGAGACCCGTTGGATTTGTCTCTGGGTCATAGGTTTGTGTGTGGCTGAAACGCCAGGGAACACTCAGCTCTTCGACATTTCTGTGTCCCCGAGATGATAGCATTTTGTTGAAAGACGTAGTTGTTGGGGCTTATGGCGCCAAGGAAATAGTTGGAAGGAGTGTACAGTTTGTCGATTTCAAGCGAAATTTGACAATGTCAGATGGTGAGAAGACCAGGGAGTTGAAATAAAGTTGAAGAGTTGAAGTGTATTCCCACTTACGGGGACCCCGAGAGCACAATTGAGCGAAATATCACTTGGTTTTTGCATGCAAATGTGCACTTTCAGTAGCCAATTAAATCGACTGAGAAATCTGTACTCGTAGTTCTTTGACGACCAACTATTTAATCACTGGAAGCAAATCTTGTTCTTCATTTACATTGTTCTCGGAATCATTCAAGATAGCCTTTGTATTCAAATAAAAGTATAGGGAAACTAACTCGGTAGGGAAAAGCAATACTAAAAAAGAGTTTGGTGGAAAGATTTGAGACCAGTCGCAGTAGCTGGAGAGTATCATTAGTATGTGCTGAGAAAAAGAGGTCGCCGAAATGAACGCCCGGGGATGGCTGCGATAATTCGGCCACGCATTCTTACCATTGTAATCTAGGTGACGGTAAAACTGCCGCCAGGGGAAGTGATCGGCTCCCAGAGCATAGGGTGAGTTAAGTCACCCCGCCGCCCTGAGCGGCTCACGAGCGACCCTAAGCAGCTCACCCCAAGGCTTAGGCTGGTCGGCGCATTCAATCTCATCTTGCCTCTCTATCTTTGAACTTCTAAGTTAGTTGGTCGGCTTAACCAGTCTTTTAGCTTGTGTGAGAGATTGAACATCCTATTATCCCTACAATTTCCTCTCTGCTCTTTCCTTCACAATATAGGCTAGACTTCCGCACGACCCAGTCGAACCCAGACCCAACCCGGACTAGGCTAGGTTTTGGGTCGGAGTCCTCGACCTAGCACTGGGTCCGGGTTGGGATAGGTGACCCAGTACTAGGTCCGGGGCCCTAACTTAGGTTATAAACATTACAAACACGCTAAGACCGGTGACTACATGTAAAGTAAGAAGGGTTCTGTCGATTCCAAGAGATACGGTACGCGTGGAGAAGTTATACCGTGGAACCCTTGCAGAGCCTCGTGGCTCTCAATAACAAAGGTTTAGAAAGGTTTAGTTGGATGTCCTCCTTTCATGTCCTGGAAATCACTGGCAACATCGAAATCAACACGTCGAAATCAACAGAAACTGCCGGTCGGCAACTTCATAACATCCTACTCAACTGTGTTATCAGCACTTGCTTAGCGTCACCCTGCTACCCATAGGCTACATTCTTAGTCCATACAATCATGTAGTTCCGACAGAATATCGAGAGGTATTTCACATCGCGAGACTGCTCTGGATAATACATGCTGTGGCCGGGGAGTAATCAAGAATAATCAAAATCACAGTGGATGAATGTCACCCCTCCTGACTGATGTCCTAGAACAATGAGATTACCAGCCACGATCTGGGAGCCGGGTCTATCGGGCCTGTAATCTTTCGGTAGAAACAGAATGCGTTTACCGTCCCGAAGAACCCATTCCTCGTCAATGAATAAAGCAGAACGGAATGACTGTGTATCCTGGGGCGTCAAATGGGCTGACCCCGTAGGCGTAGAAATCACGAAAAACCCATAGTCCGTCCTGAGGCACCGCCCATCGTCTGAGAACGAAAGACTTCTAACTACCGATGCTCCAGTCCTGAGCGTCTGCTGTTGTGTACCCGTTGCCATGTCCCAGAGCCGCACCGTAGAATCCCACGAGCTTGACGCCATTGTGCGACCGCTGGGCGAGAACGCGACGGATGTAATTCCATCTCTATGGCCCATGAATGTCTTTTGGTGTGTACCTGTTGCTGAGTTCCAGAGCCGCACCGTAGAGTCCCTTGAGCCCGACGCCACTTTTTGGCCACACAGCGAGAACGCGACGGCTGTAATTCCATCGATATGGCCCATAAGTGTCCTGTGGTGTATACCCGTTGTCGCGTCCCACAGCCGTACGCTCTGAATAGCTGAACCCGATACCGCCATCTTGCTGTCTGCTGAAAAGGCAAAGGCTCTGACCCCGCTTTTATGCCCCCGAAGCGTTCGACGGCAGGCTCCAGTCGCTGTTTCCCAGAGCTGCACTGTACATGTATCGTCTGAAATCGCTGCTAAGGTCCTGCTATCTGGTGAGAAGACTAGAAGGTCAATATAGTTGCCACAGCGATTAAGCTGATGCAATAGCACGCCTGTAGCTGTGTCCCAGAGCCTTACTGTGCGATCAGATGAGGCGGAAGCCAGAATCTTGCTATCTGGCGAGAAGGCAACAGTTCGGACGTTATTGCTGTGGCCCCGAAGTGTGTGTAGACAGGCACCTGCTGCCGCATCCCAAAGCCGTACTGTGTGATCCAATGAACCCGAGGCCGCTCTTTTATCGTCTGGTGAGATAGTGATTGTTATGACTGACCTATCGTGCCCGTCGAGTGTGTGCGGACCCGTGTCTGTGGCTGCATCCCAGAGCCGCACTGTAGAACCACAACAGCTTGACGCCAAGATTCTGCTATCTGGTGAGAAGACAATGGAGTAAATATTGCTTTCGGCTTTGAACCATTGTCGAGGTATTCCTCTTTTTGCGTCCCAGAGCCACACTGTGCCATCTAGGAAACCTAACGCCACCGACCTGCCGTCTGGTGAGCGGGCAACAGCCTCAAGTCTGTCATAACACTGACCCTTGATAGTCTGTTGGCATGTGCCCGTTACCGCATCCCAGAGCTGTACTGTACAATCATTGAGACTTGATGCCGCTGTTTTTCCGTCTTCCGAGAAGACGGTCTTGATCAAGTTTTTTCTTCTATAGCCCTGGAGGGTCTGCCGTTGTGCGCCTGTTTTTGTGTCCCAGATTCGCAGTACGTTATCCAGTGAACATGTTGTAACTGTGCTGCCATCTGGCGAGAAAGCAACAGACCCAATTGAGCTTCTTCCTCTATAGCCCCCAATCGCTTGCCGATGTGCGCCTGACTCTGCGTCCCAGATTCGCACCGTGCTATCCTCTGAGCGAGAAATAATTGTGCTACCGTCTGGCGAAAAGGCGACGGTAAAGATGCGGCCAGTATGGCCCTCGAGTGTACTTCGATGTGTGCCTGTTGCTGTATCGGAGAGCCATATGATGCCTTCAGTCGAACCTGATGCCACCGTCTTGCCATCTGGCGAGAAGGCGAAAGTGTAGATTAAGCCTCTAGGGCCTTCGATTGTCTGTCGACGTGTTCCAGTCGCCACGTCCCAAAATCTTAGTTCGACATGACTAGCCGCCACTGTCCTACCATCCGGTGTGAAAGCGATGGTATAGACCGGACCCGGGCCATCATGACCTTCGAGGTTCTGCAGGCATAGGTCATGCCCACCGAGAACTTCAATTTCTTTAATGAATGGTATGCGCTCTTTCCAGAACTGTTTTCTGATCTTATTCGCCTTGGGACTAAAAACGAGCGCCGACGCATAGGCTTGAAGAGGGAAAGCCCCGATGATTCTTCCATGCGATGCAATGAACCGCCAGGCATCCTGGACTAAGCCGTGCAGTTGCAAATCTTGTGACTCTCTCTGAATGGGTATCAGCGCCTTATCCTAAGGGACGTGTCCTTCAATACTAACCAGAAGTGTGCCGAGCTCCCAGATCGCAAATCCTCCTTCCGACATGCATCCGAGCAGGGAAAGTGCTTCCAGCCAGGGAAGGAACTTTGTTTGAAGAAACATGTGAATTTGGCCGCCTTTCTGCAGGTCGTCCCATTCTTTTCCATTCAAATGAGCACCATTCAGATGAGCGATCCAGTATATGCATGGATAGCGAGCCAAAACTAACGGGTCTTCATCGGGTAGTTTGACATGCTGGATCGAAACTCCAGAATCACCTAGACCGTAGATATCACGCTTTAAAATGTTGAACATGATGTTCAGTGAGCGCGAAAACATGCTGTAGTGGATACCCGCGAATCCGCTCGGAGAGATTGCCGCAGCCACATGCTCAGCCAAGTAATCTTTGGCAGATTGATGAACGATATAGACATGGTCTTCGCGAATTGTGAGGAAAGATCCGCACATCTTCACTACATTTCGGATAGATTCAGCCTTGTTTGCAATTTGGCTTGGAAGGTCAGACAAAGCACCGAGCTCGACGAGGCTAAGAGGGCGATATACCGAGATTGCTGTAGATAACACAAGCCAACAATATTCCGGATCATTTCGCTGTAGTTGTTTTGTCTGCCCTAGCATCCGGTCATAGAGCGCCACCAGATCCTCTGGTATTTGATCGAGCACATTCAAAACGTCCCAGCTCTGCGCTCTCTCAAGTTCTTGAAAGACGAGAGCCACCCACAGAAAGGTTCCGTTGGCTTTCCTGCGCACCTGATCTCGGACTCGATCCCCTAGAGCCTCGTCCTCTACGAGGGCAGAAAGATTCGAGATTTTGTGATCAATATATGCTTCAACTGCCAAGGACACCTTTTCTGCATTTCCTTTCAGCTCAAGGCTCAGCTTCGCCCCCGACTTTTCCAGTTGTAGACCCCACTCGATGTCGATTCTGTTGCGGCTAGATATAAGCCATTTTACATGAGTCGTGGAGGTGTGCTGCGCGATCAGGCCGAGAAGTCTAGATAGATCCGTTTCACATTCATCAAGAGCGTCGATGATCAGATAGGTGCTCTTCAACAACGGGTCCTTAAGCATGTCCATGAGGATGTTTGACAAAGCTTGCCATGCATTAACATCCTCAAATACCTGCTTCCCAGATTTGTCATACTCTCGCCGCACATGAGCTATGAGAGATGGCCGCTGTTCCACTAGCGTAGAGATAAGACCACGAATGACCGCGGTGGCATTATTGATCCGCGCGTCGGTGTTTTGGCAGAAAAAGAAGGCGATCGTAGAGGTATCATGAATGGTCTCGGTCAACTCATCGATGATTCCACATAGAAGCACGGTTTTCCCTTTTCCAGGATCCCCTTTGATCCAGAGTAGCTGACAATGTTCTTCAAAAAGCCATTCTTTAAAATCATCATGGCCAAGGACCCAGCTATATGCCTCTTTCAGTAGTCCTCCTTTGAAGCCCTCGATGCGGCTCTTGTCATGACGAGGATTCGTCACTTGCAAATCCTGGATGCAGGCTCTGTTTGCCGATGTTTCAGGATCTTCCCAAGAAGCAAAAAGGCCTTTAGTTGATATTCCTTCCGCACGGCTTTCCCCTTTACTTACCAGTGCGGGAGTAGAAATTTGCATTGACGAGACCCTTATTGAGCGCTATTTGTAGTCCCGAGTTTTGTCCAGTGAAAGAAGCCTCCGAGACTTCAGCCATAGTGAAATGACTTTGGGGATTGACTGCCGTCATGCCCACTATGAGGTAGAAACCGATCGCCTAGCTCTTGATCAGGAAATCCTCGAGGCTAAGTACCAGATTGAAGAGTTCAAGGTCACAGCACTCTACAGTAGCTAGTGTGTTTTTAGGGGCAAGGATCAAGTAAGGTGGGGTAAGGAGCTGAACAACTGGCAGTGCAGTGGGGAGAGGCGACTGACAAGGGTACGCTTCAGCTCTATACCTACACCGCTGCTCGCCCTCCAGTTGTACCTCTTAGGCTACTTACATATTTAGTACTGGGCGCTATCGGGTCAACCGATAGGCGGCGATAGGGCGATAAGGCGCCCCGATGAGATACCGCCCAGTGCTACGAAAGCAGTGAGCCGAGGAAGACCATGCAGGTACAGGTACAGTACGTCGCGTAACTGGTGTCACCACCTACAACCCATTTTTATAAAAGGCTTCTAATTATCATATCAAAATCAAGCCTTGATCAGCGTTGCAGTCTTCCTCGCGTGGAAGTCGCGGCTACTGAACCCAGCCTTGAAGGTGAAAGACCCAGCAGGAATACGCCAGTCCTGGGCAGTGACATCCCAGTAACTGAGATCCCGGCGCATCAGCTCAAACTTAACGGTCTTCTTCTCGCCGGCTGTGAGATGGAACTTATCAAATCCGCGAAGCTGGTTTGGCGGGGTGCCAGCCGGTGTTGAGGCAGGGAATTCAATGTACAGTTGCGGCACGGCGAATCCATCAACGTCTCCAGTGTTGGAGGCTTCCGCCTCAAGGGTATACACTGTCTCCCAGAGAGCGGGGTTACCGCCTGGCTGTATAGCCCGCTTAGCAGGGAGGGCAGTCAAATTGGCCGGAGTAGAGTCCTTTGCCTTGAGATTCTTCAGGTCGAAGGTGGTATAACTCAAACCGAAACCAAACTCGTAGCGGACGGAGATGTTGTGGGCATCGAAGTAGCGGTAGCCAACTTCGAGTTCTTCGTCGAACCAGCTCTGCCAGTCCCAGGTACCGTTGGTCTCCACGGCTGTGGTCAAGGGCGCATTGTAGTCTGACTCGTTGTACGCAATCACGTACGGCAGTTTGCCGGATGGGTTCACGTCACCGTAGAGGACGTCAGCGATGGCATTGCCAGACTCCTCTCCAGCGTAATGCTGGGCCAGAATAGCAGTCACGTTAGGATGATCGGCGAAAGGCATAACGTTGACACCACCGGAGTTCGTGATCACAACAGTATTGTTGCAGTGGTTGGCAACAGCCTCTGCAACGGCATTTCCATTCCAATCGAGGTCCAATGAAGTCCGGTCTTCACCCTCGGCTGCGAATGACTTGAGGAAAACGAGGCAAACATCAGGCTGTTGCGGGATCCACAAGGGCGACGTCAACGCCTCCGTGGCGAGCAAAGTGTTGTTTAAGTAAGATTGGACCAGGGAACCGTCCTTGCGAGCCCGGGTGTTAATGGCATCAAGAGGAGTTGACAAGCATGTGAATCGGCAGGAACCAGAGCCCGAAGAGCCTGCGAGATGGCCATACTCGAAGTTGGCCTGGAGGTTGGGACCTTGAGTAAGGGGACCGGCATCGTTACCGGCAATCACAATGTTGCGAGGCTTGCGGAGTGGCAATGCATTGCGTTCATTCTTGAGCAGGACCGTGGAGGATGCTCCATGCTCGCGAATCATGGCACTGTGGTTAGCCCGAACGTCACGGTTGGTTTCGCCAGTAAATTTCCAGTCATAAAGCCAAGTATCAGGGGCCGAATCGACATTGAGCGGGCCCACTGAAGCATCAACGCTCGGGTAATTCTTCTCCTGGCCAAGCCAGAAATATGGGGTCATGATGCGCACAATCATGTCATTCAGACGAGATACTTCAATAGTGCCATTCTTGACGGCTGAGGTGAGGTTCTTGCCCAAGAAGGACCCTTCGGTCCATTCCTCGCCGTACAGAGTGAAGCCTCCAGGCATGGTCATGTCCATTCCGCTTTCAACAGATGCCACGCCACTGTGAGTAGCACCCCAGTCGGACATGACATAACCCTGGAAGCCAAGCTCACCCTTGAGAAGGTGATTCAAAAGGTAAGAGTTCTGGCACGAGTGGGAGCCATTCACACGGTTATACGAGCACATAGCGCTGGCCACCTTAGCACGGACGGCGTTTGCGAAGGGCCACATATAGATCTCATGCAGGGTACGGTCATCGATGTTTGCAGAGACCGAGTCTTGGATGTAGGTGGTCTCGTTGGCATCCGGGGCATATGAAGGGTTTCGTTGGGTTTCTTGCTCATTGGCAATGAAATGCTTAGCATTGGCCTGGACACCCGCATCTTGCATGCCATTGATTGTCTCTTCCATGCAGATACCGGTGAGGTAAGGGTCCGCAGCAAAGCCCTCCCAGGTGCGAGAATCATAGGGACTGCGGCCCAGAGGTCCTCCAATAGGTCCCAAGATGACATGGGAGCCCTTTGCCTTATGCTCCTTGGCCATTGCGTTGCCTCTATCGTACAACAATTGACGGTCCCAGCTTGCAGCGGCTGAGACACCACTGACAAATACACTAGAGTAGTCTCCTTGCTGTACGCACTGAGGGCCATTCTGGAGACAAAGACCGCTAAAGTTAAGACGCGGGATGGGAAGAACGTTTCCAACACAAGGACCGGGCTGGCCTGTTGCCATCCAGGATTTTTCTTCAAGTGTGAGCTTGCTCACGAATCTCTTGGCTTTTACCAAAGCTGTTTCCCAGCCACCATTGCCAGTCATGTTTGCTGTTTAGTGTCAGTGGCTATAAGGGTCCATGGTAGAGAAGGATGTATCGTTGGACTTAGATTACTCACGCGAAGGAAGAACAGATAGAGAGTGACCGTCAGCCAGGACAGTTGTATTACGAGGCTGAACATAGCTGTAAGGCTCTCCCGGGTGATCAATGGGCGCCTGGCAGGTATCTGCTAGGGCCGAGGGCACCGCTGAGAGCAACAGTGCTCCTAATAGAGCTTGTGGCGACAACATAATGGAGTCTGATGAAGAATGAAGGTCTCAAAACCAGCCAAGAAGAGCCAAAGTGTTGTACAGATCTCCCGGACGGCAGAATACGTCCGTTAAATACCTTGGCTTGGGACATTCCGGGGACATACCACCCCGCATACTCCCCAGGAAGACTCAGCAGGACTCACGGATCCACTCGTGGGGGCTTAAGCCTCGCATCGAGAGAAAAGCTTCCAGGTGGAGCAAGCATTGACAATCCCCGAACTCGGCATACGGAAAGTCGCCGGATCGACTGCTCACTTGTGTCCCGTCGGTATGCCGGTATGCCGAGAGATGCCTTTCTGTCTCTGGGATGCTCGGAGAGTGTTGATATATGGAGTGAATAGTGTGAGTCCGGGGTACAGATATCCCCAGGGAGTTGCACATAGCAAAGTATGGTCTGACGTAACATTAAATTGTCCGGCTCAACTTCGGCTAAACCCCCACATATCCGAGACTCCGCGGGGATTCGGCAGAGCATTTACGAGGCATTTATGAAGTCAGTGCAGCTATTTCTCCACAGTCAAATCAGTGCCAAGAATCTAGAGAGAAACAAGCACCTTGCGGCACTTTTTTACCTTCCATTTCTGGTTCATATGGCATCATAAGTCCGACAAACTTACCTAGGTGGGCAGTGATCGCCTTCAGTCCATATGGTGACAGGGCTATCTCGGCATTCAAAACAAGAGAGAAAGCATTCGGCTTTCCTTCTGTCTCTGCCGGAGTTGAAATGACCGCTTCGCTGCTGAACCCTGCCCGACTCCACTATATATTGTGGATGTGAGGCATACAGGAAGTCATTTAAGACGTGCTCAATTTCATTCACGTACATATTAGCTTGAGAAGTCTCAAGAAAAGATATTGAGATAGAGAATTGTCTAGTGTCAACGTGATCAATTCGCGCCAATGATATCAACAGATAAAGGCCACATGGGCACTAAGCCGAGGGGTTAACCATGACTGAGAACCTGCAGAATTACTTATTTTGAAGCATCACTTTTATTACAATAATCCTACACATTCATGACATCCAAGTATCTCCTCAAAATGTCAACTGCCACTGATGATATGCACGCTGCCGAATATACCGTCCTGAAAGACCTCTTCAGCGACAATATATCTACCCACAACGCAGCTGAAAGCCTGGCAACAATTCAATTATCAAACATCACCGAGCCAGAATCAAACATTTCCTCTCTATGGAGCTTCATAATCAAATGCGCGTACGAGTTTCCTGAACACCAGACTAAGCTGGTCGATATGCTAGTGCAGCTCTCGAAACTCCCAGACGCGAAACTAGCCAACGGAGACCCGATACTCCTCCATGATATGCGCCTGTGGAAGGACCTCCCAATGCTAGGCTGGCAATTTCGAGATGAATGGAACGCATCGATACCGGACGGACCGCCCGATCAACGAGCCAGTGCGATCTCGCAGATGATCAATCGGGATAATTTCACTGCGCTTTTGATGACGACTAAGGAACCGGTGTTTAATTACTCGTGGTTTGCACTTATTACCTTCCGTGATGCCTTGGAAGAACCTGCAGACCAGGAGCCAGGGCAATTGGACGGTCTGATTCCCGCTGCTGCTACCTGGATTCATATTCTTGGCGCGGATATCTATCGGTGGAATGAAAACTTTGGCCGCAGGGGTAGAGGAGGTTCGCTCTGGGATGGTAAAGATGGATTTTGTGTGGAACGATGGCAGCTTTGGCGGGAGAGATTTGGGGCCATGGCTAAAAGAGAGGAGCTCGATGATGGAGCGAGAAGGGCAGCAGTGGACGCGGAGCAAATGATGCAGAGGATTGAGAGTCAGTCTCAAAGCTAGTATTATATATGCAATACAAATAAGAGAAGTAACGCCTGGCCGCAATGCTAGGTAGAATAATATACATGTTTGAATATGCCATCAAAGAAAAAAAAAAAAAAAGGATCAATGGTGTCGTGTGCGCGGGCGTTTGCGCTTGTCTTGTTTGAGCTTGTCCGCAATAAACTGCCAACACTCCATCGGACGCCGAGAGCCGATGTGTTTTCCTTTGGGAGTGAATACTTCGACCTGTGGGTAGGATGCTTCGTCCGACTCAGCACCACGCTTGCTGCGGATCTGGATACTGAGTTCGATCCAGCCACAGCCCTCGACGAGGATATCTGCCGACATCACTTGATATGGCAGTGAAGGAATCGGGATTCCCTTGTCCGCTACTGCCTTGGCGAGAGACGTTGGCAGGTGTGATCTAGTGACATCCCATTTGATATCGAACTTGCCGGCTGAAGCCATCGAGCTCCCCGTGCCTTCTTTCATGAGAACAGTACCCCGGTATGGGCGCTTCTCGGCTTGCATCTCAATTGCTTTCTGCGTATTGGTGATGTGGGACTCAATGGGTAGGAAGCTGGCTACCATGACCGTATCTTGAGGGTTCATTGGGGTGATCCGAATGAGACCACCACCGAGCAGAAGAGACTGGCCTGGTTTGATGGTACAACGCTCGGGCTTAACCCGCTTCGTCATGATCAGATCCCGCTTATGCTCATCCTTCACGAAATCCTCCAACATGCCGCGCTCAAGACCCGGGAGATCAATGACCTCACCCCTTCCGCGACCAAATGGAATGCGGATAGGCGAGACAGTGGTACCTGGCAGCGAAGACACGACTGGGAGCACAGGATACAAATCCTCGCGAGGAGCAGGCGGTAGCAGGCTGTTGGGGTCATCAAGAGAGGCTTGTCGCTTGTTCGGAATCTCTTCTTCCCGACGGGTTCCAATATACTCCTCAATTTTCTCCATATTCTTTGAATCCTTGGGGAAACAAGCTTCAATAAAGCTGCTTTTTCCGACGTTGGCTTTGCCAACAACCCAGATACCGCCGCCGTGATCCCTGATTTCTTCCTTGACATCCTTGGTCCACCAACCACGGTGTGCACTAATCATATGCACGTTTCCAAGGCGGGCATCTCTCCCTGTCCTGCCCAGAGCTGCTCGGAGCTCCGTGCGGATGTACTCCATTTTGGAGTCGACCTGATCCTTAGTCGCCGCCAAAAGATCCGAGCGCGTAATAATAAACGAGATAGTTGGTAGTTTGCTTCCACGCAAATATTTATCATGCGCGGCTCGTCGGTTCTGCGAACGCTGCTGCAAATTTAACGCCCAGTGTATCCGTGGAACGAGGGACATAGGAAAATCGGCGGCATCGATGATGTGATATACACGGTTCCATTTGTACGGTGATTCTTCCAGGTAGTTTCGTATAGACAGGATTGTTGGTTTAGGCGAAGCAACTGCTTTGTTATGATGTATCAGGTCGTGGCAACGGTCACAGACATGAGTGATTCGTTTTGATGAGCCGAGGAAGTCACTAACAGGCTCAATAGCTCTATCTGGGAAGGCTCCATCTTTGTGTTTGGTTAGCCAATGTCGCGCGCTAACAGACCATATATCTTACCTTGAATGGGACGAGGTGGCTCTGAATCCTTAATGGTATCATTCTGGTGTACTTCCACAGTATCATTATTACCAAGTTCGAGGGTTTGCTTGCTTGCGGCCAGTAGCTTCCGGGTCTGTTTCCGCGATGTATTATAATATCCAGGCTCGTCTGCTTCCACCGTTTGCGAGAATGCGCCACAGCCTGGGCAGCATACAGGTAGGACCTCGGTCACGGGATCAACTGCTGTTTGTACTGGTCGATAAGGTGTCGTCGAGAAAGCGCAACATTGACTGCGGAGGTCCGGTGCGACATTGATCTGCGGCGCGACGCGAGTGCGGGAAAATAGCGTATGAGTTGGTGATCGAGGGATCACTTTCGAAGTCAGGCGTAGCAAATTCAGCCTCGGGCTCCTGAGTATTGCGCCCCGGGAACAGAGAGACATGATGGGCGTGCAGCTTTGCGGAGTTTCGGAGCTTTTTTTCTTGGGAAACCTGTTATCGATAGCGCACATGGTACTTTCGGGCCGCCGTAGAAGTATAAATTGTGCCACCACTTTTTCATTCAATTATTGTAGTAGCAGATATTACACGATCTAGAGGCTGATAGCAAGATTTTTGTATTACTATTTGTGTGGGGCTAAAGCTATTTGACAAATTTGGAAACCAGATGCGCTAGAAAACTCAAAATGATATCGCAGATGAACGCCGTCATAAACCGTGAGGTGAAATATCATTGTGTACAAGCTCATGCACGAGCCTTTCCTTTTCCCGTGACGGTTCCTTCCATCTCCTCGTCTTCGGAAGAGCTCATGAACTCATCGTCATCATCGAATCCGATGAACTTCCGAGGCGCTGCCTTTTGAGGCACAGATGGACCAGCAGCAGACGACTCGCCGTTTTCTTCGCTCTCATCCTCTTCAGAACTGGATGAACCATCCTCCTCACTGCCCTCACTGGCACTGGTGCTCGATCCGCCGAGAATGGCGTCACGGAGGCTATCTGTCCATTGACCGTCCTTCATAGCCTGCAAGACTGCCTCGCGGGCTTTCTCGTTCATCTCATCCTTGTCTTCTATCCACTGACCATCGATCTTTGCCTTGCCGGTACCGTTCTTCAATTCGTCTTGACGCTTTTCCGCGATGTCGACCACGGCTTGCCACCTTTTCTGACGCTCTTCCTTTTCCTTCTTGTCCATATCTGGCTTGACCGCAAGATACTCTGCGAGGGCCTTCGCCTCATTGACGGTACGTAGTCGACGACCGTCCAAGTTTCGGCTGGAGCTGTTGTTGTCACCTTGGTTGCGCTTGCGCTTGCTGGACATGCGGCCACCTGCGGCACGCAGCTGGGATCCGAAACCACCCTTACCACCTCGCACTGGCACAGCGAGACGGAGAGGAAGAAGGCCAGAGGTGGACTCGCCATCGCAGATAGAGAGGATCGATTTCGCACATTCCGAGGGTGCGAGCTGCTTGTTGTTGGTAGTGGTGAGGGTGAGAGACTGTAGTGAGATCAAAGGTGGAAGGTATGAGGCGACTTTCTCTGTCAAATCTGAGATGCTGGATGTCGAGGGTAAGGTGAACGAGAGGGTCGATGGCAGAGACAGTCCTGGGAAGGACGTCAATAGGACGTTAATATTGGATGAGGCCATTTTGAATGGGCTCTGAGAGTTTAATCGGAAGATGTTGATACTCGGTTGCAAGAACACCGCTGCTGAGGTCGTAGAGAAGATGTTGCGATAAGATGGCGAACTGACACCACGTGATATTAACGATAGGGGAGCAATGACTGAATCAGCACATAGTGTCATGTGACCTAACCCAAACTCCCGGTAGGGCACAAACCCTACGCTCAAAGTGGCCGGTCGCACTTTTTCGCAGCGAAGCTCCACTTGCACTCCATCATTTAAATCTACCATTATTTCGGGCGTTGTCAAAGCGATTCCCCGAATTGCAACAGGAACTCGCGACAATGTGAGTATATACATCTATCCCGCTTATTTCGGACAGTTTCGCTGACAATGGCACAGGCTTATCCCCAAGGACGACCGCAAGAAGATCCACGAGTACCTCTTCCGTGGTATGTAGCGAGAACCCTCGCCGACGCCTTGCAAAATTCATACGGACGGCTTTGCTAACCTGCTTTCCAGAGGGTGTGCTCGTGGCTAAGAAGGACTACAACCTTCCCAAGCACGGTGACATTGACACCAAGAACCTCTATGTCATCAAGGCCCTCCAGTCTCTGGACTCCCGCGGCTTTGTCAAGACCCAGTTCTCGTGGCAGTACTACTACTACACCCTCACCCCCGAGGTACGAACCATCCCAACATGACACAACGACCGAACAGAATACTAATTGTACACCAGGGTCTGGACTACCTCCGTGAGTGGCTCCACCTCCCCGCCGAGGTTGTCCCCGCCACCCACATCAAGCAGCAGCGTTCCCACGCTCCCCCCGCGGCATGATGGGCGGTGAGGAGCGCGGCGAGCGTCGTCCCCGTGCTCCCCGTGAGGGCGGCTACCGCCGTCGCGAGGAGGGTGGCAAGGAGGGCGGTGCCCCCGGCGAGTTCGCTCCCTCTTTCCGCGGTGGCTTCGGCCGTGGCCGTGGTGCTCCCCAGCAGTAAATGCTGAGCCAAGAGGCCTTGGTGTCCTGTCATCCACTTCTCGGTCATCCTAGGGGCTTGTTGGTGTAACCGGTTTCGGTTCAGAGTAGAGTCTTTTGAAACGAACTGATCCTCGGTGCATCATGATCCCGTCCCAGTTTCACTGGGGCTTGGGGATACAGGAAACAAAATAAAAAATACAAATCTTTTTGATTCCACCATTTTCTATTGTAGATTGAAACAAGTTGGACCAACATCTGGTATGCCCTTGCTTCACGTAGTCTTTAAATCTCCAATGTCTTGTACAGGTGGATGTGTTTTGACACTTATATTGTTCTTGCAGTATATACATTCTTGCCGTGTCAAGGACCAGCTACGTGAACCTCCTGCGGTCGTAGCGAACCACAGCCTGCAGAATGACCGATGCTCCAGTGGCACAGTCCTCGGCAGTGGAGAATTCCTCGGGATGATGGCTAAGACCGTCTTTGCAAGGAATGAAGATCATACTAGTGGGAACACGCTTCGAAGTGAACACGCTATCATGACCAGCACCACTCATGATTGACCGCACAAGCGATTTGGTGTCAGCAACAGGCGCATCGGCAACAACAGCATGTGCTGATTGCTGCACACAATCAATGCAGTCCTCATGGAACTTGACAGCCGGCGAGTCAAAGTCAAGAGTCCATTCAACACGACAGGGTTTACCAATGCCAGCACCCTCAGCTGCTGCGATAGCATCGAACTCAGACCTCAGCTTCTTCTCAACCTCGACAACAAGTTCTGTTTCGGGCCCACGAATATCCAAACTGAAACTCACCAGCCCGGGAACTGTGTTCACACTGCCAGGCTTGGCTTCGACGATACCAACACTGGCCAGACAGCCCTTTGCAGCTGCGACCTCGCGAGCTCGCACCATCATACGAGAGAATGCATAAAGAGCATCTGCACGGTGTTCGAATGCCGTCGTGCCAGTGTGTGTATCACGCCCGATGACGTTGAGTCTGAACCATCTATACGCCTGCACAGCCGTAACCACTCCCACGCGCTGGCCTGCCGACACAAGATGTGGGCCCTGCTCGATGTGTAATTCGAAGTGAGCTGCCATCGGCGTCGACTTGTATGAACATGGGACATCGCCAAGGTAGTCGATCTTCTGCAGTGCACTCTTCATTGTCTCTGGTGCAGATGCTGCTGTAGGTAACGAGGCAACCGTTGGCACCTCCTGGAGAGCATGCGCCTTCTCCAATGGGATACACTCAGCCCATACACCACTTGAAATCATGCTGATTGGGAATCGAGCTCCCTCCTCGCTGTGATGACGTCGTTAATGAGGCTCACGGATTGGACAACATGCGCTGGGGTCAATCTCACTTGGTCCAGTTAACAACTCCAACTCCTCCTTCCGTTTCCAGACCCATGTCGTTCATGGTCTTGATGGTTTCAATTCCAGACAAAACACCCAGGATTCCATCGTACCTCCCACCAGTGGGCTGTGTGTCAAGATGGCTGCCGATGAAGGTAGGAGGTACATCTGCTCTCCGACCAGGGCGGACAGCAAAGATGTTGCCCATCTCATCCACGGTGACATTGCATTTAAGGTCCTGCATGGTTTTGATGAACCAATTGCGGACACTTCTGTCTTCATCCGAGAGCGCTAAGCGTTGCATGCCTGTATCTGTAGGGCCCCTATCGATCGCCATGGTTAGCGATCGTGTCCCAACCAGGGATGTCAATATCTTACTCTCCCCATCGGATTCCATATCCCCATTGGCAGGAATGGTGCAAGTCTTCGGCCAGTCGCTCTTTGTTGGCTCTAAGGGCAGAGACTTCCGCCTCGGAAAGCTCCGTGGTCAACATAGCTTGTATCTTTGAGGTGGAGAATGCTCGAATAGGGCGAAATAGGGTAGAGTTAGAGGCCTGAAGGCAAGGTCTGAGTTTGCCACGTAAAATATGAGACCACGCCATGCTGTCAAGTTTGAGCGTTTTATAGAGGGGGAGGGCGTTGATAAGAGTGGAGTGTCGGACTTTCGTCCGCAAGTCCGCGATAGGTATACTTCCAACCCCGCATGGAACGTCGGCAATTACTCGACTTCTCCAATCGGCTTTGATGTGTTTATTTTGTTATCTTCATGACTCGCATGGTTGCTGTTCATGTTTATACACAGGCTGGGTTTGTGTAGGGCACGTTGATTCAAGTACAATTTGGTTCATATCGGCCTGCAAGGCTATTTATTGAGTGCAAACTGAGTGTATCTCCACGGGATTATTGGAGTCGCGATCTTCGCTATTGGGGTAACTATAGTTTCTCTTGGAGTCATTTATGTAGCTGCAGCGGTGTTACCGGGAACCACACCCTGTACCACCTGTACCACAAAGGTCGCTCCCTCACATTGTATCGGTTTCGATTTTGGTAACGGAAAAGAAAAAGCATCCCAACAAAAATAAGAAGTAACTAGTACTCGGTTGTTCTTCTACATATCAAAGATCCCCACCTTTGTGTAACGGAGCGCCTCCATATGTCCCATATATCCCCGGTGAAAAGAACCCCAGCATAATTGTCTTTCGGGGCATCAACAGAGCCTTCAACCAAGTGCGCTTGGGGTGCCGAGCACCTGCTGGGCCTGGTCCGTGTATTTGAATAGATTCTCTCTCAGGCAATTTCAACGTGATTGTGAAAATGGACGAGTCTCCAGGTGTCTCTTGGAATTCTGACAGAAAACAAGGACGGACGCGTCAATATCAGATGCGTCAAGTATGGCAATCTGGAAGCCGTCTGGTAGTATTAGGACCCGCCTGGCAAAATTCCCGCATAACATCACCAGCTCTCCAATGCGAACTCAAGAAGAAATACTTTATCCTTTTAGGAGTGTAGGGGGCAAGAAGATGTGCCACGAAGTGATAAAATGGGCTTAAGGAATCATTTTGTCGGGATAAATGCTCTTAAAGACAAAGATTATAGTACTACAAGCCGATAACCCATTGTCTCCGATATTGCAAAGGAGCAGAAATGGAAAAAAAGGAGGAATAGAAGATGAATGATCCTACTAGAAGCCTGGGGGTTGCAATCACCAGTTAGGTTAGGGCTGGGATGTCACATGACACGCATTGTTTTTCGATGGCTATAATTGAAGTCTTTCAAGATAAAATGATGAAAAAGGTAGTGCAATATGTCTGATAGTCCATGTGTTGGATGTGTTAAGTTACAACGAAAACCAAGACCGTGGGGTAATAGAAAAGGCGACTTTCAACAACTGACGCTCTCAATGCCTTTTCCTCCACTGGGCTACAAGAGATCCAGTTATGTAGCTTTGGGGTCACGATTCCAAGAATCATTGAGAAAATATATTACAGGTTGTTCTGTGCTTCAAATTGATTCCCTTTGCTGGTCTCGTTGGCCACGCCAGATCATTCTTCCTCTTTACGTTCTCGGGTCAGTTGGACACGTTATTGACACTTGAACAACATAGCAGGAAAGTTCATGTTGATTTTGAGTCTTACTGTCAAGGGTGACTGCCAGTGAGATGTCAAGATGTGGCAGGGGATGGTGTTTGCTTTAGATTGCAGCGAATCCGACTGCATTAAAGAGAAGCCGGTATTATTATCTGGTTAGAACCACCGAAAGAAGACCTAGCGTGGATACTCTAGTTCAAGATATAACGCCGGTCAAGTATCTACTAAGTGTGTATGCAGTACGACAGAAACGTGCACAAGTTTGTGGCGTCTGTTGTAAGGAAACATGGATGTCGGGTAAATCATTTAACCTAAATGATGAGACATTGACTGACTTGTTTCAGCATCAGTTTAGTGTCTAGCCAATTAGCAGTTCACGCTAATTTCACCCCATGCCTCGACAAGATGCAGATCGACTTAGGGCATAGGGATCCACTCACGGGGATCGACATACACTCTAGAAATGGTCTTGCAGGGGTAAAAAGGTGAACAGAAGAACTACATGTGATTAAACAAGATAACCACGAAATAGTCAACTATAATCCATGCCAATGAAATAAATATCCAAATAAACAAAAAATGATAGATCAACTGTAGTATGTGGCACAGTCTGGTGCCGATCACGTGCAATTGCCTCCCCGACCACTGGTCGACACTCAATTTTTTTTTTTTTTTTCGCCGGGGGCAAATAACCGCCTGCATGAGATCTTTGTTTGATAAATAGAGAAACACCCTGTCAGTACCCGCGTTACCCTGCATCAGTGCATTATCGACAGTCCGGCACGAAACCCTCGACACCCGACGCACCAAGCCGCCACAACCTCCGATCTCCATTCCTTACAACCGCAGATCCTCGACAATTCCGTCCAACTATATACACCCATTCCCCTCGAATACCAATCAGAAAGCGTTATATAACCGAAGAACAACATGTTCGAAGACTTCTCTTTCACATCTCCGTCCTCACGGCCCGCCCGACTAGCTCTGGACCCAGATGACCGCCTGATGGTCGACGGCGACAGCGCCCTAATATCGCCTCTCTCCTCCCGCTGCCCATCACCACAGCCGCACCGCTTCCGCAATATCTCGCGCTCGCGCTCTTCGCACTTCCATCGCTCCCAACAACCTCCCACCTCCGTCCCCTTCCCCTATGACTCAGACCACAAGCGGCTCTCGATCTCGACCCTGACCCAGAAATTGCACGAGCATACCCTCGCCACGCCGACCAGCGACAGTCGTTCAAACCAGAACCCGAATCAGCGCTTCGCCCAGGGTCAGGGTCAAGGTGTGGGTGGTGGATACGGATATGACGGACGATATACGCCCCGTTCCCGGTATGGCGGCTACAACCACGGACTCGTCCTCACACCCCCAGAAACAGACCACTCGGACGACTCAGGCGTAGATGGCTTCTCCTCGCCATCCGCATCCTCAAATCCCAGTCCAACATTCATGCCGCCAGACCTCCTTCCCGACCTACCCGATTTCGGACTGGATAGCTCAAACCCTCACCTGCGCCAGGACCAGGATATAAGATTGCAGCGGCAGCAGATATCCCGGTTACAGTGCAACCAATCGGAAGTGGAAGCTATGCAGCGGAGTCTATTAGCAGAGGAAGGAGGCGGGGCTGGCGACCCATCGCGTGAAGAAGATGATTGCCATCCGAGTGATTTACCGCCGCGGTTATCGCCGCGGCGGAGGGCTGTTACGCTTGCTCGGTCGAGGTTTGGGCCTGAGGCTGCTTCTGATGCGAGGGCTAGGCGGAAGAGTAGTTGCGGGGGTCTTTTGTCGAGTCGCGTTGATAAGAGTCATTTGAGTGGGTATGCTGGGGTTGGGAAGAAGAGGAGTGATAATGGGCTTAGGCGGAAGAGTCTTGTTAGTGCTGCTTTGGCTTCTATGGTTGAGAGGGAGTGAGGTTTTTATATTGATTGATACCCTTTTATTATTTGATGGTTCTGGATATACCAATATACTTTTCACCGGATATGTATTCATTGTTTCTCAAACATGCAGCAGGTCATGGTTGACTCCAGCCGGACTTTGCAGGGTATTGACTCACGCTATACTTGCAGTTTGACGTGCAAGATAAAAATCGGAAACCATGCAAAAGAGGAATACAACCATCAAGTTTAAGAAAAGGTCAAGTGACATGTATACAACCTGAGTCTCAAACCCAAGTAAAAAGTAATGAAAAAGTGTCTTGTAAAAACAACAAGGAAGAAGGAAAGAGAAGGGGGAAAAAAAGGAAACAAAAGGAACGAGTCCAGTCCAGTCCATCAAATCCAAACAATTTACGCCATACCCATCACCATCGCCATCTTTCCCATTCATCAATTCATGCTCATGCATTCGCAAAAACGCAACCAATGAGTCAACAGTCAAGACTCCCAGAGCCATACATAATCTGAACTCCCAGAATCCAGTAAAATCAAATCAAACAGCTAGAGACAAGGAACTAATTCCCAGACCTCCAACTAAAGAACTTCCGAAACCCTTTCCTCTGCGAGAAAGACATCTTCCGCTCATCACTCTTCCTTCTATGAAACTCAAACCGAGGACTCGTATCCCCATTCCCATTCCTACGCTGCAACTCTTCAAGAGCGCGCGCAGACCCACTCGCGCCCCTCAATCCCATATTCTCTGCATTCGCAGCTGCGAGAACAGATTGGACGTGCGGGTCTAGGTAGACGGGATCGTATGTGTATGGATCCGAGGGGGAGTGGGGGTGGGAGTAGGAGTTCGGTGTTGAGGGTAATTGGGGGGAGTTGAGTAGTGGTTGTGATGATGATGGAAGGGTGGTGGTTTGGGGTAGGGGTATGCAGATGTAGAGGTTGAGTCGAAGGGGGAGTAGAGGGGCGAATTGATTGGTGTGGCGAGAGGTGTTTCTTGTGGGGTGTGGAAGTCTTGTTCTATTTCATAGAAGATGCCTCTGTCGCGCTCGTTTACTTGGGCCCATTCGCCGTTGGCGTAGACTGGGGAGCCTGGTTCGCCGATTTCGCTCTCTTCTGAGAAGGTTTGTTGGGATGAGGAGACCGGGCGGGAGTCTGTTTCTGTGTGGGAGAGGGGTGGTGGGTTTGTTTCTGTGGATGGGGTTGTTGTTTGGGAGGTAGATGCGCCTCTATAGCGGAATGAGTGGTTGGTTTGGTAGTCGTCGTTGTCGGCATTAGTGTCGCCATCTGTGTCGGCGTCTGTATCTTGGATTAAGTCGATGTGCGAAGTTGGCTCGTCTTGTACAGAGTGACTCCAGTGGCTGAAGTGTGGGTTGTAAGGAAAATCTGATAGAGAGCGGACGTGATCGTGGATCCCTGGTGAGGACGACGGGATATCCGTGGTCTGGGGCTTGGGGGTTGAGCAATCGGGTTGGAGAGAATTATACAGCGAATTGGTAGAGTAGAAGGATGGCAATGAGGCGTCGGTGAATTGGGACAGGGACACCCGATCCAGTCCTTGTTCGAGGGAGAATGCCGAGTCTCGGTTGTCGGAGAGCATCGAGCAACCATCGACATCTTCGATATACGAGACAATACGTGCAAGGTCCAGCGACTTGCGCGGATTCAAGATCTCAAAGCAGGCACCACCGTGCGAGACGGTGGGGACGGCCTGCGTGTGAGCCAGCATTGAGTCTGATTGTTGAGAACGAGCTCTAGCTTTAGCTTCAGCCTGGGCCCGGGCGTTTTTTTGAAGCTTCTCGCGGAAAGTATTCTGTTATTGTTAGCTGGTTGCCTTGCTTATGTGTTTTAGGTCACTCACCAATCGCTTCCTATTATTAGGTCTAACACGAGTCCCGTTCTCTGAGACAACAGTAACCCGTGGGGATTGCGGCTGGACGTGAACTGCGCAGGGATGTCAATAAATAAACAGCCAATGTCAATTCTGATCGATCACTTACCAGGCTGAGCTTCGCCGATTTCGGGTTCTTCACTCCGCTGTGAGATGATACTGTGCGAATACGAAGGCGACAGTGGCGGAGGACTCGATGCGACAGAGACAGAAGAGGGAGGAAGGGCAGATGGACAGTTCAAATGCAACGCAGCGGTCTTTCGCTTCAATTTCCCACTTGCATGATCGACGGGATCCGCAGAAAGTAACTTGCGGTAATCATGGAGAGATAATGACCCCGTGATAGATCTGATGGGTCTCCTCGCGTCAAGGGGCGTACATGCATGAACATAGCTGTCCGGCAGCTCCCAGTGTTCTATCTCGTTCATTATATGACGTGTCCGTATCTTCTCTCTCACAACTGCCGGGTATCTCTTTCTAGGTGTTCGTCGCTTAGACCAACATCGCGTAGATCGAAAGCCACTTCTCCACACTGAAAGTGATTCGTCAGATTTGGCTGCAAGGGAGTGAGGGGGTAGCTTACCGGTCACAAATGCAAGGTACAGATTAAGAGATGAGAACAGAGAATAGAGAATAGAGGAGGTAATTAAAGATTTAAGAAGAACGCGGGATGAGCGGACGTGCCTGGTTAGAATGTATATCCACCATATCCACGTTACCCATTTACCCACATGGAAGACAAGGCCAACAAGGACTAGATCCAACAGACCCAATCAGGCGAAGAACAATCCCAATCAGGCCACAAAAGATCCCGATTCAGACGAGTCCAGACTCGCTCAGGAACGCTGTATCTGGCGAACTCTGGCGAACCGTGGTTGACTTCTTTATGTAGACGTCATGATGAAAATTTCATGAGAAAAAGATCGAAGATATCAAATAGTGGAAAAGTCGGTGAAACGTGGACTATCAAAGAACAGGATAAAACAAGAATTAAAATAGAGATTAACGTTAAAGAATGACGAATAATAGGATTGTCAAGGCACAGCTCATACATCACCTGCATGGATCTAAGATCTTCCCCCTAGTCGAATTTAGTGCGCCCCTAACACTGTTAGTGCCACACCATCCCGCATCTTCTCCCACCAATCAACCTCCCCAGACACCACATAGACATGAACCACTCAAAATATACAAGCCAGTCGGCGCCCAGAGCGAGCAAGTGTCTTACACCCAAGGCTGAAGCGAGGCAAAATGAGGAATTGGGCGAAAGCAGTCTAGCCCGCGTGATTGGCCACAACCCACTATGAAGTATTTTCTCGGGGGGCCAGTGGCGACTTGAATTTTCTGCATAGAACCCGTACATCGATCCAGCCCTGGGTTGGAGGGCGAGGGAGAGGGCGTGGGATGCATGTACGGCATGTACGCATCATACCCTAACTTGCTCGCTGCATGGTACATACTTGCATCTGTTACTTGGGACTTGGAACTTGGTACCTGAGCTGCCGGAGGTAAGGGTCGGATCTTTTTCTAGCGGCGTCGCCCGCTGGGTTGCTCTTTTGGGTATTTTCGCTGTTTTGCGTGTCGGGGATCCCGTTGGCCTGGCTTTGTTTCATGATTCATGATTCACGATTCATCTATCGTGGTTGGTTGTGTGCGTGAATTGAATTTGTGGTACGGGGGTACTCGGTCCCTTGTTCCTTGGGTAGGCACAAGGCACCCATGCATGCCCTGACTCGAATACGACTGCATCCCACCCCGGATTAATGGATCGTCACACATGCAAAGACGTTCTTCGTTTTAACGGGTTGGGGTCTTGGGATCGCCGGAAGTTACTTATACACACCCTCTTCTCCCAACACGAAGTGGCGAAGTGCCTAAGTGCCCGGTTCCGTGACCATGCGATCGGGATGGCTATTTTTGTAGATGGTTGATCATATACATTCATTTCCATGATCAAGTTTATTAACGGGGACTCCGGGACTCCTGAGTCATGCAGACTAAATAGAAACAGAGCAAGAGCAATTTTACAAACGTCAATGTGGTATCGAAGCGAATAAGCAAGGGAATAAGAAAATCAAAGATCAGGGAAAAAAAAATAAGAAAATAAGCAATAAGCACGCGAAGAATCAAACTCAACTCGGTCAGCGTCAGCCGAGATCCCTTCAACCCGACCAATACAAGCCCAGCCCCTGGCACTCTAATCAGTGACGTTTATACTTCTGTAGAAAATGGTCAGCCACACGCCCCTTAAACAAAAATCCCTGCTAGTCCCGAGAGTCGGGACCAGCCGGGATGTCGTGAAGTCGTGAAACAACTTACATCTTCCATTTTGCGCCGGTTACTCGGATCCAAAGTATTCCCAGCACCAAGCAGAGTCTGTCCCACAGCCTTGGAAACGCCGATTGCCGGCCGGAGGATGACTGTCGGCGCCCGTTTCCAGACTGCCTTTGCTGCCGCCTTTGCGCTGCCGCTCTCGACTACTTCGCCCGGTACGGCGACAATGGCGTCGCGCGCAAGCAGTAGATCGCGCTCGAGACCGCTGAATGCTCCGCGCAGGCCTTGTACCACTCCGACCGGTTGGTCTGCGTACAGGGATATGTTCTTGGCTTCGTCTTCGTCTGTGTTGTCGTCTTCCGTTGGTGCGGTTGGGGTCGTGAGGAGGTCTTCGGCGCCTTGAAGGACGGTCTGGGTGCCGATGGCTAGTTTTGCGCCGAGCTTGACCAACTCATTGGAGGTTGTCTTGGCGAAGGCTAACGCGCCCTTTTGGAAACTGCGCACTATTCGGCCGTCTTTTCTGTACTCGCGCATTGGGACCACGACTAGGTCGCGGACGCCGCTGCCGACGTTGACCAAGGACCGGATTGGGGCGAGGCCGGCTAGCACGCCTGGTAGTTGATTCTGTTTCACGTCTGGCATCCAGATATCGTTTAGAGTTTGGCCCATTCGGTCGAAACCGGAGATTCCGTAAATTATTACATGTCGTAGAACCATGTCGGCGCCGTCTAACACAAAGAAGTTCATGAACTCGGTTGTGCGGCCGGATCGGAGACCCGCGTAGTCAACCCGCTTGGGCTTGAAGTCTAGTTTGACTTGCACAGCGTTGACTTCGACTCGCTGGAGGAATGGAACGTCGCCAGGTGTGCTGGTCTGTTCGAGGGTTTCATCTCTGAACTCAAAGAATCGACTCATGAAGTCGAGGGCGTCTTGGTCGACATGCAATCGGAGTGGAAGAACGGTGGCCTGGTAAAGTTAGATGTCGGTTTCGGCAGTAAATACTTGAGTAACTTACTTTTAGAACGATTTCAGACGCAGCTAGCTCAGGAATTGGCTTCACGGTCAAAATTTCAAGGTGAACCATGCTCGTTCCACTCTCTTTCTCCCCGGCCTCATGCATGTATGTGGCGAATTTCTTCCACGTAGAAGTCGGAACATGGTCATAGATCTCCAGGTCCTTAACCCGTACATCCAGCGAACTCTGAGTTTCTTCTGAATCTGGCGGGAAGAGAACTAGATCGGCACAGACACCCTTCAACTCGAACGTCATCTTGTGGTGTTTGCTCCGGTGCAGACGCAGCTTTTTCTCCCTCTTAGATGTCGACCGACCCTGGCGGTTGGAGGCACCAGTGATGGTAGTGGAGGTTGCATAACTGCCAGTCTCGCTTGTCAAATCATCAATGTCGTTATTGATCTCGCGGTGAAGCTCCCGTGGATCCTTGTTTGCAGGAATGCCAATATAAATTGAATTGAAGAGGAAGTCTCCAATGACAGATTCCTCTTCATCTTCTGCTGAAGGTGACACTCGAGAACCCCTGGCACGCCGCTCTGTAGCCTTGGTCTCCACATCTTTGACAGCTTTGGAGATTGTGTCTCTGGTTCGTTGCCAGTCATATCCATCAAAGAGATTCCAGATGACATGCACATCTCGCACTCTCACTCGCAATGGACTCCGCTGGAGCCTGGTGTCGTTGGAAAGACCGTATGTATTCTGGGTGGAGTCCCATCGATGCGCAGTTCCACCGACAGCGGATTGCTTTGCAAAGTGGTCGTCTTGGAAGTCCAATTCCCCAATGCTCGAAGATACTTGGTATTGAGAATGGAAGCTATCCAGAAGCTCATGTGAACTCGTCTCCATATTTCCACCGGTGCCAACAGCAAAGTCCCGCCTAACTGGATAGAAATCGCTGACATATTCAATCTCATCATGTAGCTCATCTTCCTTGTATAGCTCTTCAGAGTCCATTGTCAAGTCATCCCGGTCACTATCAGGAAGAGGATCAGCAGCGAAAGCATCCCCGGTAAACGAAGCAAACATGTCTTGAATAGGCATGACTTCTGTTCGATACTTGACATTGACATTGGGTGGTGTTGGAGGCTGAAGTCCATTGATAATACTGAGGAGCGTCTGAGTTGAATCCGCACACGTCTCCAGAATTAAGAGATCGTCTCTCAGCTCAACATCCAGAGACTTGGTCTCATCCTCGCCAAGGCGAGCCAGCTTCACGCCAGCTGTTGCTGATGAAATAGACGAAACAGGAACGTAGCCATTGTCTATATATGCCTGGGCTTGACTGCTTTGGGGGACAGCAGAGTCACGTTGATGTAGATTACCAGCATTGTTGTTGTTGGATACATCATCAATGATCATCACGGATGCCTTTCTGATATCCAACGATGCCTCGGCAGATATCTCCCCGTGCATGCTACCTCCGAATTTGGCGTTGGTGAGAACAGCAAGACCCTTGGCAGGTGAATTGCGAGGGTTCAGGCCAAGGACGCAATCTCTGAAAACAACCGACAGCTTGAGTGGCTTTGCTGGAGACTTGGATTTATCGGAAGTCCTTGGTGACCCCGACATTGGCGACGGCAGGGAATGCTCCGCAAGATTGGCAATAGAGTTGGCCATATCACTGGCCAAGTCTCCACTTGTCTTATCATTGCCGAGTCCGAGGAATGCTGTGACAGCTGGGATCTTGTACTCGACAAGGAAGTTATGCAATTTGATACGGTAGGTGGGATCCATCTCATCAGGTATGAAACGAGCCATGAGAACCGGTGGTCGAGTTTTCAGTGCCGTCCCAAATTTGCTCGGTGGCCACAGTGCCTCTCCCACCAGTTCTTCGTCGTCATTCCGCTTCACGGTGATTTTTCCGACTTGAGCCGCAGTAAGTGAGGGCATAGTAATGATTGCCACCTCGGCGTCAGTAAGGTGACTGTTGATGTCCCCGACCTCGCCGCCAATATGGACGTGGCTATCTAATTCGCGGATTAACACGAGGGTAAGAATGCCAGGACTGTCATCCTCCGGTAGGTATTTGGTGACATTCGAAAGCCGGCTCAGCTCAATGCCGAGGGATGAAAGGGGCTCTAATCCACTGATATCTGAGATTACAGCCTTAACTCCTGTCACCGTGACACGAAGAACAGAGCCTTGTCGTCGCTGTCGCAGCAAAGTATCCAACATGATATCGTCTTCTTCCTCGTATTTATCCTTTGACGGGGTAATCAACTTCAAAAGACGATCGAGATCAGGCTCCTTGGGCGCAAACAGGAACTCAACGCGAATGTTGTTCAGTGTTATCTTGGCCGGAGCGTCCGCTGAGTCGTCAAGAAGAAGCGGACCGAGCAGATTTGCCTTGTCGATTTGAATGCCAATACCTTCAAACCTGCTAACGACTTTGACTGCAGTAGTGGTGAGTTGGAGACAATGCGTCTCTCCGATAAGGTCTAGCAATATGCCACCGACTCTAGCATTGACCTTCCACAACGGTGAATCGTTCTTAGCTTTGTCGTGGGCAGGCGCAGAAGTTTCGAAATGCACGCCACGTTTCTTGGGAGGTGGCTGGCCGCCCTTGACTGTGGAAACCGATGATATAGAACTTCCGAGCTCAAGAATGGTACTGAGACCACCCATCCATCCCAAGACCTCTTCAAGGTACTGCACATTGAGATTTACATGGAGCGGCAGCGTAGAGATATCGACTTTGGTCAGGTTTGGTGACTTGACCAAGGAAATAGAGATGTCGCCTGAAGATGCCGCAGTATCACGAGTAGATTCGCGCATCTTTAATGTCTCGTTGAAGGAGATGAGATCTTCAGAAGCAAATCCGAAGGCAAACTTCGACAATTCAAGTTTCAACTTTAGGGTAGTGTTTTGAGACGAAATTTGACCATTCAGACCAGATGCCGTGACACGAAGTATTACATCTTCCATGCTATACGGAGGCTGCAGAGGCGAGCCGGTGCCCCTGGGTGAATGGGCATGTCCCGTGACATGCTCAAGAAACTTCACTGAGATATTATGAACGAAAAGATGTAGAGGCGGTGTGAACGACGGTTCGTCCTTGGGCAATTGCTTTTCACAAAGGTCTTTTTCAGCCGGGCAGAAAGCACGCAGAACCTTTTGCCCTATCTTGGTTAGAAGCCAGCCGGTTGCAATGTCGAAGTGCACGGAGGCTGAAAACACTTCAACAGCAATTTCATGTAGACTAATGCTAGAGCTTGACTGGTGTGGCTCTGGGATCTGAGGATTTTTTCCAGACGCAGGGGACTCAGATGAAACTCGCTCAAACCTGGTGGAAGCATAAGTTTTGAAGGCGAGCAGGCTATCTTCAACCGCAGAATCCCGAAAGCTGACAGTAGAATCTTCCAAGTCACTGTCTGCTCTATGTCTTGATGGGGTAGATGAAGGATAGCTGGGCACTTCTTCCTCGGGCGGAGAGAGAGTAGATGGTACCCAGACCAAAATTTTGTCAAGACTGAAGATTGGCTTGTTCGTTTCATTGATCCTGTGGATGTCAGGCGATGATGGAGTTGATGCCCTATCTCGATGCACAAAGTTCTGCTCTTGGTTGTCCCCAGTTTGATCAACAAAGTATTCCTGCGATGGAGCTGCGATTTTGGGGGTATCTCCATCTTTCGGCTTTTGGCTGGATTTTGTATCTTCCTGTGCGATATTCATAGAGTGATAACCAGATGCGCTGCTCTTGTTTCCTGCAGAGTTGAACGATTCCCATGCTCCAGGCATGTTCGGCATGAAACTCTCACTTGGCTCTTGTCTGCTAGGTTCCTGGCTAATGGCACTCATATAGAGGCTTTGCGCTTCATCATGAGAGAAGTACTTAGACTCGAGAAGTTCGGCATTGGGGGTGACGTCTTGCGAACCTGTACTGCCACGCTCCGAGGTTGGAGAAGATGTATAAGAAGGTTGTAGCGCTGCGCTAATATGAGATCTTTCATTATATTCATTGTCGTCGTAATCATTGAGGTTGTGCATGGGCTGCACTGCTTCGTGAGGTTCGGAGCCGGTCTGGCTCTGATGCGAGTCGTAAAAGTGGCGCACATGGAGACTCTCGGGTCGAAGTGAAGCTTGTGAATACTGTTCAGCATCATATCTCAGACTCATGCTTGCCGGATTGGGCAACGAGTCGCTTCTTTCACTTTCAGCGAGTGCATCCTCGCGTGGTTGTATAAATGGTGACTGTCCGTCATCAAAGTCATCAAATTGATTGTCAATCACCGAGTCTAGATACCCCGGGTTGTCTTGGAATGGATCATCTCCAAAGACCTGGGAGTCTTCGGGATACCCACCATGATAGCTTCCTTCGGAATCCGCATCTGAGAAACGGCCATGAGAGAAGGTAGATGCTCCCAAGCTATGCCCGGTAACATTTGAACGGTAAAGGTCTTGCGGTGGCTCGAATATAGTTGACTGTGTCATGGAGAGAGGTTCCGGGTCCGAATGATCCAGTAAAGGAGGTGATGGGGCTCTGCTTGATGGCTGACTCTCCTTTGAACGTGTCGTCGTTGGCGATGGAGGAGCCGCAAACCGGGAGTAATTCGAAAATACCATCGGGTCCGAAATCAAGCCCACATTTATGTCCACGATTGAGATGAGTCGCTTTCCTTCTCGGGAAGGGAGTCCCTCCTCCGCAGTGGTTGTTGTCTCGGATACCCCGTGGACATCAATCTCCCCGACGCTCAACAGACCCGCAACAAGGTCCGGTTTGTCTTCTGGCTGCCTTTTGGACATCCCATCCTGCTTTAGCTCCATATCCACTCGCACAGCGACATTCTTGATCGAGAGTTGTAACCGATCCATCACACCCTTGACAAACCCGGCGACAAAGCTCGGCAACGACGTCGTCTCGCTTCCAAGTCCAAGCTCATCCTCCTCGTCATCGGCGCCATAAGCCAATGGATCGTGCGATAGAACCTGAGACTGTGACGATATAGCAGCCTTCAACTCATCCCGCTCCTCCTTCGGCTCCGACTCAAGGAACGACTGCGCCAGATCAGTCGCTGTAGGCACCACGGCCGATGCAGACTTAGAACCTCTCTCCTTCTCATGTTTCCCTAGAATCGACTCGTCTGACGATAATCGAATATGCACGTCAATACCGCTCGCCTCACAAATGACCCCGCTGCTGTAGATATCGGCCGGTATGGTTATTCGAAGGAGCTGGATTCGAGCACCGAGCAGTTCACACGAGGAAGGAAGATTCAAAAGTGTCGCTAGTTTCTATATCATAAAGATCCACATGTCAGTCCACGCGTTTTCCAGTTGATAGTTGATGGTCAACAAATAGGCTCTCCCCGCACCCGACATCGACCACCACCGCAACCTCCAACTTTCCACTCACCTCTGCTTTTAACCCGACGTCTCTTAACTCGACTGTACTTCTTTGTCCCCAGCGGATGCCCAAGTTGTCCAGGTCCAGCGCCTCGGTGTCCACCAGCCCGGCGCGGGAGAGGGCGTACTTGAGCAGCCGCTTCTGAAAGAACGATGGTAGGAAGTACCCCATCGTAACTGAGAGCCTTGAAATGGCTTACTCAAGTACTGGAGGAAATCATCGAAACGGAGAAGAAGCCCCGAGGGGAGTTAAGGGAGGAGGTGTCGATGACGTTCCGGGCAGCTGATAAAGGCGATAAGTGACCCGAGTCAGGCGGCGACCGTTTGTTGACTCCCAATGTCTTCTCGGTGTTTGCTGTCCTACTTGTTCGAATATTGGAGGTTTTGCCACTGTAATACTGTAATAATTGAAAAACACTATTCATGTCTGTTTTCAGGTGACTATATATGTCTTAACATCCCGTGATCAAACTACTCATCAACATCAAACTCCGCAAACTCCAAAACGATCCACTCGCAGAACTTCTCAAATTCAGATCCAAAGTCACGCAAGCGGTCGGATTTCAGTCCCTTGCCCATCACCCCATTCTGGATGCCAGCCTTCCACTCGGCCGCTGATTGATCCTCGTAGCAGCTCCACCGGATGGAGTTCTGAGCCATCATCGATAGGCCGACCAAATCCACATTTTCCAGTCCCTGCAACGCTTGCCAGAAATCATGTGTCAGTCCATTCCGCCCATGGCCAAGGATTGCGGGGTCATCGTTGCACAGCGAAACGGGTACGCCTCTGGACAATAATGCGGGGAGAGGGTGGGATTTGATGGAGCTGGCAAGGCGGAGGACCTCGTTTGAAATTGGGCAGCATTCAACGAGGATCTTCTTTTCTTTGACTAGATCAATCAGGAGAGGGTGTTTGTAGAGGGAGAAGCCATGGCCGATTCGTCGCGTGCCGAGGAGGATGGCATCGAACAGGTTGTGATCAGTCACATCACCATCGCCTAGGCATTCACCGGCGTGGAAGAAGAAGGGAATATCAACCCCTTCTTCTGCACATTGCTTTCGGAACCAGAATAGGACCGGGACAAGGTCAACAAGTGGTCTTCCCCGATCTTCTTGTCCGACAAGGTCGAACCCGCAGAACAGATCGGGGAATGCCTGCTTCGACTCAATGCACTGCTTCATACTCTTGATAATGAGGTCATTGGAAAAGCGGCGGAGCGTAGTCCAGATCAGCCGGGCATCGTAGAAGTGCTTCCCTTCTTCCGACTCCTTGAATTGATCCACCACCTCTTCCACCACGCGAGCCCACTCGAAGAAGTCCGTGTCAGGCTCATCATTTCCTTGTCTCCTGTACTTGAAGTTAAATCCGATCCGGAATTCCACGTATCGGATACCATCGGCAGCCAGTTGTCCAAGCAAACGGTGAAGACAGACCCGGAAAATAGGCTCATACATGAGTAGGGAATCGATAATGGGGAAGGTGTTCTGGAACAGACTCCAGATTGCATCGACTCCGTGATGGTGGTGGTATGAGTGTTCGGGCATGAGCACACAGCGACTAGTCAGCCATTCCCGGAACCCCTTCTGTCCTCCATTAGGGAAAGACGAGGCGGCTTTCTGTATTGAGATCAACGATAAAGGCTCGTATGTCTGAGTCCAGATACTGGGCTTTTCCTCTGATATGCTCAGGGGCTGCGAGGAATACTGGAACGTCAGGGGCGCGGAGTCCAAGTCTTTCTGTGTGATCAATGGACCCGGGGCAGTCATGTGTATCCCCGGCGTGGAGAATGCCTGGTCAAGCAAAAATTCGATATCGAACATGGCATCCATGTGCGCGTGGAGAAGGGAGCCTTTCGGCATCTGCTCCACAATCTTCCACAGTTTGGTTTTCTCCATGCGCCCTTTGGCCAAATTAAACATGACGCCCGGGTAGAGGATCTCATCTGACTGGTGGGCGGCAGCTTCATCTAATCCACTGGTCCATAGTTCGTTCTGCTCCTGGGCTCGGATCTGCGAAACGATCTTCGATGCCCGGGCGGCTATAGGCGACAGTGATTTGCGGAGGTTTGCATCTGGGGAGGATCAGTTTGATTACACCGGAACTGGGGAACTGGGCAACTACCATGACGTCTCTTTTGCTCTTCCACGATCAGAGCGTCGCGTCCTTTGAGATATTGTTGGATGAAGGGATCACCGAACTGTGGGATGCCCTCCTCGATTTCCCATTCGTTATCCATGTTGGTGTTAAAAGAAGAAGTTTAGAAGAGGGGCAGATACTCCCCGCCTTTCCGTTTCCGATTATGCTTATTCTGCTCTTCTTCCCCTATGTAGGTCTATTTGCAGCGAGTTGACTTTTCTTTTCCCTTTTTTTCCTTTTTCCTTTTTTGATTGGGCCACTTTACACACAAATCAGCCTCGTTCGAACCTTTGTGTAGTTCCTCCCGCTGACCGTCGGTCTACGGGGATATATTGTTCGGCGTTCGCCGCAGAGTTATAGTCCTATGAAATAGACTTCAAGAAGCGATAAACACACAAATAACACGAATAACAAAGATGTGTGTGCCAAGCTAATTATCTGAGCCGTGGATATTAAGTGGACTCTCGGACCTTTACCGCTTATCGACTGAGTCTCCAGTTTTCCAACGCTAAATTTACCCTAAATTCCCTCAGTGAGCCACACAATGCCTATTTGTGAAATACTCGCTCTTCCAGTCACACAGCAGGCCAGGCACACGATCTACTGACCTCGGTACTCCATACAAATGAGAAAAACTCTCAGAGCACGCGACTCCACAAACGCGCATAGTAAACAGTGCGGAGAGACTTTCCAACCGCTTAGTCTGATCTACACGCGACCAATCACCATCGCGACATGGGTCTAAATGGGTCAGTGGCAAGATATCTCTACCTAAACAGAGCTAGGCCACCGAGATAGTGCAACCGTCTTATCAATGGCTCCAAATCTGCGGTTACATGTGGCTCTGGGTGGCTCGACGTGAGACGGGAGCCCCGTCGGCCTGTCCGTTCATTGGTGTGCCGACCCCAGAGCTGGACGAGAAAGGGAGGTCTCCGATGGCTAGCTTTGTTCCTCTCCTTGTTAGCGTTCTCTCTATCTCTTCCAGAAATCCCCGCACAGATTGTCTCGCGTGGCAAGTGAAAAATGAATTGGAATGCCAAGGTTGGAGATAAGTTAAGTTAACCGACTTCTCTTATAAAACCCTTCGCTCGCAGATCTTCCCTTGCAGCACGGGCGGGTCGTGTCTAATTTTTGGATCTTTGGCTTTTTTTATTATCTTAATTGCACTTGAGTTTGCACTTGAGTTTGCATTCAATTCTGCACACTTTTGGACAATGGAGAAATCCACGGAGGCCACAGCCCAGGCTGTCCCCCATGACCCTGTGCTGGATCCAGAGCACCAACATCACCACACTCATCATCACCATACAACCTACGCCGAAGAAGGTCGCCAAGATGAAGTAGTCTACTCTAGCGATGTCCAGTTCGAGAAAGGCGTGGTCCCCGAACCAAAACCATTGGACCATGACAGCAAGTCCAGCTCTAGGGATGAAGAAGCTGCTGAAAGCTACCCCCAGCGAACATGGTATCGGCGCGCGATGAAGCATCGGAGACACGCCGTCCATTTAGTCGTTTGGCTCTTATTTACCGGGTGAGTTGATCGAGTCTAGTCTGGAATCTGGAAATGCGGGTATCAACACCCTTCAAAGCAGAGACTCATGCTTCTTTTAGCTGGTGGATTGCTGGTCTGATTTTGCATCGGTATGACCTCGGATGGCTCATCCCATTCCTGCTGTATCTTGCCATCACCCTGCGCATTATCTTCTTCTATGTTCCCATCACCATCGTGACAAAGCCTATGAGCTTCGTGTGGTCACACACTGCCCGTGTGATCGTGCGCGCGATCCCAGAGAAGTTAAGGACGCCCGCTGGCGCCCTGGTATGCATCGCTGTAATCATCATCGGAGCATTCGCCTCCCCAGAGTCCGAAGATAACACGCGTGCCAGCCGTGCCGTCAGTCTCTTCGGTATGGTAGTCTTCATCTTCGGCCTGTGGCTCACATCCCGCAACCGCAAGAAGATCATCTGGCACACTGTCATCGTCGGCATGCTGTCACAGTTCATCATCGCGCTCTTCGTGCTCCGCTCCGGCGCAGGTTACGACATCTTCAACTTCATCTCCGAGCTGGCTCGTGACCTCCTCGAATTCGCCATTGACGGTGTAACCTTCCTGACGAGCGATGACTTCTACAAACTCAAAACCCCTTCGAACCTGCAAACTTCTTCCTCATCAGCGTCATCCCCGCCATCATCTTCTTTGTCTCCATCGTCCAGCTTTTATACTACACCAGCGTGCTGCAATGGTTCATCGGCAAATTCGCCGTCTTCTTCTTCTGGAGCATGCGCGTTTCCGGCGCCGAAGCTGTAGTCGCAGCCGCATCACCTTTCATCGGACAAGGCGAATCAGCCATGCTAATCCGCCCCTTCATCGCTCACCTCACAATGGCCGAGCTCCACCAAGTCATGTGCTCCGGCTTCGCAACAATCGCTGGAAGTGTCCTGATCGCCTACATCAGCATGGGCGTTAACCCACAGGCACTGGTGAGTTCCTGCGTCATGAGTATCCCAGCCTCCCTGGCAGTCTCGAAGCTGCGCTGGCCCGAAGAAGAAGAAACACTCACAGCGGGTCGTGTCGTCGTCCCCGATAACGAAGAACACCGCTCCTCAAACGCCCTGCACGCTTTCTCCAGCGGTGCCTGGCTCGGACTGAAAATCGCCGCTATGATCGGCGCCACCCTGCTCTGTATCATCTCCCTCGTCGGTCTGGTTAACGGCCTCCTCACTTGGTGGGGCAGGTATCTAAATATCAACGATCCCCCTCTGACCCTGGAATTGATCGTCGGATACATCTGTTACCCGATTGCTTTCTTACTCGGTGTTTCCCGTAACGGCGATCTACTGAAGGTTGGCCAGCTGATCGGTCTCAAGCTCGTTACTGTGTGTCCTTCCCCATCCCCAGCATCCTTTTTAATAATCTAACCAAATCCCTAGAACGAATTCGTCGCCTACGACGCTCTCCAGAACTCAGAAGTTTACTCTGACCTCTCAGACCGCTCCCGTCTCATCGCCACCTACGCTCTCTGTGGTTTCGCCAATATTGGATCCCTGGGTAACCAGATCGGTGTGCTGTCGCAGATCTCGCCTGCTCGTGGAGGTGACGTATCGCGTGTTGCGTTCAGTGCTATGATTACTGGTGCTATTAGTACTTTTACTAGTGCTACTATTGCTGGTCTGCTTATCACTAATGAGAAGCAGTATTTCAGTTCTTGATTGGCTGGATTCTAATTGGCTAGGTGTGGATCTTGTATTTAATGTTGAATATTGACATTATTATTATTTTGAACGTATTTTGGAGCTTTTATGTATCATAGCTGGCGTGTCATTGCCGCTACATTTGAGGTCGAGAATGGATATCTACAACAGTTGATACATTGATACGTATACCAGTCCCGTCCATTGACGAGCACAATACTACATGGTATGAAGACCAACACAAGTGTCCAACCCAATTCAACAATCTCGCTACGGTGCATTGATGGAGAGGCTGAAGAGAGGGGATTACAGGGAGGGGCGGATGGTGCCCTCTACGCAATCTTTTTATATTCAATGCATCATTGACATTGGATTTCTCATTGGTACTGCGATTTTGCGGGCTTCTACGGGGTTCTTGGGATTTGATTCACATGTAATGAGCTGGTTCTCCCTATCATTGAGGACCAGCCTTTCTGTTTGTACTGGAGCATGATCAGGCGTATTGATTACGAATTCTTGCTTCAACTGGAACGAAGCGCCTTCATAGCCATTACGATACTAGTTAGGCTTCAACAGGTTAATAGAACTTCGATTGATTGGTGGATTGAACTCAATTCAACAATACACTACACTAAACCAAACAAATCTAGGACAAGAGGCAAATCTCCAAGCCAAAGCAAGATGCAAAACCACCCAGAATTTCAATTCACGGGTAACAAGAACATGCCACGCCTGTACTTGAATGCGTGAAACTCCCAGTGAATAAAGATAAAAGAAAAAGCACCCAGCGAACAAAAAACTCCCAGGCCCATGGATGTGACCGTTATGCATGTGCAGCACGTTCCCAGGCCCCCAACTGAGTGGGCACCTGGACCAACCGACGCCAATGCAGAATGAAAGAAAAGGACATGCAATGTAATGTTCAATCTAATCCTCGTCCAAATCGCGGTGGCGGGCCAGCACGTGGCGCTTGAACTCTTCCTGGTCTGAGTCCCAGAGTTCGGCAGCTTGGGCGTTCAAGGGGCTCGCGCTGTGGTTTGTTAGTAATGTATGTTTATTGCATTGGATTAACAGGAGAGGGGTGGTGGGTTATGTACATACTTGTTAGGTTCACCCAGGAGACTCTGCAAGCTAAGAAGCACGCTCTGGACATTGTAGACGGCACTCCACTTGTCCTTGAGGATGTCTAGGCAGATACGGCCCGAGAAGTCGAAGTTGGGGTGGTAGATTGGGGTCTTGAAGAGGACGGTTGGGGGCGAGTAGGGGTAGTTATTAGGAAAAGCGAAGGAGAGCTTGAGGGTGAGTCCCTCGTAGGGTGTCTCGGTCGGGCCGATGATTGTTGCTGTCCACGAGAGGAGGTTGCCGTCTGCGTCCGGGAAGGCGGAGATGCCGGGGGATGGGGAGAGCATGAGCTGCATCAGTTCGGCTTGGAGTCTGTACGGATAAAAGGGACCTTGTCAATGTCTTGTTTTCAAAGAGGGGAGACGCCTTGTGGGCCATTTGAGGGTGTTTGCGCGGGACAAACGAACCGCTTGGTGACGCTCTGCGTGTCGCTTCTTTGGCCAGTGGTGTTGAGCTTAGATGCTTCCAGCGCGTCGGGCGCCGAGTTCTGCGTGTCCTCCATGGTGTAGTCCATGTTGAAAGATGAGAGAGTCAAGGGTTGGAGTTGTGTTAAGGTGGACCGTGGAATGCTGGTGAAGCGAGGTTGGAATGACGCCGGATCCGTCAAGTGATCCGCTGAGAACGTCAGATGCAGAAACCGAGAAACCGAGAGACCGAGAGACCGTGAGAGGTTATGCTCGGAAGTTGAGGTGTGTTCAAGTAAGTGGACAAGTCCAAGTGTTAAGAAAAGAAGTCAGAAAAGTCCAAGTGGATTTGTTTACTGCTAAGCGCCCCGGGCAACGAGACCCCGCTACGAACTTCGTTAGCACAATATAATGTCATGGCCTCCAGGCCCAACATACGAGCCCTAACCTAACGAGGTAAGATACATCGGTTCAAAGCGTTAAATCTGGATATAATACTGGTTTCAAGTGGTCTCGAGGCAGGAAATGCAGGCCGATCTGGCAGACTTAGTGCGATCGGAGTCAATGCGGGTCTGTGCAGTTTCATATCTATAAGAACTAAATGATGCAGATAGAAATAGGCCAAGGTATATCATATAGCATGGATCCTAGACATGAGTCCTTACACATATCTAGCGTCACTGATGGTCTGCCTAGTCAACACACTTCCCGTTCAGGATAAAGTGGCCCGCGTATCCCGCGTCTCCCTCGCGTTCAGCCTCATCCCTGCTTCAACCACTCACGATGCCCTTTTGATCTCTAATATCCCCTGTCCGATTTTAACGTAAGCTCGTGGTGAGCTTCCCAACTCCACAATGCAGCATTCGCAGCTTGCCCCGCTCCCAAACGACGTGCCGTTTCGCATCGTGTCCAAGACCATCGGCCAAGGTGCCTATGCCTGGTAAGGCAGTATCCTATCTTCGCCCAAAGCCAGATCTAACGTGTCTTGAACTCTCATAGTATCAAGAAAGCCTGCCCACTCGATTCAGATAACCCCGTCTTCGCAGTCAAGTACATCCACAAAGATTACGCCGCACGCCACGGGAAGATCAGCGCAAGACAACTCCAATTGGAGGTGACGGTACACAAGCATGTCTCGGGCCATAGGAATATCATCAATTTCTACCAGACAGGCGAAGACAGCGTGTGGCGTTGGATCGCCATGGAGTTGGCTGAAGGCGGGGATCTCTTCGATAAGATCGAGGCCGACGAAGGTGTGGGCGAGGACATTGCCCATGTCTATTTCTCCCAACTCGTCAGTGCCGTGAGCTTCATGCACTCCAAGGGCGTGGGGCACCGCGATATCAAGCCCGAGAACATGCTGTTGACTGGGGACGGAAACCTGAAGATTGCGGATTTTGGTTTGGCCGCGCTGTTCGAGTACAAGGGGACGCGGAAACTCTCTACCACGTTCTGTGGGAGTCCTCCGTATATTGCACCTGAGGTCATTACCAGCAGTACCCGGGGTCCGAACAAGGGAGCTGGATATCATCCCGACCTGGTTGACATCTGGTCTTGCGGGATTGTGCTATTCGTCCTCTTGGCGGGCAATACGCCATGGGACAGTCCTACAGACGATAGCTTCGAGTTTCACGAATATGTAGCAACAAATTCACGAACAACCGATGAGCTTTGGCAGAAGTTACCACCAGCCACGTTATCACTGCTACGTGGCATGTTGACAGTTGATCCCGAGAGTCGATTCTCGCTGGAGGATGTGCGGAGACATCCCTGGTACACGCGTGCGAACAAGTTTCTTTCCACTGGTGGCAAGCTGAGGGATCCCATCAATCTTGCTACATCCATGTTCGAGTCGCTTCATATCGATTTCAGCCAGGACCCCCTGTCCCAGTCGAGGAAGGGAGCTAGTCGCAGCTTTGACCAGATGGATATGGATGTTGATGACAGTGCAAACGCGGGAGGATTGCCCTCAACGCAGCCGGAGATGCTGGGCGGTGGCATGTTGATGGACTGGGACAACCCGCAGGAACCCGATGTCTTCTCTTCAACCCAGCCTACTGGGAAACAATTCGCCTCTCAAGATGCAGTTATGGCTGGCCATCTCGAGGACGAGCCGTCCATGTCGCAGTTCTCACAGCAGCCTTCAGTGCCAGTGAGCCGCACCCAAAATGCACAGAAGTTCCAGGATATTGTTCCCTCACGCCCAATGACCCGTTTCTACTCTGCTTGGGAGCTCAAGCTTCTCGTACCTCTCATTTGTGAGGCACTTCATCGACTGGGAGTCCCAGTACCAAGTGTCCCTGCTGTGACTGCGGGAGACAGTTCTGCCATGATTCGGGTGATTGCCAAGGATGGCAGGATGTGTCCGCTGCAGGGCAAGGTACTCATTGAGTGTGTCTCGGAAGGCGTGTTCGAGGTTGAGTTCATCAAAATCAAAGGCGATCCGCTTGAATGGCGACGTTTCTTCAAAAAGGTGGCCATTCTCTGCAAAGAGGCTGTTTTCCGACCAGACGAGTAACAGTGTTGCATGCCATATACTGTCATCTTGCTCTTTTGTTCTTCTATCTCCCCTTTTTTTGTGGATTTATTTTACTCTTAATGTACGAATTATGACTGATTGATGGTGGGAAGATTGGGCCAGGCTGGAGTTTGGCTGTGGGAAAGGAACACCTCATCATTCGCATCTGTTTATGTTTAATGTGCACATAGCTTGAATCATAGACGTGATTTTGCATTTGAGTTGCGGCTAGAACCAATAGTTCGATCCAGGGTTGAGCACGAGCTTAAATCTAGTCACAACGTCCAGTTGTTTACTTTCATTGTTTTCGAAACCAGTGGACCTGTCGGATAAATCTCCCGAGCTTACTCTTCTAATGTCTCAGATCCCAAAACGTCACTAGCCTATCACTCCCATCTCTACATGTATACTCCGTACTCAAGCCCAATCCACGTGACGGTCTGGACTCGCAGATCATCGCGGGGGCCAAATCGACCAGAACCTCATCAAAGGACCTCACCCCTTCCCCAATGCAGTTGTCCCCTCGGCATGGATAAGCTGCCGGTAGAGATTCTATCCAAAATCATCGACCGTAGGCACCTCCCCCGAACTTCCCCGGCCAAGAGCTGATCGGAAAATCAGTCCTCACCCCGCGAGAGAAGGTCCAGCTCCAATCCATCAATAAGAAATTCTTTAACCTCGCCCGCGATAATAGTCAGTGGCGACTGCACTGCTATGACCAGTCTTTGGCTGCCCGCCAGGCTTCCCGCCCGGCCCGCATGTCCGAGAGTCAGCTTTCCGATGCGACGGCGTCGCTGACCAACTTGGGCCAGGACTCGCTGCGTGATTTGATCCAGCCTTCTGTGTCTGGTTCTTATGCAGACTTTGAGGATCGGGATTTGTCTTGGGGTGAGAGGGCCCGGGCGGCGACTGATTGGGACTCTTCTGCCAGGGGAGAGCATGTTGATTGGTATTCGGAGTATATTGCTCGTCAGGGTCCTATTTCGTTGACATGGACTCAACAGCCGTCGGTCCGTCAGGGCAACGGGAAGAATGGGCAGGCCTGTGAGGTTAAGGGCATGGGCCTGCTTAAGGATTGGAGTTCGGCGAGACAGAATAAAATCGTCGCTCCGCTTGAGGATGGCAGTGTCTGCATTTGGGATTTGAATCATTCGCATTCTGCTGACTCACAGGCAAGAAAGGGCAAGATCCTTGGGATAAGTGAGCCGGGGTTGCTTATGAAAAACCTGTCTGGACGCCGTGATCATTCTCCTTCTAAGTCTTCGTTGGACTTCATCAACCTGGGTGAAGGCGTTAGTGTGGACTCGCTACGGCAACGAGCATACCTTGCAATTGGAAATGTCCTCAATGAAGTCGACTTAGAGACATTGAGAGTAATCTCTCAGCAGCGCTATCCATGGTCGATTTTCGCCCTTTCACAGGAAACAGATTACTCCGTGCCTCTGACACTAGCAACAACGCTGAGCCTGCAAATATACGACGCCAGACTATCCGCCGTCGAGGAAGAAGAAGCAATCAGCTCGCGATGTGAAAAGGTTCTTGGCCCAACCGCCTCGGATTCGGGCATCTTTGCCCACTCCGATTTGCCCTTACTCAAACTCCAACCCAATGGACAGCCACCCAGACGCATTCGCAGTCCAGAACCCTCAGAACCAGGAGCCAACTATGCACCCCTTTTCCAGCCAGGCCCTCTTTCTATCCTGCATCCGCCAGCTCCTCATGTAAACACCATTCTCCTCGCAGGCCGCTTCCCCAGCATATTATGCTACGACCGCCGTTTCTTCCCACGGTTACAGACCACAGTCCATTCCGGAGGTCGATTATGTGGTCTGGCCTCCGTCCCAGCGCCCCGGTTCCCTGTCTTCTCAGATAACACTTATCCAGAATCCCACTCCGTCGTGGCATGTGGCGAATATAATGGCCGAGGCTCATTAGAGCTATACAGCCTGAAGTCAGAATCAGAAAAGGACTACAGTCCCTCGAACATGACATCGAACCTCAATTCGGAGTACAAAAACCGTCAGAGCGCCGCCAGTTCCAAATTGCTTTCTGTTGGCTCCCACGGAAATCGCATCGTCTTCTCCGACACTGAGGGCAATATCAAATGGACTGAGCGAGACGGTCGTTCAGAGGTCCGTCGTTGGAATATCAATACTTCCCCCCTTCAGATCCCATTCGGTCGTCGCAGTCGACAGCCAGCATCTGGACAAAATGATCACGACGATGAGCCTCGTGGTCTCTGGCCGGGCTCCCACTCTCCAGGCAATAATGAGGTCGCCCGAAAGGTTCTACCCACGGGTGGTAATCTCACTGGGGATGAACTCCTCATATGGACCGGTGAGCGGATTGGTCGGCTTAAATTCTCAATCCCGGCGGATTATGAGATGGAACTTGATGACGGCTATGAGTCTGAGGACGATGTGTTTATGCATGCTGAAGTCGATGAGGCTACTCGCGAGGTTATGCGGAATAAGCGTCGTGATGACTGGGAAAAAGAACAGAGGTATGAGGATACTATGCGGCGTGCCCTCGAGAGACAGGCGGATGAGGTGCGCTGGATGGGGAGTCGAGGGTTGGGGTTGAGTTGATACACTATCATTTAATTTGTTCTAATACCCTAAAATCTGATTTTCCTCTCTTCTTTCCAGTTTAATCCAATCCTGTAGGCTGGATCATGTATAGTGGCTTTAAAATTTGAAACACTGGCTGCCTACCTAGGCCGTCAATTCCTGTAGGCTAGATATGTACTGCTGGCATATAGTGAATCAAACCATTAATACTACACTGTAAATAGTCAATTGCCCGCAGTCGAAGCCCGAAAAGACACCAAGTAGGGCTTTATAGACCTCGGAGGAAGGATTTCCCTATTTGGTCCCGAGGCTTAACAATCCGTCGGGTCCGGCTCCCCGCGCATCACGAGCATTTCTAATGCGCTTGTCAGCCGGTGACTCAGGTTCTACGCGATTCTTCTTTTTCTTTTCACACGTTGCATCTTGCTTTCTTTCCAGTTCTCACCGTTCACTTTGTGTAATCTTTGTACCTTCCGTTCGGTACTACCTACCCACCTTGCAATTGCGCAGTGAGGGGCAAAAGTGCCAATCCATACTCCGATCACAATGCCTTCCCCCGCGGACATCGCACACCAATTCGACTCAATTGAGGACACAATTGCAGCCTTTAGTGAGTCCTCCTTATACTTGGACATTTTCCTTTCCTATCGCGGTCTTAATCCGCTCGCGGGGCACTCCAACATATAACTGACTGTGACGCATATAGAGAATGGAGAATTCATCATTGTCCTTGATTCACAAGATCGCGAGAATGAAGGCGACCTGATCATCGCCGCTGAGTCCATCACAGCCGCGCAAATGGCCTTCCTGGTCCGTTATACGAGGTAAGAGCGCCACCCAACACCGGGATTTTGCATGAAATGCCTACACAATATGACCCCTCCTACTTATCCCCAACCCCGCAACGGCACATAATCACTACAAGTGAAATACTTTGGACAAACCAGATCAAACGAACTGACTCTGGTAGTGGTTTAATATGCGCCCCGATTACCCCGGACCTCGCCACCCGCCTCGCCCTCCCACAAATGGTAACCGAAAACGCCGACCCCAAGTGCACAGCATACACAATCACAATCGACTCCAGCGACGACTCGGTAACGACAGGAATCTCCGCCGAAGACCGCGCACTGACATGCCGAACGCTGGCCTCGCCCACCGCGCAAATCGACTCTTTCCGCCGGCCGGGACATATCATCCCACTGCAGGCGCGTCCTGGTGGTGTACTCGAGCGGACGGGTCACACCGAGGCTGCGGTGGACTTCTGCAAGCTGGCTGGGAAGGCGCCGGCTGGTGTGATTGCGGAGCTGGTTGAGGATGGGGAGATTGTTGAGGGGGTTCCTGAGGTTTCGGGGAATAATGGCATGATGCGGAGGGATGGGTGTTTGCGGTTTGGTAAGAAATGGGGGATTAAGGTGTGTACTATTGAGGATTTGGTGCACTACTTGGAGAAGACTGAAGGGTCTGGTGTTGCCAATGGGAAGCATTGAGGGTTTGGTTCTTTTCTATTGATTTGTCCTAGGGTTGCTTGTCATTTGGGCGCCTTTGCTTTTGGAGCTTTGTGTGTTTTTGGGTACCTTGTACATCACTACGCCTTCTCCTTGATACCTTTTCGATGAAATGAATGCATTTACATAGAGTCGTGGTGTATATCGACGACGTAGATTGTGGACCGGACAGTGGCTGATCGCAGAAAGGGCATTGCTAGTGTATTTGGGTATCTATCATTTTCGGCGTGTAATGTACAAAGGGCAAATGCCAGATCAGAAGTGTAAATGTCAAAGCCGAGATACCATGCGGTGACGGCAGTCACGCACGCTCTCTTCAAACGCCAATGCAATGCAATAAAGAGCCCACCTTGATCGGGTCTCAGTTTTCCACTGGAGCAGGGGAGCAAACGAGCCAGGCGAGGGCCTTGCAGCTTTCTGGGCTAGGTCCACTACCGCTTGAGGTGCGAATAGTCCCTGAGAATGCCCATCATGTGAGTGTTGGTCGTCTTGCCGCTGCGCCGCGGCTTCTTGACCTTTTTATTTGGCGCTGCGACTCGAGGCCCGACTACCTTGTTTTTGTTGGTGGGCGTAATGCCTGCCTTTTCGAGTTCCTCCTTGACCGCTGGCGCATCCGGAACCCTGATCTTGTACCAGATTTCTTTGAACTCATCGTCGAAGTGCTCGATCAGCGATGGATCGTTAGCCCAGACCATCTTGGGATGGTCGTCCTTCTTGTTGCGAGTCACGAGTAATTTCCCTTGTTTCTCCAATTGGTTGATTTCCTCCTCGACGGTTGGCCATCCCTCCTTGAGCTCCCGGACACTCATTCCGGCGGCAGTGGATTGAGACTGAAGTTTCTGGAGCAGTTGCTCGGCGTTTCGAATGTTGTGGAGAGGGCGGAACCTGAATGTGCCTTCGCCGTTTGCGCCGCTGGGGTCAAATTCAACCTTTTCGTGGTTCTGGAGAATGCGTCGAAGAGCTTGAACGTAGCCTTGGTCGTGTGCACGGTGCTGAAGAGAGAGATATGATACGATATCACCAAACTTGAGGGGGGTATTCTTGGACTTCATATGCTCGATCGCAAACAACACCTGCGTCATAATATCCTTGCCCGTGCCGGTGTTCGCTGGCTGAGAGTAGACGATGTCTGCATCGTGACGTTTCTTTTTAACTTCGCTAGAGGACGAGGGGGTCGGCGCAGACGATGGGACCTGGGAGCTGCCGCCGGAGGCTGGCTGGTTATTGACCACACGTCTTTGCTGAGGCATCCGGTTCGCCGACTCCATCACACTGGCGTTGAAGTTCTTCAACTGGTTCTGAAGATACGACATTGTTGCGACGACGGATCAAGGATCAGTGAGGCCGTGGAGATGAATGAAAGGAAGCTTGGTTGACAACCGGGTATTGCCTCGGGTTGACCTAGATCAAGGTCGAGGATTCAAAGGAAGCTCAGCATAGGAAAAGGCCTGTGGATGATGTTTGAAAGGGAAAAAGAAAATGAGCCACAGGGGTAGAAGAAGGCGCAGATAACCCTGTTAGACTAGAAGCAAGTGGAAGTCATGGAGAGATGAGGCAGACAAAGAAGGTCACATGACCCGGCGGCGCTAAACCACCTTTGACGAACGCAACCAAAGCGCGGAACTGGACGCCCTTCCTCTCACTCCACCCTTTCATTCAATTCTTTTTACTTCCCAACCGTGCGATCCAACTTTCCTTTCTGGATCGTCATGACCTGAAGCTTCCTGCAAAGCGCCGTGTGTACTCGTCTCTGAACAGTACACAGCGCGTCCACCCTCGGAGGCTCAGCTTTAGCTTGCACCGCGTTTTCGTCCTTCTTGATTTCGCCGCCACAACAGCTTATTGCTGTTGATACTTCGATACCATGGCTGACATCGCCGTCCAATTACCATATTTGTCATCTCACTTTTCGGTTCCTGAGACCACGCTTACGAGCTTGACACAGGCCCCGACGGTGGAGCTTGTCAATCAGCTTCTGCAGTCCCTCACCAAAACGGCCCATGAGTATGACGAGCTCAAATCCGACAAGCGTCGCTTGGAGGTAGAGCTTGAAGCTGCTGTACGCAGCAACGAGTCTAAGGTTAAGGCTCTCAAATCCAATGTGGACAAGGAACACAAAGAAGTCGAGGAGCTCCGCAAGAAATTGCATGAATCTGGTATGAATCTTCTCTCTGTCCCTGGAGAGCTCTATGTTGACTTATAGCAGAAACCACCCGCGCTTCACTGGAAAAGGAAATCTCGACATTAAGATCTTCATCCACATCAAACGAATCCGACATTACGTCCTTGAAATCTCGCATCTCAACCCTTGAGACCTCGAACAGAGACACGCTTGCCCTACTTGAATCCAAGTCCACGGCCTATGACGAATTGGCGCAGGAGCTTTCGGTTCAGCACGAGAAGACCACCGACCTGCGACGCTTACTCTCAAAGGCGGAGCAAAATGTCCAGGATGCAAGTTCGGAGTCTGCTCGTGCACGTTTCCGCGAACAAAATCTTCAACAAGAATTGGATCTCACCAATAAGAACAACGAATGGTTTGAGAATGAATTGAAGACGAAATCAGCCGAGTACATCAACTTCCGCAAGGAAAAAACTGCTCGAATCTCGGCGCTTCAACATGAAAATGAAGAGGCAAACTCGACCATTGATCAACTGAGACGCAGCGAGAACTCACTCAAAAGTCGTTTGGATGAAACGGAGCAGCGGTACGAGGAGTCTCTGGCTACCATCCAAAAGTTAGAGGAAGAAGCCATCCAAGCAACCGAATCTTTCCGCATCGAGCTCGATAGCTCCAATCGACTTGCCGAGTTGCAAGGATCTGCTGCGCAGATGGCCAAACAACGGGCACAAGAGTGCCAACTCGCCTTAGAGAAGGCGAAACATGACGCGGCGCAAGAAATTTCACGCCTGCGTGTGGAGCTTGAAACCGAGACGAGCGAGAAGAATACTGCCGCATCTCGCATTGCTGAGCTTGAGGAGGTGATGGCGCAGATCGAGTCTGAGACAGCCAGAGGTAGATCTGCAAGCCCTGCTCGTTCTCTAAATGGAGCCGGACCTAGCACTCCGATGCGTTCCAGTACTATGCGATTCGGCACTCCTGGAAGTACATTCTCACCGCGCGCCTCCCGTGGCAAGGGTGGGTTGACAGTCACTCAAATGTACGCTGAATACGACAAGATGCGAGCTGCCTTGGCTGCAGCGGAGAGAAATAACCAGGAATACCGAACCACTATCGACGAGATGGTGTTGGAGCTGGATTCGACTAGCCCTGACATCGCGCAAAAGGACGCAGAAATCAACCGTCTCAACCAGGCTGTGTTGGATATGTCCGCTCTGAATGACACGGCCAACAAAGAACGGGATCATTCATTGAAAGAGGCACGGAAGTGGCAGGGCCAGGTCGAAGGCTTGGCCCGTGATGGCGATATCCTTCGCCGTCAGCTTCGGGATCTGGGTTCTGAAGTCAAAGTACTTCTCTTGGAAGTTGCTCTTTTACAAAAGGGCGAAGAATACGATCGCGAGGAGCTTGAGAGAATTGCACGTGGTCATGTGGAAGAATCTGATGCGGATCTCAACGCCACTGGCCGCTTTATCAGCCAAAACCTGACAACTTTCAAGAATCTCCACGAACTTCAAGCGCAAAACGTCAAGCTTCGGCAAATGTTGAGAGATCTCGGTGACAGACTGGAAGGCGAAGAGGCCCGTGAGAAGGAGGCCGCGAGACTAAACGAAATCGATGAACTCAAGGAACTCCGGGTCCGAGCCCAGACAAACTCAGACGAGATTGCCAACCTCACTGCGCAAATGCAAAGTTACGTCAAGGAGCGAGACACCTTCCGCAGCATGCTCATGCACAGAAAGCAGAACATCACCGAGCAGTCTGTGTTTTCGCAGTCCGTGCCGCTCGGTGGTTCTCCCGGCGCTGGTGAAATCCTAGGACAAGACAATGCTGAGATGCTCAGCAAGGTCCAAGCTCAATTCGATGCCTACCGCGAGGACACCAACGCAGAGCATACTAAACTCCGCCAGCAGGTCAATGAACTTGCTCACGAGAAGAGTAAGCTCCTGTCCGAGATCACTCGTCTCAATGGCGCAATCACTGCCTCCTCACGCCGCGAAGAGCTACTTCGAAGTGAAATGAACATGCACCAAAGCGAAAAAGCTATATTACAGGAGCGCAATTCTCAACTCTCTGAAAACGCAATACGCCAAGGAAACCAAATTCGTGAAGCTGCTGAGAATCTTATTGTTGCCGACGGTAAACAAGAGGAACTCCAGAAACAGTACGCACAACTGAAAGCGGAGAAGGACCGTTTGGAAATGGCCGAAAAGAGGTACAAAGATGAGGTGGAAACTCTCTGGACTCAGAAGGATGCTTTGCAATCATCGAACACAGAGCTTCAGATTCACATTGCGGAACTCAAACAAACTGAACAACGATTGGAAGCCCTCGAATCCAAGCTCAAAGACACAAAACTCAAACTCAAAAACAAGGACGAGGAGTTGGAGAAGCACGCTCTGCGCCGGGATGGTGAACATGAACAGTCTCAGAAGCAAATTAACGACCTGATGACTAGCTTGAGTTCAGTCCGCGAACAGCTTGTTGCCACGAAGACAACCCGGGATCACCTACAAGCCCGCGTGAATGAACTCACTGCCGAGCTGAAGAGTGCCGAAGAGCGCGTGCGAGTCTTGCCGTCGCAGCCTAGTGTTTCTGCCGGCCTCGCCGAGACCCCCGTTGTGGTCCAAGAACCTGGCGAAGGCAATGACCTGACTCCGGAAGAGGAGCTTTCTCTTCAAGTTTCCAAGCTCAAGCGTGAACTAGAGTCAGCAAACGCTGAGCTTGTTCACGCCAACCAATTGGCTCAAGATTACCAGGCCATCAGCCAAGATACTGAAGAACGCCTAGAGTCTGTCACCGAGACACAGGAGCAGTACCGCCAAGAGACCGATGCCCTTATCAAGGAGAAAGACGAGATGATTCAGGACCTCAAAAATCGAATCGATGAAATTTCGGCTGAACTGACGGACGCCAACTCTGAGATCTCTCAGCTCAAAGAAAAGCAAAGTGAGGCCAGTCGTCACCTAGAAGAACGGGAGGCGCATTTCGAATCGGAGATCACTCGCCTCAACCAGGTTATTGAAGGCCATGTTGCTGCAGCACAATGCCACGAAGAGGATATGAAGGCACAAGCAGAAATCTCCGACCTTGCCCAGCGAAATTATGACCAGGCCCAGCAGAAGTATGAAAGGGAATTCGTCGAACATGCCGATGCCGTTCGAAGCCTCCAAGCAGTTCGTGACGAGGCCAATGATTTGAAGGTTCAGATCGTCACACTGAAAACGCAGACCGAAACCTACAAGAATGACCTCCTCCAAAAGGAGGAGAGCTGGAAGGAGCAACAAGCCAAGCACGAGGTTGATATTAATGAGCTGAAAAAGCGCCGGGAAGAGATGCAGAAAGAGAACACCCACCTCTACACGCTTCTTGAGAACCACAAGAGCCAGAACTTGGCATTGCGGCGCCGGGTCGAAGGTTCGGATGAACTGCCGGAGGGTGACCAGGTAACTCCCGATACCGAAACTGAAGAAGCCATCATCGCTTCCTTGCAGAACCGGCTGTCGATTGTTCAGACCGAATCCGACTGTACGAGCTTTGCAAAAGCCCGACTCGAGAAGGAGCTCCGCGGGGTGAATTCTAAGTTCCTTGCGCTGCAGTCTTCATATGATGTGGCACGCGAGGATCTCGAAAAGTTCCGCCGCGAAGCTGAAAGTCAGGCTCAAGAGGCGAATGACAAGCGTCAAAGAAGTATCGATGAGCTCAAAGAGTCCTGCGACAAAACCACCCTCCTCTTCCAAGATCAACTCAAGGAAAAGGAAACCGCACTTCAGCAAAAGTCAGCTCAGGTGGTTGAACTTTCCACGCAAATCGCACGCCATGAGTCCAGAATTTGCGAGTTGGAGGATGAGGCCGAGGCCAAGAATAGAGAACTGCAATTGCTGCAGGAAAACCGCGATCATTATGCAGAACTCGTTCAGAACAACTCCAACGGCGAGCTGGAGAAAAGGCTCACCACCCTTGAGAACGAGAGAAACACGGCTGTATCTGAACGAGATGCGCTTATGGCCGAACGAACTGGCCTTCAGGCCCAGATCACGGAGGCCGAGGATAAATTGAAGAAGGCCGAGGAGCAGTGGAAGAACAGACGAAACGATCTCATAGAGCAGGCCAAGGCACGTTCGAAGGATCAAACGTCTCGTATCAACAACATCTCAGCCGAGCTCAAAACGGCCTTGGAGGACAAGGAAGTCATTCAACAGGAACTGCAGATCACCAAGGCGGAATTGGAGACACTGAAGGCCGAAGTTGCCAAGACGCCCGTCGCGTCACCCGAATCCGCGCCCGCGCCCGCTGCTGCCGCTGTCAACCCCACCCCAGCTTCCCAATTCCCAACTTCCACAGTCTCAGTTTCCGTGCCTGGCGGAGACCAACGGGTCCAGGCCCTCGAACAGAAGATCCAAAGCCTCGAGCAGAAGATCCAACGCCTCGAAGCTGCCCTTGCCGAGAAGGAACGCGAGCACGATGCCAAGATCAAACAATACATCACTCAGCTGGCTGAAGCCAAGGCCGCTCATCGCCAGGAGATTGAGAAGCTTTCTGCCAGTGGACAGTCTGCTCCCGGTACGGCAGGTGGTATTACTGATCAAGCACCAGCAACGCCCTCGAAGCCAGAGGAAGATCTTGCAGATCGTTTGGCCAAACTGGGCGAGGCTGAAGCCTTACAGATCTGTAAAACGAACAAACCCATTAAAGATGTTATTGTCAAGTTCCTCCGCAACAAAGTTGAACAGAAGGACAAGGAACACGCACAAAAACTTGAACAGAATGATCAAGAATACAACCAAAAACTTGCAAGGAAAGACAACGAAATCAAGTTGGCCGGGCAGAAGCCACTCGTGCAAATAAGCATGCTTGAGAAAAGACTCAACAATGCGAATGCCAAGATTGATGTTGTGAAAAAGGCTGCCACAGAAACCCCAGAAAAAGCTGTGGCTAAAGTCTGGGAGGACGCACAGAAAGCCCAGCCTGCACCCGCTGCAAAACCAGCGGCAGCAACCACGTCCTCAACCCAACCTGCCTCTCCAGCACCAACCCCAGTCCAGCAAGCACCGGTGGCTCCTTCTTCGGCTGACTCTGTCCCTGTCCCTGCCGCACCGGCTCCAGCTGCCACCCCAGCTCCTCCTCCAGTTCAAGTTTCCCCTAGCCCTGCATCCGAACAGGGACAAGCACAGCCTGCCCCGAATCCTTCTGCCCAACTTGGTCAACCGCAAGCGGAGCAGAACCATCAACCCTCTAATCTGCCGAACAAACCTCCTGCCGGTAACCCACCGGGGTTGATGCGCGCTCTGCAATCAGGACTTCCAATTGCCAGAGGTGGACGTGGCGGCCGTGGCGGTGGTCAGCAATTTGGCCATGCTCAACAGAATGACCAGCAAGGTCAAAACCAGGCTCAGGTCCAACGTGGTGGGGGTGCTCAACGAGGCAGAGGCGGCCGTGGAGGGCAAGGTCGTGGTGGCAACCAAAGCACCAACGCCCAATCCCAAAACCAAAACCAAACCGCCAATGCCAATCGCGGGAACCTAAATGCCTCGGCTCGCCAGTTCATTCCGCAGGGCAACAAGCGCTCCCGTGATGAAGGCTCTGACAATGCCAACGAGGCTGCAAACGCCGGAAAGAGACAGAGAGGTGGCGGTGGACAACAGCCTCGCGGTGGGGGCTCATCTTGAGCAAATTCTTCACATTTCTTTTTTGTATTTCCAGTTTTATCTCATCTTTTCTGATCATTGCGGCATGAGCGCAGGGTTTCCTGCGCTTCTCAAAGTCGGTCTTGCGATGCAAAGAGCATAATTATTCCTTTGTCATGTATCTACTCCAGTGTATGGCGGCGTTTGTCGGTTTCTATTTTCAACTCTGTTTTCAAGAAACACAATAAATTATTGTAGACAGCTACAGGTGTGATAAATATAAAGTAACAGGGGTATCATTTGCTCGAAGACAAATCTACTAAACGAAATCTCAAGACCCAAAAACACCCAGATAAGAATCACTTTTTCTTCCCCCCAGCAGCAGGAACAAGCATCCTCCCCAGAACCTCCCTCTCTTTCTGCAAAACCATCAACCTCGCATCCTCAATAACCCTCCCCTCCGGCGCAGGAGCAGGAAGAGGCGCTTGCGTAATCTGCGCCGCGCCAACAACAGCGGGGCTCATGGCTTTCGCGCCACGCGCTCTCTTCCTTCGCTGTCCAGGCCCGGAACCCCAGACTACAACCCATTCACCGACAGGACCACTAGCAGCAACCTCAACGCCCGAACACACCTTCGAGTGAGACCCGATATCGGCACCACGGCGGATTATCGCGAGAGCTTCAATGCTAGCAGAAGAATGAACATGCGCACCCGGTTCGATGGTCGATAACGGGCCAACAGTAACGAAATATGAGATCCGTGTCGCGGCTTCTTTCTTTAAGTCCGTCCCTGTCCCAGATTCGGAGCTTGTTATGTTTGGATCTGCGGTTCTGGACGGCGACGGTGATCGACTCGATGGACTGGGCGCTGCTCCAATCACAGCTTTCTCGCAAATTATACAGCTATCACCAATGTATATTGGTCCCTCGTAGGCGTAAAATCGCGCGCGTGGGTGCACCACTGTCCCTGCGCCGATGGTCACTGGGTATGTGCCCTGGAAGACGACGGTATCGGCAATTGTGGCGGTGGCATCGGCTTTTAGGGGGCTTTTGGTGGACCAGAGCTGTGAGACGATGATGAGGAGCGGTGTGTGTTTGTTGGCGGTTTGAGCGTTGCCATTGTGGTTGTTGTGGGGAGAATTGTGTTTCTGCGGAGAGATCATGATGCGACAGCTTCCCGGCGGATCATTTAGTCAGCTCCATCACCTGCAACAATGGGTGGCCCCTTGGCAGGCAGCTCCTATAGTTTGCTGATTTCTATCTATTGATGGAAAGAGGGTTCAGATGTCATATTATGTGGGCTTGATCAACTTTAGGTAACTAATCAATCTAGTTCACAGTCGATCCAAAGACAATATCGCGGCTATAAGGATCAGCAGAAACCCCCCAGTGACAGCAATTCGATGCAAATTTGTACATACATCGGTCTGCTGGGTCGTAAAAATAATAAGCCCCGTGTATTAACACATTTCAGGCTGGGTATCTAAATCTAAACTCGATATCTATAAATGCAACGCTAACAATCCCGCAAGTATAGAGCCTCCAAAGAGAAAGGACGGTCACTCATCCTCAACAGTCTTGTTCTTTATCCCATTCCTCTTCCTCCAAGCTTTCACTCCTCGATCAACCTCATCTCTTGTCATCCCATCCCTCACCAAGCAGAATGTGACCCCCAATTCCGTTTCCACATTCCGGTTCCGCGCCTCGTCATCGAAGAATAGCATATCCTCATAAGCGATTCCACTCGTCTGATGGATCCGCGCAAAGTGCGATGTCTTATTCCCAGGGAATATTTGAATGTGATCGAAGTAATCCAGTGCGCGAATGGTTTTGGCGTTGGCGGCGGGGTTATCGGAGAAGGTGGGGATGACGTGCAGGGCTTTGAGCATGTCGCGTGCCAGATCAGGAGCGTGCGTCCGAGATGCCAGGGCTAATGGGATTGAACGGTGTTTACAGGCATAGATTATCGACGAGACTGCTGGGTAGAAAGCAAAAGACTCACCCCACCTGTTTGAAGCGAAATGTTGGGGTTAGAAGTTGATTCCTAAGTTGGGGAATCTCCTAAACATTGTAGCCAGGGATAGAAGGCATACCGGTCCACGGTGCGTGAGTTGTTGTCTCGTGCTTTCACAGGGGCACTGACGTGCGTATCCACCCAGAAGGGCCAGAGAGTGTAGTCGAGGTCGAAGGCGATCAATTTCGGTAGTGGGAGGCCATCAGTGAAGGTCTCCGGCGCCACGGAGGCATCCTCCAGAGGGTGGGTGTTTTGACGCTTTGCTCGAAGCATGGTGTGAGTAAAGAATCAAAGTCGAAAGAAATGTTAAAGAATAGGAGAGAGGTGAACCATGGAGCTGGGAGGGACGAGCCGGGGTTGAGGCTCGGGAAGCACGTGCCATGGCTTGCATATCAAAAGTTATATGAAACTTGATCGATTGTTTTTCCTCGAAAGACTTGGACGATCTGACAACTGCTTTAGGGATCTCAATGATTATATTTTCGGTTGCTCCGTGGAACACAAACAAGACAAAGCGAATTAAAGCAATGAAAGCAGAGACCAAGGACTGCAGGTTACTTCACCGTCAGGAGGGCTGTAAAGGGGACGGGGTGATGCCTTAGTTAGAATCAGTCATTGATTATTATTCAGGCAGCCTATTCACGAAGAGTCATCGTTTTTAAGGCCTGGCGTAGCAGATGTGGTACCTGGGTCGACTCTTTATGCATTTTCTCCAGGACGCTCCTCTTTTCGTTCAGCGTATCAACACCGTCTAGCATGTGTCCCCTCCGGGTTTGCTCTTCGGTAGATTCCCCTAAGGCATCGCTACATACACTAACAGGAATTTTGATATTGCGGAGTGGTGATTGTACTATCTCAGAGCGCTTACATGTGTAGAGGCGAACCGTAGGGCTGTTTCATACCGAACAGGTGGGGCATTGATATCGTCGAGTAACATCCATACTATCTCGATTTTCCCTGGTCATGAAGCGCTCCTGATGGCCGCATCGTATAGATCAACTGGGTCATCAGAAATCTGATGCTAAAGTAATCTTTAAGCTCTGTACCTACTACCAAGCATGACAACTTTTGAAGATAGCGACGTGAAGATGGATGATCAACCGTATAGCTATTATTGTTCCAGGATGCTAAGGTCGAAGAGTGGTGCGAGGTACGGCTCCGGATATCTTGTCTGTGGTATAGTGTATATCGGATTGATTACGGGGTACATTGCAGGACATGGCGCCCCGAGACAAATGCCCCTTGAAATTGTCATATTACTGGAAGAGCGAGATACATAGATGTACGGTTTCGTTTAATGCCATTAGGATGGTTGTTATGTTCTTGGATATCTCTGAGCAGGGGCAGATGTAAAGCATGTACGAGGAGAGAGAGAAAAGATCACTCATGAGTGTCAAGATACAAAGCTGCCAATGGTGTATACGTCAAACACGGATCAAACTAGGCACAAATGTCCAGTTAAGTACCTAAATAACTTGCAAACGAGAAGAATGTTATTGATATCAAAAAAGTGAAAAACCAACTCCTTTAACCAGAAATGACGGACTGCGCCTATCACACTCTCGAAGCCTTCCCTTCAGTTTGAAGTATCCCGAAAACAAGTGATATGGTCGTGTTCGATTGAGAATCCGATTGGATGCGGGTCCCTTGAATGGCAGCTCACCTCGCCCCGCTTGATTTCTTCTCCACGATGTTGGCGCCTCATGACGCAAAGACACGGACCTTGAGATCAACACTACCAGTCGCCAGAACGCATCGAATAGACATCTTGATCGCGTTGGGGTCTTCTTTTGCAACACTTGATTTGCCAGCCTCTGCGCCGTTGGCATCCTCGATCCCGGTGTCCTTGATTAACGGGGGTGCCCATCGAATCGAGCTGACGAAATGGTCGTGAGCAGCAATGGTGCGCACACACTTGCATTCTTGTGTAAGATCCCAACAGCGCAAGGTCTTGTCATCGGACACCGATAGAAGGTATTTTCCACCGGGATGGAAAACCAATGCACGAACCCAGTTATCGTGCCCAACAAGAGTTTTGATTAAATTTCCACGGGCATCCCAGAGACGAATGCTCTTGTCACGAGATCCTGTGGCCACGAACTCGGCAGACGACGATGCGGCCGGGGGCTTTTTCTGTCCCGCAAGAGGGGCGAGGTGGGGATAACTCGTTGGTGGAGCGAAGGCAACACATTCGATAACATGTTCGTGGCCTAGGAATGTGGACTTAGTTTCACCGGAAGAAACATCCCACAGGCGAGGAACTTGGTCATCTCCCGCGGAGAAGAGGAAGCGACCATCGGGGGACGGCGCAACATCTCGAACCCAGGATGCGTGGCCCTGTAGGGTCTTGAGGCAGTACCCAGTTGTGACATCCCATATCCGTAGAGTATGATCGCGAGACGCCGAGACGAGTAGGTTTCCTGACATGGGAGATCCTGCCGCTCCGGATGGAATGAAACGCACTGCTGATACGCTGTGGTCATGTCCTGGCAGGGTTCGGATATTCTTGTATTCGTCCGCTGGGTCCCACAGCTTGATCGTTAGATCCGAAGAACAAGACGCAAGAAGGGTTCCGCCGCGCGGTCCTCCATAGTCAACATCTAATACTGCCCTTGTATGTCCTTTGATGGTCCTCTCCAGCTCACCCAGCTCCCAGTCCCAAATCTTGATTGTGGTGTCTTCTGAACCGGACGCGAGGGAGGAAAATATGGGGTGAAAAGCGACACATGTGACTGGTGAGCGATGCGATTCGAGATCATGGCGCGCTGGGGCTCGCGGCAGCCAGGATGCTGGGTCTTGGTTTCGTCGAGAGAGAGATGTGGGGGTTGCAGTGTCCAGCTCAGCCTGCAGTGAGGCGCATCGTGATTCTAAATCCATGATCTATACTAGAATGTATCATTAATAAACCGACGTTCTTGTCTTCAACGGTCTTCACACGCACCTTCTTCTGTAGGCGGACAACGCTCGTCCACTTCTTCTCCAGCAGGCCCTCATATTTCTTTAGTGTGCTGTCGTCCACTGTAATCGAGTCGCCGAGCTCTTCTCGTAGAGCAGCCGAGCTCTGAGGCAAGTTTGCAGATGCTAGATATGCGATGATACCTTTGTGCCTGTCGCAAGAAGCGAACATCAGCAATCAGAACCCCTAAATGAGCCGAGACGGGTCACCTGCAGCTCCTCCGCCTGGCGCGGAGTGAGAAACTGGCTCATAGTTGCAGCGCCTGTATGTGTGTTCCAAGCAATTTGCGCCAATTTCCCCGCGCATGTATTGTAGGCGTTTTGAATTGGCGTGTTCGATTTGGAAAAGTGCGATTGGGGCGGTGTCGGAGACGATGGGCGAGTGAGGGCGAATTGGCTGAATATTGGGAGCTAACAAAGAGCAAAAAAGGAGTCGAAAGATAGGTCTAAAGATGACTCAAGAGACAAGAAGACCATTAAAAAAGACAAGTAAAGAGAGGGAAAGAAAGAGAGAAGAAAAGAGAAGCCCACCGCGGGGTCACAACACACCCGTGCCAAGCCGCTTGTTTACTTCCCGATCTCCAACTGTTTATTTCTTCTCTCCACCTCCCTTTGATGCTTTCATCACTTTACTGAGACAACTCGATTATTCCATTCTTTGCTCAAACTGGTACGCTGGCACGCTGGCACGCTGGTACGCTGATACGCCTGAATTCTCGTTCGACCTTCTTCCTCTCCGGCACATTTCCGTTGAAGCGCAGACTGGACACCCGCAGCAGCGCTGACGTACCTCCTGTTTCCAGAGATTACAGCGGTTCGCTGTCACCTAGAGAATCGACGTCAGGATGGCTGACGGCGAAGAGGACTTCTCCTCCTTTCCTCTGGAAGAGCGGTTTGCTAATAAGGTGAGATACATGCTCCATCTCAAATCGATTAAACCCTATGACAATGACTGAGTTGTTTTATATAGAGCTGGAAAGTCCGCAAGGAAGCATACGGAAGTGCTAAAACAGTCTTTGAAAACACCGCCGATGAATCAGACCCGGCGTTCGTGCCATTCCTACGAGACCCCGATTTGTGGAAAGGGGTAGTCACAGACTCCCATGTTGCCGCACAGGCCGATGGTCTTGCAGCATACTGTGCTTTCCTCAAATTCGGAGGAACCCAGGCTTGTACAAGGTGCGTGTCATAGGTCTCAGCTGCAAGACTGGTTGGTCCGCCCTGCGTTTTACTGACAGTTCACACTTAGGAGCCGTGGATTTACGATTGGCCCAATCGCCGACAAATGTCTGCCGGCCCCAAAAGCTAAACCCGGTGCTCTAGAAGCGATCTTGTTATTTGTGAAATTCGACAAGGCCGATCCGGTGTTCGAGGCACTCGTGCCCCAACTCACACACAAACTACCTAAGATGGTCGCCGCCACATTCTCAGCTTTCACTGCCATACATCACAACTATGGATGCAAGACAGTCGACCCTAAGCAAACTTTAAAGACGCTACCAACCGGATTTGCCCATGCCGATAAGAACGTCCGTGTCGAAGTACAGAATCTTGCAGTCGAACTCTATCGGTGGCTCGGGGAGGCTATCAAGTCATTTTTCTGGGCTGGCCTTAAACCCACTCAACAAGCGGATTTGGAAAAGCTATTCGAGAAGGTGAAACAGGAACCACCGCCGCAGCAGATAATGTTCACAGCAGCGCAAGAATATGCCATGGCCAGCGCCTCCCCGGCAGCCGAAGATGGTGGAGAAGCAGCCGACACGGGCTTTGATGATGAGGGCGATGAGGAAGAGGTTGATGGGTATAACCTGGCAGATCCAGTTGATGTTATGTCCAAAATCCCTAAGGACTTCCAGGAACAAATGGCTTCCAAGAAATGGCAAGAACGCGTGGAAGCGTTGGAAGCTCTTCACAAGGCCATTGATGTTTTCAGAATCAAACCCGGTCCCTTCGATGACATTGTGCAGACGTTGGCGGCGAACGTTGGCAACGTCAACATCAAGGTCATGACTGGGGCTGCAAACTGTATCAGCAAGTTGGCCAGCGGTCTGCGCGGCGGTTTCCTCGCGAAATACCGTGGTGAGGTCATGAGACCCCTTTTTACCCGTCTGAAGGAGGTAGGTGAAAAGGCGAAGCCTGTGTTCGGCGCTTTGCAAGCTGTTTTCGAAACAGCCACACTTTCGGATTGTTTAGAAACAACTCTTGAATTCCTCAAGGATAAGAATCCACGAATCAAGCAGGGTACTAGCGACTTCCTGGTTCACTGCTTGGAAAAAACCAAAACGGTGCCATCCAAAGCAGAGCAGAAAGAGATCGCCGAGGCAGGCGGAAAACTCCTCCCCGAGTCAGCTCCGGCAACCCGTGAAGGAGGTGCTAAGATCCTGGGCACTTTGATGAAGATCGCGGGCGAACGAGCCACGTACGCGTATCTTACGGGTGTTGACAAGCTGGACAAATACAAACCAAAGATCGCCGAATACTTTGAGACAGCAAAGGTGGTCGCCAAGGAGCGCCCCAAGCCTATAGTGGCACCCCCAAAGCCCGCAGCTCCAGCTGGCAAGAAAGTTGTTGGCAAGAAGCCAGCCCTAGGAATGAAAAAACCGGCTCCTGCGGCTACTGCGCCTCCAGCGCCCGAATCTCCTGCTAAGGCTGCGCCCAGAGCCTTGCCTTCAAAGCTCGGCGGTGTTCCCAAACCTGGTGGTCTCCCCACCCCTGGGGCTGGCCTCAAGCTTCAAAGAAAGTTAGCTGGCCCAGGAAGCGCTGCCTCGCCATCGAGACGGGTCGCCGACCCCCCATCAGAAGACACAGCACCCCCGCCAGCTGCCCCGAAGTTTGGACTTGGTCGTGGTCTTGCTGGGCGTCCCATTGCGAAGCCATCAGCGCCTGTAGAATCCGCCCCAAGCCCGGTTTCCCCCGCCATGAACGCGATGTCGGCCGCTGATCGTGCCGAGTTGGAGGAACTTCGCATGGAGAAGGAAAGCTCCAGCCGAACAATTGAAGATATGAAGTCAGAGCGTTCGAGGCTCAATTCCACGATCACTGAGCTCCAGAACCAGAATGCACAGCTGATTGAAGATCACACCCGAGATGTTTTGAGCATTAAAGCCAAAGAGACTCAATTGGTACGGGCACGAAGTGATGCTGAAGCCGCAGAAGCGAATGTCCAAAAACAACAAAGAGAGATAGAACGCCTGAAGCGTGAATTGGCACGAGCACTTCGTGCATCTGCCATGAGCCCGCCAAACGCAACATCTGATACCGGCAGCATTGGTATTCCAGAAACCACCTCGTCGATTTATCAAGAACCCACCGGAAGCGCACATGCGTTTGCACGAAACGGTCTTCACGCGGGATCCCGCTTCGAGAGCGCGCGTCCTCGCAGCATTGTCTCTGCTAGTCCAAGCGAAGAGAAAGAAAACACCGGTCTGGAATCCCCAGGGTTTGGCAGTCGAGATGGCGGCCTCGGCCGACGCAAGTTGAGCCCTACATATGGCTACTCGGGCATTGCCAGTCCGACACGCTCATCCACCCGGAACTCTAACACCAACCTCACAGAAGACGACCAACAACAACCCAGACCTACTGAGCCAGCTGAAAACTGGAAGCGGGCAGCGGAAGTCACCAGTCAACTGAAGGCGAGAATTGAACAAATGAAGGTAAGCATATACTCTATGCGCTTGTTGGTATGCAAGACTAGTATCTAACTTAAAAGACAGGTACGACAAGGGCTTTCACGACAACCCGCCCAACGTTAATGACCGAATGACCTTGATCACGTTTATGTCCCTCGTCTTTTTTATACTCCATTTTTTTTTTCCTTGCCTGCCTTGATTTGCTTCAACTTGTGTTTTAAACGGGCTCTCTTGGTGCCATTGTCTCTATCTTAAAACCGGCGATGAGTATTTTCTGTTTCTTCTATGGTCGTCTGGGAGCACAGGGTCGGATTTCTGGGTTTCTTTCTGTATTTTTTTCTGCGTCTGCATTTGCCGTGGGCCTTTGGGTCCCTGTAATTTCATCATACGAGCCTTGTCTTCTTCCCTTATTCTTATTCTGATCCTCAACGGTTGGACAGTTTGTCCATCTGGTGGGAAATGAAGTGTTTGGTTCGCCATTGCTATGTTCTGCTATCACTTCCCGTTCGTTCTTCAATTTTTGATGTACAAACCTCCTCCTGTGATATCGCTAGTTGCTTCTTACTTCGATTGTTCTTCGGTTACTGTCTGCCATGAAGTTGGATCCTCTTATATCACTCTCATTCGGGGCTTGTGGTTAGAAGGATGGTTGCATTATGTACCTTAAGATACCCGAGTTGGACAGAATGGGTTTAGGTTGAAACCAGGAATAGGAAATGGATTGTTTTGGCCAACTGACTTCATCTCCTGGGCAAAATGTAAAGCGTATATATATACAAACGTTAGAAATGAGTGTACAGCTTCCTGAGAGAATCTTACTCTTACTCCCCTCTAAACAGTCCAATTCTTAATCCTTCTTAGGCTATCTTCATGGCTTTCTTTGAGTAGGCTGTTGAAATATGTTGATACACCATCGAAAGCGGCGCCTGATAACTACATGCAGTCTTTCTATGGTGAGTTCATAGATATCAATAGCATTAAGCATGACAATATACTAGCTATATAAAGTAGACAACCAATTTTGTAACTATCATTGCTTCTAGAAGAAAAACTTGAAAAAACAGTGCTCCGCGCAGCTCCGGATGTCTTGTGTAGTTGTGTGGTGCCCAACTCATGGAACACGACTGGGCCAAGGCTCTTGGGCCATTCTTTCCGTGGTGGATACAATCTCACAAAATTTGCAAAAAAGCGTTAAGTTGGCACTTAGCTACTGCCCGGAAGTAAACATGCAGGTCATACATTTACAACTACACATACGAAGCAGACGACATGAATGCCTAATTCAGATGGGACTATATGAGCCATCAATAGAATTGAACAGGTAAAAATGCATTCATGGGTATCTGCAGAAAGTGGTACATGGGGGCCATTGGAGTTCGTAAGAGAAAAAATTTGTCTTTTTTGTTAGAACAGGATCCAAAAAAGGCCCAAGGGCTCTTTCGCACCCATCTAAAGCTAAAAGAATCGGCCGTCAATAAGTCATCCAGAGCCTTGAACACCTTAATTGTTTCCCATTAAACTTTTTATGAGAGCCGAGCGCTTTTTGAAAAACGATCCCGTCAAACAGACATCTCGGACCAAGCTGTAGTTACACAAGCTTAGACCTTGATGGCGGCCTCGAGAGCCTTCTGCTTCTTCTCAATGCGGGCGTTGGCCTTGGAGCCCATGATACCACCACCCCAGTGGCGGCGGGAGTCCTCGTACTTGTCGGTGTAACCCTCCTTGATGGCGGAGAGGAGCTTGGCGAACTCGGCCTTGTCCTCGGAGCGGGTCTCAGTGAGAGCCAGGACGGCGGAGGTCTTCTTGTGGACGACGGTACCGAGACGGGCCTTGCCCTTGACGATGGCGTAGGGGACACCCATCTTGCGGCAGAGAGCGGGCAGGAAGACAACGAGCTCAATGGGGTCGACATCGTGGGCGATGAGGACGAGGGAAGCCTTCTTGTTCTCGACCAGGCCGACGACGTGGTTGAGACCGTACTTGACGTGGTAGGGCTTCTTGGAGACATCCTCCTTCTTCTTGCCCTCGGAGACGGCGGTAGCCTCCTGGACGAGACGCTCCTTCTTCTCGGCCTTGGTCTCAGGGCGGTACTTGGAGAGGAGCTTGAAGGTCTGGGCAGCGGTGTTGCGGTCCAGAGTGGCCTGGAACTGAGCGATTGAAGGAGGAACCTTCAGACGCATGTTCAGGATCTTCTTCTGGCGCTGAAGACGGACATACTCGGGCCACTTGACGAAGCGGGACAGGTTGCGCTTGGGCTGGATGTCCTGGCCGATGCCGAAGTTGCGGGAACGCTTCTCAATGAGAGGGTTCTGTTGCGAGTAAGAGGGGTTAGTGTCTTCAAGACTCAATGCACTCCCAGTGGAAAGAGAAAACTAACCTTGGCGGCCTTCTTGCCAGCACCAGCCTTGCCCTGGGGGTAGGGCATGGCGGCGGTCTTCTTTCCGGACTTAGTGGGAGGCTATCATTGAGAAAAGAAGATCAGCGTGCTGTCCACCGAATGCTGCATCTTCTTTGAACTCTAAGGAGAGCGATGAGCCAAGCCTTGTTACGGGCATTGGACTCATGCTTCCAGCCAAATCATCACACGATACAACACATCTCTTTCGAGGCTGCGTGCGATCGGCGGAATTGCTTAGATATCAAATCTGAAGCAGTGCGAATGTGTTTTACGACATTGCGGGAACTAGTATCTCTGATAGAATATCAAGAGACATTCAGGTACTCACCACCATGTTGTCGACTGGGATCGTTGCGCTGGTTGACGATTGACGGATGAGAAAGGAAAAAGTTCGAGTGGATGCAACTTATGAATTTGTCGTGGGTCGCGCTAGCGCGATCAGGTGATCAGGGCTAGGGTTAGCGCTTAGGGCAGACCCACTCGGTCATGTGACAATCACCTGATATCAGACTGCCATTAGATCTACAGGAACAAATTGTTAAGACAGTCGTTATTTTGGGTATCTGATGCTCTCCTTTATGAAGCTCCATATTTTCATAGGGTGTATCGTCTCAGGTCACCAATTACTGAATCTCATAGCCACCATTCCCGTGCCCCGCTAAAGCAAGTCTTATTACATAAAACTGAACGCCATAGATAACTTAGACCAGATCAGATCGCATGATCATCAAAGTTATCCTATGCAACAAACCCACATGTATAATTACCAGGAAAACCCAATCACCGCCATGCCCCCAGTCCAGGCAAAGCACCCCGTCCCAAACCAGCACTAGCAGCCTGAACAGCCTTCCTCTTACCCAGCGAGCCCTCCTGGGCGCGAACACCGGCAATAATCTTCTCAATATGCGTCTCAACCACAACACCACCGACAATCATCTCGCCCAGCACAGCATGTAGCGTCTCATACCCAAAGATCAGATCCAATTCGCAGACATTCTCAAACATCCGGTCTAACGACTCGACAAACACCTGGATCAAATCAATAAGAGCTAGTGGTGACTCTGTAGACGTAGAAATCATGATAAACGACAGCGTTGCGTAGGTGCGGTATGTGATCTGGGTGGGGGTATCGGAGGGTCCGGTGGCGGAGGAGCTGGCGCCCTGGGAGAGGAGGGGTGGGAGCGGGAGGAAGTTGCAAGCGCTTGCCGGGCGCTGTGCAACTAGACGGTATATTTGCGCGATGAGGGATTGCTGGGTTTGCGTGTCCTGGGTTACCGTGTGAGTTGGGGTGTCTGGCGCGGAGTCCGCGGTGGTGCGGGGTGTCGCTTGAGGGCTTACCAGCTGTGTGTAGAACTTGGTCAGCCGGGGCTGGCCATTGTTATTGAAGACTAGGACTGCGTTGATCATCTTGAATGGCGAGGTGAGAGAGAGTACCGCTCTGTACTTGGATGCGATGCGAGAAAGGCTTATCGATAACTGCGGTCTTGGCTCGACTTGCCGCGTGCGCCGATCTGGAGAAATCGACTTCTTTTTTCGTTCTAACTCTTGATCGCGGGCCAAGAAGATAGCATGAATTCAATATCATTATGCGGGCGCTCTGCGCCTGAGAGAACCATCTATACAACAATACGAGCGCTATCCTCGGCCTCCAATACACAAAAACGCGAGCTCAAAGACCTCACCCCGTCCGACCTCTGCTACTACTGGGATACGCAGCCTCCTCGACCCGAACAACTAGCCTTCGCCGACAAGGTCTTCACTCCGTCCCGTCATTCCCCCTTGAAGCTCTGGTCCGCGGCCAAGTTCCGCACGACACCACTCTCATCGGTAGACCCCGAAGTCGCATTCCTCGGCCGGTCCAATGTCGGCAAGAGCTCACTCTTGAACGCAATAATGGGGCAGGAGGTCTGCTGGACATCCTCGAAACCAGGGCGGACGAGGGAAATGAACGCATTTGGGATTGGGGGTACGAAAGGCGGCGAACACAAGGTCGTCTTGCTTGATATGCCGGGATATGGAAAGGCCAGTCGAGCTGAGTGGGGAGCGGAGATTATGAAGTATCTCCAGGGACGGAAGCAGTAAGTTACATCTGTCTCCCTGTTATCTGCTTGGAAATAGTATGTTCTGACTTTCACCATCGCAGACTCCGTCGAGCATTCATCCTCATCGACAGCACGCACGGCATTAAACAAACAGACGCCGATATCCTCCAGATGTTTCGACACTACGCCATTCCACACCAGATCATCCTTTCCAAAGTCGACAAATTCCTCGCGAAAAAGATGAAGTTAATAAAGTCCGGCGTATCGCCGTACAACCTCGAACGACTTCAGCTTTTGCTGCAGGGTATCAAACCAATCATCCAACCTGATCCTCGAGTCTCCGAGGGGCCTGGTGCCCTAGGTGAGATCTTGACTTGCAGTGCTGAGGCGCAGATTGGTCCTGGTCGCGCGCTGGGGATTGATGCTATTCGCTGGTCGATTTTGTCTGCTGCTGGTATTGACGGGAGTCTAGAGGGTAGTCGTCCTGCCCATCCGGTGCCTGCCGTGGATACGTCGAATTCTATTTGGTGATGGCCTTAGGCACATGGTGGTGTTTGGATATCTTCTACTCTCGTCGAGTTTCTGGCTTGACTTGTTGGTGTGGCTAAGCCGCATATGCCTTGTTGATTCATGGCAAAAATGCCTTCGCCTTTTTGGATGAGGATAGTGAGACATGAGTTACTCTCTAGACGCAGAACGAACCTCCAGAGGTTTCAGCTGGCCAGTCTATACGCCATAAAATGGCTGTCTTTTAAGTTAATGATGGCGTCCTTGACACAGACCAAGAGATGGCCATATATGGAGCATTTAAATTCTTTGTACTATATAGTTACCTGCTACAGGCAGAACATGCCATACGATATACCCAAGATAGAGACAAGTAAAATGAAGATCATAATCAATCTACTACAGTCCGTTAGAGACAACGCAAAGCATAAAAAAATATGTAAAAGAATCCACCGGACTCATCACCGATATGATGTTGCCGTTATGACGAAGATAGGACGGGAATTCACATACGGATCAGGAAGACAAAGAAAACGTATCGTGGAAGATGCAAGGGTAAGGGATGATATTGGGGATACAGAAGGATAGAAGCCCTCAGATAAGTAGTTGATATGAGGAAAGGAAAAAGATAACGCCTGGCCCCCATCATAATGCTGCAAGACCAAAGAATGCCGACCACGCTATGCAAAGGTTTGTTCCGATGGAAGACGAGAGCTGTAAGGATGGGTATCGTGAATTGGTAGTTCGGGGTATTGAGAGATCACAGGAAAGTAGGAAATGTAGAAAGGATGGTTCGTCGGATGTGGTTTAAAGTCAATCTTGGAAAGCAGACTTGCTTTCAGTCAGACAGGTCGTCATCTTCATCGAGATTTTGGACCTCTTGTCCGCGTGCGTTGACAACGATGCGGGAGGCGAGTTTGCTTTCTGGCACTCCATCGCGTGCAGCGCCAAAGTCAAGTACCTGGTGAACCATGTTAGCAAGAAGGTCTAGAAAGATCGATTTTAATAACTTACTTCAATGTAAGTTATACTGTCACGCTGCACCGCAGCAACACATCGTCGGTCATTGAATTTGACCTGCCACACGCCACTGAGGTCAGATAGAAGGTCTCGCACGCAGTCGCCTGTCGTCACATCCCACATCTTCAGGGTACGGTCAGATCCAGAGATGACCTTTTGCCCATCGTGTTGGAAGCAAGTGATGGCTCCGGTGTGTGCAGTCAGCGTGTTCTTGCAGTGTCCATGAACAGAATCCCAAATTCGGAGAGTAGAGTCCGCGGCCGCTGAGACAAGGAAATCGTTCTGCAAAGCAAGTAGACCAACAAGAGAGGTGTGACCTTCAAGGTTGTAGAGAACAGACCCATCATCTAGCGACCACACCTTGACCATATGATCCATTGCTCCACTGATGCAACGATTGCGCTTGTGGTCAAGAACAACGCTGTACACCTTCATGGAATGCCCCTGTAGAGTGTGCAGTGTTTGCCCGGTGGATATCTTCCAGACCTTGACGGTGCAGTCATAGCTACCACTCACAAGGGTATCGCCATGGGCCGCAATAGCACGAACAGAATGCTGATGACCAGTGAGAACCCGAAGGAAGTAGGGACAGTCAGTGTCATCGACAAGCGGACCGCCCTGGTAATAGACTGGGTCTCCGGGCTTTGGGAGCTTCCAAACCCGCAGGTTGGAATCCCGAGATCCAGTAATAATCAATGGCTCTTTCGGCATCATTTCAGGCTGCCCATTGACATTTTTGCCCACCTCAGTGGGAAGAACAATCTGCAAGCAGCGAACAGTGGAGGTGTGACCGTGGAAGATCTGGGTACATCTGGCCTGCTCGATATCCCAAACTCGGACAGAGCGATCCGTGGAACCGGATACCAAGGTGTTGCCATAATACTCAAGAGCCCAGACACCGCCCTCGTGCCCCTCTAGTGTTGCCTTCAACGCGCCAGTCTTGGTATCATATACATTGATGTTGGTGTCGTCACTGCCAGTAAGAACCTTGTCGGCGTCAAACTGCAAACAAGTGACGACATGGCGGTCATGTGCGCGGAAAGCGATGTGTTGCGGCTTCACTTCCGGCCTCATCCACCCCTTGCGGATAGCATCATGACGGCGGTAGAGAACTTTATATAGATAAAGCCCCCGAAGAGAGGGATTGCCAACCTCGGCGTAAGGCACCGCAGCGGCTGCAGCGCTGGCGGCGGCATACGGGGCCTCGGAAGCGGCAATGTCTTTTTTCCAACACGGATCACTGCACTCTCCCCCACTGGATGAAATCTTGCGCTTGGCCAGCTTGCGGCTTGTAGCACGCGTGTTGGCTTTGCGCTTGGGTCGTCGTAACGACGACGACAGGGATGAATAGGAGGATCGGCTGTTTGAGTCCATTGCCAATGGAACAGGAGACTCCTCTCTATCCGCCCTGAAGAAGGCCATAAGGCTGAGATCTTGCTCAGGCTCTTCAGGGCTGTGAGGAAGCTGCCATCCCCATCCCTGTCTAATGGCCCGCTCCAATTCTCCATCTGAAAGAGAATATCCATCCTGGTCAATGAGGTGCTTCCAGGATTTTTCGTCAGAATTAGTGATGTGCCTCCATCGTTTGGATACCTGTGCAGCACGGCACATGCTTTGGACGTCAAGGTATTTGGTGATGTTGAGACTGAGCTCGAGAGGGAGAAGAGCGAGGAAATCGCACTTCAACGTCGGGTTGACCACATCTGCTACAAAATGTAGGGTAGGCTTAGGGCATCGTCGAAGGAACTGATACATAAGATAGGTCTTCATCTCCTCGGGTACCGAATCAAAGAATTCCAGTACCTTTGGCATATCCAAAAGAGAGGGAGGCGACCGTGAGTTGGGCCCATTCGCTGCATCCTGAAGCCGCATGGCCTTCGAAAAACGGGAGACGTTATGATCGAGGCTAGAATCCGTATCAACGTCAAGTCCTTCAGAATCAAACGAGGACTCGCCATGAAGAGCGTTCATAGCGGCAACCGGAGAGAGGCTAGGACTCGGCAGGCACATATCTTGTGCCATGGCATTGTCAATTGCGGAGAGCTGGGAGGTAAGTTCCGGTCTGCTCTGTGATGCGGGTTCTTGTGTTCCATATGTCGTATCCTGGCTGAAAGAAACCGGTTCATGTGCATTTGAGCAATTCTGGTCCACTTCAGGTGCTTGAGGCTCCTGGTCGCCAGAACTGGAACGAATACCGTGTAATCCATTTTGTTGCGCGGCATCTTGGTTCACGTGTTGTGGTCCTTTGGTTCCGATTTCAGAAGACAGAGGGGACGGCAAAGGAGGCTCTCTGCGCGGGAATACCGCACTGTGGATTCTCTGTCTCGGCACTACTATCTCGCCAGATCCACCGAAGTTCGCCTCAGTGTCTGGTGTGGCCAGACCCGCGGCAAGATGAGTTGGTGCCACGCCACTTAGGCGGGTGCGGCGTGTTATGGGCTCAGAAGGAACACGAGATGCACGAGTCCGCGGAAGGGTCGAGGATCGTGCCTCGGGGATAGAGACGGGGGACACGGCACGACGACGGGAGTTGAAAGGATGGCTGGAGGGTTGACTCGTGATCCTTGGAGGGGCCAGCCGCCGGGAGGGGTTGTCAACCTCAGAAGTGAACGAGCTCACGGAACGGATCTGACCGTTTGCCGCCTTTAACGCCTCAGTTTTCTCCTTTGTCTACATGATGTTAGCATTTCAATCGAAATAAAGCGATGATGAAACCACTTACCTCGCTGGCAGCAGTTTTAGTGTCCTCGGGTTCGTTGAAAACTATAGATCTGTCGCCGATCTTGAACTTGAGATTCCTCAAAGATGCTGGAGTTGGGGCCGAGGCGAGAGGGTACTGTCTGGTGTCCAAGTCCTTGACGGAGCGCGGGGGTTTAATGACCAAAGGAGGAAAGGAGGTGGTCGTAGTCGTGGTGGTGGTCACCACCGTGGTTCGAGTCGCAGGAGCGAAAGAAAACTGTCCGAGGGCAGCATCCGATGGCCCTTCAGCCAGTTCATCTCTCTCCGGCTCGTCCATTCTATATCGTTGGGCGGATCGAGCGTCAGGGCTGTGGGCGACATGTGACGAAAGCGTCGATAGGTTGTGATCGGCGTATGTCGAATCAGGGATTTGAGAGGCAGCATTCAAGGACATGATGCTCAAGAGGGGAGCATCGAGTATGAAAGAAGTCACCGCGATGTCCAGGTGTTCGTAGGAAATCGCCCCTGCAAACCATGAGAAAAAGATCAGAGCATTTCGGATTAAAAAGTGCACAGGGGATAGAAAGAAGCAAGGAAGTCAAAGGAAGGGGAGAAACAGTGGCGGCTGACAAGGAGTTGGGGCGGAGAACAACAATTCCGACGATGTCATGGCCCAACTTCAATTTTGCACGTTCTGTTCTTTGTCTCTTTGATATTGGATATTTGGATGCTGTATTCTATTTGATAATTCTATTTGATTCATGTTCTATTCTTCTACTCTACTACCTCTTCCATCTCTTCCATTTCTTATCTGGACGGAAGAAATATCAAGCCTGTAGTCTCTTGGCCTACAAGTGGGACTGGGCACACTAGGCCGTTACATCCAGTCTAGCCTTTGGCCACTTTGCTTGCACTTTGCCTATTTGCCCGCTTGACTTGAAACTGCAACTTTGCCATTTACGGCGACCTTTTCTTCCCGGTTTCTTCAGTCTCGCCACATGTCACGTGAAGCGGGGACGTGCCCTTGTATATAGATTCATATAGATTCCGCTTATCTTGTATCCTGTTAACGGATGATTTATTGAACGTATTTATTTTTCTGATATATGTATCTATTTGCTTGAATACTTGGTCGATCTCTGCAACTTCCAAGGCTTCCCCACATTTTCTTCAAGGGCTTGGCCCACAAAGTACTGAGGATGTTCCTAGAAATGAATGTCCCGCACATGGGCCTGTCAATTTCATATGTTAAGTGTGAGCGAGACTCTTTTCATTTTGTAGCATATATAGCACCTCGCTGCATATAACCCTATTATATTTAGCCGTAGCATAGTGGCTTAACAACGCCACTAAGAGTGCAGATACGTATAGCAACCCCAAGTATCAAAATGGCAAGTACTACCTCACGTAGTTGTCTTCGGTCCCATAGAACCCCAAGGATTTTACCACCTAGGCTTTGTCTTCTAGGGCTTTTTTTGGATTGACAAGCCTGTTATCACGGCTGCAACCTAGCGCACAAGTGCTTTGCAAGGATGACACATGACCTGAATGATACAGCACTTCTAGAAATCGAGAAACATATTCACCATAGCAGATTCATCCGTACTCAGTGTTGAATGTCCACTAGCCCTAGTGAAACTCTTCCTTTTCTATGCGTTGCCCTAGCTACAAACATAACAAAAGTTATTGTTTTAGCTGTCTCCTTGTTACTTCTGTTTCACACACTCTGCGTGATTTTTTTTAATGGCGTAGCTTCATCAAGGAGCATGCCGGTCAAGGTTATATAAGTATCTCTTAAGCAACCGAATTTTGCTGTTGCACAATCCCCACAAGCCTATTATCAACAAGAAGACAAAAAGCCATGGCGGAGTGCAACTCATTTGTACTCTTTGCAGAAGCTCGCCTTAAGCTTCAGGATCTCATTCAACGGATAATCTTTGATCTCAACAACAACTACCCATTGCTTCGCAATGAGATTAGAGCAGGCTTAGCTTTCATCTCCATTTACGTGGATGTGATCAGAGGACTCGGGCAGTTAATGGCTAACGAGTCTCCAACTTGTGAGCCTATCCAGCTTGCACAGCAAGAATCCACTCGTAACCCTAACCCCCGCGAAAAAGGGCACACTGAGCTCAAACAGGCTTGTCACTCTACCGATGAAATGGTGCACATCCTATCGCGTCATCTAGAACTCGATAGGGACCTCAACCCAACTATCTGTAGCCTTGAGCTCATGAGTGACTCTTGGAATTTGGATTGCCCATCTCCTCGCGAGCAGACCATCGAAGGCCTGTTAAGGCCCCGGAAAACACTCTCCAACTGTTGCAACATCAGCACCTGAGTATCTCGATCGTGGCCCTTCGGCTCCCCAAGATACAGCTCTTCTTCCCAGTCTTAGGCAGCCCTACCTAGGTAGCCCGGGGACCGTGGCCCGAGTAGTCCACTCCGTTTGAGCACGCTTCTGGTGATCTCGGTCAGAGACGACCATTTCAGGTCTGTTCGATAGGTTTGTCTCGATATATTTTATGCAGTGATATTAAATTTCTAGATCTGTCGAATAGAATACCTTTCGAGGTCTATCCATAATCCACCTTTGCTATTGTAGAACTAGACTTTCTTGGAAGTGGAAACATGTAATTTCAGGGCATTTTTAGTAAAAAATTAATGTCAGAATCAGCCATCCCTGAATAGTGACTGTTTTCACTTGTGGCCTTTCCCTTCTGTGCTTCCCCTACCTCTAACAATATTTTCCTTCCTTCTTCTTTTTTCCAATACCCGGATTCCTAACAACTAAAACAAGCATATTTTTTCCAATCAGAAGCCCAAAGAATATCTTTTTAAAGAATCCTACACAAAGAAAAACCCTACTCGCCCGCATCGTGCAATGCTTTGTGATCCCAGAACCAGGCCTTCTTTGTTTGCCCAACCTACATATTTTCAACCTGGTCCCCAAATCATTTTCAACCTCAAATCCATCAACCACGAAATGCTCACTCGTGCTAAAGCTATACTGGGGCTTGCACCTGCTGCTCCTGTGGCAAGCAAGCCTAAAGTTGTCAATCTTGCTGATACCGCTGATACCACCGAAACCACACCAACCCCCAAACTTCCCATCGAGGAGATTTTTAGATTTCCCGTGGTGGTGAGTAGCTGTCGGATTAACCAGCGATAAAATCGTAGAGGTCAAGGCTTTCTGACATCAATGTAGGCACATAGCTTCGATTTGACGAGGATCATGCTGCACATGACTGTAAGTTGTTGGTTTGTTCGTTTCTTAATACTAACCAATGTCCGTAGATCGCAACACTATTTTACATGCGGTTTGAAATGCCCTAACTCCTATTCTCTCCACTCCGCTAATATAGAATAGCGGCTTGTTACCAGACATGGTCTTTAGTGAGCGAAACCTTCGGGGAGCATCATTCGAAAAGGGCTACATCTATTCCCAAATAATCAACGGGAAAGGCGTCGGGAAATCCAGATCCCACAGAGCGGACTATGTCCCCACGAGGATAATCGAGAAAAACTTGAATGACACGGCAGATCACTTTCTCAAGCTCCTTGTAAGATTCCCAATCTCCCTGCCGATTATACAACCTTAATACCCCCCAGGAAGGAGGAATTTTCGAAGCAATCCGACAAGGAAACCTCCACGCTGTGCAATTTACGATCTTCGACAACCCAGATGTACCAGAGAACGTCCTAGAGTCGTATACATTCACCTTTGACTACTCCGGCAATCGCGGCCCAGCCGATCGCAGACATGTGTACACGAAGATTGATATTTTGGATATAGCAGGAGACAAGGACGCGTGGCGTGATGTGATTAGAACTGGTGAGTCACTTATTCGAAAGCTGACCACGATGTGCGCTAGATTCCCGATTTTACCTAGTATGTGTACTGCTTTTGTCATGCCTGGTATGGTTGCTAACGAGAAAGAGTAGATCAGCGATACATGGGCATATATGTCTTTTACAGGGATGAATTCGTATGAGATATCCGGCTTCGCTCGCGCCGATGACGATACTATTGGATACCCAAGTGCTGGGGATTGGAGAAAAGTGTCGCGGTTCTGCGGGACACTTGATAGTGGATTCCATACGTATGTTGTCTCTTCTGTTTATATTATTTGACTTACTGTGGCTATGTTTTGACAGCTTAAGCTGACCTGACGAAGTGCCGGAGTGCGATTGACCCATCTCGCCCCCCGCATCATTGACCTGAAGTCACCCATTGAATTGCTAGAAGAGAGGTACAATGACAACGTGCTCCGCGTTAGTGAGACTGGAATCAAGGAGGCTCAGATACCGATGATGCGGGAGGTGTATTTCTCCACGGATGAAAGCACTTGTAGTGAAAGCTCTCCCACCGACCCATCTCTGGTCAGATATCTACCTCTAGAGGAAGACGGCAATGAAGATGACCAGGGCCCTGTAGGTATGTATCTATCAAAATATCCCAGTTTCGGGCTGTATGAACACAAGCTAATACATTGACACGATAGAGTGGACCTATTACAACATCACCCAGCGGCTGCGTACCATGGAGAAATTGAGACATAATCACAAGAGAGGACGTCCGGTGAGTTTGGTCTCCTATATTCAAGAAAAGTTGAACTGTTACTAACTACTACAAGAAAATACTCGCAAATGACAAGCCTGAACTCCTAACTACCGAGGCCCAAGCCAAGTCTGCTCAACGCAGAGCTCACAGAAGGGCGATTCACCTGGTGGAGAGTATTAACAACGAAGAAATTGAGCTACCAGATGTAAGATCCAGTACTTTGAGGAACTCACAAACGCCCGAGCCCGGACAACCCACGGACCGTATTTCGACTCGCAGGGCTGAGGGCCAGCGGGCTTTAGAAGAGATTCGTGAGATGCAGAAATCGGGACTACAACCTACTGTCCGCGCGATGACAGTGCACTATATCGATAATCGAGCAGTACCGGTTGACAGTTCCCCGATCAGAATAATAACGGGGAAAGTTCCTCGCATGACATCGTTAATCAGATCGATGCTTGTCGGTGTGAGTGTAACAGCCAGAATGAATACAAGCCTGATTTTATAGTAAGTTACCAGCCAGTATTGTCGTGGAACATTCAGATCTAACTGATTCTTTGTAGATCAAATGTGCTAGCTGCAGGTTCACCCAGCACGCCGAGTGCTATGGATACCGACACAGGAAAGACAACCGGCTTCCCAAGATTCACTACTGCTACAGCTGCTTGATCGGCTATGACTTTGACAGTGAATTAATGGAAAAGTTAAAAAGCTCATCAGAATGCGAAGAGCAGTCAAAACGATCCTCTTCGAGGGTATCCCCCCATCGAATGCAATTCTGGCCGCTCATCTCGGTAAGACCTCGTCACATAACCCCAAGTATCCCATTATAACTTGATACAGACTGCACCAGGGACGAAGCCCGTGAGCTCGTACACAGTTTCCGTAAACTCGGTCTCCTGATTAGTAGTCTAGGATGGAAAGCTAGAGGCTTCTAAAAGGGCAATGATCCCAAGTTCACTTTCGCTACCAAAGGACCAAGCATACCGACACTGGCCAGTGAGGTGCTAGATCCGATGTTGCTTATCCGCCAATATGTAAGTGCTAACGCTAACCGTGTCCGGGATTGTGTGTATGGTCTAGTAACTGTTGAGTAGTATGATATCCCGGTCCTCGTGCCTCTTTCACTTTTGGGTGCGAATTTCCCTGGTTGCATTATTACAAAGTACCCGCCTGGGATGGAGGATATTACTACAACTGTGTCTGCGCCAAGTAAGAGGCGGAAGAAGGGGGTTATCTTTCACAAGGCTTATGATGGTGAACACGCAGCGGACTCGAGGCGAAAGTCTAAAAAGCCTAAAAACTCTAAAAACTCTGCAAAGTCTACGAAGGCACAGAGAAAGAAGAATTGAGGATCGACAGGAGTGTTTTTAATGTTTTGTATCTATTTGTTTTTACTTGGATGCGCTTTTTTCGAGTCTGAAATCCTGGAAGATCTCTTTGATATGATTGCAGTATTTACAGCGCAGTCCAAAAACCCAAATTTTGGACTCAGCCTCTGTCAAAGTCTGCCCAATACGTTTTTGTTTGATTCATGGTAAAATTTTGGCGCTGGACATATTAAGTTTCATGTCTTTGTTCTCCCTTTTACCTCACTCGAACTCGAGGGCTTACCACTAGATTAAAAATATGAGGCATATGAGCTTAAAATTTAGCTATGATCTGCGCAGAATGGGGAAACATAAAAGAATAGAGCGTTTCAGAACCTTGGTAAGGCACCAAGCTATTGGGGTGGACTATTGAAGACCATTAGGGGTTAACCGCGACCATTTTGCATAGTGGGCGGAACCGCCTGTCAAACCAAGTGTTTGGGTTTGGGTTCAATAGTGTTCCGAGGTGAACGTGGGCAGTTTCCGGACATTTGGGAATGCTAAAACCGGATCGTTTACTGTAATTGTTTCATTCACACATTTCGCCCATGTCACGCCTTTCACACACTCAAATCACACATCCTCGGCATCGTGATCAGCTCACAGGCTGAATCCCTCGGGATGGTGGACCAAACAGGAAAAGCGCCACATACCCGACAGGGATGTCATCGACAGTCGGCGAATGGATCTCGACTAGACCAGGATCTCGATCTGGGAGAAATTGGAAGTCCCCAGAGTGTCATCATCGCTTGCACCTGTTCCGCCCACGGGCGCCTCGTGGGGCACACACACGGGCTGGCGCCATGATCCCCGATCACGGATCTCCGGGACTATTGACTCGATTGGGATTTGGACACCGTGCCGTGCAAGATAGTGCACGAGATATGTCCGTGCCGGCGTCTGAAACGTACATCTGCAGGTCGGCGAAAGTCCGTTCAAGCCAGTCTCCGCAACTAGAGGCTGTCAACCTGTCAACTCAATCCCCATGTCTCAATCTGTACCGGCGAGACATGCGTGCAACATTATAGGATTGGAGTTACTGGGGCGATACACTGGTTGCACACATGGACCGCGTCGATCACTGCCAGTTCCTGTCAGTTCCGTCTGCAGGATTTGACCGAGACGCGAAAATTTCTAGGACACTGCCACGCAAAGGATCCAAGGTTGAACTCGGTACATGTATTTGTCACGGCGGCACGAGGTGGAGGCTAATCTGCATCTGAAGCACGATCGAAAGCTGAGCTCGTGCACGATACGCCGGGTCGATATTAGATCGATTTGCCGATCTGCTCTCGGATGTGACCTGCGTGTGATTGAATGTGTGGAGGAGGTGCAATCGCTCTACCGTAGTGGATGCTCCATAGTTCCTCCATGGAATCCACATTCGGCTGCTAGCTCGCGATTTGAAAAAAGTGCCTGAGCATCCGGAGTACGCATGGAGTACATGTACATACATGCTTATGGATGTGGTCGAGGGTAAAGGGAATTGGTGAGAAGTGGGTTTAGGCGGAAAATAAGTCTAATTTGCCCAGTTGGCATGGAGGATTGGCGTCAATAGCCTCTATTTAGTGTTAGCTTTTTGCACCTCCGGTTTCCAGAAGAGCTTCACGTGTATTTTTAGGTTCAGGGGTAATTCTCCTACTGGGAGGATGACAATTAGCAGAAGTACTTGCATATTAAATCTGCAGATTAACTGGGTAGTATACAGTAGTCTATAGGAGTGTATACAGTCATAATAACGGCTGTACTTTTCCCCCTGAAAGAGTTCCATGGAATCAAACCCAAGTACCACAGTTCCAGTTGCACTTGATCTATGCCTTGCCCAATTGCCCACTCCATCTCTGTCGATCACTGCTAGCTTCTCTCCCAACCCAACTTACACCCAGCTCCACCCCATTAAATGAAATCAATGGAAATAAATGAAACACCGTGCCACTCTTTCGCAGCCTATAAGATTCCATCTTTCTTCGAAGCCTACAATCCACTGCTGTGGGACTCCCCCTTTAAGCGTGCCGTGAATCTAAACCAATTGACTGATGTAAACCCCAGCACTCTCTACAAAAACAATCCCAGCCCTGAGATCCTCAGTCTTGATTTCTAAACCCTTCTTCCCCGCTCGTTTCCGTGATATCTTGTTACTCCGGTATGTGAAATGACCGGGACCGTGCCAATTTCATGCTAACATTTGACTTGTGGAGTAGATCGCCAACTTTCGGAAGCAAATACTTGAACCCACCAAACCCAACCCGCCTAGTCGGCACACTCAGAGCCAAAGAGCTCACGATTCCATGCACTAGAGCAACAAAGCGTGTATCCAATGTTGGGACGCGATCGCTCACCAGTCCACATACCACTCCGCACGTCGAGTCGCCAAATGGAGAGCGAGGAAGACCTCGGGATGGACCGCAAAGCTTCCAAAGCGCAGCGGTTCTTTGGAACAGAGCTGTCAATCCCCGAACATGCGTGGCAGGAGCCAAAAAAACAACGCCGACCCAGCTATAGAACACCACCCAGCAGTGCCCCAAGGCAGAGCAGCGGCTTCGTGCCTTTCCCCACGGAGAATACCCCCATCCCCGACCAGAACCTTCGTGTGCGGGCTTCATCGCCTCTGCTGGGGGTGAACTACCGATCGCAAGAGGCCGCACCGCCGCTCCCCAAGCCCTCGAAAAAATCCACCACTCCGGTTCTTCCTCGACTCTGTTTTCATACTTCAGTTCCAAGGATTCTTCCAAGTCGGCCAAGGCCGAATCGCTCCAGCCTAAAGTGCGGAACGGACTGGGTATTGAACCTCAAGTGACGCTGGGTGAGGCTGCGAATCCGCCGAAGGAGTCGAAGCGGAAGATGCGTCCTCCGAGAATTGATCTCTCCGTTTTGTTCCCCAAGCCTCGGAATACCAGTGCGCATAACGGTCTTTTGTCTCCGCAACGAATGACCAACTCACCGTCTCCCGTTTCCACGGTGATTTCGGATTTCCCTTCCAATCCGGCTCCCCAGCATATTCCCGTTTCCATCCCCCGCAAGGTTGAAAGGACTACCGATCATTCCAGCAAGAGATACCCGGATGCACCTCCTCGTCGGCCATCCCTCCAGTCACTCAAGAGCGAGTCCAAAAAGCATGTCGATAATTCGGATCTGCCATCCATTGCTGAGACCAAAAATAGCGAGTGGTATGACCAGCCGATGGAGCGCACGGTAGGCACAAGCGAGATCGATCTGGCCCTGGACAGATATGCAGGCCGGCGTTCACTCTTCAGTCGCTCCAGTGTATATTCCAACAGCCGGGAGAACTTGCCGCTAGAACGGCAACGGACTCCAGAGTCCAAACCGAGCGCGAGGCGTGCTCATAGTCCCTCTACCAGAACCAAGGATATGTACCTGAGCCCAACTGCTCGTCCAGAGATAGTCCGCCCTCGTGGTATGAGCTCTTCCCAGGAATCCTGGAAGACCAAGAAGAGCGAAAAGAGCTCGACATCCAAGAAGAGCAACAGAAGCACGTTGAAGGACAGGGACCTGCAAAATTCTAGTGTTCTCTGCCTTTCCTCGTCCTCGGAGGATGAGGATGAGCAAATTACCCCCACTGAGCCAAAGCGCAGTGGAAAGAAGAACTACAGGGACAGTGTCGCTACCTTTGATGACGATGAGCCTGAGATCTTCACTGCTTCTACGGCCAAGGCGGCCACGGCCACAACTCCAACTTCGCGACGCTTCGATCGGCAACCATCAACCGGCAGTCTCAAATCCCAACCTGAAAAGATCCAGCCGGCTCCAGCTCGTCGCAAGGCTTCCCACTCCTCCACAGGAAAGTCTTCCACCGGCAAGTCTTCCCAGACAACCCGACGCACCACTCAAACTCGACGCTCAAGTGGAGTTCCCACCATTGAGGCAGACCTTCTCGCACAGTTCCCACAGCAGCCTCTTCGCTCCCCCGCAGAGCTTAAGGAGCTGAACCGGAGAAGTCGCGTCATCGCTGTGACCCGGCAAGAGCAGGACCTTCTCGAAGCAATGCGCGTCCGAAAGGGCAAGGTCACGCCGAGTCTCTTCAACTATGGGAACCTCCCCGAGGCAGACCGACGCTCAATCCTCTCAGGTCCCTCGCGCGATTCCTTTTGTGGATCCGATACCTCCTTCCTACGTCTCAGCAACGTCTTCCCGCCATTCAATACTCCATCAGTGAAAGGTGCAGCCCACTTGGACAAAGACGGCACACCCTCCCAAAGCTCAGGCTCTGATACTGAACAGAAAACCGGTAACTCTGTTGCCTCCCCGGGTTTTAGTGCCAACTACTCCGAGAGCCTGCCCTCTCCCGCCACCAGTGGTGCCTCGCCGCTCACTCCAACCCTGCCAATTCATCGCTTCTCGCCGCTTCCGTCCCCAAAGCCGCCCCCAAGAGGACCCCCGCCTGCCATCCCCGAAGATCAGAAGCGGCACTCCCGCCGTCGCACTGATAGCAGCGAAGCTATCATGCTGGAAGAGAGCTGTGACCCGAAGCGCAACCAGGGTCTTCCTCTTTGGTCGTTCAATTTCGATTGGGACCAGGAGCGCGCTGGTATTGCTACCGTACACTGAATCATGGCCCGGCCTGGAATCATTTCCTCCACATTCACTCAATCTACATTTCCTATTTTTACCCTTCACTCTCTGTATACCTACACGTCTTGAAGCATTCTTCCACAATCTTTCTCAGCGATTTCCTTGTCTCATGTGCATCTCGGGTACTTCACCTCGGGATTTCCCAACTACATAAGACTTCTTGTCTTCTCCTTACACTATTTTCCATGACCTTATCACTCATGTCTTCCTATCTTGTTTCCTTCTGAATTAGCGTCCAAGTGCAGGCTTCATAAATCCTGCTTTCATGTTTCACCTGGGTGGTTTCCTGTGCCCAATATTCATCACTGTATATCTCACCATAATACTCCTCAATTGATCAACCTCTTGCGCAACCTGATCTCCCGATCTCCCGATTTCTCTACGTAGCCCCATAGAAAGACAGTCCCGCTTGACCGGTGTTGCACAAGGGATGTACCAGTTGAAACAATAGAACGTGGCTGATATGCAGCAGCAAGCCCAATCAGACTGTGGCTGGCTGGGCTACTGCCGACTGGACCAACGCACAATGCTGCAACTCTGTAGATTTACATTATACATGTACTTCGTAGCAGATGGAATACGAAAATACCGACGAATGAGCTCTCAGGACTGATGGGGGCGAGGATACGTGGGCCAGGTGACAGGCCTTGACGTCACAGGCTATAGGGGCTGGGGACCAAATGAATATTTGAAGAATGCCCAAAGGGAACTCGCGAAGCTTGCCCAGCCTGCCCAAGTTGAACATCTCAGTTACTTTGACCTCAAGTCGGACTTAACCTTGTTCTTGACCCGTGACCCACACCGCCCATTCTCCTTCTATAACCCCGGATTGCTACTTTGCATTGTTATTGCGAGTTCTCTTCATCTCCTTTTGACCGCCTATTCTCTCCTTCCTTCGCTTCGGTGATCGTCCTCTGGAGCCCTGACATCAGGCCCTAAGGGGAGATCTCCAAAACAAGCCCCTGGTTCGCAGATCGGCCACAGCTTGCTCGACGTCTTTTTCCCCAGCTCACTCCCTCCGCTCGCCCTAAGTATCACATTCGCGACCCGACTGGGAATTGTCTCCCCCTGTCTTGCGGAAACCCCATCGCCACGGTTTATAGCTCCGGAACACGCGACCGCGATCTACGATCTTCGTCATGACCGATCGCGCACAACGGCCCTCTGGGCTACGAGCTGTGGCTAATAACGCGCCGTGGGTTTTGGTATGAGTTATCTGTTGGGCATCATATTGGTGCAGCCCTGGGGTCTATGTTCGTTGCTGACCTGGCCTTCTTATAGCTGACCGCGGAGTCTACTGCGTTTGTACTGGTAAGTGGTTTGTTTGCGCGGCGAACGCATCCTCGTGATGGCATCAATGGCTAACATATGCTTCTACGATCCTCTAGCTGGCCCATTATTCTCGAGTTATGCCCCCCGCCGGCGGGAAACGATACCTTACATCCACGGCAGTCTTCCTAGTCGAGGTCGTCAAGCTGGCCATCTCCCTCACAATGGCTCTCTATAACGTTTCGAAAACCGCTCCTCCCTCCATGCCCGCCACATCCCTATTCTTCTCCCTAACAAGCGCGGTCTTCACTGGCGATAGCTGGAAAATGGCCATCCCGGCCGGTCTAGACGTCTTGTCCAATTCGCTTCTCTACATTGCGCTGTCGAACCTGCGAGCTGCGACGTTCCAAGTTACCTTCCAGCTGAAGTTCCTTACAACGGCGATCTTTGGTCTCATGCTTCTGAGACGGAGTATCGCACCCCGGAAGTGGGGCCTGCTCCTGTTGCTCGTGGTCGGCGTGGCGTTGGTGCAGATCCCTGATGCAAGCACCGAGCGGATGCTGCAGGATGACCACGCGAACCACTACTTCCCTCGTTCACTGGAGGAATGGAAGGCTGTCAAGCAAGGCTCTAGCTCTGGCAGTAGTCTGCAAAAGCGGTCTGCAACGTACGAGGGTATCGAAGAGGATATCTTGACCGCTGATCCGCACCTGAACTCAACTATCGGCCTCCTTGCAACTATCGGTGCGGCTTTGGCCTCTGGGCTGGCGAGTACTTACTTTGAGAAAGTGCTCAAGGACAGCTCGAACCACATCTCGTTGTGGGTTCGCAATGTGCAATTGGCTATTTACTCCATTTTCCCTGCTCTCTTCATTGGAATCGTTTTCCGCGATGGCGAGAAAATCGCCGAAGATGGCTTCTTCCAGGGTTACAATTGGGCGGTGTGGTCTACCATTGTTATCCAGGCCCTTGGTGGGATTGTCTCAGCCTTCTACGTCAGCCATGCGCACAAAGATGCAAGGAGTTTGGCCACAACCGTCAATATTATCCTTAGCATTATTGGAAGCATTTGGCTCTTTGACTTTGAGGTTTCTGCAAGCGTACGTCCCTTACCTGTTCAATTCCTTCTCATAGATTCCTTGAGTTTGCAAGGTCTCACATATGGCTATGAAATACTGACTGCATTAGTTCCTTTTGGGCTCGGCTGCAGTCCTGGTAGCAACCCACTACTACGGAAACCCAAGCTTCACTCCCTCAGTCGGTGGCTCTCGCCCACCTCCAATTCGCGTCGACACCTACGAAAAGGACGTCGGAGGACCTGGCGGCTCGCCCGTGGCTCCCTCATCCAACGACTTCTCCATCAAGCTTCCAAATACCCCATTCCTGTCGGACGGCATATCATCATCTCGTCCAACTTCACCAGCACCAGGCCACGCTAGGGTAAGCTCTAGCCGGAATGTAAGCACAAGCAGCTATTTCGACGAGAAATAATTGACTTCCCGAACATTACATTGCCGGTGTTTTGGGTCAGCTTGACATGTGTCTTTTTTACGGGAAATGATATTGGATACCTGATAGATGCAGAAACAAATGCGGCGTTCTTCGCATCGCCTCGAAAACAACCCTTTGTGACATTCCTTGGTGCTCGGTGCTGGCCCTATTTATTGGGGCTGGCTGCTTGCTCTTTGCTAGCCTCTTGCATGTCCTCTCGCCGTCCGGGATTCCGAGTTTTCTCGGTCTTGGTTCATGTATGCATATATACGAAGCAATGAAAATCTTTCATATACCCCAGATCATTTACAGTGTCTGCTAATTGCTCATAGTCCTTGTTGGTAAACATGAGAAACATGGGTGCGTCCACGTGCCGTCACATGGTCACCTCCCACGGACCAAACCTACCAGCCTACCGTAGGAATGTAGTTCATCTCCACCATCAGAGTTGCTCCCAATTATCCAGAAATACAGCCAGAATGCGAAGGAATCATCAACCACAGACTTTCAAACCATTCCAAGCACCCTCCCTAAGGGCCCCAGTTATATCTTTTCCCTCCTCCCCATCCCAGAGTAGAACCGAAGCCATCGACCAAAGACTCATCGAAGGCTCCCTGCAACCACGATACAGCAGTCCATCCCCACAGCAGCCTTTCAGTACCCTTTCATCGTCTCTCCACGATGAAGATCCGGAATTGGATGCTTTTGGTAATTCTTCCGTCCCAAATATAGGACAGCTGCTGATAGACCTTCAGATCTGGAACTACTAGCTCAGAACGATAGACAAATGGCGATTCAAGATGCAGATCTAGGATTTCGACCGGCTTCTTCGCTTCAATTATCCTTCCAGTGTGACCATCAGCCGCAGAATATCTCTCGTTTCTTTCAGCGTGAGTTGGTTGGAATAGGTTGCGGTTTGATCGGCCGTGTTTGGCAGAGATTGACATGTAATAGCAAGTTATAGTATCACTCCTCACAGCGGTGATGCGTCTACTCCGCCGGATATTGGGCCAAGATTACCTTCGAGTCCTTTGGCGCTGTTGAATCAGAGAAAAGAGGCGAAGCAGATAGAGCAATACAATCTTGAGTTGAATCATGGCCCATATCATGAGGATACTACTCAATCATCGCCTCAGGCATTGTCTACCCATGTGAGTCCTGGGCCGAAGATTGGCAACCAGCACCGACAAGGGTCTCTCAGCCATATCCCGCCGTCCGTTCGAGGCATTGTGCTCATTCCCGTGAACGACATACCCGAGAATTATCGCTCGATGTTCACTTTCCCATTGTTCAACGCCATCCAGTCGAAATCCTTTCACGCTGTCTATAACAGCAACGACAACATCGTCCTCTCGGCACCCACCGGCAGTGGCAAGACAGTGATCATGGAACTGGCAATCTGCAGACTCCTCAACACCCTGAAAGACGAACGTTTTAAAGTCGTCTACCAAGCACCCACGAAGTCACTCTGTGCCGAACGATTCAGAGACTGGCACTCCAGATTCTCAAGCCTGAATCTTAAATGTGCAGAGTTAACCGGCGACACGGATCACATGCAACTGCGCGTTGTGCAGAGTAGTCAGATTATCATCACAACTCCAGAGAAGTGGGATAGCATGACTCGGAAATGGAAAGATCACGGGAAGTTGATGCAGCTCGTGAAACTGTTCCTCATTGATGAAGTACACATTCTGAAGGAAACTCGCGGTGCAACCCTCGAGGCGGTTGTATCCCGGATGAAGAACATCGGATCGAATGTTCGCTTCGTGGCGCTCAGTGCTACCGTTCCCAATTCTGAGGATATTGCTACTTGGCTTGGCAAGGATGCCACTAATCATCATGTTCCTGCGCACAGAGAGCATTTCGGGGAGGAGTTTCGTCCGGTTACGTTAACGAAGGTTGTCTATGGGTATCAGTCTACTTTGAATGACTTTGCTTTTGATAAAATCTGTGGCTCGAAGTATGTACACATCTGTTCCGGGTTCATTGTATACTGACGAGAGTTCTATCAGGTTGCCCGAGGTCATCGGAATGCATTCACTCCAAAAGCCCATTATGATTTTCTGTTGCACACGAAACTCATCCCTTTCAACAGCGAAGGAGCTGGCTCGTCTTTGGACGATGACCAACCCGCCAGCCAGGCTTTGGAAGGGGCCTGCGAGACCTCTCGATGCTCATAACGACGACCTGAAGAGTATGTTTTCTTTCCATTGACCGTTCCACTTCATATCTAATGAGAGGTAGAAACTATCGCCGCCGGAGTCGCATTCCACCATGCCGGCTTGGGACCCGGGGACCGCCACACAGTCGAAGCAGGCTTTAGGGATGGCCACATCAGTGTGATATGCTGTACATCAACCCTCGCAGTGGGAGTCAACTTACCATGTCACCTGGTGATAATAAAAAACACCGTCAGTTGGCAAGACGGGGGCTGCAAGGAATACTCTGATCTAGAGATGATGCAAATGCTCGGTCGTGCAGGAAGGCCTCAATTTGACGACAGTGCGACAGCAGTCATCCTCACCCGAAAGGAACGTGTGAATCATTACGAGCAACTCGTTTCTGGATCTGAGAGTTTGGAGAGCTGCTTGCATTTGAATCTGATTGATCACCTCAATGCCGAGATTGGACTGGGTAATATCTCCGACATCGACTCCGCTGTCAAATGGCTTGCTGGGACGTTTTTGTTCGTCAGGCTTCGTCGGAACCCTACGCACTACAAGCTCAAGGAGGGTGCGAATCAGGAGGACGAGAATGAACTCTTGCGACAGATTTGTGCGAAGGACATTCATCTCTTGAGGGAGGTTGGGCTTGTTGAAGCTGACAGTCTTTGCTCAACCCAATTTGGCAATGCCATGGCTCGGTACTATATCCGATTTGAGACTATGAAAGTCTTGTTATCATTGAAGCCACGAGCAACACTGTCCGAGACTGTGATATTCTCCCACACCACTGATTTGAACCCGTGCTGACAACTTATATTAGCTCAACGTTATCTCCCAAGGCGACGAATTCCGCGAGATCCGCCTGAAAGGAGGTGAAAAGTTCCTTTACCGCGAAATCAACCGTGACCCAGGCATTCGATTCCCCATCAAAGTCGACATAGCCCTCCCATGCCACAAAACCTCCCTTCTCCTCCAATCCGAACTCGGGGCAATCGACTATCCAGACAGTGATCAGCTCCAAAAGTTCAAATTTACCTTCGCCCAAGACAAATCCCTCGTCTTTTACCATGTCAACCGACTAGTCCGCTGCTTAATCGATTGCCAGATTGCGCGCGGAGACTCAATCGCTATCCTCAATGCCCTGGAACTTGCTCGAAGCTTCGGTGCAAAAGTTTGGGACCATTCCCCTCTCCAGATGAAGCAGATCGAGCAAGTCGGCGTGGTTGCTGTTCGGAAATTTGCTGCTGCTGGTATTACCAGTATAGAATCTCTGGAAGAAACGGAGGCTTATCGGATTGATATGGTTCTTAGTAAGAATCCGCCTTTTGGGGCGAAATTACTCTCTAGGCTGAAGGAGTTTCCCAAGTTGAGGGTTGCTGTTAGGATGTTGGGGAAGGTTTGTGAATGATTAGGATTTTGGATTTCATTCCTGCTGATGATTTGATATAGGAAGTCAATAATGGAGGTGTCACTCTTCGGTTCAAGGTTGAGGTTGCGTTCATGAATGATAAGATTCCGACTTTCTTTCAACGACGCCCGGTTTATGTTTGTTGCTTGACCGAGACGTCCGATGGCCGCATGGTTGACTTTCGACGTACTGGTGCGAGCAAGCTTCAGGAACGGTTGGATATTGATCTTTCTGCGGAGTTGACAAGTGCTGAGCAATTTGTTGTTTGCCATGTTATGTGCGATGATATTGGTAAGATGTTCTCTCAGACTTTGATTTTGTGCTAACAATTATAAAGCTGGAACGGGAAGGCTGGCTGAGCTCAGACCCAAGCTTTCGCCTCTATCGTTTACTCCTATGCGAGAAGGGAATCTCACTTCAACGGAAGCAAGCCACTCAACGGCAAACATTTCTCCTTCAAGCATCCGAGAGATGGTTGGTAGCAGTTGCACGTCGAGATCTCACCGAGATGCGGAAGACCATGTTCAAAAACGGGTCGTGGACGCAGGCAAAGCAACAAGCATGTCTCGCTCAAATGTTTCAGCCGTGGCCAGAAATACTCCCAAATCCCGCCGAGACTTCGACGATCTTGACTTCGATGGCGACGATCTGCAACTAGACGATTTTCTGGCCGTGAATGAACGCTCAAGTAAACCGAAGCATTATTCCAAGCCGACGTTTCAGCCAAATGATGAGATGGACTGGTTCTCGATCGATACCACTCCCAGTCCGCCACAGCGAGGAACGAAAATCTCAAACCCTCGAGACGACGAACGGGCCGCAGACATGAAAGATCAAGAAGACGAGAACCCCGAGCCGATTCGACTTGCTAATGGCAAATGGGCTTGCAATCACAGGTGCAAAGACAAGACAAGGTCTGCGAGATCCATTGCTGTATTCGAGATCTGACTGACGGCCCCAGCTGCAAGCATTTCTGCTGCCGGGATGGCCTGGAAAAGCCTCCGAAGCCTGCCAAAAAGCGGTCCATCCCTGCTATCCAGAAGGAGAATGGCCTCAATCAATTGACAATTTCTGACAGTATCACGAAAATCATTCCTACGAGCAATTTCAATCCAGGGAGCCAAATGGCAAAGCAACGCACCAGTGAATCCAAGAAAACTGACAATTCCTCTAAGACAAAAAGCTTGACGTCTCAGGTCGGAAAGAAATCTTCAACCCAGGCAAAGTTTGCTCTATCAGACAGAAGCAGAAGTATCTTTTCGAGCAAGACCAAGCGAGTGTTGAGCCCATTGAGAATCCATTCGAGTGATTATGGTGATGATGACTTCAACGATCTGATCTCTCCATCACTCCTCCTCGTAGAACCAGGCACCAGCTTCGCAAGACCAAACTCTCCAATGACAGAAAAGCAAACACAACATGCCTTCGGAGCTGTCCCCAGCATCGCGACGAAGCATGCAACATGTTCAGCACCATCTGCTCCTCAAGCTGAGTCCTCTCTTGGAAGCCAAACCAAACCATCAACCCCCAGATTCAACACGAGGTAATCGAAATTCAGGATGGCACTCCCCCAGAATATGCAGAGCAAGCAGTACCAACACACAGGGTTCCTTCAAAGCAGAGCACACTGTCAACGACAATGGAAAGAAATAGGGCCCGCAGCCTGAAACGAAAGCCAAGTCAAATCGAACGTCGGAACGACAAAAGCCAGGACCGTTCCAAGCGCAATTCCTCCATCTCTTCTTTTATGATTCAGCCTTTGAAATACATGGCTGGTGAATCACCACTCTCGCTACAGAGGGAGGCGTCTTCTTTCTCTACGCTTGAAGCTGGCGTGGGTTTCACTGCTGAATGGCATGATGATGGTATATCTGATTTGTTTGATAACTTCAAGGATATTATTGATTTTAATTAGGTGATGGATTGTTTTTTCTCTTTTACATTTCCTCTTATATTCCCCGGGAGATTGTTGTCGGCCGGACTTACTTCTATATGGGATACTGGGACCACATGTCAGTGCCTTGCTAATTTACATTTGATTCGCATCTGGAATGTTGGCATGGGATAATGTAAGTATATTATAGACATGAATTAGACAGGCAATTATCTATTGGTCAAACTGGGTGTTCTTTTGAACTCTTGTTGATAAAGCTCGCTCTGCTATGAGTTATGTTAAATAGTCAACCGTCTGCGTCGACTTAAACAAGATCCTTCCGATCAGTATATTGGTACGCCCCGGTCAAAATGAGAAGGATATTATTTATATCTAATCGAATCATTCCAGGTTCCCTAAGGCACCAACGACTCCTGGATTATGTTTTCCAATCATACCCGAAAGCCGGGCCTTTCTTCACCGTCAAGGATTTCAACGACTGGTTTTCCTACTTACCACAAGCATGGCTTCCTACTTCGAAGAAATACAACGACCCCTACAGGTCTTTGTTACCGGACGGTGGAGTCATTAAATTTACCCATAGCGACCTCCACTGAGGGAACATCATTATCCCTTCCAGCAAACCAGCTCGAATCATGGCTATCGTGGACTGGGGACAAGCGGGATGGTATCCAGACTACTGGGAGTACTGTAAGTCACTCTACACTTGTTGGTATGAGGACAAATGGCGACGAGACTGGGTCGACAACTTCCTAAGCCCACGCTTGCGCGAATTTGAGGTCTTCGCGGAGTACACAATGGCAATGGGCTCGATGTGAACCACCTTTACCTGGGAGTGAATGCTGCTCACTTATAGGAGAAGTAAACATACTTCGTAGAAATTACAAAACGGTAGGAAAAACCACGTATTATAACAGCTATAGGAGGTAAATCGCTCTGCTCTCTGTTCTAAAATACTTAAAATAGACAATTGAGATCAAAAATAAAAACGGACTACTTTCTACAACGCCGAAATAATTAGACACGTCTCCAAGAATCCCTACATCAGCAGGCTTGCTACCTAGCAGACCGTCAAGGACTGCCTTGCATATGCAATGGAAGAATCCCGCGACAGCCACCGGGTCAAACGTTGCTGTCGCGCATCTGATGGCCGAAGACACACTGGTAGGGGAATAAAGCTCGAGGCAACTACGCGAGAGCCATATTCCTGGAGTAGGAAGTATACTACTCGGTTAATAACGAAAGACGTATCTTCAGCCTCTATTATATCTAGGGCAGGAGTCGGCGTTAGCAGAGCCTAAGGGAGAGGTCTCCGACTACCTAGGCCTCGCAGGGTCCTAACAGAAAGGCAGCCGTTTCTGGCGTCAATTCCATAGGCCCTCATATTCTAGCTGTAATGGTGTCCTCTTGACATCCCTGATTGAGTCTATAACAAGATATCACAAAGTATATGTGACGGGGAGGTAGTATCAAAAAGAGCTAAGAGGAGAAGTCGAAGCGAACAACAATGCCCATTATCTTGCAACGGGGACATACCAGACTATGAAAGGGCTCGCATTGGACATACCAGCTTGGTTTTGAGATGATTGGACAGGTGTGAGACATAGACAATGACCTGGTTTGTCTCGTGTTTTGAGTCTTGCAACGACCAAGGCATGAAGGTGGTAAGAGAGAAATCCCATTATCGATAATCCTCTAATATAGCTTAGGTAGCTTCATGCTTCGCTTCTTGCGTACTATCAATATCATCCTTTGTCTCTGTTACGTTGGTGTCTCTTATGACAATGCAAAGAAATAAATTGAGGCGGTATAGTACAGTACATTGAATCCGACATGCAACACCACAGTTGAAACAAGTGGAATATAACCACAAAAGGGATAACCCCAGGGTACAAATATAGAACAAGCTCAATCAAATGAGCACCAAGCACCAATTCAAAAGACGACCAGATCAAAAGGGACCCAGCCTACTCCATCTCCATCCTCTCCCTAATAAGCTTCTTAATCTTCCCAACACGCTCCTGGCCCCCATGATACTCGCGAATCAACTGAGCAGTAGACAACCCCTCCCAGACAGCCTCATCAACAGCCTCCCCCTCTTAGCCGCCATCTCCATCGCCTCAGCACGCAAATCAACTTCGCGCCCAAGAATCCTCGCCTCACGACGTACATATTTCTCCGCCCAGCGCGCCTCACGTGCAGCATCCCGTTCCGCACGCGACAAGACAGCCGGCCGCTCGGAGATCCCAACACCGAACGGCGTGATGATACGCTCGACGACGTGGTGCACGTGTTTGCTCTTGGGCGCGCCGGATGAGAACTCGATTACGTCGCCGTCGCGGAGGCTGTTGCGCGGGTCCGAGACTAGGTAGTGCGTTTCCTTTGGGTAGTACTTGCCGATGTGGCGGTCGTAGGTGTTGTGTCTGTGGCAGACGCGGACGGTGCGGTCCATCCGGCCGACGGAGACTACTGTGCCGGTTTTCAGGACTGAGGCGTAGTTGCGCAGGCGGGGCGGCACGGTTAGGGTGTTTGGGGTTGCGGTTGTGGGTGTGGGTTTTGTGCTTGTTGTCTTTTGGCGGAGTGGGGTTGTGATTTGGGTGGTTTGGAGGAGGGTTGGGCGTGTCAGGGACAGTGGTGTCATTGATGCTCGGAGTGGCATTGCGGCCCGGAGGAGATGGTTTGGTGCCATTGTGGTTGGCTTGGGTGGCTGGTGGCTGCTCTCTTGGTGGATTCGGGTTAGGTTGTTGAGAGAGGTTGGGTCGGGGGAGCGGAGCACACGGAATGGGTTGTGGTGGTGATGGTGCTTTCCCAATGTTTGTGAGCTTGAGGTGTTTGCAGTTGAGATTTCGAGAATTTCTCGGGGAAGCATGTTTGCACTGTTTGCACCTGGTAGTATATATCTCCAAACTAAAGTACTGAGATTCAACATAGCGAAACAGATTGTAAATTGTTCTATTCGGTTGTCTTTCCATTCTATTACTCTTTTTTGGTCGAAATTGAAGAAATTTGAATTTCATGGGCTATTCCCATGCGGTCCAAGGTACCTCGGCGTGTCAAATGGCCTCAAACGTGTCTTACAAAGCACGTATATATATTCGAGAAAGATATTGAAGTAACTGACAAGTAGCAGGACAAAAGCAAGCATCGCATTAAAGACCGACATGACGTCGCTGCCACCTGTCCAGATGCTGGAAGTCTCAGCGAACTGCACTGCAACCATAGAACCCCCTTCCGATCTAGTATACAAAGAGTAATACATTACATCAAACCCAAGTCAAGTAAAGTCAAGTCAAATCAAAAGAAAAAGATTGAATAGAGAACTTGCGTTTGTAGTCTAAACCGAATAACGTGAACTGTATCGGCAATTATTCCTAGAGACCTTGATCAGGGCCAAATAAACCCCATGCACCCCGTACAAAACGCGTAAGAAAAGATAAAAGAGTAGAAAAACTCCAAGAAAATAGCATTCGCCTCATCCATGTTCGTGAGCGTATCTAAGTTTCATTCGAGAGGCCGTTCCGATCGCAGCCAGAGAACCGATACTGGCAGCACAGGTTGTCTTGCAAACGTTAAAGATGAACTTATCACGTGGCCTGCCTGGTAACGCCCTCGCCGAGCGGTCTCTTGGATTGGAATTTGTCGGCTGAGTGGGCTGAAATGCGGGTGAGTTCGGTGACAAAGGATTGGCCCCAGAAGGCACTGGCGGATGTTAGTCAAGAATACCGGGGACTGGCTGATTACTACGTACCTGGTGTACTTGGACACGTATCTGTCCAACTTGGCGAAATTGAGAGCTCGCTGCTCGTCACTCATGGTCACGGCTTCTTGGTAGGCGCCTGCGAGTTCTTCCGTGTTCCAGGGGTTGACAATGATGCTGCCGTTCAGACTTTGGGCTGCACCGGCGAACTCGGAAAGGACCAAGACTCCGTGGCGCTTTTGTTGTGTGGCGATGTACTCGTAGGCCACCAGGTTCATACCGTCGCGAGTGGACGAAACAATACAGGCATCTGATACAGCATAGAGCGCAATAAGTTCGTCGAAGTTGACGGACTTGTGCAAGAAATGGATAGGCTGGAATTCGACCGTGCCTTGGGTTCAATTAGCCATTGCTCAAGCTCAAGATTGAGAGATAGTACTTACCGAACTTTCCATTGATCCGACCAACCAGTTCATTTACCACAGCTCTCAGATTCTGGTACTCCTCGACATCCTGTCGACTAGGAACAGCAACTTGTACCAGAACAACCTTTCCAACCCATTCTGGGTGGTCGCTGAGGAATACCTCGAGCGCATGGAGCTTCTGAGGCACACCCTTGATGTAATCAAGACGGTCAACACCGACCATCAACTTGACGCCCTGGAACTTCTGTTCAAGGGTGGCAATGCGCTTCTGGACCTTCTCCTTCTTTAACCCTTCTTTGAACTTCTCCGGGTCAATGCCAATGGGGAATGCCCCGCAGGTGATAATCTTGCCCTGGAATTCAATTCCATTTGGCGTAGTGGCAAGGCCGCTGGTTCTGTTAGCAACAACCCACATATACCCGAAAGAGTTAAACTTACAGCAGGCGCGAGCAACTGCTCAAGAAATGACGGGTGTAATCGTAAGTGTGGAAACCGATGAGATCGCAATGCAGAACTCCCAAAAGCAATTCATTGCGCACGGGCAAAATTCGATAGATTTCACTGCTAGGGAACGGAGTATGCAAGAAGAAGCCAATTTTGACATTCTTTTTGCTGGCACCGATCTCCTCGCGGAGCATCTCAGGAAGTAGCATCAAGTGGTAGTCGTGAACCCAGATCAAGTCGCCATCCTCCACTTCCTTGCAGATGGCCTTTGCGAACAGACGATTGGCTTCTTTGTAGGCCTCCCAGGCAGACTCGTCGAAGGTGATTTCACCGGGGTGGTAATGGAATAGCGGCCAAAGAATGGAGTCTATGCAAAAGTCGGAATATCAGTACATATGCGACTCGCTCTGCGGGGATCAGCTACTCACTTGAGAATCCATTGTAGTGGCGGTCTGCCAGTTCGTCGTCAATGAAGACGGGTACAGCGCCGTATTCTTCCTTCAGGCGCTGTTTGACCACTGGGATCTCGGGCTCGGGGACCTCCAGACCGGGCCAGCCGTACCACTGGAAAGTGGTGGATTTGGATAGACCACTCAGCCCGCTGACCAGCCCTCCGGAGGACATGGAGAAATCATACTTTCCATCTTCGGATCGCTTGATGGTGATCGGCAGGCGGTTGGAAACCAGAAGCAGACGTGCCTCATTCTGCTTCGGCTCTTCCTCAATGGAAGACATGACGGGAATTCGGGGATCGGAATGCGAATACGGAGAGGTGAGTCGGTCGGTGAACAGGGTGCCAGGTCAGGCCAAGCTGTAGTTCCAGCTATGCGAGGAGAAGATCAAACCCTTCAGGAACAACGCAAGACGATCTGGAGAAGGAACAGGCAGCTACCAAGTGCCATTAACCAAGAAAAAAGTCTTGGAGGGGAAAGGCGGAAAGTCAGCAAGGGCGGGGAGCCAAGTGAGGTCACCCCGAACAAACTTGGAAATGCAGTGGAGTTCTTCAATAACGATTACATTAGTGAAAGCAGGGAAAGGAGGATTGATGAATTTATACGAGACATTAGCCCTGGAAGGTCTACTTTCTGACAGACAGGGCTAAGGGCATCTCAGCCCAGCCAGTCACAGCACATTCGCCCATCCCCAATGACCGAGCGCTGACGTCGCTGGCCTTACGTAAGGCAATGGCGATCTATAAAAATGATCGAGTTATAGCTAAGATGGATAGCTACACATGATACCTTCAAGAGACGACAGACTCAGAGTTACAAATTGCCAGAATAGCCAGGGTATCCGCGACTCCTAGCGATATACACAGTGGCTAAACGTCATGATTCAGATGCTTAAACCCAAAAACTCGGAACCAAACACTGCAACGTATACACCTCTAACAACCTACCTTATCACCATGAATCCTCAAATTCACAAAGCAGACCTCCCACCCAATCTCCACCCCCCAGACCCCTCATCATGAACCGTCCTCCCCTCCCCTCCAACTTCATAAGAACCTGCAAAACACCATTAGAAGCAGGCAAATGCAAACTCTCAGGAACATCCCGATAAATACACCGAACAAGCTCGATAGGCGTCCACGTCTTCTTCCGCTCCGGTGAGCTCTCCCCATCTGTAACGTCAAGCTTGCCATACCGCAGTACACGCAGCACCTCATCTTCCCGCTGTTGTCGGTGCTTGATGTACTCCGTGATGCGTGTACTGGTGTTTTCCAGTACGGCACCGTGTCCTGGATAACCACGGCCTGTGGAGACACGGTCGCGCATCCGGTGCAGGCTTTGGAGGTAGGTTTTTAGATCCTGGAAGACGGCTGTGCCGTGGCCGAGGACGTCTGGGTTTCTGTTAGTGTATGTTTATGGTTACTGGGCGATGGAATGGAATGGGAATGAAATACTCACTATCACCCGTAAACATAGCTCCCTCCTCTTCAAGCATGAAAACCATATGGTCAACCGTATGGCCAGGCGTATGTAACGCCGTCAAGGTAGCACCTTCAACGGAGAAGACCTGGCCTTCCGTGATATCAGATTGGCCATCGTCGGGATCATTCTTGAAGATCTGGGCATTGGGGCAAATCTTTAGTAGATCGGGCAATCCGTTGATATGGTCGTGATGCCAGTGTGTTAGGAGGGCTTGGTGGACTGTGGCTTTTTCTTCTGTCAGGAGCTTTTGGAGGTTTGAGGCCCACGTCGGTTTGCCTTCGCCTGTGTCGATTAGGATTCTTTTATGGCCGCGGCCGATTAGGTATGTGTTTGTTCCTGTATTCTATTAGGATTGGATTGGAGAGGTGTTGGGTTGGTTGATGTTGTCACCTTGGAGTGTGAACTGGATTGGGTTGGGTTAGCTTGTTGGTCTAATGCTTTGATGTACGTGAAACATGTACTCACCTTTCCTGGGTTTCCGCCTAGGATTCGAACGACTGAGGCGCTAAGGCGCTCCACTTCGGGGAGTTGGGCGAGTTGTGTGGCCATGTTTGAGATGAATGGGAGCCTAGATACTCTGGTCAAGTGGAAGGTAAGGTAGAGGCCAATCGGTGATCAGTTATTATTAAAGATGTTTAGACTTTGTAGATGATTTGAGAGAACTGCCAGGGACAATGAACTCGTTTATCAAGACAAGTTCCTTCCCGATGACTCCGACTGTCTATGGTTTTATATTGAAGAGGACTTGCAACGCGGGGTGCGATGGGCCTCGGTAGCTTATCTCAGCTTTGTCCGAGGTGCATAAACTGGCCGGATGTCGTTATGTAGATGGACTTGAGTTTACAATTTACAAAATTACAGTTATGGAAGTAAAAGAAGTGAACAGGAAATTGTGTATGCATGCCATTCCTAACATACAAAAACAGAAATCAGAGTATATCCATTGAACCCACCCAAATATCGGGAATCAACGCAGAAAACACAGGATCATTCATAATTTTACCCAGGGCGCAACTCCTCATACCCTGCTCGAAAAGGACACGCGCACCACAGACAATCCATTATAATGGGCCGTCGCGTCACACCGAGTTTCTCAGAAGCATGTATCTGAATTGTTTAACACGCAAGAGAAACGTAGTTTACACAGGTACCTGGGTAATAACCAAGGTACTTGAAGGTTTTAATTGTTGAGAGTCATGAAAGAGGGAACCATTTAAGCCTTGCGGGCCATGGTGTTGAGGGCAGAGCCGTCGTGGAACCACTCAATCTGGGACTCGTTGAAGGTGTGGCTGAGGGAGACGTCGAAGGCGGGGGCACCGGACTTGGGGTGGACACGGAGAGTCATGGGCTTGCCAACCTCAAGCTGGGTACACATGAGGTCGACCTTGTCCTCGGGCTTGATCTTGTCGTAGTCGGCGGGGTCGGTGAAGGTCAGAGGAAGCATACCCTGCTTCTTCAGGTTGGTCTCGTGGATACGAGCGAAGGAGCGGGTGATGATAGCGAGACCGCCGAGGTGGCGGGGCTCAAGAGCAGCGTGCTCACGGGAAGAACCCTCACCGTAATTCCAGTCACCAATGACAACCCACTTGACACCGCGGGCCTTGTAGTCACGGGCGGTGGCGGGAACAGCGTCGTACTCACCAGTGAAGGCGTTCTTGACCTTGTTGGCCTCTCCGTTCTCCTCGTTGATGGCACCGATCAACATGTTGTTGGAGATGTTGTCCAAGTGGCCACGGTACTTCAACCAGGGGCCAGCCATGGAGATGTGGTCAGTGGTGGTCTTGCCCTGGCACTTGATGAGAATGGGGATGTCAGTGGCATCCTTGCCGTCCCAAGCGCTGAAGCCCTCGAGGATCTGAAGACGGTCACTGCTGGGGGAGACGGCAACGCTGATCGAGGCACGGTCAGGCGGGGGAGCTTGGTAGGTGTCACGGCCAGCATCGTAGCCACGGCTGGGAAGACCGTCACCGGTGGGAGCCTTGAGCATGAAGTCGTTGCCATCCTTGTCCTTGAGGGAGTCGGTGACGGGGTTGAAGTTGAGGGTACCAGCAACGGTCATGGCAACGACCAGGTCAGGGGAGGCGACGAAGGCGTGGGTGGCGGGGTTGGCGTCGTTACGGCCAGTGAAGTTACGGTTGTAGGAGGAGATGATAGAGTTGGCCTCACCCTTCTTCACGTCCTTACGGTCCCACTGACCAATGCAAGGACCACAGGCGTTGGCAAGGATGACACCGCCGTACTCCTCGAGGGTCTGGAGCTGACCATCACGCTCGATGGTAGCGCGAATCTGCTCGGAACCGGGGGTAACGGTGAAGAGAGACTTGGACTTGAGGCCGTGGTCGAGGGCATCACGGGCGATGGAGGCAGCGCGGGACATATCCTCGTAAGAGGAGTTGGTGCAAGATCCGATCAGACCGACCTTGAGCTCCTCGGGCCACTTGTTGGTCTTGACAGCCTCCTTGAACTTGGAGAGAGGGGTGGCAAGATCGGGGGTGAAGGGACCGTTGACGTGGGGCTCGAGCTCAGACAGGTTGATCTCGACGAGCTGGTCGTACTGAGCACCTTCGTCCTCGCGGAGCTGGGCGGCGTACTCGCGGGAGAAGTCACCAATGTGCTGACGCTTGGTGGCCTTCAGGTAGTCGTACATGCGGTCGTTAAAGGGGAAAATGGAGGTGGTAGCACCAATCTCGGCACCCATGTTACAGATGGTACCCATACCAGTGCAAGACAGGGAGTCGACACCGGGACCGTGATACTCAATGATGGCACCGGTACCACCCTTGACGGTGAGGAGACCAGCAACCTTCAGGATGATATCCTTGGGGGTGGTCCAGCCAGACATCTGGCCAGTGAGGCGGACGCCAATGACGTTGGGAGCCTTCAACTCCCAGGGAGACCAGCCATGACATCGACGGCATCGGCACCACCGACACCGATGGCAGCCGTGGCGAGACCACCAGCGTTGGGAGTGTGAGAGTCAGTACCGATGATCAGACCACCGGGGAAAGCGTAGTTCTCCAGAACGATCTGGTGAATGATACCGGAACCGGGCTTCCAGAAACCGATGTTGTACTTGGCGGTAGCGGAGGCAAGGAAGTCGTAGACCTCCTTGTTGATCTCGTTGGCACGAGCAAGATCCTTGTCACCACCAATCTGGGCCTCAATCAAGTGGTCACAGTGGACAGTGGTGGGGGTCTGGACGGAATCCATGCCAGCGGACATGAACTGGAGGATAGCCATCTGGGCAGTGGCGTCCTGGCAAGCAACGCGGTCAGGGCGGAGCTTGAGGTAGGAGGCACCACGCTGGATGTCCTGTCCATGAGGATCGTCAAGGTGAGAGTAGAGGACCTTCTCGGCGTAGGTGAGAGGGCGCTGAAGACGAGAACGGACAATGTCGAGGTTCTCGGACATCTTCTTGTAGTTGATGTAGTGGCCCTATCTTGGATTAGTCGACTGGGTAATGGAAATTGCGGCTAGCCACTCACAGTTTCGTGGTTGGTCATCTCGACCTTCTTGTCGAGGGGGTCATTGCCAATGGTAGCGTAGGCCCGGGTCCCGAAAAGCTATCCCAAACGTTAGTATCTGCAGGGTATGACGGTCCACGCCGACAGCTGTGCGTGCCACGTGTGGCTGGAGCTTGATGGTGATGCTTACAAGACGGGTCTTGGGGGCCTATTCACGTAGAGAATTAGCTTTAGAATCATCAAAATTGCACTGTTTCGAGGTTGGCAGGATGCCACCCTCGGCGGCCGCGACGAGCCGAGGATATGGGATATAGACGTACCAGCGCACCAGCGCGCGCAAGGCGGGTAGAGATCATGATGGAAGCTCTATAAGACGGGATAGTACATCCAAGAGCTAGTAACCACCTTCAAAGTGAGAGTGGAGAGTGAGAGAGGAAAGAAAGGAAGGAAGAATTGGATAAAAGCTTGCTTTTGAGTGGGAGAAAGATTCTACGGGGCCCGAGACAAGAGCCGTAACCGCTTGTTACCCCGGCGATACAGTACGGTATTGGAGCTAAGCCTCCCGCATGCGACGGCAAAGCGATTAACATATAGTCCAACATGAATGCTTCCGACAATTATCGAGTCTTAGCAATGGAATAGTGCCTATTTCAGGCTACTTTACTTTCATTCTAGCCTGACTGTCCTAATTCTATCTACATTCTCATGTGAATACTCGTGAATACTCTCAGATATTGTAATGGCGATACCAGACATGTGACGGGTATAATTCGGCCACCAATCATGGCATTCCCAATTACATCCCCCCTTCCCCCAGTTCGGACCAAAGGCAAGAAGGTCAACTCGGCCTGTTATCCCGGCATGCGGTTCGATCTGATACACGTGTAATGTACTCCATTGGTGTTTCAACAGGACCCTGAATATCCCCTGCTATATTTCTATATTAGAATATACTATACACTGGGAACATATAAGATCAAGGATATACGGAGCAATATACCGCATGCAGACGTCATATAATACAGCGTAAACCGATGACGCAGAGCCGAGGCGTACCGACGGCAATCCCGCATCGTCGCCAAGATGCCGCCTTTGGAAACCAGCCAACCACAGCCCAGGCGTTTCAATCGGGGCCCGTGACCCACAGTCAGCGGAAATTTCGTCCCTCACAACTGAACTCGAAAGACCCGCTTTGTCTTCTTTCACTCCGGAAATCGGTAGTATCTTTTTTTTTCACTTGCATCTACTGTTTGACCGGCTCATCCGAGGTTGTCGGCTACGATGGGTGCTCTCAGAAGAATTAAGACCAAGCGTCGCACAAGGTATGTCAATATGGAACTAACCCTTGTGTTCCCTATATCCATGCAAGTGAGATGTTGTGTGTGTGCTAACTTCCCTCCAGAGACTACGACCAGGTCCTCCGGGATATCGACTCGCCCCGTCACCTTGAGATCTTCAAGGAGACCAAGGACGCTGAGGATCTGCCTGGTCTAGGCAAGCACTACTGCCTGGAGTGCGCCAAGTGGTTTGAGAGTGATTACAACCTCAAGGCACACACCAAGGGCAAGAACCACAAGAAGAGGTGAGTGTACATAAGTCGTGGTCCGTCGCATGTCTCAGATCGCATATCTAACATGCCATGCATCTGTCAGACTCAAGATCCTCAAGGAAGAGCCTCACAGCCAGGAACTTGCCGAACGTGCCATTGGACTCGGTGTCCCAGACAACGGCAAACGATCCAAGGAGAACCCCGACGCGATGGAGGATTAAACAAAGCTCGACTTTGATCTACTGGGAAAACAACAAAAGAAGCAGTTCTCTGCTACGCGACCACGACTCTCTTTTCAGCACCGAACATAAGTTTCCATCTCTAGACCGTTGATTTTCCTAGAGTCACGTGCGGCACTTTTTTATATTGCCGGTACTCGCCGGGTTTCCGCTCTTCCGGTTTGCGGGCGACTTGAAACCGCCGACGGTCGGCGAAAACGGCTGGAAATTTACCCCCTAGCAAATACTTCCGAGTAATTCCAATAGAAATCCCTCAATACCGAATAGAATCTAACCTGAATGGGCTTTCGGTATGTTCGGTTTGTAGATTGTCTTCACTTCTATGTGTGGGGGTTCTATCCATGTACACTAGCTTCATATCCCCGGTTGCAACTTCACTTGTGGGCCCAATTGGTTGAAGCTTTTCATGAACCATTCATATGCCGCCCACTATATCCAAGATTAGTTGCTATATCACGAATCACAAGGGGAGGGAACAAACCTGTACAGCATTCACAATAAATGCTCGAACACTGCAAACCCCAAGACCACGGTAGAATGCCTTGACACCCTCGGCCCGATATGTTTCCTTGGCAATCTGGAAAGAGCTCAAGGTCCGACGTCCTAACAAAGCCTGGGTCTCGGTGACCCGGCCATGGTCACCAATGGTCTGCGCCTGCAACCTCGTCTTAATCATATCCAAGGGGAAAACCGAACCCCAAGTAACGACTCCAGCAACACCCCCACAAAGCAAAATATTCATAGCGGATTGATATGCATCATCATCATCAGAATTCATAAATCGTTTGCAAAGTTCGTAAGACCAAAAACTGTCACGGATCAGTAAAACATATTCTGTGGAAAATATATATCTATCCGCCGGGGTATAGATCCGGGGGTGGCGTGGGCGTTTCCATACTAGAATCCATAGCCAATTGCATCCCTGGCGCTAGTAATACCTCCACCAAAGTAAAGACCGCTCCAGCCGCGCGTGCGGATGATATCCTTAGCCACCGCCCACGATGACACTTCGGCTCGGGGATCCAGCTGTGCTCGACACTTGATGAATTCAGTTGGTGATGAGATTGTCCAGCTGGCCAGTCCGCCTGCGGCTCCGGCAAGCCAGACCTTGTACGGTGAGACATCGACTGGATTGGTAGGGTCTGTTATGGAATCGTCTAGGGCTGTAAGTGATCGGTTGTATGCCACGAAGAGGATGGCGTTGAGAGCTCCATATCCCAAGATTGGAGCGGCGGCACCTAGAGTAGAATGTTAATTACTGAGGTTTGATACTGCGGTTTGGCGTGTGGTGTAAGTTAACACAGACCTCGCACTAGTGAGGTTGCTTTTTCCAGGCGGGTTAGATGTGTTGGTGATGCAGCTGCATGCACATCTCCCGCCTGCAGCCGGACTTTGATGACATCAAGAGGGTTTCCGATAATTATTCCCAGTGCTCCGCTTAGGTAGCCGGCCCAGAAGTCGGAAGGCATGGGATTCCAATCTGGATCCGAGTGAGAGGAATGGAATGTTCACATCCAAGTCCATTTATGCCCGAAGCTCTCCCGGCTTTCTAGTAGCGGGGGAAGCCCCTCGGCATATCACGTGGGGCCGTGTCTATTTGGTGTAGGCAGACGCGAGGCAGGATCGCGTCGACTTCCGACTCATCCACCACCAACGACTTTGGGGCTGTTTATAGCTGTTTTTTCATATTTCCTTTTGGCTTTAGATCAATGTAAGGCATTTTGGATTTATCGACGTGTTTCTTTGCTAACACTGACATCCCAGGTATCGACCACGACCGGCTGGTGGCGAAGGCACGCTCAAAACACCCTTACAACCCAAATCCGTAAACTCGATCGACCGTCTCGCAAGACCATTTAAATGTCCCGGCTCGGCGACGCCTACACGAGCATCTGAGAAACCGTCGAGGAAGAAGCGCAAGGTTAATTATGCCAATGCTGATGGGAGCGTGGAAGATGGAACGGAGAAACCATACACGAATGAAGACCGGCTTGCATTGGCGACGAGGGAGGTCAATAAGTTTCCGGTGTTTAAGCCGCGGGACAAGGATATGGCGTTTCGATCGCGATTTCAGATCCCGTTCATCAATAAGGCTGGAGATGGCTACAATGCTGGCCGGGCTGCTCCGACATTGGGCATGAGACAGGGTGCGACATTTGTTGTTAAGCCGCTACATGATCCAAGTGGAGAGTTTGCGATCGTCTTGTACGACCCTACGGTAGATGACGTTCCTGCCGAGCCTGAGCCTAAGGCTTTGGAGGCGCCGACCGAAGAGAAGCCAGAATTGGATGAGCCGATTGTGCATAAGAGTCTGGCAGATATTCTGGGGCTTAAGAAGGATGTGGTGGATCGACCGAAGGTCCCTGTTGTGATTGATCCGAGACTTTGCAAAGTGCTACGGCCGCATCAAGTGGAGGGTGTGAAGTTTCTATATCGATGTACCACTGGATTGGTCGATAAGAATGCAAATGGATGCATTATGGCAGATGGTATGGGTCTTGGAAAAACACTTCAATGCATTGCATTGATGTGGACACTTTTGAAACAGTCATCTGAAGCTGGAAAAACAACCATTCAGAAATGTGTGATTGCATGCCCGTCAAGTTTGGTCGGCAATTGGGCCAACGAGTTGACAAAATGGCTTGGAAAGGACGCCACGACTCCCTTCGCAGTGGATGGAAAGGCATCGAAGACAGAGCTTACTGCCCAGATCAAGCAATGGGCCATCGCATCAGGGCGTGGCATTGTCAGACCTTGCCTCATTGTATCTTATGAGACGCTCCGGATGTATGTTGATGCGTTGAAGGATGCACCCATTGGACTCCTCCTGTGCGACGAAGGACATCGGCTTAAAAACAAAGAAAGCTTGACATGGACTGCTTTGAACAGTCTGAACGTTACTCGCCGTGTAATCCTTTCCGGAACGCCCATTCAGAATGACTTGTCTGAGTACTTCGCTCTACTTCATTTTGCCAACCCGAATCTCCTCGGTTCGCAGGCCGAGTTCCGGAAGAGATTTGAGCTGCCGATTCTGCGAGGTCGGGATGCCGCAGGTACCGACGAAGAGAAGAAGCTGGGTGATGAACGTCTGCAGGAGCTCTCCGGTATTGTCAACAAATTCATCATTCGCCGAACCAATGAGCTCCTCTCCAAATACTTGCCAATCAAGTATGAACATGTCGTGTTCTGCAATATGTCACAGTTCCAGCGGGGTCTATACGACCATTTCATCCAAAGCCCTGAGATTCGAAGCCTTCTCCGTGGTAAGGGTAGTCAGCCGTTGAAAGCAATTGGTATTTTGAAGAAGCTTTGCAATCACCCTGATCTCCTTGACCTTGGAAACGATCTTCCGGGGTGCGAGCATACATTCCCCGAAGACTATTCGCCTCCAGATTCTCGGGGTCGTGATCGAGAGGTCAAGAGTTGGTATTCTGGAAAAATGATGGTGCTTGACCGTATGCTAGCCCGGATTCGACAAGACACAAACGATAAGATCGTTCTCATCAGCAACTACACCCAGACACTGGATCTATTTGAAAAGCTTTGTCGATCGCGTGCATATGGTTGCTTACGACTTGACGGCACAATGAACATCAAGAAACGCTCGAAGCTGGTGGACAAGTTCAACGATCCAGATGGTCCAGAGTTCGTGTTTCTTCTGAGTAGTAAGGCTGGTGGATGTGGTTTGAACTTGATTGGTGCCAACCGCCTGGTACTGTTCGATCCCGACTGGAACCCAGCTGCTGACCAGCAAGCGCTGGCACGAGTGTGGCGTGACGGTCAGAAGAAGGACTGTTTCGTCTACCGTTTCATTGCAACTGGTTCGATCGAAGAAAAGATCTTCCAGCGCCAGTCCCACAAACAGTCACTATCATCGTGTGTCGTCGACTCTGCAGAAGATGTCGAGCGTCATTTCTCTTTGGATTCCCTCCGTGAACTCTTCCAGTTCAAACCCGACACGCGCAGTGACACCCACGATACCTTCAAATGCAAACGGTGCCGACCCGACGGCACACAATACATCAAGGCCCCGGCTATGCTGTATGGTGACACGAGCTCGTGGAACCATTTGATTAATACTGGCGAGAAGGGGCCTCTCAGTCAAATCCAGGATCTGTTATTGAGACAGGAGACCGGAGAACAGGATGTCTCTGCTGTTTTCCAGTACATCAGTCATTGATAGTGGCAGTTTCGGGATTCTATTACAATTATTGGCATTTGGTCATTTTGTATGTTTTGGAGCGTATCAATTGGAAGCGAGCGATCATGATCATAAACGAATTCGGGATTTTTTTACATATCAAATGAGCTTTCATTGTTCCTATCTCTCAATATCGTAAGAGGTCAGTAATAAAAGTTAAGTAGACTTTCTTGTTCTTTTGCTTGCATCCGTGGCCATAGAGTTGGTTGAAATTCTAGGCCTTGTGCACTTGCTCGCCGACACCGTAGTGAACAAGATCCAAGCATCATCCGTAAAGCTGTAATCTGCCAATGCGACATGCATAAATCTTGGTCTGGAAATGAAAGTGTCAGTAGGTACTGTAGCTGCCTGTCAGTTGAAGTTTGAGAAACAAAGGCGGTCAATGCAGCTCAAGTCCAGACCCACTGCTGACATCACACTCTCCGCGTTGACAACGCATCTGTTTTCAACACTGACCTCACTCCAAAGTCGATCTGGGCCTTATCTGACTTGTGGCGTATGAAACCTCCCTCGTGACAGTGTTCCCTATTTCAGCGCGTCCCTTTCACTATGACCATTGCTTAGCCTTAGCTGGAGGAGAACCCGCATCACACGCGATTCGGAGCGATGGATCAGACAATCCAGCGGTTGCTGAACGACAAGCTCTATGACAAAAGGAAGCAGGGGGCTTTGGAGTATGTTAGACCTGAGATCCCAAGCTACAGCGATGAGTTAAGGCGTATACTGACCCATGATGTTCTGACAGGCTAGAGAAAGTCGTCCGCGATGCCGTTTTCCAAGGAGAGCAGGAGAAAATCCAGAAGATCGTTGAACAGCTCTGTCACGACTATGCTTATGCTGTGCACCAGCCCCACGCTCGGAATGGAGGGTTGATCGGTTTGGCGGCTGCCTCGATCGCTCTGGGATCGGTGAGTTCGATATGACCATGCACTGCGGGGAGATGGTACTGACACCGGGTATAGGAAGGGGTTGCTCCGTACTTGGGTGAAATTGTTCCGCCTGTGCTGGCGTGCTTTTCGGACCAGGATGCGCGAGTGCGGTACTATGCTTGCGAGAGCATGTACAATATTGCTAAGGTCGCCAAGGGAGAAATTCTGCTTTTCTTCAATGAGATCTTTGATGCTTTAGCTAAGGTGAGTGTCGATATTTGAGGTGGGGTTTTGCATAGCTAATAGGCGGCATAGCTTGCATCGGACTCGGAACTTTCAGTCAAGAATGGCGCGGAGCTTTTGGATCGGCTGGTGAAGGATATCGTGGCTGAATCGGCGGCTTCCTATGTGTCCATTCTACAGCTATCTGAGAAGGATCGGACGGATCCGGACGCTTTGGATGACCCCGACCTTCCTACTGCGTTCTCTCTTGCGAGATTTATCCCCTTGCTCCAGGATCGCATCCATGTGATCCAGCCGTTCACCCGCAACTTCTTAGTCTCGTGGCTTACTCTTCTAGATACAATCCCTGATCTAGAGCTTGTCAGCTATTTACCGGATTTTCTGGAGGGATTGATAAAGTTCCTTGGCGGGCCTAACAAAGACGTTAATGTTGCGACCCAAAACCTTCTCGATCGGTTCCTGGCGGAGATAAAGAGGATCACACGACTGAAGAGGGGAATTGAGGAAAGTCGGAAGGGTCAGAAAAGCAACAGACACTCCGCTGCAAGTGACGCCATGAGCGTCTCGACCGAGCAGAATGTCAACGCCGATGGAGCAAGTGATTCCAAGGGTGACATCGCCGTTGAGGACTCGGACTCAGAGTCAATCTTCGATGGGGAGATCATTCAAGCCGACGGGGACTGGATCCCCGGACAGGATGTACAAATCGATCATCCCAAGATCCTTGGCATCCTTGTCGGCTTTGTAAACACCACCTATGAGGAAGAAATGCAACTGACGGCCCTTCGTTGGATTGATGCTTTCTTTGAAATCAGCCCGGAGGATATTTTGCCTTTTGTTCCGCGTCTTTTGACCCAGGTGCTTCCAGCGATGTCTAGTGGCTCAGATGGAGTACGACAAGCAGCAAACCAAGTCAACAAGTCACTCCTCGAGTATATCTATTCTCTATCTGATGATACAACTGAGGAAACTCAAGCCTCATCGAAGATTCCATCTACCACTGCCAGCAAAGAGACCATAGAGCGAAGGTCATCTACGCCCGGAGTCAGACCCTCGGAGACGGCGAGCATCGACATCAGAAAGCAGTCAGCGCAGGAAGCATCCGTTGCAGCCACACCACGAAGCAGCGTTGTCTCCACGCCCCTCCCTACTGCCGACCTTGATTACGCTGCTGCTGTTAACTCCCTCACATTACAATTCCTCAACGAGAACGAAGCTACGCGAGTGGCAGCTCTTTCGTGGCTTATCATGCTGCACCGCAAAGCACCACGAAAGGTCGTCGCGTTCAATGATGGCACCTTCCCGGCATTGCTGAAAACGCTATCAGACCCTGCAGAGGCTGTTGTAACCAAAGATTTGCAGCTTCTTTCGCAGATTTCCAGAAACAGCGAGGATAGCTACTTCACTTCTTTCATGGTGAATCTACTGCAGCTGTTTTCTACTGACAGGCATTTGCTTGAAGTGCGCGGAAATTTGATTATAAGACAGCTATGTTTGAACTTGAGCCCGGAGCGTATTTACCGGACTCTGGCAGACTGTCTTGAGAAGGAGGAAGTATGTGAACTGATTTTTCTACAACGTTCTATGCTAACAGGTGCAGGATCTCGAATTTGCCAGTATCATGGTGCAGAATTTGAACAACAATCTCATCACTGCGCCAGAGCTCTCCGAGTTAAGAAAGCGCTTGAGAAATCTCGATTCAAAAGTAGTACTCCCCGACATTTATACTTTGTACCGAGGCTCACAAGTTGTTCAGGATGGGCAAATGTTTTTTGTTGCTCTGTTTAGGTCATGGTGCCACAACGCTGTGTCCACCTTTTCTCTCTGTCTTCTTGCTCAAGCCTATGAGCAGGCATACAACCTACTACAGATCTTGTCAGTGCACCAGTTCTTTAGATTATGGTCTCCTGCTAACACTAGCACAGTGCAGAACTCGAGATGACAGTCAACATGTTGATTCAAATCGATAAGCTGGTGCAACTCCTTGAGTCTCCAGTATTCACCTGTATGTCTCTTCTATTTTTCAATAATCCAAAAACTAACAGCTGTACAGACCTCCGCCTCCAACTTCTGGAACCCGAAAAATATCCCTATCTTTACAAATGTCTCTACGGCGTCCTCATGCTCCTCCCCCAGAGCTCCGCCTTTGCAGCCCTCAAAAACCGCCTGAACAGTGTCAGCAACATTGGCTTCCTCCACAGTGGCCCCCGCAGGTATGGACCCCGCGAGATTCCCCGCTCACCTGTGTCCCCCATGAGACTGACTGAGGCCCAACCCAGCACCGCTCAAACCGCCCCATCCTCATTCGACCGGTCCTCCGGCACACGCCTCAAAACCCGCGACGAAAACACCATCCGCTGGGTTGACCTCCTCGACAAGTTCAAATCCGTCCAGGAACGCGCTCGCCGCTCACAGGCTTCCCAGCGCCATTCCCTGGACTCCTCGGATACCCTGCTCAACCCTACCCTCACCGCTGCACTCTCTGCCGCCGCTGCTGACCGGTCCAAGGATCGATCCGGTCTCCCTGATGCTCCGCGCGGTGCTCCGGCTATGAATCCTACTGGTAATGCTGGAGCTGTTGGTCCTGGAATTGGCAATGCTGCCAGTCGTGGGTTGGATAGTGGTGTGACGAAGTCTGTTATTCCGGGCCCATCCCATAAGCATAAGTCTAGTCTTCCTAACTTGGGACGATTGGGTATCGGAGGGCGGAAGAAGAAATAGGGGGTTTGCTGGTCCTTCCATGCATAGCTTCATTGTTCCTTGTACTTAGTTAACTGGAGATACCCAGCATGCGAGGTTTCTTTGAACAATAGCCTTTCTTCATTTACCATTAGCAATGGAATCACTCCTTATGGCAATGCTTCAATATAGATTTAGGATGTAGCCATGTTTATGTCGATACTCGAAATACAGAAGGTAATAGATAAAGAGCCAAATCATAAATATTTCGAACATTCAGTTCCAAAATGAAGACTAAACGAAGAAAATCAAAGTAAAAATGCAGTGAGAAAGAGAAGTAAAGCACATCACAGAATTGGCACATCTAACCCAAATGACTTTTGAGTAAAGAGTATACTTTTTTCAATTCGGTTTCCCGGCACATGGAGCACATGAGACAGACCATAAACAATCCCAACAAAAGTGGGAAAGAAAGAAGCAAAAGACATGGAGACTATACAAGAACCCAAAATTCGTCGAGACTCCGCGGAAGCATCACGCGAAGAGTGAAAGTAACAAAAAAAAAAAAAAAAAAAAAAAAAAAGAGAAAGGAAGGAAAGAAAAATGCTAAAACCGAAACAAAAACGGCGCTAATAACCCCGCGTAAATGGCTCAGGCAAGACCACAGAGATAGAAGAGTAAATATAGAGCTCGGCTCATGCTTCACCGTGAAGCTTGGCTACTGCTACTCCCCCACCCCGTGGGCCGCCAGCTACCGGTAGAGTGTTTGGAGACGGTACTGGTAGGCGAGTTCGCACCGGTTGAGTAGACATATTCGCCGTCGACGTATTGCGCGCCCGTGGAAAAGGTGCTGCGGTGCTTGCGGCGGGCGTAGCGTTGTTCGAGGCGGTAGAGCTCGAGTTCTGTGGGTTTGTTAGCTATACTTCGGTGGCAGGGTGTGGATTGAGTCTGCCTGGTTCTGATGTGTGTGCATTGACCGAGTTCGAGGGTTTGTTGTGTTTTAGGGTTGTGGGGAGGGGAGTTTGGAGGGAGAGGGACTGGACTGGCGGGGGGTAGAGACGTACTGGCTTGTAGCTTGTCCATGAGACCCATTGTGAAATAAAGTGTGCAGTCGAATAGGATCAGATTAGAGGAGAATATTGTATTGGTTTTTGAATGCTCAGAACGTGGTTGCGGAAACGGAAACTCGTTGATAATCGTTCTCTTATGCAGCAATTGGGAACGTGAGCGGTTGGTGCCGGATGTTGACGTTGCTGTGTGGGCATTTGTCAATTCTGGTACATGCATAAATAGAGCCATTGGCCTAGATTGTCTGGATCTGATCTGGGCTGATCTGATCTGGATCTGGGTGTTTGTGTCTCCCTTACCTTGTTTCAGTAGGCGCTGGGATCTCAGGAGAATACGCGGGTCGCATGGAATGTTTCCGGAAGGAATGTGTCGGATTTGAATGAGAGAAAGGGGGTATTTGTCCCCGGTAAAGAGCGAATAGCAACAGAGGATAGAAGCAAAGATAAAGCAAAGATAGAAGCAAAGAACAGAAGAAGAGAAAGGGGTGGGGAGAGAACGTGGATTGTGGAGTTCACTAGTCAGGGCCGATGACACCGCGTCGTCGTTTCAGATTTATAGAAACTTGTCACTTGTTAACTACAGTATGCGAAAAGAAGGTAGTTCTCCGTTAGGGAGCTCCATTCTAGAATTGTTCTTTCTTTCTTCTAGGCTATCCATATCCTATGTATCACATCTACTATACGGAGTATAGCTCAGTGCTCGAATTCTAGCCCGCGCACGGATAGCACTAGATTAATCGCGCATACACTAAAACAGGTTTAGGCGGGTAACTATTGAGCTTTGTTCGTCTCGGGAAACACACTTCACGCTAAGTTGATAATGTAACTTCAACCCTTATATACTTCCCTTGGATCTTGCCGCTTTTTGTTCAAAAGGGAGCAATATAGATAAGCACACTGACCTACTCACGTGAGCATCAGCTATGTCAATAAAAGAACAACACGCCAGTGCTGTCACGTGCAGCCCTCTTTCTTAGATGACCCTGTCCTATCACGAAAGGCCTGGCTCTATCAAAGGGATCATTTATCCTAGTACCATCATTTGCGGGAGGGTGACTCCCTTAGATCGGGCTCAAGATATGCAGGATTCAGCCGATGGATCTTCAAAGTACAGTAGATATAAACCCTTTTTATGGGCTGAGGTTCAACCAGGGTCACTTCAGACTATTCTTATCCTTTTTATAAGATGTTCATGCATTGATAGCCGGTCAATAAGGAAAGTGTCACCGATTTCCCTGATAGCGTGTAAGGATCCATATAATTGTGGTAGCCCGCAGTTGCTGTCTTAAGAGACAGTGAGTGGACAAATTCCATCTTCAAAATACACTAGAACGGCTTTAGGTAGGTAACGATTGAGCTTAACATAACGCTAAGTTGACAGTGTAAGTTATCTCCAACCCTGATGTATTCCAATCTCTACAATCATACATCATTTATGCCTTAGTATCAATATCCTCACCCTGGTTCCGCTCCAGCTCCAAATCCTGGGCCATAGAGAGTTCCTGGGCTATGATAGAGTTAGCAATCAATAATCCAAACACGCAACACTGTAAGTACTCACCATTCCATAGTTCCGCATAGATTCCATCACGATCGAGTAATTCACGGTGCGAACCCATCTCTGCCACCTGGCCATCCTTCAACACCAGGATCTGGTCACTATCACAGATGGTGCGCAGACGATGAGCTACGAAAACACTAGTACGGCTCTTGTCCTTAAGAATGCTGTTGATATTCTGGAGGAGGGCCTGCTCCGTGTAGGTGTCGAGGGCGGATGTCTAGATATAGATGAGTTGACTGGTCACCTGGTGTAAAAATAAGTACTTACTGCCTCGTCAAAGAAAAGGAGTTGCGGATCCTTCAGAATCAACCGAGAGATTGCCAGTCGCTGCTTCTCGCCACCGGAGATCATCATGCCGCGCTCACCTACTGCGGTCTGGTAGCCCTCTGGTAGACCTTCGATCAGCTTGTGGATGTGGGCCCGCTCGGCGGCGCGGCGCACTTCTTCGTCGGATGCATCGATCCGTCCGTAACGGATGTTGTGCGCGATTGTGTCGTTGAATAGGGGTGTATCCTGCGGCACCACCCCAATGGCTTTGCGGAGACTGTCAAGGCTCACATCCCGGACGTCTTGGCCGTCAATGAGGATACGGCCGGATTGGACGTCGTAGAAGCGGAACAGAAGACGCAGAATTGTAGACTTGCCGCAGCCGCTAGGGCCGACAATGGCAAACTTCTGTCCAGCGGGAATACTGAAGGTGGCATTCTTCAGGATTGGGCGGTCTGGGTGGTAGCCAAAAGTAACGTTCTCGAAGCGAATCTCGCCGCCCTGGGTGAGCTGCAGGGGTTTGGCGTTGGGTCGTTCGGTGATTGTGACATTGACCTTCTGCAAATTGAAGAGAGTCTCCATGTCCAACAGGGACTGGCGCAACTCGCGGTAGACAGAACCCAAGAAATTGAGGGGAACGGAAAGCTGGAAGACTAGCTGGTTCACCATGACCAGGTCACCGACGGTCAAGGCCCCGGTTGCAACTCCATCGCAGGCCAGGTACATCATTGCGGCCAGCGCAGAGGAGAAGATCATGTTCTGACCGGAGTTGAGGAATGCCAAGGAGGTGGTGACCTTGATGGATGCATCTTCGTAACTCTTCAAGGCCTTTCCGTATCGTGCAACTTCAAATTTCTCGTTATTGAAGTACTTGACTGCCTCATAGTTGATGAGTGAGTCTACGGCAACAGTTGCGCCGCGGTTATCAGCTGCGTTAGCCTGTCGGCGAAACTTGGTTCGCCACGCAGTGGTAGTGATGGTGAATGCTGTGTATGCGATCATGGTTGTGGTGGTGATAGCAGCAAATTGGAGGCCATATTGATAGGTCTAGGAGGTTAGTTGAATTCACTTAAATGTCGGCATCAAAGCATACCAGAATACCGCAGACAAGCGAAATTTCAAGCGCAGTTGGTACCACATGGAAGACCATGGAGGTCAAAAGGAAGCTGATGCCTTTAGTACCACGATCTATCGCACGGGTTAGACCGCCGGTCTGCCGGGAAAGATGGAAGTTGAGATCCAGTCGCAAGAGGTGTTCAAAGACATTCGAAGCCACCTTCCGGATTGCTTTCTGTGCAACACTAGCAAAGACCGCATTGCGGAGTTCTTGGAACAATGTAGCTCCAATTCGAGTCACACCATCTAAGATGTAAATTAGCCAGTAGTCTCATTTTCGGATAGTTCCTCTCTTACAGGCAATAATCATCGACCCAGCCACAGTGTAGGCAGTCCCACCGATAGAAGCAAAGTCTACATTCATCGAGTCGACAATGCTTTTGAAGTAGAAGGGGACCTCCACATTGAGAATCTGCATAGAATATATCAGTCTCGCCAAACACTTCCATTTCTAGAAATGAACCGACCTTTGCACCAACAAGCAATGATAATGCCGAACCAACACGGAGCTTCGTACCCCAATCATCCTGCAGCTAATCAATACCCGATCATTGTATATAATAGCACTCGGGTAGTACCTTCGGCCACAGATACTTGGCCATTTCCCTCATAATGGCCCAATCCGCCTTCCGTTGTTCCTTCGTTGCAGCCATAGGCTCACTCAGCAAGTCCTTTTTTGGTGTCTTCGCATCGCCATCTTTCGGCGTTTGGACGATGTTGGCGCTGGCCAATTGCGACGGGGCTGGGGTAGAAGCACCGGCTTTCGTAGATGTCTGATCTTTATTCTCTGTAGATTTGTTCCGCAATGGGATACGGCCTGATGTGAATACACGCAGTTGCGTTCCGTTAAGTCGCGTGCACCGTGACCGGCCGGTGAAGCTCGGATATGCGAATTGCGCCGTGCGCCAGCACGGCGATCGCGCGGCTCTGAGCAGCATGGCTGCTTGGTAAAATATGAATCAGTCTCCGGGAATTGTTTGAGTCACTGGAGAGCTCAGGGGTGCATAATGAGCACAAGTGACGTTGTCGGCAGCTGTCCCGATAGCTCGCGGGGAGGAAAAGCCGCCGGGTTCGGAGAAAAACTATCGGGGTCCCCAATGCCGGAATAGTAGCAGAGTACTCTGTAGAGAGTAGAGATGCAGAAATAGAGAACTATCCCACTTTATAAGAAATAATCCAATGTCGCAATTCCGAGTGTCAGTTGTGTACTCCGTAGGTGTTCGGCGCCACGATTTCCCGACTCTCGCGCTTTCCTGACGTAAACTTCGCCAGGACTCTCTCTGTCTGCGCCATTCACATCTGGGCACCATGCGTCCTTTCCTACAGCAAGGCGTTCGGCCTTTGTCCTGGACACGAGTCATTCCTCGTAGGCAAACGCGCTATGTTCAGATTCGCGCCGCGCCCTCGGGGGTGCCTTCGGTCAACGACCACCTGCCCCTCGCTAACACGCCCAGCTCTGTTGAATCACGAGGTAATTGAGCTTCCCCCGCGGTCACACCTTTGGATTTGGGATATAGGCTAATAGCGATGAGAAATAGATGCGCGATTCGACGTTGTCGGCGCTCCGTATTCTCTCCTTTCGGTTTCTCTCTCGGCGTCGCAAAACTTGTATACACGACGAGGAACACTGGTTGGCTTGAGTGGAAAGGCGGATAATGTAGGCAATGCTATCTTTGTGCAGACTTGGGCGATTATCTTTGCTAATGTGCCGATCCCAGGTGATTTCAACATTGAGCGTTCTAGAACCTTTCCGCAGGGCTGTCGTGGGAGTGCCCTTCCTTTACCAGAAGGTATATTGGGCATATAAGTTCAGGTGGAAGTCAATGAGCCAGAGGCTGACGTGTGTATAGGTCTCCTCCGCCACCCCCGTCACAGCTCTCGTCTCCGTCCGGTCACCCAACACTTCCTTCGCCGTTGTGAATGTCAATGGATCCGTGGACTGGATGGTTGCCCAACGACGGGCTTTGCTTGCATGGACGGGCCGGTCTCTGTCTATCAAACCGACTATCAATGCTAGCCTGGTTCGTTAGACCTTACTTGTCTGCGAGATATGAAGCTAATTTGGGCAGAGCTTGTCTCATTGGGGCAGTTCCGAAGTGACCGGCCGAGGATTAATAGCCTTGGTTGGTAACGGGCAGCTCTATTCGGTTGAGTTGAAGGAGGGCGAACAATATATTGCGCACCCCAGGTATGTTTCTATACTAACAGCTCGTGTTGCACATGGCTAATCCTTCATAGCAATGTGCTCGCCTACACAATGACCTCCAACCCTCCCCGTCCCTACCGCTTCAAATCCACCACCCTCAGCTTCCAAGTTCCAGGCTTGAAGACTCTCCCGAGCATCTTCCAAAAGGCCAAGTTTATCCGCGACATGTCCGATTCCAAGGCATACAAGACGACCATGCAGTTCTTCCACAAGCTGCGTACCTGGTCTCGCATGACTATCTGGGGAGATAGGGTATGTCACGTTCTTCTTCTGTCGATGTTCATCAGCTAACTCTATTATCTAGCTCTTCATGCAGTTCGATGGCCCAACAACCATCCTTATCCAGTCCCGCGGTCCTCGTCTCAACGACGTCTTGTCAGGACAGGAAGTCAACGAGATTGCCGGCACCCCTCGGGGCTTGTCCTCAGCCCCCTACCAGGCCAGTGAGGTCGAGAAGACGGACTCTAACAAGTCCGCTAGCTATACCTCGGACATTGAGCGCTCGGTCGAGCAACTGGAGCAGGAAATTCGGGGAACTAGCCAGAGCGTTGCAAAGATCCGCAAAGATGGTAAGGTGGAAATTGAGGAAGTTAATCGCAACTAGATGTAGACCATAGTCTATGGGAGTTCTTCGCATTGGGTTCTGTAGGGCTAGGGCGGTCTCCGTTTGGGATGAGTATTACGTTGCATCCTGTACAGTATGAGCATTTCTTTTCTCTTGGTGCTACTTGATCAAACTCTATTTCTTTGCTTCTAGGCTCCATTTCTCAAATATTGACGCGACAGTAGTCTAGAGTGAGTGGGAGTAAGATAAAAGTGGCGTGGTGAGGCTGATTTCGGCACAGGATGGCGCAGGATGTCCTGTTCCAGCGCGACAAGTGCAGTACTTGTTCTTTGGAATCCATAGGTGGATATTATCTTGCTTTATCGCCCCCTCCTACGTCGTCTAGTGCAGCAAATGTTTGCTCAGCCTCTCCCAGATAGGAATAATAGGAATATCCGTAAGTTATACCCTCGAATAAGAACCCCGGCTGCAATAATGACATTTAGCATACCTTTCTAAAGGGACTGACACTCGCTGCCTGCTATCTATCCTAGTAGCTGCAACGAGATGGCAAAAGTATATCCATTGGCTGCAAATTCACCTTGTTCATGGTGGCTTTGCAAGCGTGATCGTGACGCATATCCCAATTCGGTACATGAAGCTGTTGGTTTCGTTGTCTGGCATCGGGCCAGTGTTTGCTTGTGCTCAGGAGCAAGCATGTATCTTTGCTATCTCCAGACTGCCATGCTATAAATCAATCTCTTGCGCACCTTTTCAATCATCAGTTATTCAATCAGGAAAACCTCTCATCGCTTGGTTATTCTATTCTTCATCTACCCAGCTCTCATCTTTATACATACGTCTATCCAGAAGTTTCACAGATCTCCCTCGCAATGTCTTGTAATAACGGGAATCGAAGCTGGCGATCTCGGATTTACAGAAATCGAAGAGGATCGAACAATTTCGGAAAGGGCAACCAATCTGATAAGATATGTACTCACTTTCATCGTGGAACTTGTCGTTTCGGTTCAGCTTGCAAGTTCTCTCATGACACCAGCGCGGCCAACGAAACTGGATCCAATCCAAGCGCAAACCATCCTACGGACGATGACATGGATGCTCAGAAACGATACTTTGACTGGAGGCAGATCCTCAGGACGTACCTCAGAAAGCAGGCTATGGCCTTTCCGCCTGTTGCAGAGCTTTGGATGAGTGTGTGGATTGTATCGGCTGCTTTACCCATCGTGAATCTTGTTTCTGCGGCATCTCCATGGCCGGGTAGGTCCGGGGTCAGGACGTGGAAGGATTGGTCAAGATCCGAGGCTATCTGCTTCCAGTCGGCGCAGTTTGTGAAAGCGCCATGGATGAGGACAATTGTTTCTTTTTCTGTCATGTTTGAGGGGAGAGGCTATGTTACCATTCTATTCACTTGGGCGAATATAAAAGGGAACCTACCTCAAAGGACCTGGGGCTGAGAAGGATTCGGCCCCCAATTCAACGCGTACTTCAAATCTTATTGCATGACTAGCAGGTTTTATGCCTGGCTTAAGGATATTTCGCTTCGATTGAAGGTATTGTATGCAGAATAAAAGACTATTTGAGGACTATCAAGATCTATACACCCTCAAAGGTCTTTAACTTGGATCCTATACCTTTTTGAATAGTCTAAGTTAATTAACTTACTATTCAACCTACATATACTACAAGAAGCATCGGATTAAATAAAACAAGTAAAAACGCAATTAATTAAAACGAGAAATATCATGTGAGAAGGGTGGAATCCTTTAATATAGAAGTTATCATCTTGTAAACCTGAATGAACTGTAGGAGGGTTTTTAGCATAAATTATTATGAGAAGGCGGTTACGGATGGGGTACTCCTCTAAAGTAGTTCGATATTAAGAAGCATACCTTTAAAATGATGTATATCCTTCAGTAGAAAATATGAGGAGTTACAATTCCGTAAAGCCGCCTCGGCCTTTCGGACTAAGGCACATCTCCGACCTGTTCTCCCCGAGCACAAAGACCCGCGGACTCTCCTCGGTTCTCCACAGGGTCAAATCAGACCGCATAATAACGTGGTGAGCCAATAATAGCGAAGTCACTATGTCTTTGCATGGTTTAGCTCCAAATATCAGAAAAATGACCAAGATTAAGCACTGTTCGGACTTAGTGAGACGCGATGGCCGAAACTCCTTATATTATCTTTTCTTTTTTTCACTTTAATCTTGATCTTGATCTTAAACCCACCTGTATACTTTAAGGGTCTGTTTCGTTACATATCTAAACCTTCGAGTCTCGGAGGATTAGCGCCCAACCGGAAATTACTCCGTTTGCTATTGTCAAGTGAGTCGCATCGCATTTTGAACTAAGCTGTTTCTTCGTTGCACAGCGCTGTTTCTTAATCTTATACTTCCCGTCTGCGAAGTCTATAAATCCAATTTTATGGCCCAAACATCAGTTCTAACCCCGTTATTCAAAACAGATTGCGAACAACTGTATATCCTCGTCCCAAAGACGATCATAGAGAACGCAGAGAGCCTTCCTAATAATGACTGCCACCAACCCTCCGTCCATCGATAGTGCCACTACAAACGTACCTCCATCTGACAACTCAACCCCCGCCATGAGTGTCCAAGGGAATGAAGACCCCGAAAAGGGAATCCAAGGACCAGATAGGACAGAACCTGCAGCCGACGCACAACCGTCTGAAAAGTCCGTCGCTGCTGGCCCAGCGCCCGCAACGCCAGCAATTGGCCCGCCGCCTGATGGAGGCGCGGAAGCATGGCTGGTTGTTCTAGGAGCATTCTCCGGTCTGTTCGTTAGTTTTGGTTGGATTAATTGTACGTGTGACCTGATTGTATGATATTGCAAGATACTAAACTCCCACCAGGCATCGGAGTCTTCCAGACATACTATGAGAGTCATCAATTGAGCGAGTACTCCACCAGCACAGTGACATGGATCACATCGCTAGAAACATTCATTATGTTCTTCTGTGTACGTCCAATATCCATTTAACAGCAACGAAAACCAACATCTAACAATCTCATAGGGCCCAATCTTTGGAACAATGTTTGACAGCTACGGACCCGGCTGGATCCTCCTCTTAGGCACATTCCTCCACGTCTTCGGTCTAATGATGGCCTCCCTCTCAACGGAATACTACCAATTCATCCTAGCACAAGGAATCTGCAGCCCAATCGGCGCAAGTGCAATCTTCAACGCCTCAGTCAACTCTGTCAGCACATGGTTCGCCAAACGCCGCGCCTTCGCGCTGGGCGTGACAGCCTCCGGATCAAGTCTGGGTGGTGTTATATTCCCCATCATGGTGACCCGTCTGATTCCTGAAGTCGGTTTCCCTTGGGCTATGCGTATCTGCGCTTTTCTCATTCTCTTCATGTTGGGTATTGCCAATGTCACCCTCAAGTCGAGGCTGCCGCACCGTCCCAAGCCTTTTGATATCCTGAGTTTCCTGCGACCATTAGCAGAGCTGAAGTTCTCGCTTACACTTGCCGGTGCTTTCTGTTTCTTCTGGGGAATGTTCTTGCCTTTCACTTTTGTTATTACTCAGGCGGAGAGATATGGCATGTCCCCCGGACTGGCGCAATATCTGATTCCCATTTTGAACGCTGCTAGGTAAGTTCTAATTCTTCTCTTTCTTTTATGGGGGCTTGATCTAACTAAATTCAATAGTATCTTCGGCCGTACCCTCCCAGGCTACTTCGCCGACAAAATCGGCCGTTATAACATGATGGTTGTCACAACCTTCTTCTCTGCAATCCTTGTCCTAGCGCTCTGGCTACCATCACGAGGCAACGCCCCTGCCATCGTCTTCAGTGCTTTGTATGGTTTCGGCTCTGGTGCCTTCGTCTCCCTCGCCCCAGCATGTATAGCACAGATCTCGGATCTACGCCAGGTAGGCGTGCGCAATGGTACTTTCTTTGCTATCATCTCCTTCGCGGCTTTGACGGGCACTCCGATTGGTGGTGCTCTGGTTCCGGATGTGCTACATGGCTCTTATACTAAACTGCAAATCTTCTGCGGTGTTGTTATGATTGCTGGATCAACGCTGTTTGTGTTGGCGAGAGTTGTCGTTGGTGGTGGGTTTAAGCTGAACAAGGTGTGAGATGAGGGGAAAGTGGCTTCCATGGACGATGGCATTTACAGTATATATTACGATATTAAAGGTTATATTGTTGATTTTAATGTTTATATAATTTCTCCCATTTCTATGCATGGAAGTTTTGACAAGGTGGTGAGGGTGGCAGCGCCAAGGTGACCCAAGAAGTATATACGAATTTCAAACGAGAGTAGAATGGCGTGTGTTTTAGAACCAGATAATGACAATTCCGTATAATTGTCGAGAACAATTGGTCACCCTCCAAGATTTGCTAGTAACTAACTATAACCTAAGTAACTTAACCAACTTAAAGTTATCAATAATTATGGGTTGGTCACTGCTTATTTTGTGCTATAGACTATAAAATTTACTTTTTATCTAATATGTCAACAAAAACAACACGGCTAAAAACAACAAATCGCCTGTTTTCATCGAAAAACGCCAATCGGGAAACTTGCGGGAAACATCGGCATGCCGAAAACGGCTAATTTGACACCCTTTCCACCGCTTTTTTTCGCACCCATTGTGCCAAACTTCCGATAATCGTTTGGAAGACATTATTTGATCTGATACAAACGATCGTCAACCCCAATTTTCAAATTGAAGATCCAGGACATCCGTGCAACACAAAAAATTTCCGGTTTCGGCCAACATCCGCGCGGGAAAAATTCAAGGGCTCCACCCAATTCCCCGGCATTCAGATTTTTTCTTGGCTTTGGGGTAAATTTGCAGTTACGAAAACCTGATCTCTGAATCATCTGTGCTATCAATGCTGGTATAATTGCTTGGCTTATTCATTCGGGCTGCTATTCCCCAATATACTTCGGGAAAAGCGCCGAGCAGGACAAAGTCTGCCCGCCATGAGTGACCAAGACTCATATGCCGTTCAAGGCAAGGCCATTGATGAACCCTTTCAAAATGATGAGAAGCCTTTCGAAGCGAACGACTTGGAGCCTTTTGGTAATGAGGAGACTGCTGAGGTTAAGTATCGGACTATGAAGTGGTGGTATGTGACTCGTTCTGGCTTTTGATATCAATGGACATGGCTAATCATGGTTATTAGGCATTGCGGCATGCGTGAGTCTCTAACTCTAGATATGTTTAACCTTTCAGCTTTGATACTAACAATATTCTGCAGTCATGATTGCTGAGAATGTCTCTGTTGGTATTCTCTCTCTCCCATCTGCTGTGGCCACCCTTGGAATGGTCCCGTGTGTATCTCCTTCAACATCTTTCCCGAAAACACATTGACTAATTGTAATACAGTGCTGCCATCATGATTCTGTTCATCTCCGCTCTGTCATGGTACACGGGCTATGCCATTGGCCAATTCAAGCTCCGTCATCCTGCAATTCACAGTATGGGAGACGCCGGCGAGCTCTTGATGGGCCGTTTCGGCCGCGAGCTACTCGGTATCGGCCAGCTGTTGCTGCTCATTTTCCTTATGGCTAGCAACATTCTCATGTTCAACATCCTGATGAATGCATTGACTAATCACGGCACCTGTACGCTGGTCTTTGGTGTCGTTGGACTGATCATCTGTTTCTTGGGCGCTTTGCCACGTACTATGGATAAAGTCTACTGGATGTCTGTCGCTTGTGAGTACAGATGGAGCTTAATACCTTGATATACAGTCTGACTGACAATTATCCAGCATTCCTGAGTGTGCTTATTGCAACAATTATCACCATGATCACCGTGGGAGTCGAGAGTAAGGGCTGGGTCCCGAACGAAGTCACCACAACTGTCAGCTTCCGCGAGGGCTTCCTGGCGGTCACCAATATCATTTTCGCCTACCGTATGTTCACATCTCATGAGACATCAACCATGGTCGAAAGCCAAGCTAATTTGATGTATAGTCGCCCATGTTGCATACTTTGGCTTCATGTCTGAGACAGAGGACCCGAGAACCTTCAACAAGTCGCTAGCTATGCTTCAGATCGTCGACACGGTTCTGTACCTGGTCAGCGCACTGATTATCTATCACTATGTGGGCCCCGACGTCAAGTCGCCCGCCATTTCATCTCTAAGCCCCTTGATGAGAAAGATTGCCTGGGGTATGGCCATTCCAACTGTGAGTCTGATATTGTTTTAACGTTTTAACCACACCTGCTAATCATAGACAGACTATCCTTTCTGGTGTCGTCTTGGGCCATGTCGCCTGTAAATACATCTATGTGCGCATGTTCCGTGGCTCCGACAACATGCACAACCGAAGTTTCCTGTCAATTGGATCTTGGGTTGCTATTTGTCTTGGAGTCTGGGTTATTT